TCGCACTGCTGGAGAGGCCCTCAACAGTGCGAGAAGTCGATGTCTCAAGGACAGCTTTATACAATACAGATACGTGTTCAACCCTCTGACTCTTCGTCTAACGATCCCACCCCAAAGCTCTCTGACACATATGGCACTCTTATATTGTGAGGAAAGTCAGTTCTCGGTCCTCGAAACCAATAAAAGAGAACCGATGTCCTATTCTATCATTCCATACTCATGTATTCGAGCAAAGACCTGCTTGGAAAATTCGAATTTTTCAAGGTAAAAGTCCTGGTTCCCCGCCACATCCAGTAAATCGCTCAGAGAATCGCGAGATCAGCCCCCGTCCTCAAGGCGGCGAAGTGGAACCTTCTGGGCTAAATCGAGGTCTATATATGTTCCGCAGATTCAAGGACGGATAGTCGGAGGAGATCCAGGTTCCCCGTCCGTATGGGACACCACTGTATCGCATCAGCCGAATGTAAAATGAAAACAAAAGTCTTCCCATATGCCATTGTTGCGACTTCTGGGTGCGGGATCAGGTTTTTTATGCTCAGCGTGAGGCGCCATGTCATTGACCTGGTTTAGAGATACTTGGATGTCGGGATATATGCCACGAGTGAGACTCGACGGGTCGTGTGTTGCGGTGCTCACCGACAGTTAGCGAGGTCAATAGCCAACAAATCAACGAGAGACGGCGCCAACATCGAGGAAGAAAATCAAAGTAGTGAGACAGTTTTCTCGCAGTGATGTTGATATCTTTCCTCTTCACGAGGAACGCTGTAAGCTTTGGTGCGAGGCGTGTGTGTCGCTTTGGTTGGAGCAAATGAAGAAACAAGCGAAGAGAAACGGCAATCAGGGTATTGCTGTCCAATATTGTCTCTGCTTTCTCGCTTGCTTTCCGACTTGGTATTGTGGAACAGCCGATCCGGCATGATTTCCAGGGGTTCGTTCTATCCTGTTGAGCGAAGCGAAAGCAGTATCACAGGCAAACTCGTCAAAGAAGCCACGGATTTGATTGGTGCGGAAGAGTATTGGAATCCGATTGGCTGTTGAAAAGAGTAGTAACGTGACATATCCGGATCTTAGTTATTCCGCTCCTAATCTTCAGTCCTTGCCAACTCCGCCACTGCCACTTAAGTTTCATCAACAACTCCATCAACAACTCCTTCAAGTCTTCATCAAATCTTCATTAAACAGTCTCAATCTGTTCCTCTCGCAACGTCCTCTTCATCTGTGAAAAGCCTCTCTCAAAAAACCAGGTGGGCCAAGTTACGGAGCTCTCAAACTGACTCATTTACAGGCCGATCGAATCGCCCCCTTGGTGGTCCAAAACCTTCTCTCCCCCTCCACTCACATCCCTGGCCCCTGAAGGCCCTGGCCCTTGAAGGCCCTGCTGGCGTTGGTCAGAAAAGGTGGAACTGTGGCATTACAGACCTGGTCAGACTCGCAATCAAAGTCGGCGTGGGAAGACCCAGTGGGTTCCTTGGTGCTCCTCCGGACTCGGTAGTCATTCGTCGCGGTTAGTCGAACACAGGTCTCTGTGATTGTCAGCAAAACATATCTATTGGCTAGACACTTTGGACGGCGACAGCAACGTTCCTGGTGCCGAGCGCGTCCCCAGGTAATTGAGAGCTTCGCTAGCGTCTTGGGGTGTTTACGCGGCACAGTCCATTTTACATATACCCAGGAGAGAGGGTATGTTTGTTGCAGTATGCGCATCTCAGGCTATCCCTACCTGTTCGACAATTCTGCCTCCCCCTGTCCTATATATATCTGCAGCTCTCCGTACTCTCGAAGCGTGTGCGAGGCTGCGCTGAGACGGCGTTGCCATGTGCGACGCGAACTCCACTAGCGTGGTGGCGCTGGTACGCGCTAGTACTAGCGCGTATGCCAAGCCAAAACAATTTTCCCGCGGTTTGTTGATCCCGCCCACTTTTCAAATCACCCTTCTCTCACTGCAATTTCCTCGTTATCACCTGCGTCGCTCCACGCGTCAACGCCTCTGGGCTTCTTGTCCCCACCCGCCTCGATCTCGAATCATCTCCCCTCCCACGATGGGCCGCCCCATTCCGAGACAGACGCGTTCGCAAGCCAATCGTCGATCAGTGCGGGAGTCGACACTCCTCCAGCGTACGACGACCCCAGTCTCGACGCGGTCTCGACGAGCGAGGCGTGATACTGCGAAGAAGACAGCCTCGAATTTCCCTCCATCCTCTACTTCGCAAGCCGCCGAGACACCACGCATCCTCCGTCCACGTACGTCACAGACACAGAACTCGGGCTCGATCCAGAAATGCCAGTGCGACGACCAATGCCTCAGCACCTCGTGCCTCAACAGATTCATGAAGACGGAGTGTCACTCCGGAAACTGCGCTCTACCGTGGTGCCACAACCGACCCTTCACCAACCCCCCGCGCCACAGATTCGAAGTCTTCGACACCGGCCTCCGCGGGCAGGGCCTACGCACTATCAAACCCCTGGCACCCGGCTTCGTGATCGAGTACAAGGGGAAGATCCGCACAGAGTCCTCCGGCCGACCCTACTCGTCATACTGCATTTCCTTGGGCAACGGATTAGTCCTGGACGCGAGCGAAATGGACACGCAGGCGCGATATATCAATCATTCCTGCGATCCAAACTGCGAAGTGTGGAACTGCATCGGTGCAGACAACAAAAATCACATTGGTATCTTCGCAAAGGTCGCGATCAAGGCCGGCACTGAGTTAACCATTAGCTACTTCGGGTCGAGCAAAGATAGAGGACACAGGACAAGGCCACGGGGGAGTGACAAAAAATGCCTGTGCGGAACGGATAAGTGCCGTGGAAATATATGGGCATGATAAGGCCAAGGCTAAGCAGGAGAGATGATATAATAGCTGGAAGTGCCGAACAAAAGTGATGTTTCCCTGGTACTTGACGGCGGGAATGAGAAATGATATAGCACTGCATCTCAAAAGTATGGGTCTTGATCTAAATTAATCTATCTAATGCTGTGTATAAGAGTCTCAAGCCCTAAAGTTGCATTATCCTCTAACGAATGATCGAAGATGTCCTCATCGTGTCTCTTTTCTTCTGATCGGGAAGGGACAATGAGTAAACCTGAAGAAGCCCTTGTCGTACCCGACCGGACGGCGAATCCACCGCCCCAGGGGATGTCGTCGCCGCTTCGTGGGGACGAGGGCGGAAGAAGCCCGAGACTCGACACTATCAGCAGCAGGAGAAGACCGAAGCTCCAGCTTCAGGCCGCTGGAGAAAAAGATGACAAGTGTCACGGCCACAGCCACAGCTGGGACAAGTGCAGGACAGATCCATCCAGATCTGTCCAAATCTGTCCACACCTGACCACAGGGAGACCGTGCTATGATTGGCTGGCTACAACTCTGTACAAGGCTCTGCTAGTACAGGGCTTGGCGGAAGGAAGCTGGGCAGACGTGCTCGCCGCCACACTATATGGCGCCAGCACATTCCTTTCTTTCTTTCTTTCTTGCTTGCTTGTCTCTCTCTTCAGCTTAGTCTCCTGATACATAGTGTTCTCCATGTCATATGTGCCCTGCCGTCACAGGTACGGGCTTTCACGAGAAAATCCTCGCGCGAAAATCGCATATCTCTCGGGGTTGAAGATCAACGCCCTGTCCATCGTAATCCTCCTCCGACTGGCCCCCCGGTACACTTGAACTGGCCCCCGTGCCGTGAAGTTCTCGTCTCTGGGCTGGTTATTGAGGTAGAGTTTCCAGATCTGCCACATCGTGCTTCTGAGTAGAGTGTGTCCCGTCTCGCCTTGTCATATCTGTTCGTTAACCCCTACGGGCCCGACGGTCATATATCCAAACAGTTCCTCCCGTGTCGTAGGGATGGGGGCATTATATGGGCCTTGCCGCCGTTGTGTTGTCGCGGAGCGGTGAATCGCTCTCATCTCTTGCCAGACCGCCTTTGCGATGTCGCATTCCACCCAGGGATGGGTGATGGTCAGCTCGTGGCCATCTATCGGGCATGTGTCCACACCTTCCTCGCCTGTCCGTAACAATTTGGCACCCGTGAGTACCTTGTCTACATACGCACGCTCGCCGCTCTGAGGAAGGCCAAGGAGCTGCTCCGCCAGTACGGCATGGAGCAGTCCGATAGAATTCCCGCATCCAGCAGGTCGCCTCGAGCAAGCCAAGCGGAAGAGGTCAACCCAGAACTACCAGATGCTGACAAAGATGGCTTCAGCTCTGGTTTCGAGGACGAGCCGCAGAAGCCCCAACGGCGTTGGCGTTGGAGAGGAAATGTGGAACTCATAGCTGCGATCTCCTCCTGTCGACATGTGAGCACGAGATCAGGTGAATGTAGAATGGGGTGGTAGCCAGTGCGCAGCTCTGACGTCTTCTTCCTCACTACCATCTTCATGGCTCCCTTTGTGTTCATCGTCGACATCGTGTTCGTCCGGCTTTTTGGTCGAGGGAGTGAATGCGAACGTGATGGTTCTGAGGTAATTCAAAGGGATTCAAGTTACGGCGTGGTCGACAATGCGAAAGGGTTCTCTTATATCGAGTCACGCAACTCTGCACTGCGACCTCGCTCTTGAGTTCGCCATCGACGCCCGGTGCTCATCGGCGACTGTTCTCAAGTCAGCATTGACCAGAACGCAGGGATCCTACCATCCTCCCATCCGCAGCCAAACCGCACCTTGCGTTGTTCGAGATACACAATATGAAGATCTGGTGCTCTCCCACGTCGGATCTCGCGGTGATACTGGGTGACAAGCGCGATGCGTAGAAGGAGATGGATGTCTACTCGGTTGATGGCGACGGTCTGTCCAGTATACACTGGTTGGGCTGAGAGCACCGTGCTTGCTGTAAGTCAATCTGCGTGAATGCATGACTTTTACAGGAATGCGGAAAACTGCAGGAACATAGTAATGGTGCAGGAATCCAGATTGCTGCAAGGGTGCAAGATTGCAGGGCTGCAGGAATGTTGCAGCAATTCACGATTGCAGGAATGGATGACTGCTGCAGGGATGTAGGAATGTTGGCAGGAATGCAGGCAGGAATGTTGCAAGATACAAGATTGTTCCCAGAAATGCAGGAATGAAGGGATGCAGCCAGGGATGCAAGAATGCAGGACTGTTGCTGGAATGGATGATGTTTTGCATTCCCGCAAGATTCCTCCGGGAATGCAGGGATGCACGTTTGTTCGACGAGTGTGGGATTGTTCCGGTAATGCTCCGGGGATTCTTCGGGACTTCTCCCTGCGAGGCACGTGCTCTTCTGCTCTGTTTGTGACACTACCTAAGTGGGAATGCGCCAAGACGCCTGGGAATGCGCCAAGACGCCCATCCCGCGGCTGCCCACAACAGTGCCAGTGGCGCGCAGTGTCACTTGCCAGGATACACATGAAGAAAAAAAAAGGTCCTCATCTTCATATTTTAAATTCCTGATTCTTTCCCACGTACACACGAAGGAAAACAAAGGTCCTCACCGTCTTCATATTTTGAATTCCTGATTCTTTCCCACGTACACACGAAGGAAAACAAAGGTCCTCACCGTCTTCATATTTTGAATTCCTGATTCTTTCCCACGTACACACGAAGGAAAACAAAGGTCCTCACCGTCTTCATATTTTAAATTCCTGATTCTTTCCCACCTTTCTCCTCTCATCCTCTCATTCTCTTCAGCGCAGCATCACCAATCTTATCTTCGTCATGGCGTCCCCCACGTCGTCGCATTCATCCAACGAAGCACCAAGTGTATTTTCACCTACAAACAAGCGAAAACGAGCCGAGAACTCCAGCTCCGAGGAGTATGTTCACGATGATGTTCTAGGCGACATTATCAAGGGTCGTATCCCTGGGACAGCCACCTACACCGATAAGGGTCTTGATATCGAGGCCTACCGAGTAGGAGGACCGGAACTCCCGATGCTGCCTATAAGATATCTCGAGACTCCCGAGGATAGTACTTATCTATTTGATGGTCACATTGCCGGAGATCTAGTTAAGATCTTGGAAGCACATTCTCTCTGGCCTGAGGACCCCGACTTTAGACTGGTCACGATGGTTAGTCAAGCACGACCGAACGCAGAACCTCATGCATATGCATTTATGGAGCTACAATGGAATGATGGCTGCCAGCCACAGTGGATCAAAGCTGCCGATGCGATGCGATCGAAGCTAGAAGAGCTAGGATACCCGTGGATCAAAGTGCTTCTAGCAGATAGGCGTGCCATGGTCACACCATTTAGCGAGGTAATCTCTACCGACGACCCTCTCCTCAAGACATGGCCCGTGGTCGCCAATAAGATTCTTGACGTTATCTCCTTGAAAACCAGTTGGATTACTCTGGACCTTTTGCGACGCGGGAAAGAGTGGGCCGGGGGAAAAGATGAGGAAAAGACCAAAGTGGTTCTTTTGATACGATACGACGCTCAAGACTTTGACGGCCCTACACTTCAGGAATGCAAAAGCGTCATCAGCGGCGATCCTCTCTACCAGCAGAGGGGCGTTGAACTCGAAGTCATACGAGGATTTTTAGTAGGAGGTACCAACAAACTATCCTATGGAGAGCCACCTGCACTGTCGCACGGAGATGATATTTTCAATGCAATCCCGTATATGGGCGCCAGTATCTGCCCCGACTCCTATGTCGGATCTGGTTCCTTCGGCTGCGTTGTTACACTGGGAGGCTCAGGCACGTACGGTCTAACCGCCTGCCATGTCGCTCTCCCGACATCCGACGGCGAGGTTTCCTACGCCGATCCCAAGGCACAGAGAAACATACCGGCTGAACTTATTGATTTTTTGCCTACTGGCGCTGCTCTCGGGACAATTCCTAGTGCGCCAGTGATCAAAATGCCATCCAGAAACGACCTTAAGGACCTGAAGAGATACTATCAGCAGAGAATAGATGAGGAAAAAGAAGCTAGCTTACGTCTCAATTACGTGGCGGAAGTACTAGCAACTGGAGATCCAGAATTGGAAAAGATACTTCCTCGGGGAGATCTCGCAACGTATAAGCAATTCGAGCGCTTTATAGAGCGCACTGAGAACTCCCTCTCGAAAGTTAATGGGCTTCTCGGAGAGATGGATACACCACGGTGTTCACTTGGACCTCTCCGATGTTTTTCCGGCTTTCGTAAGGACGAAGATACTGGAATGATCCTTAATTGGGCTCTCTTTCCAATCGACTCCCGAAAGATACCGAGCGAAAATAGAATCCCTGAGCACTCGAGAGCGGTTTTTCAAACCTGTTTGGTTGGGTATTCTCGTCCTCTGATCGGGTATACTCCCCCTATGACTGAGGAGCCTGTCTTCAAAATTGGAAGAACAACCGGGTTTACTAAAGGCAAGATTAACCCAGCTAAGTCATTCGTCAAAGTGCTCGAGGCACCATATACGAGAGTTTGGCCGGCGGAGCCCGGCACCGAGCACCAGCAAATTCCAGAACTCAGCAGAGCTTCTGCAGTATGTGTCGTTACGGCGGAAAAGGATAGAAAGTTTGCTGGCCCAGGGGATTCGGGAGCTGTCGTCTTTAATACGAGAGGAGAGATGAAAGGCCTCGTCGTGGCTGGAAATTCCGACCATACAGTGACCTATATGACACCCTCGAACGTGCTGGTGAATGACATCAAGAAGATGACTGGAGCGAAGGATGTTTTCTTTCCGACACCTGATGGCCCGATGGCCCGATGGCCCGTCGGCCCGACAATGTAACCGATGGCGATTCGGAATCCGATCAGAATGATATGGCATAACCGATAACGGGTGATTCGTTTCAGGGCTGGAAAGGAAGAGGACGGACACTGTCGAAGTGTCTTTGTATCGTATCGCGCACGTGAAGTCACTCAGTAATAGGAACAACAGTGAAATGTAACAGAAATTGTAACAGCATCAGATGATTGTGTGATTCAGACGAAGAAGTCTAGCTGCCTACCAACTCCCATGCAATGTAGGCATTATCTTCCAGTGAAGGCACTTTCAGAACCCTTTCCAGTACTGCAAATAGTACTATCATCATGCTCATTCTCCTTGCACTCTCATTGAACTGCCATCAAGTTACACAGTGAAGAACATGGAACGCCCATCGCTCGCTGGACACCGGCCAAATCGAATCCGAAGAGCCAGCTGTACATCCTTGCACTGGATGGTGACACGTTTGGCGTGGATAGCGCAGAGGTTTGTATCTAGCTCATTAGTATTGTAACAAACAATGTAACAATGAGAGAGGCATACCTTCAAGGACCCCAACGAGGAATGCCTCACAGGCTTCTTGAAGTGCCCCAATCGCTGAGGGCTGGAATCGAATGTCGTTAACCCTCTCCTGGGCTATATCTCTAACCAGGCGTTGAAAAGGACGCTTTGGAATGAGGAGGGATCCCCCCATTTGATATTTCTTGATTTCTCTAAGGGCGACAGCTATGATCATGGTCAGTGATAATGTAACAAGAGATGTAACAGTATAGGGACATACTTCCTGGCTTGGAGCGACGGATTTTCTTCTTCTTTTTTGGGAGGGTCTTTACAGTAGCGGGCTGCTTTCGACCTTGGGTTGCTCGATCCATGACTTCATCAGCAAGACCTTTGCCTTTGCCTTTGCCTTTGCCTTTGCCTTTAGCTGGGCCTGGTTTTTTGACCCGTGGCATGATTGCTGTCTGCTCCTGACGTTCTTGTGGTGACTTTGGTGATAAAGGACAACCGAGAGGCAAACCCTGAACAGATTGTTACATTGTCTGTTACATTAGGGGGAAGGAATGACTTACCCAGTTGTGGGAGGATGATAGAGAGTGTGTTGAGTTAGGAAGATGAAAGAGTCACGTGAAGAGTTGGAAATTCTGGCGGGTGAGGCAGAAATTTTGCCTTTCACTTCACTTTCACTTTCACTTTCACTTTTACTTCCATCTCACTTTCAGCTTTTGCCTTGACTAATCTTGATCCGCCTCTCTTCTCCTCCTCTATCTCTCTTTTCTCAATCTTGATCGGTTTAGTCTGTACACTGATACTCTGGGTTGTTACAAGGGCTGTAACAATTACCCATTCAGAAATCATCTCAGTTATCAGACATCTTGCAGATTTCAGTGAGTGAAAACCTGGAAAGGTGACTTACATGATATTCATCCTTCCCCCTGACTTCTATAGTCAGTACTGATATATCAGAGGTCTTGGACCTGTGTCTCTATCATCATGGATCCAAACAAATACGATGGTGACATTCATCAAGTGCCAATCCCAATGGACTTGGATACAGAGTAAGGCCCTTCTCTCCCTTTCACTCATTTGAATCTGGAAGGTACTTACTGATGTAACACCTGATGTAACAGTGACAACAGTCCCTCTGGCTTGACTGAAAAAAGTCCCTCTTCATTATCCACCAGGATTAAGACTGAGCCTATTGATAATGAGTCCATTATCAACGAGTCCTTCGGCGATGATTCATCCGTTGATATCGAAGGGTTCTCTCCTCCTTCAAAGAAAGTCAAGACTGAGCATGATGTTGATGATAATATGGCCATGGAACAAGCTGAAACTGGTCGTCGTCTCTCGGACCTACAGTAAGTCTATTATTGATTGTTACAATATCTGTTACTAACCATAGATAGGGAACTGTTCACCAAGCACAAGGGCGGCCGTAAGGTTGGTAGTGGTGCCGGCGAGAAGAGAAAGCAGGCTGGTCAGTATTCACAGAATAAAAATACTGTGAAAACCAATACACGCTTTGCCAAAATGAACGATGCTCAGAAAGAAGACTCCCGCGCCCATGCTGCTGATCGCGTGGCGAAGAGCCGGGCTCTCAAGAAGCTACGCCAATCAGAGGAGTACCAGCAGATGACCTCGGAAGAAAGAGGTATTGCAGAGCAACTCGTCGCAGCAGAGCTAAATGAGGCAAGGTAAGTAACAGTTATTGTAACAAACATCAGCCCATTAACCTATTCTTAGAGCACAAGCAGGCTACTCCAGGGAGTTTGTCCGCAGCAAATTGGTGGCTGAAAAAACTCTCTTGGAAGAGAAAATAGGTCGCCACGAAGAGTTTCTCGCGCTACATAGCGAGCTTGCGAGAGAAAACCCTGAGCATGCAATATTCTGGGAGGATATTGATAGTGAGGATGAGAATGCTCCCTTGGCCTCAGTCAAGGTGGGCTTTGTTGATGAGATCAAGGATGACACTGTCATTTTGGACCAGGCTGTTGAGATGGCATTTCTGGATGCAATCTCTCAGGATTTAGAGCCTGTGGAGTCGCTTACGGGTTCTCGAGAGCCCCTGGATGTGACTGCGGCGGCCCAGGCAGCTGAAACTCGACAAAGGTATGTGGATTTATCCTATCCTCGGTTGTTACAAAGACTGTTTCTAATCTCTTTTAGCCTCAACCCTAGCAAATTGTCTCACAGCTTCCAAATGTGGATCATGTTCAGAAATGCTCGTGTGCAACACTTGGCCGACCTGGAGAATAAGCTGAGGGAGCTCCACAAAATGGGTGGACTCTTTACCTACAGCTACGATATCAAAGCAATTACGGCTGCGATTGAGGCAGGACAGCTTACCCTCAAAGGTTCTAAGCTTGCGAAATATGACCAATGTCTGCCATTCATTGTCCAGGGCGAGCCCACTCTTGCTGCTGCTAAGCTCTACAGAGGTAAGTCTACCATTACTTGTTACAATAACTGTTACTAACTGTCACCGTAGACAAACGCCTTCATCCTGGGCGGTTTTTCAATGAATATGATCGCGGTCTCTTGAGATGCCTTTGGGGTGCCGACGAAGAAGAGTGGATTGAACTCCCTGGTCCTGCCGACTTCTGGCCTGATGATCCTACCTGGTACTCTGCCAATGGCTTTGAACCAAGAATCGACCAAAGCGCCAACTACAAACGGGCTTTGGCAGCTTTGGATAGTGACTTCGTCGAGGGGTGGGAAGACCATCTTTTTCATGAACATGCCCCGTACGACTTGGTGTGGAACAAATTCTTCGGGCTCTTTGGTGCCTGATCAAAGTCATCGTAACTACGCTCAAGACTGTTACTTTGATTGTTACATTTCTTTGAATTGGTACTGAGCCTTTGCTAGGTATCCGTCACTATGCCATCAGAGAATGGTTCTTCTCCAATCTACCAAGGACAATCACGTCGCCCAAGGAATAGCTATCTGCATTTTTCAGAAGCGTGGCCATCCGTTCACTATTGCCGGTAAAACGAGCTCATCTCACTTCCCCAATGTCCCAACGATCGCCGAGATCACCTCCATCATGCCGCAATCTTTGTCCCTGAGCACTCTGCCGCAGGGTTCTATCAAGAGGCAACGGTCCCAAGAGATGTGGTTGACCGGCTTCCAGTGGCCAAGCTAAACCTCAAGATTCCCACCTACCTAAGAAAACCGCGAAGCAGTAAGTAGTCTCCCTGAATATCCCGGCATCTAACCAGCAGGGCATTAAAGATTGCATTGGCATTCCAGCATTCGGAGTGGCAGCAGAGATAGATAGCACCTTCAGCATCCCTTGCAGAGCCCACACACGTCTCCGTCCGGGACGGCGACTCCTTGCCCGTCATCAGCCGCAATCGCTATGGTAATGTGCAACGCCAGGAATGATCGAGAGCTCAAGTGAGAAAGCCGATTGGAGGCTCCGACTGTGTCAACGCACCCCCCCATGACCGTCAGGAGTCGCCAGATGAATTTTTGAGCAACAACGCTCACCGTGCTCGTTAATTCCAGCCACTAATGCCTCAAGACTCTCCTCGGGCAGCCAAGCTGCGGACGGCGATGTCGTCTGACTGCTCGACTTACTTTTCTCGTTGCCCTGGCGCTGGCACAGACCGTTGCATGCACAAACACATGATCTGACCTTTAATCTTTCTCTCCTCTATATATCAAGATGTCAACCGCCCGACTGGGCTTGCGTTCCGGCTGCCAACTGGGTCTATCTCGCGTCTATTGACCATTTAAATCACAATTGCGAACCTCCTTGGATCGTCGTCCGGACTCCTTCGCCAACAGGAGGACAGGTCAGATCGGGCACCGAAGATTCCTTCCAGTGTCACAAGGTGCATTCGCAGCGCAATTCGTGCAGTGTGTCGCAGTGCAATCCACAAAGCCACCCTGTCATCAAGGCAGAGACTGCTGTGCATCCGTGTCCGATCAACAAAGTAGCCCTGGTGGATCTGCTGACAGTACCAACAAAGACGCCCTCCCGCCAAGGCAGTGACTGCTACGCATCCGTGTCCGACTAACAAAGCTCTGGTGAGGCTTTGTTTGCAGATATCGCAGTCCCATCAACAAAGACTCCCTGTCATCAAGGTAGGGACTGCTCATCCGTTTGCAGTCGAGAAAGCCCCGCTTGGGTGTATTTGCAGTGATTTGACAAAGGCTTCTTGGTGTATCATACATTTGAGGTGATTCCCACTCCACCGTTGTTATACGTGTGAAGTACTCGACCGGATACAACTTCCTCCGCACATAAAAGACGCCCGTCCACGCACTTGCTTGCTATCCTCACTATCTGATGTGACATATATGCCACAGACTTCACAGGATGAATTCACGCTCAAACAACGCGCTAAAGCCTGGCGCTCCTGGCCAGGTGCCCGGCTCGCTTTCCTCTTCTGATGGTAACACGTCCTACGCGCCGCAGCCATCATCACCACAACAGTCGAATCTTCAGCCACTACCCGCTCACTCTGATCAATTGCAGGAAGTGCTCAAACTCGCAGAAGACGTCGCCTCAGGTAGACTTCATCTCACGCCAGACGACGAACACATCAAATTCACCATTTCTCGAGAGTCGTGGTTGAAACTGCAAGAAGACTCCAACTTTGACCTGTGTATAGAACAGTACGTTACCCTAAGATCCTCGACTTCTCTTCTTCTGGCGGCGCGCTGACATCTCTTAGGAAATTATTTCGGGTTTTCTTCGATAGCTCGGTCTCTCTGATTACTCTTATACCTCTGAGAAGTCACAGACACCATGCCGTCCTTGGATTCCTTTCGCAACTCGCGTATAATACTAAATCAAACTTAACATCCACTCTCCGGGATAAGATATCGGTCAGTCAGGGTTCAACTATTAGGATGGTCACAGAAGACTACCCATCATCGGAAAAAATACCCGACTTATATATCGAATGGAGTAAGAGTATGAGCGATAGTAGAAATCATACGATTATCGAAGTGGACCAGACTCAATCTCTCCTAGAGCTCCGATATCTCGCTCCGTTCTATTTGAATAATGACGCTGATATTCAACGCGTTATTCTGATCAAAGTGACCGAAACGCCAATATTCAAATCTCCGGTATCGACCGAAGTCTCTCAGGAATTCCGAAGAGACGAGACAACCGGTGTAATTTGGTGCGGTACCGCCAAGGTGATTGGGGCAACGAAGATACTGTGGGAGGTGTGGGAACGGGATGCTGCTGGTGTCCCAGAGTCGATTTTTCAGGAGACTTTCGCGTTCGGAGAGACGCCATCAAGAAATCTTCCTTTCTTGAAAATCTCTAAAGGAACCTATGGCGATACAGCAATTCGGAGGGAGATAGATATTTCTATCAAACCGCAGAAGATGAAAGAATTCTGGACTAAATATTGGGTTGACGGGAGCTGGGAGGATGCGTACAAACGGGTGTATCCGTTAGGTATTCGGAGAGTGAAAGGAGCTGATATGTCGATCCAGCCGAGCCGAGTCGGGTCGGGTTCACTCTGCAAGCAGGCAGCGATCGTGATAGCTATCGCGGTAGCCATCATAGCCATAGCAGTAGCGGCCAGGAAATAAAAGCATCTCTCTCCTTCTCTCACACATACAGGCGCTCACGTAGTGATACGACTAACTGATCAAACTGGGATAGACAGAGCACAGCTCCGCACAGCTCCGCTCTGCCCCGGTTTTTGCGGGGACAAGTTGACAAGGGCGGACGGGCGGTATGATGCTACTGCTGCTGCCGCTGCTGCTGCTACTGATGATGATGATGCTGATGATGATGCTGATGCTGGTTGTCACCCGGGAAGCAGGGCTGTTACAATGACTGTTACAATGCGCTTCCCGGCCGACAACACCCCATGGGGCGAATGGCCCCCATCAGGCGCTTGGCCCCCATGGGGCCAACGGCCCCCAAGTGCCAAGGCGGCCCCCACGAGGCATACACAGGAAAGAGATAAATAGGACCTCTATTCTCGCACTGCTGGAGAAGCCCTCAACAGTGCGAGAAGTCGATGTCTCAAGGATAGCTTTATACAAATCAAGATATGTGTTCAACCCTCTGACTCTTCGTCTAACGATCCCACCCCAAAGCTCTCTGACAGACGCCTACTCCGCACTGTTCAACTTCTACCTAAAATCACCTGCGAAACAAGTTGAGGAATCGGCTTGAGATCGATATCTATGGCAGCACTGTTCGCACGGTTCTTCACGCCCATAATAGCAGGAAATGGATAGCAACAAGCGTCCGAGGTTAGCGAAAAAGCGTGCCCAGGTCAGATACGAATGGGCTTTTGCTCACAGAGACTGCATGCACCTAGGAAGAATACTACCGAGTTATCTGGCTGGCTAGACATTCGGAATGCTCAGTTCACCCGCGGTTCAAGCAATAGACGAGAACGGGTATTTTGAACGCTCCAGCAGATGTGGGATGGCGAGAAAAATAACGCGCCAAGGGATGGTCCAGGATATTCATGCAAGACAATGCGCCAATTCACAGAGCTAAAAAGGTCGTGCACGGAGTGGCTCAAAGAAACATCTTTCACTTGATCTTCACCTCGATCTCAGTGACACGACACGGCGCCACTGCCTCCTCGGCAACAAAGACATTACAATCCCACTGCCTGGCACCACGGCTTCGTCTTCTGGTGTTATCGTGTTATAAATACCTTCTCTTCCTGTCTCTCTGCACACTTTGCTCTTCCCAAACACAACACACGCTCCATCACAGCACATCACAACAACACATCACAGCAACGCTCCACAGCTCACAACAACATGTCGTTCTCCTCTCCCTTATCGCCAGCAGCCCGTAGCGACGGAGCTAACCGTCTTACACGCGAAGAATACAAGATCAAAGCACTTGACGGAACCGAGATATCTCTATGGAGAATTGCTACTCGTACCGCCGCCGCCACTGAGACTCCGAAGCCAGCCCTGATCCATATCTCTAGTGATCTTCGCTCGGTAATCCCCGAAGTCATGGGCCTGGGCCTCGACGCCATGAACCTCGATAGGCTCAACCGCGTCATCACCGATAGGCTCGGGCCAAAGCCATTGCACGACGCGGGGGTCGTCCTCTTGACAATCACACCCCGTCCTGAGCAGCCGTCGCCATTCTCGGGCCCGGTGGCGGACGCGTATACGGCCTACGAATATGCACTCACTCATGCCGACGACCTCCGCATCCAGCCTCACAAGATTGCCATGTCGGGTAACTACGCTAGCGGCCCGTTCGCGTGGTCGGCCACCCACATTGCCATCAAACTTGGCTTGCCTGCCCCGTGCGGTGTCATGGCCATCAACCCACTCTTTCATCCGGAGGCGAAATGGGAGACGAAAGTGGGAAATGAGACACAGTGGTTGACTCCCCTCGACGAACAGCGCGAGCGGGCTGTCCGCCACTGGCTGAAGACAAACTGGGATGTTGCCTTGCGCCGGATCGACTTCACCTTGTTTCCCGACATCGTTCGAAAGTACACGGAACTGTTACAGCTGCCACGCGAGGACCTTAGTCGACTACCCCCCATGTTCGTGGACGTCCAATTCCATTGGGACCGCCCGCGAGAGATGCTTCAGGCGCGCGAGATGTTGGCCGAAGCTGGCGTCGAAGTGTTTGGGTTTTACCATCCGCCGGTAGAGTTGGAGCAGGTTCTCCGGGGGAGCTGGTACAGAGTTCAGATCCACTCGGTGGAGGAGGAGAGATGGCAGGCCAAGCGCCGGTTCTTCGAGAGGATCTGGAAGAATTGACATGCTGCGAATAGGAAGGCGTGTGGTCAGCGAGTGAGATGACGGGGGTCATGACAGCGGAAGATGGAGAGAGAGAAGCGTGAGAGAGAAGCGGAAGAGAGAAGCGATAGAGAGGAGCGGTGAACTCAGGGCGGAGAGCCGACGGTGGACAGCAGACAAGGAGAACATGTGAGTGTAGCACAAGGGGATTACTTCCTCAGAAAGCATCAGATACCATAGAAAATGAGGCCAATCAGCCATAGAAACACCATTCATTCAAAACAGTATTACAGGGCAACTTCGTCAAAGAAGCCGCGGATATTTTTTTAACGTCACCTGCCATTACAAACAAAGACCTGGGCTAGTATCGATAGGAAAAAGATCAAGAATGTCGATATGAAGTCTTCGTTGACCAACATTGCTCTACACGAACAGCCCCCCACCGCCATGTTCCGCATGCTCATGGGCATGCACCACAGGTTGGTGCTCGGGAACGAAGGGTGCTCATGCCTGCTCAATACATATCGAGAGCCTCCACCTCAGGGAGCACCTGGCCCAGGCCAACCACCACAAGGGGCAATGAATGGCCTGTCCTCTCACTTCAGCTACATATGGTATGTAACTCGCAATGTTGCCGTCAGAACCTCCATATCCTCTGCACAGATCCTACAGGCTGTATGCCTGCCGTGGTGTCCCGCTACAGCCGTGAAGCCACGACTCCGCGAGGAAACAGGTCACGTCTTCTCCATTTAGCTGGTGGTTAGCAAACATGATATCGCAATTGTGACCAGATCTGGCCACTTGCAATCAAACTCTCTTCTTTCAGACAAAGAAATCCATCTCCCCATTTTCACATATATCCCATTGTTTTGACCCTCTTCCTGCTCCTTGTCTCTTCTTCTTATCGTCCAATGACTGTTACCGCTGGCGGCAGGAGCTTCCGAAAGAAAGTCATGCTCTCGTGGGCGGCGAAGACAGCTGGAAGGCATCCGTACGCGTTATGCGAGATCGCGGCATATCTCAACGCCCAGTCATGCGGCCAGTGCGTCGACAACTGCATCAGCACCTACCCGACCGTCAACCACTGCAACGGCACCGAGACGGGCGGTATGGGATTTGCGGCAGTGGAAGCCTCAGTCAGGAGCCTCAGCGGGCGCGCGCCCATCAAACCGAGCCCTGTCGCCGACTTTCATTTCCACAAGAAGCCGCCTCACCAAATGGAGCTCCACGCCAACAGCATCGCAATGGTACAATTGCCTCAGACTCAGGGTCGCCTCTCCGTGTGCACAAAAACGATTCCGTTCCGCCCAAGGCAAGCAACTTGTCATCACTTGTCCTCGGATCCATGGCAAGAAGTCCGCCTCCGACGGCTGCCCCCTGTGCATGCTGCTCTGGGCCGCCGCACCGCCCAAGGTCCATGCTTTTTGGGATGAGATCCTGCGTGACGACCGTCCGGCGCTCCTATGGCGGGCAGGAACAATGCCGGCAAATAGACCAAGGCGTCGATAGAAGCCTGGAGATGTTGTCAGCGGCCTTGGATCGCATTTGGCTGGGCGAGATACTCGGCCGTCGACGATGACATTGTTGATGTTGAGCGCACCAGCTGGCAGGGGAAACCCGAAGGACGGAAGATCGAACACGAAAGCAACGGTGAAGACGAATCTTTCACCCCCAACCTGATCCTACGAGGACCTCGCTCACGACCTCAACCTTTGCGAGGTTCCCCAGAACACCAGCGATCTCGTCAGCATTTACCAGGGCCAGATCCTCAACGTGTACAGCAACGACTGTCTACACCGGGACCAATACAGCAAGGGTGTAGCAGAGAAGACAGCCGTTGGCATCGGACACCATCCGTGCCCAAGCGGCGGGTCGAACGAGGAAGAAGGAGCGCAGAGCAGTATTGAATCTGGCTTGGGCATTCTACCGAAGCTTCCCACGACGAGATTGAGGAGGTGTATCGACAGGCAGCGGAGCTGGCCATTACACGCATGAATTTCAAAGAAGTTTCGTCGAAGCTTGAAGCGAGTATGGTCTGGCATGTGACTGGGCCAGTTGAGTCGAGGAGACAGAGTGTCCAGTGTCCGAAGGGTGTCCTCCACACCGGATTGATACTCCACTCGAGCCTTGTACCGATCGTCTTCTTCCCTCTTGCCCTCAACGCCCTTCACCCATTTGCCATCGATGTACAAGCCCAGGGGTTGCTATGGACGAGAGGCTCAACGCTGTTATTGAGGCCAAAGGCTGGTATACGCGATTTCGATCTGGAGGACCTGGTATTTACGTAGTACAGCATCTGGGCTATTAAATGAGCTACAGCATAATTATTTATCATACGCATTGAGTGAGGAATCAATACATTAGGGATGGTGGTGTAGGATTTTTGGTGGTTGCCAAGTCTAAGTAAGGTGGTCTGTGACTTTTTGAAGCCTACTCTATATCCACCGAGGAGGGCGAACGGCACGGTTCGAGTACGATGGCCGAGCGGTGGTATTCCTCGACCCCAGTGAGAAGAAGGCATGCTGGATGCTCTAGCGAGAAAGAAGGTCGGCCTGGAGAATTGAATTGATAACCAACGTCTTGACGCGGGAGCAGCACGCATAGTCGAAGACGAAATCCTCCCGGCGTATCTTGCCCTGCTCCAACAAGATCTCGGACCGGCTTGGACATATGCGCCTTGTTGTCTGCGTTGCTACTCTCAGGTCTCTGCGGAACACACAATCCTGCACATCTCACTCGATGGGAAGGGAGTATGTAAGATGAAGCCGATCTTGACATTGGACATGGCGGACCCAATCAACACTGTTGCATCAGGTGGTAGTCATGGACCCTGACAAGATCACCATCCTCGACTTCTCTAGCAATAGCCCGGGCAAAGAGGCGATTAACCTCGATACCAGCATTCCACGCTGGCTCGTCGAACGTGATTTCCCCGGGGTGGTCGTGAAATAGCGGCCACATAATCCTGCTGAGCGAAGCGAAGCCAGTATAAAATCCGATGGGCAGCTTTGTGAAACGTTACGTGCCACCTGACCTTTGACTAATAAGGTGGGAAAAAGCGCCTTCGTCCAACAGCGACGGTTATGAACGACAGAGTGTTATCCTTATCTACTATAGTGCCTGAATCTATCATTAATTGATGAGGGGGTGCTGAGGGTTGTCAACAATTTGACAACCCTCAGCACCCCCTCATCAATTATTATTGCCTGAGGGACCGTGTGGTTTGTATAGGCGCCTGCGGGCCGGCTGAGCTACGCACACGAGGCGAGGGTTCGAATCCAGGTGGTAACGACTTTATGTTCTTTGAGCTGAGATGTATGAGGGCCAAGGCTGGGCGTCAAGAGATAATTGTTATGAATGATAGAGTGTTTAGAATCTATCAGTAATTGTTATAATTCTCTATCTTTTTGCCTTTGGTAGGGAATTGAGGCACTATTGCTGACATTCTGCTTCTGCCTCTACCCAGTACCCAGTACCCAGTGCCCGTCTTTTTTCCACCTTCAGTCTTTCCCCACGCTTAGCAGGTCGCCTTAGGGAGTCACGCGGTGGAAACGCCGCCCTACAGCGGACGTGGTACGGTAAAAAGGGCTTTTCTTGCAAAAAGGCAACGTTCCAAGTTTACTCGTGGCGGTTCAACGACTGGGACTCCCAACGAGATGGTTTCCCTACCTATGCTCGCGGGCTCTTTGCTGTCCTGATACCTTTTGTCATCGCTCTCATGCCCCCAGTCACGGCCAGTGCTCATGACAGAAACGTCAAAGTTTCCACCGAAGCTCACGAGGCTTGCAATTCCCGTGCCCATTTCGAGCAATGGGACGCCTTGAATGTGTTCGCACCTGGCCTCCTCCTGTTCGTCCCGGAGCACGTCACCTCTCAAACAATCCCAGACTCCTCCAATGAAGCAGTGGGAGGTTGATCACTGTCCAGGTCCACCTCGAGTTTTTGAACGGAGATCTAAACTCTTGCATGTGCTCAGACACCACCGACAGTATGCCAGTTTCACTTACGTATGTGCTCGTGATGGTGGTCTTCTGAAAGCGCACAGCTTTCAAAACCATTCGGAGATCCATCAAGTAGATGCACGTCTGCTGGAGTCTGCCGCTTGAGTTTCACCTGCTTGACGGTTCCGCGGCTGCTGAAATACTGCTGGATCTTGGTTTCGCTGATATGAGGTGGGATGCTCTGCAAAATCACGCTGGCGTGTTCACGGTCGCGTTTCAGGTCCCTCTCCCCAATGCAATTGTCACCTCGATCACCCACGCACCGTCATTTGCACGGATAGGACCAAGTGGGTGGCGGCAAAATTGGTATGTGTACTGTTTCTTATTCTTTGACAATCCTGCGAACCAGGCTCTGTGACGGTGCCCAGGACGACGGTCGTGCTGTCGGATGGCGGAGAGAGAGATGCTGGCCTCGCATGGATACTCTTGAGTGGTCCTCCCACATAGAAACCAGGAACTCGACGGCGTCACGGACAGCTAAAGATCTCGCACGAAGCAACTCCACTAGAGTCGGCGGAACAAGCGACTATACCCCAGGATCTTGCAGGAATCTGGCACGACCAGCTCCAGAGAAGCAAGGCGTGACATCAGACTATCACTGGCTCCGTCTGCCCTCACTGCAGATGGTGCAATCTTTGTTCCAGCCCCGGGATTGTCTGTGGCATCTGCACGTCCACATCCAGCTCTGCTATGAAGCCGCGCTGGAGTTCAACAGAGATGCGTTACGGGGTGGTAGCCTTCAGAGGTTGCTTGGTGGAAGTTGCAGCCTTGGCGAAGAACTGTAGGACCGGATTTGCAGTGAAGCCCTTCTGACTACCTTCGAGCAGAGTAGGGGAGGCGAACCGGGACAAACTTCTGAGTGTGGCCGTCCACACGTCCGAAGTTTCCCTCGACGTTGTTGGGTATTTTCCACCATCTGGCGAGGACAGTGGAGTCGTCTGCTTTCTTCTTCGCCTCCTCTTTCTCCCTCCGCTCCGGCGTGACGTGCTTGACATTCTTGACTGCAGGAGGGGGCTTCACCTTGCCAGGAGGCTCCTATGACTGGGCCTTCTATTGTGGTGAGGAGAACGTGTCCGTCGGTTGCCCAGACGAAACCTGGCAGAGACTGGACGACAGGGCTGCGGCCTTCGGGGTCAGTATCGAGGGGGTTTGTTCTCCAGGAGCACGCCACCGCAGCACGCCGGTGCCAGGATGTGTGTTGTCGTACGACTGAGAAACGAGTATGAAGGGCACTGGAGCCTGGAGCGTTTTCTCTGGTTGATGCAGACATACTGTCTGTGTCACAGTATGCGTCTACTCGTGTGGAATGACCTTCCTTTCCGCTCCGTCCGCGGACGGCAAGTCTTCCTCGCAAGTAGTGTTAGAGCTGCTGGAGAAAATATCGGAGCATGCTCCCGGTGTGGTGTATTGGATGGAACTGACGCACAAGAAGGAAATGCCGGACAAATGCAGGGCCTGAGGGGAGAGGCTAACCAAGGGAGCTCTGAGAGAATATACAGCACCCTTCAAAAGTCACCGACCACCTGTCCCATGACACCCACCACTGAAACAACCTCCCCAACACACTTAACTATCAATTACTCTACCAATAATCATGAACTTGAGATCCAATTTGTGTGTCGTTGTGCCTGGTCGCCGTTTCTCAGTACGGCACAACCGAGTTGAGCTGAGGGTGACGGTGTGACGGAGACGGCTGGTGATGGGGATGGGAATTCTTCTTAATCTCGTATGGGTGAGCGGGCAGGGTGCACTTGACTTTCAGTGCCTAAATTGGGGCCTGGAGTGCGCCTGGAGGGGGGAGTGGATAGGGCTTCCCCAGCCTAGACGGATCTCGATTTAGGGCGTAGAGAGCGCCTACGGGGGGGAGTGGATAGGGCTTCGCCAGCCTGGACAGACCCTTAACTTCAGTATCCTTCAAAAAGTCGCCGACCACCAGTCCCATGGCAACCAGCATCGAAACACCTCTCCGCCACATTTAACCATTAATTACTCAACCAATAATTATGCATTTGAGTTCTGGTTTGTTTGTGATTATGCCTGAGCGTCGTGCGCACATAGATTTCGAGTGAAGAATAATTTATGGCCTTTGTAGCTGGCAGGGTCGAGGAAAATACTGCAATTTTTGAATATTCCCAAAGTCCCAAAAAGTATAGTTTGTGATGTGACACAAAAACTTCGGCCGGATGAGGACGCTGGAGCGGGAGCGGGACGACCTCCAATCCCCACCAAAGCACCCCAAAGACACATACTGCGTACTACTGAACTTTCACCAAAATCACCGACGACCAGATCAGGGATCGGCTTCACATCGTTGTCTGTGACAATACTATTCGTACAATTCTTCACATCCATACCATCAAGAAATGGATGGCTAAAAAGCGTCCTCGATTGACGGATAAGCATGCTAAAGCAAGGTACGAATGGGCTTTGGCTCAGGATACCTTAATCATGATTTGAGTAGTAATCTGGGGGGACGAAGTATCTGATGCGTACCTTTTATCGCGAGATTGGGAGTCCGCAAAAATGGGATATTCCGCCAATTCCAATATTCAGGTGCTTCAGGATAATATTCCTGCATGCTAGGAGCCTGGCAGGATATCCATGTAAGAAAATGCGCCAATTCACAAAGCCCAAAAAGGTCACGGAGTGGTTCAGAGATCATGGAATAGTGTTTGTTGATGGAACAGCCGCCATTTTCGCCAGTTGTGAACCCGATTGAGAACCGCTCTTTCGCAGCTCAAATGTCTCGTTAACGCGATCAATACAGATCTTCAACACACTACAGGACAGTCTCAGGACCTCAGGTCCTCGATCGATTTGCAAGCGCCGTTAAAAAGGCCTGGGCTTGTATCGATAGGAAAAAGATCAAGAATGCCGTGAAGCGTATGGACGAGAGAGTCAACGCTGTTGGTGGCTGCCGAGACTGAGGTGGTCGGTGGCTTTTTGAAGGGTGTACAATTGTAACATTGACCACTGCGTGGTGGTACTGGAGGCACGGAAATATTCCGCGGGTGACGCTCGGGAGTAAGACCGTATTATAGTTTTCGATGCCAACCTTATACGAACCGCCTCATGTGCAACAACAGATGTAGCTAGCTATGGTCGAAGCATCCTCGTCTCCCATTTTACGCAGAACCAGGGGCTCGTCTTCGTTCACGACAGGCAGTGCAGACCGCCTACTGTCCGCTACGGTCCCTGGAGACCACATCTTTTCTGGTACCACATTGGACGTCGTCTCTCTCGGGAGGACTATCTGAACTTCAGGTTGGGATCAAAGATCATCCATTGATCGGTATAGAGTATACAGCATCTGCATTATAGTGGCTTTGTCCAGCGCATCGGCCTTGTACCATGGTATCTTGTGTATAATGTTTCTCGAATGGTATTCTGATGTCGTCGAACCGGGCCCGTCGTCGGTGTTGTTGCACCATGTGGCCTTCACCCTGAACCTGGTTTTCCGTAGCCTTGCTGAGCCGCTTCCTAGCAGTTCCGTCCACATCACTTTTTTTCACCGGACGTGCTACTGGATCTAGGTCGCCTGGAGCTGCTTGCGGAGCTGGGCCTCTGTATTGTCTCAAAAGGGCTCTAGTTTGGTTCGTCCAGAGCTTTCACTTCCTCCGTGACCGTGTCTGCTCCTGTACTTGTTACAGATGTGCGTGACCCCTACGAGCCTTCTGTTGAGTTTTGCCAAAAGCGGGAAACCGACGACGTAACAGACCTGGAAGACCCCGCCTCGAGGTCGTCACAAGACGGGTTCTCAGTGGACTGGAAAGTGTGCTCTTCCTGCGTGTCGTCGTCCTCGTCTGAAGCATACGGGACCGTAGCACTGTGCACAGACTCTCGAAACTGGACTCCCTCAGAAGTCCGCTCTGTCACTCGACTAAGTACAGCACTGAATGCTCTGTCTGGGTACACTATATGTTCTCTCCAGCAGACTTTTCGCCAATGGTACTAGTGGTAGTACATGCATGTCATTGCGTGGTAGGCTGGTGATGAACTGGAAAAGTACTGCATCTCCGCCAGAAACGTGTTCCATTCTGTCTTGCCCTCGAGGTACGAAGGCCTAAAGTAGTATCTCATTCTATCCATAACCTCAGGAACGTAGTCGCACGTGCTCCATCCCAGTATTCCTACAAGCCTTCCATCGCTCACCACAATAGAGGGCCTAGAGGAGATCAAACGTGATCATACCACTTTCCTGCATGAGATAAAAATCCTTCGTTGTTTCAGCAAAATCTTTGTCCAGGTATTTGACCATCACGCGGAGATGTTTAGCTTTGTCGTCGGAGCTTTGGCCTCCTTACGCTTCTTTGCCCCCGTGTCGTCCTCGAGCGTCCTAGTATACTCTCTCATCTCTTCCAGATACAGGAAGAGTATGTTAGATTAAGATGAGGAGTATTGTTAGGATCAAGACGAGGAGTGTCTTTCACGAGACTGATGCCCTTGACGCCGGACATGACGTGTTAAAGGTATTCCTTGAGAGGTTCGGATTTGATATCGACGACGGTGGTCAGATATTTGTGCTCCCAGTCAAACCGACGATGAACAGTAAAGATGTATTAGTCCCAGATAGCCTTGCCAGTACTTTGAACCGTCTTGGTGAGCTTGAAGTTGTGGATAGACTGGTCCTACAGTTAGTCCACTCGTTTATAGGCCACTTTGGAGGCGCGCTTCGGCTTCTTGTGCTTCTCCGGCTTAACTTCCTCGAGGTCTTGAAGGAATTGATCATCGAGGACGACGGCTCTACGCCAGCTTCGTCGAGGTTGGCCATAGGTCTCGATCGGCAGCATGTGCTCCGGATTGATTTGACCTCTCGGCATGCTAAAGATGGTAAAGGGAGGAGGAAGCGTGTTGGGGTCGAAGTCGGCTGGCGCAAGTATCCGCCATACGTCTCGTTGTGGAGCTCATGAACGGCGTTATGTTGTTCTCGAGATATACCATCTTTTAACTTCGCACGGTCCTGCTCCTAAGGATATCCGCCTCCCGTTCGAAACAACCTACCACCTGGAACTACCCCAAACGCATCACTTCCTACATCCGTGGGGCAGTAAAACAGTCCATGCGAGTTGTATCTCCTCTTGACGGCTAAGAGCCTGGAATAATAGCGTCTGCCGTAGAAATCTACCTTCCAGTCCGGGTCGAATCTGACCCTTTCGTTCATGTACGCACCCGTGTTAGGAGCCAGTTTCTTCATGGCCGAGACCTGGACGTACGTGATGTCGTGTTGCTTTTCGTCGAGCACTGATTGCGGAGTGTCGACCGACGACACCCGGGCCACGATATTGTTCAAGTAAGAGATACGCCAGGCCGGAGTGACGCCGGGCAATGGGTAGAATGCGTCTCGAAACACCTGCCCGCCGCTGGCAAGCTCAAGGTTATTCATCGTGAACTGCTCGGGCGTGCCGGCAATGGTTGGGATCATGGTACGCAGGACGCTGAAGTTCTGCGTCACCGAGGCGCGGCCGAACAAGCGGTTTCCAGCACCATACGCGGGTTATGAACAGGTGGTTCAACGCCGGACTCGGCGTGGTAGTATGTCCAGTAGTCCGGATAGGAAGCGTAAGTTTCGGAGACGAAGATGCTGGTCAAGTTGTATTGAGCCAGTCTTGCTCGGGCCGCGTCAAAGCGGACTTCTGTGGTAATAGGTATCCCTTTATATATAATAGTGACAAGATTCAAAGTATGAGAGAAGGATGCTTGTCGACTTCCTTACTCTGTTTGGATAAAAGGCCTGGCATATGCACAAGCACAAGACTGGGAGCCAGAGGGAATAGCAGTTGTCATTCTGGATAAGCACTGCTCCAGCTTCGGCGAGCCCTCGGTCAAGGGCCGCCTGCTTTTCTGTCCAGTGCATTCGTGCGCCATGTTCCGCAATTGAGTAGAGCAACTTTTTCTTTGCTGCCGGGGCGTACGAGACAAGATATTTTCAGAACAAGTCCCCATACCCACAGACGTATCCATCGTATTTCTATGACAAAGGTGGCCCCAGATGCCTTGCGGATTGCCGTATCAGGCTGCCGAAGTTCATCCTATGTATTTTCTCATACGGCGGAGAAGCATGAGCTCAGGTCACACCTTTGATTGATCGTCCTCTTGGTGCAAAAGCCACCGTATTGACCGTGAGGACCTTCTTGTGCCAAAGCTCCCGAGTTGAACGAGAAGACCTCAGTTCTGCTCACTTCCCAAGAGTCAACATAGCCGACCTGGAGACAGATTCCTGCTCGGAACTTGAGATGGACGGACCATGATGGCTCTGGTTCCGAATGGCCAGACGGAATGCTCCGATGGCGGCCGGGGAACCATCTCTATCATTCACATCGTTGCTCTTGACCGCACACTGATACACGGTCCGCGCGCCGTCACATGTAAGGTTTGATGCTCAACCATGCTGATGAAGAGTGAAAGACAATTCTTTCAACCAGTAGCAACGTTTCCTGCGCCTGAGCTCACTGTTGAGGCAGAACGAGCTCGCGATAATGCTCCGACTGCAGGATTTGATGCGTAATAAACGAAATGTGGCGCGGCAATACAGCCCCCACGGCCTGAGCGAAACGTTCGAACTTCCGCCTTTTGATGAGCAAGTGATTGGTACAAATATCGCATCGGCCAGAAGGGGTGGAGCAGGGAAGAGGCACACCAGAACAAATCTGACGAGGTCGAATTTTTCGAGCTGAGCCAGGCTCCGAGCACGTCAAAGAGAAATCCTCTTTCTCTCAAGCCGTTTGGCGCCGGGGTGGCCACTTCGACGCTGGGCTGGGATGAAATATACACTCGTTGATAGTCCCTTGGGTACAAGGATAGAGGCGCCATCAAGTCACCACGCTTGGAATACCTCTCCACTTGATCATGAACGATGACTTGGTGTGCCGTTTGCGCTAGTATCATTTTGCAATGTCCTTCGGCCGCTCGTGTCTTGGACTCCGACTGCACCGAGATAGTGTCCAGATGTGTAAAGGTATTAATCAGATTGTATCTTGTCATCAGAGAGACTGGGCTTCGATTTGTCAATGTTGCACAACTGGAATGCGTTAGAACCAACAATGCAGCCGTTTCCGTCATGGTTCCCGAAACGTCGTTGGCTCCTCCGTGAACCTATTGGTGGCACTCTCCTCGGCGTCGCTGCTGGCGTCGCGCTGGACTTTCTGGGATAAAACCTTTGAGAGCTCGTCGGACGAGATAACCAGTGCACGTGACTCGCAGGTCTGGGGGAGCGTCGTGCTGCATCTGCTTTTTTCAGTGTGACACCTTGGATCCCACATTGAGCGGTGTGGGCAGGTCACTTTAACTTGAACACAGCAGCAGGCATCTTTGTACAAGACTGTGAGGACTCAAACACGCCGGTACCGGAGAGTAAGGGACACAGGGCGCTCACTCGGATTTGGTCTTTGCCCTCCAGCATCCCCTTTTTCAGCATCGATCTAGGAGACTGATCCGACCGCTGTACCTCGGGTTGCCCACTCACTGGTACTTTAAGGACAACATCAGTCTCGTCTCCGTCACCAGAAGAAGGCTTTGCCTAAACATGGACAGAAGCCACTGCACCAAGAGAAGGGCCAAAGCAGTTTCTCCCCCGATGCGATTTCTGGTTGCGTCCACACGCGACCGCAATGAATTGAGCAAAACCCCATAGTTTGCGACCCCTGAATCCGCTCGAGGTTTCGAACAACGTCGGATGGCCGAGTTCTTGGTCTTCAAGGTTGAAACGAGATTGACGACGTATTGGAATACTGCCAGAATGCCACTGTGATGCGGATGGAACATGCAATATGCTCGGGGGAAATCAGGCGTTCTGTGCAACGTCCTCTGTTTTTGCTTGTTACATGACGGAGGAACGTGCAAAGCTGCGAGAGGAAGAGGACAAGTTGGAAGTCGCAGTCGCGGCGGCGAACCTGGAGATCAAGATGTACCCGCTCGACAACTGGACGCCGGACAACTGGTTCGTCGCGGTCCTGGGGCTGCCGGCTCCGATCCGTTGGTGAGGGCGAGAGTGGGCAGAGTCGACGGTATATTGAGAACTGCAGAGAACGCATCGTGTCCATGTTCTTCTCTGCTCCATGGATACTGGGAGGGAGGGAGGGAGGGCAATGCATTCGGCCCTCAAAACACCCAGTCCGTCAGTCAATCCACTCAATCAATCACTCAAACCATCGTCTTAAGCATCCTCCATCCTTGCTCCGCTTTCTCAGTCGCCCAGGGCTTGAGTGTAGCCACTCCCACCGCCATCGCGCCAGCGGCCGGGATGTGCACGGGAGCTGAGTATTCGACGACTCGAAGTAAGAGCTCCGGTACTTGATACCATCTGATGGAGACGTATGTGGTGTAGGGCAGCTTAGAGTGGGGGTCTCGAGTCCAGCCGAAGGGACCTCGAGGAGCTGCCGGTGGCGCAACACAGGTGATCAACGCTGCTTTAGGCTGAGATCCGGCGGGTCAAGCAGGTGGCTTGAATGGTTTCAGGTCAACTGCACAGTTCTCTCGACAAATGGCCACGGGCGAAGGAAGGCCGCCGATGTACACATCAGGAGGATCCTTTGTTTCCACCTTGAATGGTCCTGCGAAGGGGCTTCTGGTGGAGAGATGAGCCGTCCGCGGTCTGTAGTCTGTTCTCCTTAAGATCTGCTGGATGAGAGATACGAGTAAGAGTCGGATTTTCGATTTCCCAGTGCAAAATCCGGTCTCTTTTAGCTTCGTTATCCCTCATTCCAGTCCCTGGAGTAGGCAATCTGGCTCCAGGCTTGGGTGAAGCAGGATGTACTGGATCCACAGGGCAAAAAGCATCGGCGAATTTGACCGCAAGCTTGATCTCGAGCTGGTTCTCGGCAGTGTAAGAAACGAAGATGTACGTCGGTTTAACACCTCCTCCATGCTCGTCGAGATAGCCTCGGGGATCATCATCCGTCATGCGATCCAGGGAGCGTAACAGACATGGTCGGGGCCACCTATCGGAGAGTCTGAAGTCGTTTATGGTGCCAAAGGTTCCAGGTTTGGGTATCTAGCCTTTGTTCGCACGGAAATTCCGTGCGGACAGAGGATAAGATCAATACCGGTAAGGCATAGAGTTGTAGTAACCGTGGTTATAGATACGGCCTTCGACGTCGGTTGGGGAGATCATCAATAATAGTAGGTCAAGGCAGGAAGGTAGCCAGTAAAGGCTAAAATGAAGCCACTCTTCTTGTTTCCATGCGCCAATCCCAGTAGAAGATGATTCACGAAGGCCGCAATCCGCTGAGAGTTCCGCGTTCGTATCAGGTATATGCGAGGAGGCCAGTAGGCTAGACGGATGAGCCATGGACGAACATTTTTGATGTAAGTTCGCCGCCAGGTCGTGTCGTTATACATGTCATAGATCTCGTTGATTGTCGGGACGAATGGCTTCTCCACTCTCCCGTCGATAGGATCTAGGTATAGATGATCATTCAAACCGGCATGCTTGCGACGAAAGACATCCTGTGCCTGTAAGTATAGATCCACCCACCATTCCCGGATCTGTAGTAGTGCCCAGGCAGTTGGTAGGAATGGGGAGCCGTCCAAATGAACCAAGCGCGCTCGTGACAAAACTTTGGGTCAAGCCGGTGGAGGATTCGCTTCAAGTGCAAGTTCTTGGAAAATCGATTGAGTAACGAATCAGCGTCAAAGCTATATGGGTTGTCGTTTGGCACTTTGACATCGTGAACTCCGTAGCGGTCTGCATTGAGTTTTTGCCGGGCAGTGAGAAGATTTTGCCGAAGAGCACGAAGCGGCCTTTGTATCCACTGTCACTGTTATTGAGGCGAGTGACATTGAAGGTGGGCCAACTGTCCCCAACGGAGATGTAGCTGGGTGATGGCGAAAACGGATGAAAGGCGCTGCATGTCACCTTGAATGGTCTTGGGATAGTAGCGACTGTCTGAGCCTCTCTTATGCGTCGCTCTGCTGCGCTAGGAGACAGTCTTGGGCATCTCTCGGGAAGGAGAAGCTTTTGGAATTAATAGGAGCTAGGATGGCTCTGCTGGCGTTGGACAGAAAAGGTGGAATCAGCTTCGCAGTCAAAGTCAAGCTGGGCATAGGTCTCTGACTGCCCGCAATGTCCGCGACCATGAAAATTGACGTGGTGAAGTTGAACTTGGGATGGGTGAGCAACCACCATTGGTAAACAGGAACGGGCAGCCGCAGCCGAGGGTTGTCGGTGAAGAGCTGTCTTGAGTCTTGACGGCATTCCTTTTCTCCCAAAATTGCACAGCGGTTTTGTGTGCGCGTTTGAGTTGTGACTCGAAGAGGGTTGGTGGCTCAGCATTATCTGCTTGGTGCTTCTTGAGACGAGGTGCTTGGTAGCGTTCTTATCGATGATTTCGTAGGCTTGGTCCCGGATAATAGGTGTGAAGAGGAGTGATGATATTGTTCAGGTAGGCGCGTTTATATTGTAGCTCCAAGAGAATTAGTGGCTCAGCATTATCTGCTTGGTGCTCTTGAGATGAGATGTTTGGTTGCGTTCTTGTCGATGATCTCGTAGGCTTGCCCGGATATAGATGTAAAGAGGAGTGATGACATTGTTCAGGGAGGCGTGTTTAGGTTGTGGCTCCAAGAGAGTCAGTGGCTTAGCATGATCTGCTTGGTGCTTCTTGAGACGAGGCGCTTGGTTGCGTTCTTGTCGATGATCTCGTAGGCTTGGTCCCGGATAACAGGTGTAGAGAGGAGTGATGATATTTTTCAGGTAGGTGACCTCGTAGGCTTGGTCCCGGATAATAGGTGTAGAGAGGAGTGATGATATTGTTCAGGTAGGTGAACTCATCGACTGGCTCCACACGACCTCGTGGAACCGCCAGTACACTGAGCTTCTTAACTGAGCACATATCGGATCAAGGGAACTCAGGACGCGGTCTATCTCCCCTCCTGGAAAAGTTTTTCTCAAGGTTGACCTCGGATCAGGGAGGAGTACGCGTAATAAGCGCAGGAAAAGAAACCAACGGGGTTGCCTCAGTAAAGGCGAGTGAAGGAGCGACCTGGCAACGGCTCGAACTCGTCTGGAAGGCAGGGTCTGCAACGTTGGCCTGCGGAGTACCATGAAGTCTCTTGTTGTTGATGCCGGAGTTGGCCGGACAGGCACTTGGATAGCACAGGACTTCCTCCTACAAGAGCTCGAAGCAGATCGACTGGTCGAATCCTCGCCTAGCCCAACCACGAGCTCCAACGGCTTAGGAAGCCTGCATTATCAACTTTCTCTTTCTCAACCTGCATACTTCACTTGCTGCCGGTGCTCTCTCCTGTTGAACCGCATCCCAGCCATCGGTGCCAGAGCACCTCGGGAAAGCTCGAGTTCCTCTGATGATAAAACGATGCCTGGCGCAGCTGTAGCTATTTTGTGACAAAGTTGAGCATGGTCTCGACGGGCCAGGGACCGAGGTTGAGGGGGTACCAGATGAAGGGATGGCGATGGGACATCCTTGGCGACAGAACCGGGTCAACTGCAACACCCAATCCAAGATAGGCGTTGGGAGGCTCACGACTTGAGTAGAGACTTGCACGATCTAAGCTTCCGAAGCTTTGCAGGGCGCTCGTGCCCAATTTCGAAGACGTGGGAGCCTTTGGTGACATCTTCGAGCCATTACGGCGAGACGATCCCTCGCTGAACACTGTATACGACTTGAACATTGTTGGATGGTTGGGCGTGACTGGTCAACGTGCGGCGTTGTGAACAAAAGAGGGCGCCTTCCCGAGTGACCACCAGCTCTTGGCCCACTGGCCCTGGTTCTTCTTCTTCATGCTTCGTTCATTTGATCTTGCTTGCCTGCTTCCTTCTGTTGAGCGATGTGATGAACACGGCGCACTCTGGTGGATGAGGAGCATGGCATGGACTGTAGGCATGGTGGTCTCCGGGAGATGATCAGAAACGGAACGTGGAGACGCGTCGACGAGGACTGTGACGTCTGCGGCAAGGAAGGAGCAGGATCGTGCATTGGCGTAGGGTCTCTCACAGAGGACTGGCGGACAGATCTGTAACGCAGGAATTTATGAGTCTGCACCGACTGCGTCGAGGGGGGCTGAGCGTCGTCGTTCATCATGTTCGAGTTATCGCAGGACAATCATGAGGTAGGTGTGTCGTATACGTCACGCGTTTAGATCACAATGACGAGGGAGGGGCTCGGGGCCTCCTGCTGCCGCTTGCGAAATGCGAACGTGGCTTGGGCTGCTGGACGATTAGAAAGAATGGGAATTAGGCGTGTGAGCGATTAACGACGATCGGTCTGGAGTTCGTGAGGAGCTAAGGCGATACGATACACGTTTGAAGGACATCATGTGTACCGGTATCATTTGAGTCTTACAGTAGGAGAATCATTCGCCCGTGACTGAAGCGGGTGTCGAGGATATCCAGGCCTCGTCTCCAGATAGAACTCCTCCCCCGAGTCGTCTTCTTCCTCCTCCTCCTCCTGTTTTTCTTCTGGGAGTTCGGCGTCGGCCGTAGCGGCGTACGACTCGGATTCGTCGTCGTTGTCCTCATCTTCATCTTCATCTTCGTCTGTGTCTTCGTCGTAGAGACAAAGGCAGGAAAGTATCGCCGTCCGAAACAGAAAGCGATCGATGCGCCTGACAAAGAGTGCCAGACTGCAGCGGATTGTCTCACCGTGGATACGTCCTGCGAAGCGGGTTGCACAATCTCTTTGCCTCATCCATCAAGATGATGAAGAAAAGGCATCACCTCGGTGCATGATGCACCACCGCGCCTCTGTTGATGCCTGCAACAGACGCCGCCAGAGGCGTTGTTGACTGCGCTGCGACGCACAGCATGCTCTGCCTGGGTCACAGGGCTGCACGTGGACACCACCAGGCTTGCTTCACAGTCGACTGTGAGACGTGAACCCAACACGTTGGGGATGCCCTCAAGGCGCGGCAAAGCAAGTCAGGTCTCCAAAAAGGTCCACTGGTGTTGGGGGCGGTCTCAGGGACGGCTTACTAGAGACCAGTAACGTCGCCGTCGCCGCCCGCGAAGTGCATCGGTTTCACAGTCAACCGGGTATGTCTTGCTGGCGATGGTTGAGACCCGTGCTCGAGCTCGACTATGACTGCGAGTCCGACTCGGGTCTGTTATTCCATATTTCCTCCTTTCTATCCAACGCCAGCAGGGCCTTCAAGAGCTAAGGATTGCGTCGAGGAGAGAGCTTCGAAGGGAGGAGAACGGTCGGTCTGACTGGAGGCGATCTAAGAGCGTCAAACAGACTGTGAGGTGTTAGCCCATTGAGACTCCTCAAGGCGCTATCAAAGCCAGTAGAGTGTTTCCAAGGGTTCAATGGGCCTGAGTGTCGTCCTGTGGGTGGTCTTGAATGTGGCCTGGGGTGATCCTGGAGATGATCCCGTGAACGGTCGTGGAGGTCATTCTGCATATACCCTGAGGGCGGTCCAGCGGATTGCATCCTGGGCACCAGGAACGTCACTGTCCCTGCCCAGAGAGTGTATTGATATTGTAGCCAAGCAGGTATGTCTTGCTGGAACTCGTGGAGACTACGCCTGAATGGCCACGACGATTGAATTCCCTCTGAGTCTTGCCGCCGACTTCAGGTGCGAATCTGGCCTGGGTCTGTAATGCAAACAGTTCCCCCTTTTCTTTCCAACGCCAGCAGGGCCTTCAAGGGCTGAGGCTTGCGTCGAGGAGGGACCGTGGAGCGGGAGCGTCGAGGAGAGAGGATCATCTCCAGGGCGGCCTCGAGAGCCATCTCAAGGATGCAAGCTCGCCTCCAGAGCCGCTCCCAGGGGCCACCTCAAGGGCGCAGAATCACCTGCAGGGCCACCACCGGGGCCACCTCCAGAGGTATCTCGAGGACGCAGAATCACCTGCAGGGCCAACACCGGGGCAACTCAAGGACGCAGAATCACCTACAGAGCTACCTCCAGAGCCACCTCAGGGACGCAGAATCACCTGCAGAGCCACCGCCGGGGCCATCTGAAGGATGCAGGACCACCTCCAGGGCCACCCCAAGGGACCATCTGAAGGAGGCAGGATCATCTCCAGAGCCCCCTGCAGGCCCTTCAGGGTCATCTCAAGGACGTAGGATCCCCTCCAGGGCTACTCCCAGAGCTATCTCCAGGGCCACCTCAGGGACGCAGGATCACCTGCAAAGCCATCACCGGGGCCACCTCCAGAGCCATCTTGAGGACACCGAATCACCTGCAGGGCCACCACCGGGCCACCTCAAGGACGCAGAATCACCTGCAGAGCCAGAACCGGGGCCACTTCCTGAGACATCTCGAGGACGCAGAATCACCTGCAGGGCCACCGCCGGGGCCATCTGAAAGATGTAGGATCACTTCCAGGGAAACTCCCGAAATCTGTATTTCCACAGTTCCACCTTTTCTATCCAACGCCATCAGGGCCCTCAAGGGCTAAGGATTGCTTCAGAGAGAGGTTCGAGGAGAGGAGAAGGGTTCGGACTGCCCGATGCGCGATCTAAGGGCGCCTGTAAATCGGTTAGTATCGCGGTTTCACAACTCAGCACAGCGGGGATTCTTGAAGGAGAGTTGCCACAAACGCATTGAATATTACCGAACGAGCAGATTGAGAGTGTTTAATGAACAGTTGCAGTTGTTGTTCTGGTAGTGATGAAATTATTTGGGTTCAGAATGCTGGGTCGGTGGCCGCTACAACGGCGGCGAGTTGCAAAACAACAAAAACAAATTCTTGTAAAATCACGTGAGCTGTGTTTTGGAATGCCGATCGATCAACGCCGTGACTGTTTGTTTGTCCCACGCTCCGCCAGATGAATGTCATCCGGATGCACCGCAGTCTTTTCCCGGATTAGAGGGCCTCTTTGTTTCTCGCTGCAAACGAACATCACCAAGGCCTTGTCAATGGCACACGGATATACAGCAGTCACCGCCTTAGGTTATCCGGGGCACCCAGGATTCCCACTGGCATCAATCTGAGGCTGATGACGTCTAGCTCCCTAGTTCCTGTGGTCCCTCTCTCCAAATCGCAGACGAAAGCCCAGTCGTCATCGAGCCATGGGCGCTTGAGCGTCGAAATTCCATTGTCCGCAGCTCGACCCTGATACAAGCAGCTCGTCTCCCGCTGCCTTGGCAGAGTTTCAATCCATATACCAGGTGACACTGTGCACGACTGTCAACTGGGTCGACAGCATCATTTCTCTGACCGAAAGGCTATGACAACGCTGGGTGACTGAGTCGACTGGACTGATCCGGTGAGACGCTCGATCGGAGCAGCCCGCTCTCGTTAGGCCTGCCAGAGCACCTGGAGACGTGGAATGAGCAGCACATTTTCTCATTCTCAAGGCGCCAGCCGCAAAGGAAAAGAATAGCACCAGGACGTCTGGACCTTCTGTCCAGGCCATAGGCCTGCTCGGCCCCGTCGTCAGATAAACTGCCCTCCACAAGCAGCTATCTTATCCTCTCATCCTCGATGTGTCGCGCCTCTAATACGGCAGAGGGTCAACCTTCTTCCTCTTGAAGTCGATATCCGAACCTGCAATTCAGACAGGCCCAACGATCGTGAAATGGGCTGCCGACAACGTTTTCGGAAATGCGAGCTTGTGAGAAATACTCCCTGGGCTGGTGATCATAAGGAGATGTGCAAGAAAATCAGATCAACTCGGCAACATTCCAAATAACCTGAACATGGTATGGAACACGAGTTCCTTCGCGCACGGTACGGGGTACACTGCGCTGTGCTCCCGCGACTTCGGATGCAGGTCACCCGACAGCGATGCGAAATCCATATCTTGGTGTTGGGGTGAGCAGTCGCGCTGGTTGATCCTCACAAGAAACCTGCAGAGTCTGATTCGGAAGTTGTCAGGAAGATCCGGAGGGCTCAGAATGACGGCGTCAAGATCATTGACCTTGATCCTCAAGAGCCTGTTCCTGAGAGCATCAAGGAGGGGGAAGATGGTGTGTGATATAGATCTTTGTTTCTTGAATACATCTTCCAACTGGTATCTCGAGCCACAAACAGGTATATTAAAGTCAACACGCATAAATCAGTCTTCCTTCAACCATCCCGGCCAAGGGCACTCTCTCGCCATGAAGAATGGAATACCTCGAGTAGGCACCTACACCAGAACCGCGAAGGTGCAGACGATGATGTCGATGAGCAGGTTCGTCACTCTACGCGGAGGCTGGGGGCGAGCGATATTGACCGGTAAATAGTTCCCCAACCACACCCAGCTGCTTACTGGTCACAATGGTCCTATACGGACGAGTGAACCACGACAGCTCCCTCTGGCACAAGTACACCTATCACCTCTACCGCCATGACCGCCTCCACAGACTCGGGTAAACCAGGTCAGTGATGTGGGACAAGGGCAGAATAGTCATGAAACACATACACGGATACATCCATTGCATTCCATAAGGGTAAAGATATCGTCTTTTGTACCCAGCCCCAGCAATATAATCTGTCCCGTCCTATAGGCGACACACACCTTGATACACACTATACACAACCACAGAGATGAGACGACAGTCAAGATTTCAGGGGGCGTGGCTATTTTTCTTTCTCACCTTGGTTGAGAGCAGTATAGTTCTGGGTCAGGATATTCTTGTCATATTCACGCTGAGTGTCGGACATTTCAACGCGAATGATCTTTTCGGACTTTGGCGGCATATACATATCGAATGGAACCGTGAGTCACATATCGATCGAGTTGAAGATTCTCCGACTCGCAAAGATGACAGACCTCTCGATACACTGCTGAGCTGAACCAACGAACCAATCGTCGACTCATACAAGTCCTGTCCTATACGGACCATCGTTTCCCGAACAGAGATATACATGCACAAAGATGAATCATCATCGCCCTCTGCCGGCACGGTTCTCCGGATCCAACATACGTCAGCAGTAAGCATGCATGTGCCTATCGGTGGTCATCTGGCCAAAAGCCTCACCACCATCTCGTCTTGTTTCACGCACTCTCTCTTTCTCTTACGGCGCAGTGTTCCCTACCTTCCCGATGACTCCATGTTCCTGCCTCAGTGCCAGCTGTATCGCCCGTGTGCATCTCCCTCGCATCCTCCGACTCAATGCCACTTTTTCGGGACATCGACGACGACGGCATCGAGTTGATCCCGGTCGGCCGGTGGGCGGACATGATGGAAGGTTTCTTGCGAGTGGTTGCTGAGCAAATAGAAATCGCCGCTGCTCCGTTCGCCTGGCAAGTTCGGGGCCTGTCCCAGGCCAGCTGGCGCGCAAGATCGGGCTGATCAACACCACGGTGTTCACGCACATGCCGTCGTCGGCCGCCGTGCTGTTCTTCCCGTTCCCGCCCTACCTGTGGCTGACGGCGGGCTTGCTGCTGCGGCACACGGGGCTCAACGACATCGACCAGGCGCCGCGCTCGGCCTTCATCGCCGCCGTCGTGCCTCGGACGCCTATCAGGACAGGATCACCAGCACGCCGCCCTCAGGTCCGCACAGGCCTCACGACAGTGGTACATCGTCGACCAGTTTGACCCCCCGTCGTTGTTGTAATTGTAGACGTGTGTGTTGCCCTGTCCAGGGTCGTATCCCGGGCCGTATCGATACCCTCATGCGAGAAAATGGCGTGGCAAATCGCGTTGCTCTTTGTCCTCGAAAATGCATGGCAATATGGGTTCCACCGAGTCCTTCTCCGAGGTGTACCACATCACACCCTCCTCAACCATGGCTATATTCGTTGAGCACTCGGCTTTCCTTAGTTGCTGAGGATGTTATAGCCCCTTTGGAGAACAATTGCCTTCACCGACCTCGATGGTGATATCCTCCTCTGCTCCGCGGCCCAGATGAGATAGATTTTGTTGTATCCCGAGATTGGACTCCTGGCTTGGGCAAATTCCTACACCAGGATCACACTCCTTGCGGTACTTGAGGAGGCGACATATTTTTCCACCAGTCGAGGATCCCCAGGCAACAGAAGCACCACCATTACCTCGATGCCCAGACGATGGGCTAGCTCCCCCGAGCCAGATATATTCTCAAGGGTTGTTGGTGGCCTTGTTCTCGCAGGCCAACACCATGGCCAGTGCTAGTAAGAGCTCCACGCCCAGCATGCCCAGTTCCCTTATCCGAGCAGACTTCATCCCAGCGACATATTGATATGCCACCACTCTTGCTGATGGTCCTCATGACTCGGGCAAAGATCGCCCACGCGGCCTGGGCAGCTGTCGGGTTCCTTCTATTCTTCCCGCTCGGTGGTATCATCGTCACAGTTTGGCCGCATCGTCACACTGTCTGCATTCATGCGGCAACTTGCTGAGGAAGCTTTGAGATATTCATTGTTTGTGCGAGATCGCTGGGCGGGAAGGGAGGAATCTGATGAATCGTTGGGCCATTTCCTTTTCTCCTGTCTTCTTTTCGAAGCTCTCTCTCTCTGTGTGTGTCTCTATCTTGGGGCATTGCCCTTCCTTTGTCGGGAGGAAGTGTAGAAAGATCGGCGCAAATGCTAGCGTGGGCGAAATAGCCAATGCCGGAGAAATTGGCGTCACGTAACTATGACGACCATGGAGGAGATCCAAGCCAACTAAGAGACGGGAAGCATGGGCAATATTGCCGACGAAGCCGGTGTGTCAGGACACACTGTCGCAGCGGGCGCTTGGGTCACCGTCGTGGGGGAGACATAGGACATTGTGGGCGTCGTTAGTATCGACACGTCGTTCAAGGAAATAACGGAGGTATCTCTTGCGCCCATGTGGCGTTGGGTGATGGGCGGATCGAGCGCCAATGCGCCGAGAGGTTCAACCAATTTGGTAAGAGGTGGTAGAGGAGAAGCAGATTCGATTCGTTCTCACCATCCTCCAGGATGCTGTCGTCAACAGCGAGATGGACTAGAGCAAGGAAGTTGGATTTGAAAGAGTGATCTAGTTGGATCGCAGCTTGTCATCCTGTTGAGCGAAGCGAAAACAGTATCTACGGGCAACCTCGTCGAAGAAGCCGCGGATTTGCTCGGTGCGGGAGAGTATTGAAATCCGATGAGCTGCTTTTTGTAACGTTACGTGCCACCTGAACTTTGACCAATAAGGTGGGGAAAAGCGCCTTGGTACAACGGCGACGGTTATGAACGACAGAGTGTTAGAATCTATCAATAATTGATAGGATTCTCTGTCTTTTTGCCTTTGGTAGGGAGTCACACGGTGAAAACGCCGCCCAACAGCAGATTTTGATTTGGCGTGACCACGGCATTCAGATCAGCTACTTGGAGTCCGAGAATAGATGTATAAATATTTACAGCTGCTCTGGCTCATGGCTGGACCGGCACCATACAGCGAGCGCGGTGCCGCCGACGGGAGCTGTCACCCCCTTGACAGTGTATAGATGTCTGACTTTGTGCAAAGGGAAGTATATGTCTATTTTGTGGTTTTAGCAGCTTATTCTCAATCGCAAAGTTAGGCTTGCAGGGTGTTCTAAGCGATCGGTTGACCGAGCCAGGACAGGAAAAAGCACATCATATGCTCTGTATCTGTCTGGGCCGACGCTGGGGGATGATTTGGGCATCAGTCACCGGGGGACGCACAGATCGGTGAGTCTAGGCACCCTCGACGTCAGAGTCCGCGGAATTGAGGCTCTCTTTCCACTTCCCTTTTTCAGTGTTGAGGTTTACCTCAGCGACACCGAGTCGCGGACAACTCCAGGATGCCATGGCCCGTCACGCCGACATGACGTCGCTCTCCCTGCCACGCTTCCCTCGACCCTCGAACGAGGATTTCGCTTGCTCTGCTTAAGTCGTGCTCTGTTTGGCATTTCACGGGGCAGTGCCTCAGCCCTTCAACAATTGCAAGTCGTCAATCCCGGGCCAATCCCAAAGGCACTCTCGCAATCCCCATCAATGAGCATTTGCTTGTGCAGCGGTGGAGACTGCGCAAGAAACCCACTCTTGCCAAAATAGCTGAAGGGAATCGTGCCACGGGGAGAGATTGGACAAACAGGATACTCGTCAATACGGTCAGCATTCGAGACCAGCAGGGACTGATCCAGAGAATTCTAGCAGAGAACTATTCAGTGATCCCTGATGCCCATATCTTGAACGTGACCCTGTTCAGGAAAGATGTGTTGGGGCCTCTGCACGTGTGTGTGAGTGTCATGGATAGTTCTGGATATTCCTCTCATCTCATCGCTTTTCGTTTGTTCGTTCATGGGGACCGTCGTCGTGGCCCCGACAATGGCAACGACTGCGGAACCAGTTGGCTGTGCTTGTTATTTATTGGAAGTGCGTTTGCGTTTGCGATTGACGGGTATTTGAGAGACGGCGGCAGTGTGCAGCTTGGGCTGAGGCCTGATTTGTGAGTCCGAAACCCCCCTCGACGCAGGGATGGAATGGATAAAACTGGAAGAGCAACACTTCGGACTTTGGAGAAAGGTGGGCAGTCGTCGAGGAAACCAATACAAGACAATAGTCTATGGGCATTGCAAAGAGATCATAGCAGGAGGAGGGCTCATCGGTTCAAGTTTGCTTTTCTCGCTCTGGCAGTCATCTTTGTAGAGGATGAGCTTGTCCCCTGTGGTGGAGTTGAGGCTCTGTCATTGAGATTTTGCTGCCGGTCTCAACAGCTGCTGACACACCTTGGTCTGCCAGAAAGATTGGACTGCAGAATGGCGACTCGAAAGATCGAGCAAGATTGCACGCGATCTGAAAGGACGAGAGAGAGAGAGGTGGTGGTGATTGTAAAAAGGTGTTGGTTGTGTCACGATTATGTCAGCACGTGACCGCGCCACCACCACAACATCCTCGCTGTCGATCCAGCGACCTTTTCAGATAATCCTTCGTACTACAATTTCCATCGATTCAAGCTCAAAGCGTGAGAGGTTGGTTATTCAAAGAAGGAGCTGTGATCCTGTGATATCCTGGAGATGTCTCCCCTTCCTCACAGGCCGAGCTGCAGAGTCTCCGAGAAAGCAGTGATGACCATGCTTGGCGGATGTCGGCAATCAGCGAGGACAAGCAGGAGAAAGAGCAGGATACGTCAATGGAGCGTCACGTCGAGCAGGACCTGGACCACCTCGCTGTGTATGTGATCTATGAGCTGTGCACGAGCTTGTCCTTGGAGTATCTCGGGGAAAGAACGGTGTCCAGCCTGTTTGACGCAACTCTGTCAGAGGAAGAAGCCATTGGGCTGTTCGCTACAGCATATTGGCTGGACTTGCCTGACCTTGTGGATTCGTGTGTCGACTCGGTCCTTTGACAGATGCAGCCAGCTCGCCTTCAGTATGGGGACTCGTGAATCTTGATGGCCTCCTTCGTCCCATACTGGACGTCACACCGACCGCGGACCACTGCTCTTGTCTCAATTCATTATGACTTGTTTACTCATTCTATGAAAGTGCTCATGTTGTTCGTGCCGAAGATGATGCTCGTCGTCGTGCTCTTCTGTGATGCCGAATCGGTCGCAGATGCAAAACCCCTTTCTCCGTCACAAACCGTGGTCTAACCATCCATCTGTTTCCGGTGTGCGTCCCCTTTGTCTCATATCGGAGGTTCCATTTCCGTCCATGCCTTTGGTGTCAAGCTTGCCAGCGACGAGAGCATCCCTAATCCGATATCCTTTCGGCAATCATAAGGAAGAGCTGATTGATATGCCCGGCCATTCCTTTTGAGTCGACCCGCAGAATGATGGCTTTTTCTTTTTACTCTCATTTCTCATCTTTTACTTCCAAATATACGAGGACTATGTACGAACAATGACCATCAAGGTCTTGCCCTCGGTCAACGTGGCGAACATTGCATTCTCGAGCTTGACTGCATGCTCGATCGACCCCATGTGTCGGAGCAACATGAGAGAGCTTGGGCGGGCACAGTCGTTCCGTTCAGCCGCCCGACCGGTCCAGCCATTTGGCCGATTCTTTCTTTGGTCGAGTAACAGCCGCGTGCCTGCGCACGGGGAGATGCACGTGGCTGAAGTGGAAGAAAGAGTCCTGCTGCGATGTTTGAGAATGACGTGACGAGGCTTTCAAGAAGAAGAAGAAGCGTGCGGGAACGAGCTTCATGTCGCCAATCCATGCTTTCAAAGCGCGTTTCCGTTTGCTCACGGTCCGCTCCGCAACAAACTTTCTCAGGGTGGATTTACCACTGGCCGCTCTTCCTATCACGGTGAACGGGCTGACTGATCTTCTGTTGATGCTGAAATATGATATGATTCTCAGACTTCTATGGAATATATAGTGAATGTTGTGCCTCCGGAGAGGCGACCACGTGACGTTCACGTGTGAGACACATGTTGGCAAACCGTGACACTTGCCCCCTCCAAAATGGTGTCTTCGCCCTCGAATACTTGTCATCAGATATCAAAGACGTAGTTGCGTGGTGGACCTGCTTTCTTGGAGTTGTTTTCGTGGTATTCCTGCACCAGGTCGTCGCGTCCTGGAAGCACCCCTTCCCAAATGCCGCCGGTCTGGCTCAGAACACCCTCTCCATTTGTCTCGGTATTGCAGTCTTTTTTTCTTTGGGCATCCAGCGCGAGTCCGCGATATCCTCCACTTCCCATTCTGTCTGTTCTTCTTGTCCTTCTCGCTGGACAACTATCGGTGGCGGTCGTGGCTGGTGTCTGACCCGGATATGGGTCTTGAGGTTTTGGAGAGAGGAGGTTTGTATGAAAGACATTGTGAATCTTCACTCCAGGTCAGTACTGTATCTGGAAGTGGAATTCCGAGAGGAACTTGCTCTATCGTGCTTGTCGACGATCAAGCTACTTGTTGCTCATGAGGTCTTCGTGCCTGCGATGACCGCATAACACCCTTATCATTCCGCTTTGGTCGACGGTGATGTATTCCGTCTCCATTCCTCGAAATCGCGTACAATAGCTAGCACTTCTGCATCGGAGATCTCGTAGTTGCATTCCGCGGGAGATATGTTTTTTGAGAAGGAGAAGACTGGTTCCAGCGCCCCTGCAACAACGAAATCTGATGCCTCCGATTCGAGATAAATATCAAGCTGCGGGTCGAGGGAGGCGAGTTCCGGTGCAGTGATGAACTTGCGTTTGAGAGTTTGGAATGCTCGTTGGCATGCGGCCGTCCAGTGGAAGACGACTCCGTTCTTTGTTAGCATATTCAGTGGTGACGCTAACAGACTGAATCCCGTAATGAACATTCGGTAGATGTGACAAAATCCAAAGAACGAGCGGACGTCTTTCACCGATCGAGGGGTGGACCAATGCGGGATAGTCTTGATTGTGTCTGGGCCCATACTGATTCCTTCCGTCATGATAGTCTGTCAAAAATGCCTTGTTGAAGATGGGCAGCACTCAGCGATAGCTGGATTCCGTGGTAATAATTATCCTTAACGTACAGTAATGACAAGACTCAAAGCTTGAGAGAAGGATGCTTCCTGTAAGAGAAGCCCGCGGAGGCTGCTAGATAGGTCGATAGAAGGAATAAACCAAGATCAGATAGCTATGGCCTCTATATATAAGAGACTCGAAGACTTGAAGAGGCTTCGAAAAGTGTGCGAGGGCACACCGCTCTTATCCGTCCCGTTCGGGTACGTGCGGTCCTTGGCTAGTTTGCTCTGTTTAGGGGCTATGACATAACACTTCCCGGGTGCTGGAAGCGTGCTTTTCTCGTATGGGCTTGGCAAGCCCAAAACGGCTTAGCGGGGGTGTAAGTAACCCTGTTACTGCGCCCTTCCTCTTGAGCTGCGGTTGTGAAAATTCCTTTCGTCAATCGAAGAATATGACAGCCTGATCTGCGTGGATAGACACAGTTACGACCCTATACACGGTATCTTCATATCAAATCTATACTGGTGGGTACTTTCTATGGTTAACAAGGGCTCAAGCAAATCTAACTCGTCGTTAGCACCACTCCCTCTCACATCGCCCTCTCACACCGCCCTCTCACAACGCCCTCTCACAACTCCCTTCAGTCATCCTATCCAGTACCCATAGCACGATGGACGTCCCTGCAAGGAATTATGCACAAAGAACTCTCAGCGGAGCTCAAGGAATACCGACCAGATCTTTGTTTGAGATGGCTGATATGCCCGTGCCTGAACCTCGGAGACAGGCTCTGCCTCCCCTGGTGTTTGGGCAAACGAACATAAACGCACCGGCTGGCAGCACTTCGTCAGGCTGGCCGGCTCCGTCGTCTGGACGGATGCCGATCCCAGATCTCACTGCACCCGATAGGCTGGCTCTGCCGTCGAGACGGATATCAATCCAGGACATCACTGCGCCAGACTGGCCGGCTCCGCCGCCTGGACGGATGCCGATCCCAGATCTTACTGCGCCAGATACGCCGGCTCTGCCGCCGGGAGCAATGCCGATCCCAGATCTTACTGCGCCAGATACGCAGGCTCTGCCGCCGGGAGCAATGCCGATCTTAGATTCCAACCTGGAGCCCATTATTGAGGCATCAACTGACGAAACAAGTATCACGAGGGAGGATATCGAAAAGCTTATCGGTGGTCGAGATCCCGTGGATTACAAATGGATCTGTCTGTATGAGAATTGTGACCACAAAATGACCCGGAAAGCAAACTTAAGGGCACATATCAGGGGCCACTTTGGTCTCTCTGGCCGTCACTTCCGATGTCGGGTTTGTAACCAAAACTTCCTGCGAAGTGGTGATGCCAGACGCCATGCCGTGGTCCATACCGGGACAAAAGAATTCCCTTGTGTTTGTGGAAAATCGTACAGAAGTTCACGCTCATTGAGCCGTCACCGAAAGCGTACAAAATGTATTGCTGGGTTTGGAGGTGTCGTGGTCCTAGCCGGGGAGAACCCATATTCTTGTGTCTGTGGAAAAGCGTATAGTCGTCGACACGCATTAAGCCGCCACTGGGAGCAATGTAAACTATTTTGGGCTTCAGAGGCGTCGTTGGGAAGGTGACGAAACGCGGTAGACCCGGTAAGCACCTACCGGAGATGGACGAACGCTACCCCGAGCTGACACCGGTAGAGCACGGCAAGATTCTAGATCTATGGGATAGTGATAGATCGCAATAAGGGAGTGTTATAGAGCCCAAATGGCATCGCGAGGTTTTCAGTGGTACCCTATCGAGTTATTAACGCGGTTTTCCAGTCGTCTCGTCCTTCAATCCGCAGTCGATTGAAGGCAGCGATAAGGTCCTGCTTTATATAGCACTCCCCCTTACACAGCTTGTCCAGTGTTTCACGGAGTCTTGGAATAGGATAACGATTCTTAATGATGATTACGTTAAGTGCTCTGTAATCTACACAGGATCTGATCCTCGTCCTGTTTTCTTGACCAGAATGATAGGCGAGACCAATGGGAACGAGGATCGCCGGACCATTCCTTTAGACAGGTGCTCGTGGATGTATTTCTGAGCCACCTCCGATTCTATAGAAGACTTCGGATAAGGTCGCTTAGAGGGAACTTTATGCGAATCTGACTTCGTCGGCTTAATCTCGTGATCAATCCCGGAGCGATGCGGTGGTAACGAATCCGCAGTTTGTTTCGAAAAGGCTTCCAGCTCGTGATGATGTTCGTTTGGTACTTTTGCTCCAGGATTGCTGTGCTATATTCCTTCCCTTTCGTGGTGATATCGTAGTCTTCAGGGTTAGTAGCAGATAGGAATAAGCCTGTGCATTGAGGGTGAGAGTCTTCTCCTGTATCAGGTTCCCCTGTTGGTAGGTAGACAGCGGCGATTTCCAACTCGTCTTCCACTAGTAGTTGATAAAGTTCCGAGAGCTCTATGCCTGAGCACTCGATTCCATCCACAGTGGAAGGGAGAATTGTGAAGTTTGTTCAGAACTTTCTCCTGCTATTACTGCGTCTCGCTCGCCTACTCGTTTCGCACGGTCTCCGCGGCCAGGACGTCGAGGTTGAAATATGGCGAGAGGGCTTGACAGGTCTGAAGCAGAAAAAGGAAGGGTTGAGCTGTCGGGCAGTGAATTGGAGTTATCGCAAGCACCGTTTCAGGCTCAAGGGAATATCTCTTCACGCAATGCTCACGTGTGCGACACATGTTGGCAAACTGTGACACCACACCCCTTCAATATAGTTTCTTCGCCCTCGAAGCCTTGTTGTCAAGGATGCAGTATTCAAGATGGGCAGTACTCAGCGATAGATGGATTCCGTGGTAATAAATATCCAACACATACAGTAGTGATCAGACTCAAAGCTTGAGAGAAGGATGCTCCTCGGGAGCGAGGAGCATAGTTTTTCCGTCCGTGCTTGGCAAGCCGAAAGCGGCTTAGGGTGGTATAAGAAGCCCTTCACACCGCTCTTTGCTCCTATGAAACTTTCCTTCGACAATCGACGAATATAGCAGACTGATCTGCGTATATAGACACAGTTGCGGCCCTATACACGGTGTCTTCATCTCAAATCTATACTGGTGAGTGTTGCCCATAATTGACCAGTGTTTAAAGCAAATCTAACTTGTCGTCAGCACCACTCTCTCTCACACCTCCCTTCAATCACCCTATCCAGTACCCATAGCACGAGGGACGGCCCTACAAGGAGTTATTGAGCACGAAGAAGAACTCTCAGCGGAGTTCAAGGAATACCGACCAGATCTTTGTTTGAGATGGCTGATATGCCCGTGCTTGAACCTCGGAGACAGGCTCTGCCTCCCCCGGTGTTTGGGCAAACGAACATAAACGCATGGGCTGGCAGCACTTCGTCAGGCTGGCCGGCTCCGTCGCCTGGACGGATGGCGACCTCAGATCTCACTGCGCCCAATGGGCCGACTCTGCCGTCGATCTCAGATCTCACTGTGCCTAATGGGCTGACTCTGCCGTCGATCTCAGATCTCACTGCGCCTAATGAGCTGACTCTGCCGTCGATGTCAGATCTCATTGCGCCCGACAGGCCGACTCTGCCGTCGATGTCAGATCTCATTGCAGATCTCATTGCGCCCGACAGTTCGGCTCCGTCGCCGGGGGCAGATCTCATTGCCCCCGACAGCTCGGCTCTGTCGCCGGGGGCAGATCTCATTGCGCCCGACAGTTCGGCTCCGTCGCCGGGGGCAGATCTCATTGCCCCCGACAGCTCGGCTCTGTCGCCGGGGGCAGATCTCATTGCGCCCGACAGTTCGGCTCCGTCGCCGGGGGCAGATCTCATTGCCCCCGACAGCTCGGCTCTGTCGCCGGGGGCAGATCTCATTGCGCCCGACAGTTCGGCTCCGTCGCCGGGGGCAGATCTCATTGCCCCCGACAGCTCGGCTCTGTCGCCGGGGGCAGATCTCATTGCGCCCGACAGTTCGGCTCCGTCGCCGGGGGCAGATCTCATTGCCCCCGACAGCTCGGCTCTGTCGCCGGGGGCAGATCTCATTGCGCCCGACAGTTCGGCTCCGTCGCCGGGGGCAGATCTCATTGCCCCCGACAGCTCGGCTCTGTCGCCGGGGGCAGATCTCATTGCGCCCGACAGTTCGGCTCCGTCGCCGGGGGCAGATCTCATTACGCCCGACAGTTCGGCTCTGTCGCCGGGAGGAATACCGACCTCAGATCTCATCCTGGAGCCCGGCATGGAGGCATCAACCGACACAGGAACTATCACGAACGATGATATCCAACGGTTTATCGGTGGTCGAGACGTGGATAAAATGTGGGTCTGTCAGTATGAGCAGTGCAAGAGGACATTCCAACGGAAAGAGAACTTGAAGCAACATATCAGGCTCCACCTTGGTCAACTTCAGCGTCGGTTCCGATGTCAGGTTTGTAATGCAGCCTTCTACCGAAATAGTCATCTCGAACGCCACGCCGTGGTCCATGCCAATACAAAACCATGGTCTTGTGCCTGTGGAAAATCGTACACTCATCGAAGCGCATTAAGCCGCCACCGAAGGCAGCGAAAATGTATTGGTGCGTCTGAAGGTGTCGGATTCCGTACCACTTGTGTCTGTGGGGGATCGTACACTCGTGGAAGTGCATTGTACCACCACCAACAGAGTTGTGAAGTGTATGGGTCTGTTAGTGGATCTCGTTGAGAAGGTGACGAAACGCGGTAGACCCGGGAAGTACCTACCGGAGATTGACGAACGCTACCCCGAGCTGACACCGGCGGAGTACGGCGAGATTCGAGATCTATGGGGATAGTGATATGGAGTGTTACAGAGCCCGAATGGCATCACGAGGTTTTCATTGGTACCCCATCGAGTTATCAACGCGGTTTTCCAGTCGTCTCGTCCTTCAATCCGCAGTCGATTGAAGACAGCGATAATGTCCTGCTTTATATAGCACTTTTCTTTACAGAGCTTATCCAATGTATCACGGATTCTTAAAATAGGGTACCGATTCTCAATGGTGTAGTGTAATGACTCAAGCACCACAGAGACATAGACAGCTTCCGATCCTCACAGAAAATACTAGCCACGAAGAAGTGGAAGATGTACCAAAGAGCCATCCGCCATCGATTTCGACTTGGTCGGCACAACTAGCACTGCCAACGCCAGTTCGGCCACAGCCGCGCCGCAGACCTTCGTCTGAGGACTCTCCTGAATTGGTGCGCGATCTGCTCCCATCGACAGCGCCTCCTGCCAGTGGCAGTGGCAGTGGCAGAGGCAAGCGAGTCCGTAGACAGACTGCTAGGCTCGTGGAATCCAAGCAACATGGCTTCCCAGCTATTGTGGAATAAACACCAAGGTTGGCTATACAAACCAGGCGGCGGCGAGGTCAAATAGACGGCGATAAGGTCAAGGATGACGCATAGAATAAATCGATATCATGAAGAATTGATTCACATACAATTTCGATGTGGTTTGATTCTGCCGAGCATTAATCAAACACGCCGTGATACGAATGCGCCGTGAAATTCGCGCTCCGGAGACACTTCCTTGACTGACGATGAGCCCTCAGCACGGAGGCAAGTCGATGGGTGCAAGCAACATTTCACCGATTTCCTCGACATTGCGACTTAGCCTGACAGCGCTTGCGACGACATGTCGGTACGACTGCTTATGCGGCTGCTTGTGGCCATCCAGGGCCCGAAGCGACTTCCCGATGCTCGATGATAGGCACGAGTCTGCTGCGTGTCCACACCAATCATGTCCCTTTGGATTGGGCCAGGTGGTCCTCCACCAGGGACGCATGGCACGGACCGAACGGTTCTTCCTTGACTCTCTTGCCGAGGAATCTGCCTGTGCCTTCCAGATGAGTGTCGTCATGTACCGTGGCGGTGCTGTACACTTGCACCGCCGAGGAGTTCCACGTCGGCACTACCTTGCCTGTGGCGACGTGGAGGAGGAGCTCTGATCCGAGAGTTTGAGCCAGAACCGATGCCAGCTCCTGACATGGCTGCCGAGCCCGCCGTCGTGTATTCCTCTTCCACCGGCTCAAATGACGCTTCGTCAGTCTCTGCTGGTGCTGACGGACATCCAGTCGACTCGTTTGGGTCTCCTGCTGCCCACAGCGTCTGACCATGGAAAGATGAAGAATGTCATGACAATGCCGAACACCAGACACACGAGAGGGTACCGCCGGTCCCCTTCGCATCGGCTTCTCCTTTTGGCCACGGAAAAGACGAGGCCGGGATCTCCATGGTATGGCAAACAACGGCTGACAGCAAGCGGCCGTCGTAAACTCGTCACTGGGAAAGGTACACAGGGTCGGATGCATACGGCAGTCTGGGAGTGGAGTCAACGTCTGCGTACTTGGTACGGGAAGCCTTGCTCCATCGGGATCGCAAGGTTTTTGGGGACGACGCCGCCGACTTTCGCCCGGAGCGGTGGCTGGAGCTGACGAGGCGCAGCTGAAGGCGATGGAGAGGGCCTTTTTTGTGGTACGTTGCACGGTTTCGTTTCTTGTCCTCGCCCGTCTCTTCTCTGATTTGGTTTCTTCTTTTCTGACAACTCACTCACCCATCACACTCGCGACAGTCCGGCGGCGGCTCGCGGACCTGCACGGGCCGCAATATCAGCCTGATGGAGATGTCCAAGGTGATCCCCTCACTGCTGGTGGTGTACGATATCGAGCGCGCGGACCCCAAGGCCCGGGTGCGCACCACGACGTACTGGCTCGCCGTGCAGCGGGGGCTGGTGTGCAACATCAGGAAGAGGGATGTGAAGAGCGCCGTGTCAAGGATGTGAATAATTTGGGTGCCGCTGATCCAGGTCGGGGTCAGTCGATCCAGTTCAGCCTGGCGGGCTTCCCGTTCTCAGCAAGTGGCACCAGTCCTCTCTCCTTGCAAAAAATAGCTGTGACCCTTCACAGATTGCGATGTGCATGCAAGGTTTCAACAAGATGTCGACCCTCTGCTCACAATATACTCTGTAGGTGATGTTAACGGCCAGCTCCCCCAGTTCGAGAGGCCATGGTCGCAGCGGTTGAGAGTCGACAGGGTTGACTTGTGGGTGTGTATGTAGATGGCTAGTGCTGTATGGTCGGTCAATGGCCGTCGCCGAACTCGCCAGACAGGCCCCGAGTAAGTGGGAAGATGGTCCTCGTTCCGACTCTGCTGTTGGAAACAGGTCGATCTTCATCAGTCGGAAGGAGAGGACAGCGACCTCGAGCACATTCATGGATGAAATAAAGTGGGTGCTCCTCAAGACTTGGACTGACTACTCGACAGACTGAGCACGTGCGAGAACACCCCAATCCGGAGACTGCTTCCTCGCCTTTGCATAGCTCCCATCGGCAGACCCTTTCACTTGCATATCTGCATGTCTTCCAGAACGTCGCACGGACCATCACATGCACCCCGGTGACTCTGAGCAAAGCATCGTGAACAGTGAGTAGGGGGGGAAAGACAACAAGACAAGTCTCTGGAGACGGGCCCGATGGATATCACTCCCAACACCAGAAATCGGATCGTACAAAATCCAGGGTTTTTTTTCCCCAACGCTGCAAGCTGCAAGAAAGGATCAGGAACTAATACGAATTCGAGACGAACCAGGTTCGAAGCAAGCGAACCTTACTTCGAGTCTCCGGGTCGACCTCGCAAATCGCCGTGGCCGCCATCTTGGTGGGAGTTTCGTGTCTGAGTGTGTGACGATGAGCAGCGTTTGGCTGGAGCTAAGCGCCAGATCAACGAAGGCATGGGCCGCTCCCAGAGCACTCTCTCGATCTCACGCAACAGGGAAAATGGATGCAGGTCCGTTTTGTCTTGTCCTGAGTCGTCTCGTCTCGTCTCATCTTGTTTCGTTTCGTTTCGCCTCGTCTTATCCTCGAAGCAAGCATTATATGAAAGAAAGCTGTATATACTCCTTAAAGAATAGCCGTCACTCTCAATGGCAGTCGAGGACAAAGTCGCTGGGAGTTGCACCGCGGCTATACGGACAATCGGGTTGGGGGCTCACAGCTGTTCTAGGCTAGACACCCAAACGAGAGGCGGCAGCTGCTGGTGAGGGCCCTGCAGAGTGATGAAGCTATTATCTCCCTGGCCGGCTTCCTTCGTTGGTCTCGCGGCCAAGGTCGACAACCATGAGGGAGAGCTGGCAGAGTTGGCCAGGATCCGGTGGCGGTGTAAGCAATAAGTGAGAGACGCAGACACTGGTCTCTCCGCTGGAAGATGTCCTCCAGACTAAGGTCGAGGTTCTTGTTCGGCCACAGCCTGTGCCACGTTGGTTCAAGCAATTGCGGTTTCTGAGTTTGACAATTCCGCCATGGCGTCTTTGCTATCCAACAAGATTGTCGGGATCGAGATGCTGGTGGTCATCAAGACGGTACAGGCGACATGGGAGCTCTGAGCAGGACTGTCACGTATACCGGCGTGCAAGCGATCTGAGAAGCAGAGTAATCAACCTTGAAGGGTGATGGTGACAAGGAGGACTCATTTCACCTCGCCCCAGCTTCCGTTTCCACGCACAAGCCGGCAAATTCATCTCGTCGTCGGTCTCGCACCACCGCATTTTGACCACCTGGTGTGCCGAGGCGATGACAACGCAATGGACAGCCGGATGGTCACCCTTAAGTGCTCGTCGTGCTGTGCGGAATGCACGACAATCCACCGCTGGATCTTCGATGTCTGCTTCGCAGATACGGCAGAACAAGCGATCGAGTATGGGTGAAAGTGTGAACCCGTGGTCCTGACTCATCGGGTTTCGTTGGATTGCCTCGTTGATGTAATCCGTTACCCTGCTCGGACGCATCGTATGTCGAGCCCGGAGCTGTGCTCAAGTACGCAAGAGAAGAGCAGGCGGCTGGTTGGGTTGTCCTTTGACCATGAACTTCCCTCCATCCTCAGCCTTGCCCTTGTCATATTGCACCACGCCTCCCCGGCAATTCTTTGGTTTGCTCACCACAACATCTCCCAGGCGAATGTCGACGCCCAGGGCAAGGTTGGGGATGCCACCACTGACGCCGACCATCAAATCGACGCGAAGCCCGGGGAACGTCCTCTCCATATCCTTGGCGACGTTGGCGGTGGAGACCGGCTCATCTACCCCCTCGGGCATGCGCGCAATCACCACGTTGTGACTGTGGATGCGTCCCAATGTGTAACTGCTCGGGTCTTGCGGGTGTTCGGCCATCATTTGATATTCTTCGTCCAAAATGGCTATCGCCACGAGGCTGGAGTTTGGCCGTTCTGCCGCAGGTAACATGTCACCTCAACCGCTGACATCGTCTCTGCCGGAATTCAGGTCGTGCACCCCAATGCCCAGTCCATATGACGGTGAGCATGAGGTGTCGCTCTGAGCAGTCTTGGTGTCCTGATGTCTAGCTGGGCTCGGACTCGGAGCGTCGCTGCCCCCTTGAAGCTGTGCATCGCGTTCCCCAACAAACGGCTCCTTCAATATGACTGTGGCAAGTTGCAAAGACTCGGCAGCTCTCGTCACGACTCGCTCAAGATGATCATGACCGTCCTTGAGCATCAGCAACCATGGCCGACCCCAAGGACGACCTGACCGAGAAAGCTCACTTTGATCCTCATTGGAGTGCTTTTGACGGAGGAACTCTTCGAGCGCAGTGACTGCGCAGCATCTTCTTTTGCATATTTTCTGTCAAATCACGAGAATTATTTGCACTGATCTGACTTCTTCCAGCCTCCATCCGTGTGCACCACTACCAAAGCTCTGTGCAGCACCTTATCGTGCATCTTGCTATTGTGTACCAAGGCAGGCTGCATTGGCCCCGAGACGATGTCGCATCGGCACAACATCGGTAGAGCCGGGTGCGCAAGTACTGAAGTCTTCCGGCGCGGTGAAAATACCATCGGCGAAGGATTTCACCATGAGTGGCAGGACTTTCTCGGTGACAGTACATGTCGATAGGAGCCGGTGTGATGTGATGCAACAAGGACTCGATTCTATTGAATTCGAGGTGTACACTCCTGTAAGTCTCGTCAGAACAGCCTGCGCGTCCTGTCCGCCGATGCGAGCTCTTTTTCTGCCTCTCTCCCGAGCGCCCGTGGTACACACCTCGGTGCATGCCTCGCAAAAAACCTTCGAGCAACCGCTTCTTCTCCACCACGGCAGCGCGGCAAGATTTGTGGACGCTCAAAAGACTGGAAGTGAGAAAGTGTCTAATAACCCACTGGAGTTGGCATTTGAAAGATGGGACAAGTTGCAGAGGGCTCCTGAGGGCTTTGAGAATGGCTGCGCAAAACTGGCGGGCGACAGCCTTTGTTGTGCTGTGAGGGCCGGTAGCTCTATGAGCAAGTCAAAATCATTGCGGGTAAGGATCAAGGCCCGTCGTAGGGGCGCGGTTTGGTTTTTGAGAGGAAGAGGCATGACGAGATGCGCCGGGAGTTCTGCATTGTTATGCGCCGGGAGTTCTGCATTGTTGTCAACCCAGAGTTACCGGGGGTTTCAACTCCCCCACGAAGGGGTTTCCGGGGAATTCGAGGCCCGCAGCCACAGGAATTCCAGCTCCCATAGCGTAAAGCTTATATTAACGTTGTTGCCGTTAAAGGACACTGGGAGCTGACGAAGACATGCACACGCATACAGTGAAATGAATCGAGATCAGAAACACGTCCCATGATTCTTCTCTCCATCGTTCGCGGGGTCGAGCTGCAGGTCTGATTCAGGGTTGCAGGCTCGTCACCCCATCGTGGACTTTGCTGTGTTGATGCGTTCAGTCGATGCGCTACACTCGCGATCCGGAGAGAACGGCCCGTCGTGTCGTGGTTTGCGTGCTGCATCAGGGACTCGAAAATGGGGGCGCCTTCGGGGCTGTGGCTGCGGAGGAGGACGCTGTGTTGAGGAGACAAGGGCGTCCCGAGCCTGGGAATGGCGGGCGGCTGCGTCGGGACGCCGAGGCCCTTGTTACGGTAGTCTTCCAAGGACGCAGAGGCGGCGCAATCGAGAAGCGGCAGCATCCATGATCCATTGGCGAGGTCGCCGGGTCAGACAGACGTGTCGTAGCTAGCCTCAATGATCGAACTTGAAAGACGAAATGACTTGATTCTACGTAGTATGTTGCTCATTGACCTAACCCGTCGTCAATACACCGTCGCGTTCCATCGTACAGAAACGACCTCCAACCTCAGAAAGGCACCGCTGGTAACCTAGATGAGAAGAGTCTTGCGCCAAATCCACCTACACACGACAAGGACAAACACGAAGACGAGCCATCTTGCGTCCTCTTGCCAGTCCCGCATCCGACAACAAGTCCCGGCCCTCATCTTCCTCTTCTCTCAATAACGTTGCGAGACGGCCTGCAAACCCAGCGTCGTACGACATCTAAGCACGTCGTCGCGTCTCCAACCGTACAGCCACCACTCCAGTCCAGACGTAACGAAACCCATCAACCATGACATCCTCGCCTTCTTCCCTCTCGTCCCCTAACCACGCCACAGCTGCAAACATGACCTCGACTCGACCCCCGCCGCGAGCCGAAACTCAATACCCCCGTAGGACCACCCACCAAACGCCACCCTGGTCTATGGACCACCTACCGCTGCAACAGCCCCCGACGTGCTCCCCAATGGTAGGAAAGTCCTCCTCTTAACAGCCGTTCCTGGCGTGCCGTTTCCCACTCGGCGTGCCTGGGCTCGGGCCCAGGGCAGTCGGCGCTCATATTGCCGCGCAGCTTGTTGGGGGGCTGCCGCTGAATTTCGCCGCTATATCGCTCCAGTCGATCTCGTTGTCTTGGACTGGCATCTCATGTTTCTCGTTCTTTGGCGGCGGACCATGCGACTCGGGGTGGCTCGACGAAAGCAACACGGAGAAAGGGGATGGTTGAACACTCGGGAAAGAAGATGCCAATGGTTGAGGGCGAGTTGACGGGCTGTTCGCTGGCTGAGGATGGAATGACTCAACATTCGACGGATGAACCTGCGCGAACTGATCCGCGTAACCCTGGAATTCACCATAACCAGCCATCTGAGCTGGAGGCATAAAGGAAGACGGATTATCGTAAGTCATCGGTGGCTGAAAGTAGGTCGGTTGGGCAGGGTACGAGGCTGCCGGAAGAGGCTGATGCAGCAGCAGCTGCTGCTGTTGTTGGTGTTGTTGGTGTTGTTGGTGTTGCCGGAGTTGTTGGTGTTGCTGGAGTTGTTGGTGTTGCTGGAGTTGTTGTTGATGGTGGTGTGGCAGTGGTTGGGGGTGTGGGTGTTGTTGTTGTAGTTGTTGGTGGTATGGGTATGGGTGTTGTTGTTGAAGTTGTTGGTGGTATTGTAGTTGTTGGCGTTGTCGGTGTAGTTGTTGGTAATACTGTAATTGTTGCTGTCGTTGTTGTCGTTGTTGCTGTTGTTGTTGTAGTTGTTGTTGTAATTGATGGTCTTTTTGCGCAGCCCACGATTGAAGATTATTTTCATTATCCTGCAGCCACAAGAGGTTGCGCTTAGCGCATTCATGTTCGTCTTCAGGGTCTGGGGGAGGCGCAAAAAGACCTGCCGGGGGTGGTATGGGACGACCAATTTCGAAATGCACACGCATGCCTTCTCTCTTGTGTTTCTCGGCGAACTCTTGCATTAGCCGGAAAGCTCGCCCGAAAAACTCGTCTCGCTGCGCCAGAGAAGAGTCCGCCTCAAGTTCGATAGTGTCGGCCGACGTGATGCCCTCTTGGACCGCCTCATTCTCGCCTTGGATGTTGCCACTGACTTTGTTCCGCTTGCTTCCTCTTCGGGGAGTAGTCACCACGCTACTATCTTTTTTGGAAGACGTAACACCCTCTGTGGTGGTTTGGTCGTTTTCGACGTCCTCCGACGAAGTAGGGGAGGGGGACACCGCAGCTGGCCGCTTGCGTGAGGGCGTGTAGTGGTGCCTCAATTCGGCCATCGTGGTATTCCTGCTATCAGCGTCTGACTGGCAGCTCGTGTGAGCGAAACGTGATTGAATTGACTGATTAATTCGTCGATGAGGCTCTGCACGAAACGTGCAAGCACAAAGCTTCGTGGTGTCGCTCGCTAGACCTTCCTAATGAGGGATTAGGCAACACTCGGCTGACCTTCCGAGCAGTCTCACAGCTCGCAAGGTCAGAAACCGGGGGACAGAAGATGTGACAGCTCTCTCCGAGCGAGTGTCTCAAAGAGGTTGATCATGATGGAGAACGATCATGTCTGGGGGTGGACAATGGTGAGGCTCGGTGCTGGTTGGGACTTTGGCTGAACGTGGCGCTGTGGCGCAGTGGCTGTGGCGCCTCTCACCGGACCGGAGATACAAATGTCCGCATATCAACCTCAACTGCCTCAACGGCCTTGTCCTTCATTTCCATGCTTCAATATGGTGTCCGTTCATGTCTGGACTGACGCTTTCCTGAGGTCGTCTTCCTCACACTTCCGAAACCCTTCAACCAGGTCGGGACTTCTACATTCACGTCAACTCCACCTTGCTGGATGAGTCTGACACGACATCTCCGAACATGAACGAGACTTCGGTGCATCCCAGCAACTGGTATAGAGGGAAGACGCAATACCCGGCAACTCCGACAATATGGGCGGGCGGAGGATGAACTATCGATGGCAATGGTGTTGGCGTTAGCTCTCTCGTCTGCTTTCTCGCTCGAGGACTTGAAATCGATGGTTTGGCGCGTAAATGCTTGGTCGCTGGTGTCGTCTTGCCGACTGGCGAGGCGTTGGGGTCAAGCAAGGTCGGGGACCAATGGAGGACGAAGCCGCCCGCAACACGAAGGTGGACAAGTCTATCACAGGGCTGCAAATGCTCAATGACTTGTTCGACAGAGGGACTTGTATGGCAAGCAGTTCCCATGCCATGCCGCGACATCGAACGGGCTGTGGTCCTGTATCAAGACAAGATACTCCCCATCGATCTTCTCGACGATTTGCCACTGTTGACGCAGCTCTTCCGGATCGTCCATGTAAGCGACGGGGTATGCAAAATCCCGCGGATTGGCGTCCCGTACCCTCCTCAGAAGACCCGCCCGCCATCTGACATGCTCGCTCCGACAGTCACTCAGCCATGCTGATGTTCTTCACAAATGCCTCTGACCTGACATGACGATACTGGCACAGCCCTTCCTTGCAGCAAATCGTGCCCTTGCCTGACATCGGTTTGTCCTCGTCTCGCCCTCGAGACTCTCGATTGAGTCAAAACCCGACGTCAAGGCGACCCGAAGACCTATGAGTCCAACATGCAAGGATGGAGCCCCATCGACGCAAAAGAAGGTGTTCGTGCCGTGTTTCTTGGCTGGACACCGACATTCGTTGGCTACTCGTCCCAGGGTCTCCGGAAATATGGCTCTTACGAAATCTTCAAGCACCTGTACGGCGACAACATTTTTTCCAACAGGAACCGCACGCTGCTTTAGCTGAGTGCGAGCGCCATGGCAGAGTTCATCGCGGACATGCCTTGTGCCCATGGAAAAGCCATCAAAGTCCGCATGCAGACGACACTCCCTCCGTACGCGAACAACTTCCGGGGGGATAGACGAAATCGTCGACAAGGGGGGCATTGCCGGGCTGTACAAGGGTCTTTACCGTCTTTGGGGCCATCAAAATTCCGTACACGATGTGCAAGTTCGCAACCTTTGAATTCTCGTGGTGCCGATCGTGCTTGCTTCCTTCGGTTCCTCCTTTCTCCGCTCTGCTCACGGCCAGTGTGGTCTTGTCTCACCCCGTCTCTCTTCTCGCCATGCTCCGGACACCACGACCATCGGCACCATGAGTGATCCTGCTCCGACTTTCGATATCCCCGAACATCGTAATTCCAAGCCGAGAGAGATCGACAGGGCACAAACAGAGACCCGGATGCATCAGGTCGCCACGGAGGATGCGATCAAGGCGGGAGCCCTCGACATTGCGTCGGAAGAGAACAAGCTGGTGGTCGAGACTGCGCCTGCCGATGTCATAGCTGTCGCCCAGAAACTCCAAAACAAATTGGGAATCCAGTTGGAAGAGGCACAAGTGGTGTGCATGCCCAATAAGGATTCCATGATTACCCTGTCCGCAGAACAGGAGCCAGAGGTGCATCTGAGACCATTCTAGGCTCACTAGAACAAATCTACCTACGACGCCAATTTCGAGCAAAACACGATTGATAGTGGAAACTACCCAGCAGGCTATCAGTACGAAGACACACAGGAGCAGCGAGAACCGGAAAATATCGACGAAATCCAAGCCGTCAAGAGACGGAGCTTAGGTCCCAGCTTGGAAGCTCCCTCTTTCGAAATGAACCCTTTTGCAACCCCGAAGGCGAACGTCGCATCGCCCGGGTCACCTTACTACCAACCAAATATCATCTCAACCTCGTGAGGCCGGCCTCGCCTCGGTCGCCACGGTATCCTCCAGAGTTTCAGCATCTGCAAACTCCTCAGACGGATATCCAAAGCCAGCCGCCCAACCCTTTGGATGTCGTCCGACTACAGCAAATCAGAGCCGATGGTCAAATTCGAACAATCATTCGCCGGGAGACTCATGCAGCCTTGGTGGTAGTTCCCCCGGGTGATTGACGCGGCATCCAGTCTCGATCTTTTGTCCAATCTTCTCACAGAGCTCGACGAACTCGAGTTGCCCTATGAGATTCTGCGCCGCACTAAGTGCCTCCATGATCACGAGCTGGTTCTTCTCGGTCGTGGCGGAACGGAAGCTCTTTCTCTCTCGCGTTGTCCGGATGCAGCTTGAGTTGGACACTGGCACTCGCCGCGAGGTTGGAGGGATGATACCGACGACAATGCTGGAGCCGACACTTACGAGAATGTCCGCGGCGGGAGTCAAGTTCTTGGATGATACGAGTGCTGCATACGGCAAAGACGCAATAGTACACCCATCCCCGAGATATCGTCCTTGCTCAGCAAAAGTCTCAAAAATGGTCGTATTGATCAGGCGATCCGGATTTCCTTACTTTTGGGGGGGCATTTTACGTGGAGTTCGCAGCACTGGTCACGACTCCAGACGAAAAATCATTCAGCAACAGAAGATGGCCAGGAACCATACAGAAGTTTGTACGGAGTTCGCATCGCCGGCGTCCACCTCTTCGTCAGAGCCACAAAGGGACCAAAGAGAAGGGGGGGAAATCCCAGGTAGAAGACAACGAAAGACCCCCTTCCCCCACCCAGTCGCGCATGAGACCTGCAAGATTGCTCCTTGCCTTCCGTAGCAGGTCAACCTCGATTGCTGCCTGCTCTTCTGTCGGCGGATCAAGGTCAGAGGACTTCTTATGATCAGCAGGGAGCCCAGCAGGAGTGTTAGCCCAACGCTCAAGTCCGGAGACCGGAGGCAAAGACTCACCATGAGACACGGTCGTTGGTGGGATGGGAAAGGCAAAATGCCAGTCGAGATGCGTGAGCCAGTCTTGGACGAGAAAACCGGCGTATTATGCCATGGCGCGAGTTCTAGCCCCGGTAGCAGTCGGAATTTGTCGATCTCACCACGACTGGAGTGTCACACACGCCCGGGAACCCCGGACGCAGGATTGCCCAAAGCAGACGCGAGCCGATCTTCAACGGCCATGAGTGCGTACTGAATTGAGACGAGAACCAGGGGGCACCGAGTTCTTGTCGGTTGAACTCAGAACCTATGAGTCCTACGAACACCGACCCATGCCAAAGTCCCCATCGCCGCATCGATGACGATGAGTGCGACACGAACCGACTCGGCCTCCCAAGCATCGGGTCTCCCACCCTTTGGCGGAGCTACACGTCGAAACACATCATCTGGGGGCAATGCCCATTGTGGCGCAGGGCTGCGATAGCTCCAGCTACCTTCGGCCACATTAGCGTACGAAAGGGCGTGAAGATATATGCCCAGTTCGTGAGGACCAAGATCTGAGTAAAATCATGCGATATTCGCTTGCAGTTCCCCCCTCTTCGCTACGCACAACCTTTTCAGAATGATGTGGAAAGAGCACAAGTTGCTCGTCTCGCCGTTGTGCATGTGCCACGCACGGGAAGCCCTCAAGGGGCACGCAGCCGGTAATCTCTTCTTCATTCCTGCTCGGGCCGAGCTCCCTTCAATCCTGACTGCAGCGTGGAGTCCAGCAAAAAGTGTCCAGCCGAGTCGATCAGTTCAGCAGCTGCTGTATTTATTCTCTCGCCGCGGCGTGGGAAGCAGCCTTATTGTTGTCCACCCCTTTCTCGTTGGTTGCGGCCGTGGACTCCCTGACCATCTTCAGCGCACCACGCTCGTAAGAGAACCTCTACAGCGCCAACGCGGCCGCCAACTCGTCCTCGCCGCTGGCCCGACGCTACGTTAGCTTCGGCTCGTGCTGATCGCGCATGTGTCCGCGGAGCTAGGGGCGTCAAAAAGCTTGCACTCGTGTCCATCCGCAAGAGGTATCTCGATTCCAAAGGGGAGACAGGGCCACACCGAACCGTGACCACAGAACTGACGGACCGGTGCGAGGAAGGACAAAGCCCGACACAAGTCGACTGCTCCCTCTTCCTCCACCTGGGGCGTCAGGACGACTATCGCCACCGTCTGGCGTCCGACTTTGAGCTTCAAGCCTCGTTATGCTGCCATTCCGCCGACTAGAGGCCTGGGGACTCCCATCATTCGAGGGCTGCCGGTGATCGGGAGGGCGAGGAGCCAGAACGTGGTGCCTCCTTGGTCGTCGGAGAATGTTGTAAGTGATCACCCGGCAAGATTCCATCAAACCCCACCTCCCACATTCGGTGCCACCCGGTCCTTTCTCAATCAAAGCTGGACTTCCTCTCGCGAATCGAACTTATCGAGGCGCTCAAAGATCCTCCAAAACGCCATCAGGTACCAAGTTTAGAGAAATACTATCGGGGCATTGGAAGGGATGACCTTGATATGGAATTCGCCATGCCAGACGAGGAAAAGAAGGAAATTGAGGAGAGGAAAGCCGGGAAGGTCTGGAGGGCATTACGAGCCAGCAAGAATCGTGTCGCCATGTGCGAGACGGTGCAGTACTTACCTTGTGACGCCACCCAGCCGAAAACCTCCCCTTTTGCCCGCCTCCGTGACGGCAGCTATGAGTACTGACACGTCATCTATGGCGTCTTGTCTGTCCCAAAGCATGATGCTGGATACGATATATAAAGCCGCGAAGCTACATATACCAAGGGCGTCCTTCCTTACGACAGACACCCCAACAGTCTTGACTGTATGGTTACTCTTGTAATGTTTCCGTTCACTTTTACGTTCCCGTCGGGAGTTTCGCTGTCGCTCCGTTCGACGTCAAAGTCGTGAGGATCTATATTGAAGATGCGATTATGGACGGATACATGGACTTGTAATCACATATGACGACATCGCGGTGCAAACCTCTAACGTGGTCCATGACGAGACCACCTTTGTACTTCTCCTGGTTCAGGGGTACACGCTATGCTGTTGCGAGGCTCTCGTCCAGACAAAACGGTGAGTACATCTGGGACGCCATCCTGCCAATTATGAACCTGGCACAGTCGTACACTGGGGACGCGATACGCACCGCTAGTGCGCGAAAGAACTTGCTGAACATCGGTTGTACTCCATGAGAACACGCTGATCCATCTTCCCTCTCAGGTCTGGCATTTTTTTCTTGTGTGTCAGCTTCCTGTTTCTAGCTACGTCTCTCAGCTTGAAGCTTTCCATTGGGTATCCGCTTTTCATCATGTACAATAGTGCATCTATGTGGTAGGTGCCAGGAACATAACAGACGGGGACGAGGTTAAAGTTGGGGAGTTCATGTCCAAATCCACGTCCTCTTTTGCAATAGCAACCAACAGCCTTCCCAACGTCAGCAGGCAACCCGAGATGTTTTCTGACGCTATCATGAGGAGGCTTGTGATGAAAAGAATGGTGGAAAATACTCAACAACGTCGAAGGAAAGTTCGGACACGTGAATGGCCACACCAAGAACTTTGTTCCGGTCAGCCTCGCCACTCTGCTTGAGGGCAGTCAGTGCAGACAGGGGGATAAAGGCTGCCGTACAGAAGCGTTTCAGGCAGAAGCTCAACCGGTGTGGGAAACCAACTTTCCTGCATAGAGTGTACATGGGGCTGTCCACCCGAGGATACATGTATTTCGAGAGTCTAATTTTCTCAACGTATCTGACGAAGATGTAGCTTCCGTATGGCAGATTATAGACACGCTCAAGGTCAGCTCTAGCAGCTGGCCGACGGGAGAGACCGTTACTCTTTCTCACGCACCAGGGGTGCCGATATGATTGTCTCTCTTAAAAACCTGCAGACCTGGTAGGCCTTTATGGGGGGTGCCCACAGCCTTACAGCTTCCTTCCGGGTAGAGGAACGTGCATGTGGACTTGTTTACCTCCTCAGCCTGGTCCTGCTCCGTCGGCGACGCCGTGACTTCGTAACATCTTGTTGCATCGTAGTACACCCATGGCGCATCCATGAACTGCAAAGCTCTAGTATATCCTTAGCGTACTCAGAGATGGGCACATCATCCTGCACTCTGCCTCGCCTGTAACGATGTAGAGGAATCTAGACTTTGAAGCGTTGCAGTACGTCCAGGTTACGTGGTCGGTCATTCCTGCGGAGGACACTACGTATGGCGACAATCTCCCAGCCACCTGGCACTTCTCCGATGATGCTCGGCTTCCCGAAGTACCCGTGTGCAACCATCTTTATGGGAACTGTTATGAGACGAGACGTGAACGCGTGGTGCGGCGACACAGCAAAGAATCCGGTGATCATACATCTGTTCAGCGTTGTGTCAAAGTTGCACAGTATCTGCGTGCAGGCTGAAAGAGCACACGATATAAGTTGCACGCCGTGCCCTGACGAAGACGTCCCTTCGTAGTTGATTCTCCACGGTGCCATAACGTCGGCCTCCTCCGTCGAGTTGGTATTGTACTCCCGGTCCCTCTCTACACTTTATCCCGTGCACTGCCGTCTTCTCTACAAACTGTTCTATGAAATCGTTCGATGCGTCATAGTAGAAGCCCCAGTCCGAGTCTTCCAGGGATGCACCAGGCGCAAAGTACTCGGCTGCTCTGGAGCCAGACAAGACCACTCCGTATTCTCTCATCTGGTAGAGGAGAAGATCCGGGCTCTTTGTGAGTGGCATCAAATTCGGCCTGACGTCCTCGAGGCGTTGCATTACCATCGCCACGTCTTTCACCTCTGCGAGGAACTTCAGCCTTCCGCCACGCTCAGATCTGACCTTGCCCAATGTGAACATGCTCTGACACCACTTCCCTATGGGCAGATGCTTTGCAAAGCTTTCCAATATCTCCGGCGACAATGTGACCCTCTCTCGAGAGAAGTTGTACCCCTGCTGCAATACTTGCTGACATAAGAGACCTCATGTGCCAATCCATTGCCGTGTCCCGTGACATCTACAGGTTGGCAGAAGAGGCGGAGAAGACTTCGGCAGCCGTCATAGGGACATATGTGTCTTACTGTCTGCTCTGTCTGTGAGTCCCATGAGGAGCACTGACAACCATACCGGCGGGAACAGTGCTGCCTGCGAACCGGCACCGGGAAATACCAGGTCCTACTCTACTACGGCAGCACGGAACTATCAAGCGGAGTGCATGAGCTGCGGCTGAGCTTCTCCATCGTCCTCGAACCTTTCACCACACCCTCTGCCTGCTCGGGAACGGAGGTCATGCGGGTGGAACTGCCTCTGGACGGAGGCGGCTTCTCCCACGCCTTCTTGCTTCCCCACTCAGTTGGCTTGCCCACCTTCTGACTCATCTGACTTTCCTTTGAGTATATTGTGTACGACACGACGTCTCTTATTACAGTGTTTCAGTATATACTGGTAGCAGAAGCATCTTCCTGTGGGAAGACGTACGTAGAGCTGTGCATCCGAGAAGTGACGGCTCGGCACAGTGCTTTTATGTCGACCCTTCGGTCGACGTGCCCAGTCTCGTTAGACACGTTCAGACCAGACAGTACAACCGTGGGGTTATATGTCCTGTATAGAAGAACGGAACAACCTCGAAGGGAGTCGAAGCCAGAGACTGTGGATCCCCCAGCCCCATATGAGAGGCTGGTCCTGCGAGGCGAAGTCCACAGTCAAGAGGTGCTTGCAGTCCGGAGGCTGAGAGGATACAGGGCGGCACCACGCCACACTTTGGTCCCAGTGCCAAAACACTGTGCTGTGGCGGGATACTATGGGCGTCAGCATTGATGTCACGCATACAGTATTACAGGCAACCTCGTCAACAAAGCCACGGATTTGATGGGGTGCGGAAGAGGATTGAAATCCGATGGGCTGCTTGACTGAACTTTGACCAATAAGGTGGGGAAAAGCGCCTTGGTACAACGGCACGGTTATGAACGACAGAGTGTTATCCTTATCTACTATAGTGCCGAGAATCAACATTGATACGGCGGTGAGACGAAGCAACCAATTGGTTGCTTCGTCTCACCGCCGTATCAATTAATATTGCCTGAGGGACCGTGCGGTCTGTATAGGCGCCTACGGGCCGGCTGAGTTACGCACACTAGGCGAGGGTTCGAATCCAGGTGGTAGAGGCCTTGATTTTTTTGGAGCTTTTCAAGCTGGCAGTGGATTTTTGAGGTATATGAGGGCCAAGGCTGGGCGCCAAGAGAATATCTCGAACCTTCGCGTGATAAATGTTATGAATGACAATAATTGATAGGATTCTCTGTCTTTTTGCCGTTGGTATGGAATTGAGGCACTATTTCTGACACTCTACCTCTGCTCGTGTCCAGTACCCAGCACTCAGCACTCGGTGCCCGTCTTTTTCACCTTCAGTCTTTTCGCCACGCTAAGCAGGTCGCTTGAGGGAGTCACGCGGTGAAAACGCTGCCCTACAGCGGATTCTTAACACTGGGCTGACTACTCCGAAACAGTGCTGTCACCCGGGAAGCAGGGCTGTTACAATGACTGTTACAATACGCTTCCCGGCCGACAACACCCCATGGGGTGAACGGCCCCCAATGCCAAGGCGGCCCCCAATGCCAAGGCGGACCCCAACGCCAAGACGGACCCCAATGCCAAGACGGACCCCAATACCAAGTCTACTCCCCCTCCCACACCGACCCCCGCCTCCTCACCAGCCCCAGCCGTACGNTGTCACCCGGGAAGCAGGGCTGTTACAATGACTGTTACAATACGCTTCCCGGCCGACAACACCCCATAGGGTGAACGGCCCCCAATGCCAAGGCGGACCCCAATGCCAAGGCGGACCCCAATGCCAAGGCGGACCCCAACGCCAAGACGGACCCCAATGCCAAGTCTGCCCCCAACAGGTATACACAGAAAGAGATAAATAGGACCTCTATTCTCGCACTGCTGGAGAGACCCTCAACAGTGCGAGAAGTCGATGTCTCAAGGATAGCTTTATACAATACAGATACGTGTTCAACCCTCTGACTCTCCGTCTAACGATCCCACCCCAAGGCTCTCTGACAAGTGCTCCCCTCCGTCTACAAACTGGTCCATCATTAGGTAGTGCATGAATACTCCAGCCTTGCACCTTCCGGTTCTCTGACAGGGACACTCATACGAAGCGGGGAAGTCCAGGCCGCCTCTCTCACACAGGACGTGTACGGTGAACTGCTAGACCATGAGACGTACGAGCACGCTGGCCCCCTCCTGGAGCGGGGGAGCATCGACTCACCTGGCGAGACGTGGACTCTATCCTGTCTGGGCCAGATGTGCAGGACCTCTGAGGCAGCCGCATCCCAGATGTCCATATACCACAGGCTTGTTTCGATGCACAAGGACCCTAGAATAGGCACGAGGACATGCCCATCTGCATACTGAAGGACGGTACACGGACCATACCTGATCTGGTCACGGCTGTGTCCTCTGTGGTGACAAGACAGACTGTGGGTCAGATCTACGAAACTGGAGCATGTATCAGGGGTCTGAAGACGCGTCCAGGGACATCGTGCAGGAGCAGGAAGAACATCCTCCGACGTGGGAAGAAGTCAGAGTGCTCCGTCGGGGCCTCGTCGTCCAACTCGAACGACATCACGTTCACGAAGAACTTCTACCTCGGCTACCCTCCGTCGATGGACCTGGCGAACACCAGTGGATTTGTAGGCTGTGCATTGTTCTTCGAAGGGATCGCAAGGAATCTACCGCTGAATAGCGTCACGGAATATGGACCAGTCACATACGGCCAGACGCTGCAGGATGCGTGCGTGAATGATCTTATGTCTCAAGCCAAGACGCAGGTGCAGATGCTTGGGTCCACAAACGATCTCGATAATCGCTCGGTGTACACTGCTTTACAGACTATCATGGAGGCAAGCCCTCCGCAGTCGTGTCAAACGATAGCAACGGTCACATGGGGAACTATCGTGCGCAAAGGTGGGATTGGACACATCAAGTCTCCAACTAAGAGACGTGTCTGCTGACTCGAGTCTCCAGAGATCACCGGTCCTCAGTCCCCGGTTGACGCCCCAATCGCCTAAACGACCTGCCACCCGTCTTCCAGCGTGTCGAGCGGCACAAAGTACAACATCGCCCTGATCGAAACTCCAACAAACACCTCGGAAGGTGTGTCACGTGACATTACGCCATTTTCCTACAGCATCACGCCCGTGCTGACCGTTTTCTACAGCGCGTCTGCTCCGTCGAACGCTCAGGGTAAGGCCTTGCCGGAAGCCCATCCGACATGTGTCACGGTGGTCGAGGGCTCGACTTTGGTGCAGCAGAGCAACGATGCAGGGATGATGGGTCTACCAAGGTCCATGATCGCCTTCCCCTTGGGCTTGAGTATCCTCGCCTTAGTTTAAGGCTGCCTCGTTTTCGAGTAAGGGGACGAGACCCACAGGTGGCTTGGGCTCCTCCTTGCTTCAGGGTCCAGCGACGGGAGAAACCAGGGTTAGAGCTGTACACTACACTACTACACAAGGACGGAAGTGTGGTGGAAAAGGAAACTCTGGCTACTCTGGGCATATTAGAGTGTTCAACCAGTCTCAGATGACCAGAGAACGTATATTCACACCCCTCAGGTCCATGTCCTCCGGGATGCGAAGGACTCCCACGAGGAGGTCCACAGGAGGTGCAGTCAGGGACGCGGAGATGGAGGTCCACGCTATGGTAGCGTCGGGCCTGATCAGGTGCACACCCGAGCTGAGGCGAAGGGGAGACGAGGTCGTGGTTCTCCTGTGCACGCGGTGCCAGCGCAAGTGCCTGAAGGCTCTGTTGAGAGCAGAAGACAACCTCGACGACCAAGGTGGAATGAATCACGGCTTCGCGTGGTCTCGAATCGTCTTCCAAGCACCATCCAGCGTTCTGCGGCAGGGAAATATGATTTCTCCACGTCGTCAGGGGGCCCTGTCCCTGGTGTTCGTGGGTTGGCGAAGAGCACCACCTTTCAATGGAATGGCTGGCCAAGGTTGGAAATCCCTGAAGATGAAGCTGGCGGCGTGGTCGCGCGTCTCAAGGACGAATCTGATGCTATCCCGGTCTTCGTTGACGACGAATTAGCCGACCGGCACTACAATGGCTTTTCAAGCACGGGTCCCTGGGAACCTTGTCACTACTTGTGCACCGTGCTGACAAGCTCTAGATTCTAAAATACGCTGTCGGGCGGCGTTTTCACCGCGTGACTCCCTAAGGCGACCTGCTAAGCGTGGGGAAAAGACTGAAGGTGGAAAAAAGACGGGCACTGGGTACTGGGTACTGGGTAGAGGCAGAAGCAGAGTGTCAGCAATAGTGCCTCAATTCCCTACCAGAGGCAAAAAGATAGAGAATCATATCAATTACTGATAGATTCTGAACACTCGGTCATTCATAACAATTATCTCTTGACGCCCAGCCTTGGCCCTCATACATCTCAGCTCAAAGAACATAAAGTCGTTACCACCTGGATTCGAACCCTCGCCTCGTGTGCGTAGCTCAGCCGGCCCGCAGGCGCCTATACAAACCACACGGTCCCTCAGGCAATAATAATTGATGAGGGGGTGCTGAGGGTTGTCAACAATTTGACAACCCTCAGCACCCCCTCATCAATTAATGATAGATTCAGGCACTATAGTAGATAAGGATAACACTCTGTCGTTCATTACCGTCGCCGTAGTACCAAGGCGCCTTTCCCCACCTTATTGGTCAAAGTTCAGGTGGCACGTCACGTTACAAAAAGCAGCTCATCGGATTTCAATCCTCTTCCGCAGTCAACGAATCCGTGGCTTTGTTGATGAGGTTGTCTGTAATCCTGTTGAGCGAAGCGAAAACAGGAGAAGTTCACAGAATCGGCCTAAAAGGTCCTGTTTGGATTTATAGGAGGAGGCCTCGAGGCTTTCGCTCTGCCCTGCTCTAGGTCCTCGGGGTTGGATCCTGAAAGATTTCAACAAATCGCCACTCGCTTCGACGATTGGCAAGCACTCAGCGCCGGGAGATTGACCGACCTCGAGCCAAACCCACGATTATTCCTGCCGCAGTGGCTGTCAAGGCTTCCCGTGCAGAGTGCAAAGCACCTAAGGAGTCGGTTGACGCCTCTACTGCGACTGCCGCTGCCGCTGCTGATGCTGCTGCCATTTCTAGTGACGCGGCCAGTTTGCCGGCGGGATGGATTTCGTCCAGGGCGGGAGTTCTTGTTATTCTTGTTGACAGGCCATCGGTTCGAATCGAAGAATGAATGATGTTCGTGCACGCATGTTTCCCAGCTGCACGCCTCTTGTGCCCGTCCGCAAGAGGCAGCCTATAGGATGACCGGTGTGGAATTGAGATTGAGGCCGCGCAGGAGTCTGGGATCGTTGTGACTCAGCTGCTGCTGCTTCTTCCAGCCCTTTCTGCCGGCGTCCTAGAGGGTCAACACACTCGCACTGTCCGAGTCGAGCGCCCCAGCCCCAGGAGGAACGGCCGACAACTCCGCTTCAGCCTTTTCACATGCTGGGCGGCTTGAAGCACTCACATCTCCATCAAGCCACCAGGCCCAGAATTCGTGGTCGACAAGCCTCCACGAACAGGTCTTTTCACCCACCGCCGTCCTCCAAGCTCCTGTCTCCGGGTCTCCAATCACAGCATGGGCCACCGGCCCCTGGGCTCCCATGCCCATGTATGCCCTCAAAAATGGATCACGTTCTAGGCTCAGCCCTCAACGGCGTCATCCTCGCCATCACACACCAGGACCAGGTTATCGACCCTCTGCACCGCAGACATAAGAAAATTCGTGGCAACGTCCCTCAACCGGATCCGATCTCCTCGACAGAAGGACAATCGCCATAATTTGGTCTCTTGGCCTGTATAGCCCGCAGTAATCAATGAGATGGTTTTATCACCCACATCTACAGGCGCTATCTTTCGCTGATGGCGCACCTTTCCCCCCTTCTTGTCCTTCTTGTCAGCCTCCCTCTGCAAGGCAACACATCACGGACTCACGTCAGAGAAGCTGTGCTCTGTTTTTGTCCTCTCGTCTCGTTTTCCATGTCATCGCGCGGTCAAAAGCTTGCTGGACATTGGCAGATGATGGTTGATCTTCTTGTCGTGCTTGTTATGGCGCATAGCGCAAGGATTGATTCAACTGAGCAAATCGCCATGAAGCACTTCCAGGATTGGAAGCTGTGGGAATTCACGTTGTACCTGCTCCTCAACAACACGGGCGTCTACGCTTTCTCTGACTTCCTCCCAGTGATGCTGAAGAATGGCTGCGGGTGCTCGACGGCGCGCGCCCAACTCCGTGTCAAAAATCAAATGAGCGCCGCCTCGAGGAGCCCCTTCCGGACTTCGTCGCTGGCACTGGTGGCGACCACCTCTCAGCTAATTTGAAGCGTACAGTGATACAGATAGATAATCGGCATGGGTCCGCTTCGAGACGAAGCATTTGCATATACAGATCGATCGAAGGACTTCGGGTGCGTGGCAGCGGCAGGCCTGACTCGTCTCGCCGAGGTTGGTCGTAGCGGCAGCACTTTAAAGAGAAGTTGCGCACGATCGGTTGGATGATGCTGAAGCACAGCACAGGCGCGGCGGCGTTGGAGATCCACATGCTCAAGAACATGCCGACGAACATGTTGGTGCAGTATTCGGCCAGGGACATCATCAGGTTTCCCATGGCAACGAGAAGGCTGTACATCGACTCGGTTCGATTGAAAGAGGCCTCCTGGTCTCTGGAGTTGGTGTTGGTTTTGGGTTCTGGCTTGCTTGGACAACCAAGATCGTGGTCCGAGGTTCTCGAGGCCAAAAAGAAAAGACGCTCAGTTCCATTTCCACGATATCATGATGATGTCAAAGCTGTCACACATTCCCGTCTGATCAAGAATCAGAAGAACACTGCTCTCTCGTCGGTGAGCACCATTGGCAAGCAGACCATTTGGTTGGTGAATACTATTGAGACGAAGAAAGATCCGGCATTATTATCAACAGTAACATGGAGAACTACAAGCCTCGTCACTTTATCAGGTCCCGATACCACTCGCCGATCGTCATTCCAAAATACAAGTCCCCAAAGGCCGCGCTTTTCCTGCTTTGGTCTATGGAAATGCGTTAGCAAGCAACGTCAGAAATGGCATACGGAACGTGCACGGGCTCGGTGAGAAGGATGTACAAGGTTTTCAAATGCAGGCTCGGCACGGATGATGATTTCACCACGAACCAAGTGGCTCCATAGCACCCCGACGCTCGCACCACACCTGAAATCGAAAAATACGAAAACGCCGGCACATGGGGGCCCCGGGGGCTTGCAGTCAGGAGGACCCGGATCGAAGGATCCGTATGATCGACAGACGTGCTGCCCTGTGCGACTTGACTGCCTCTTTCTTCACACGACACCACCTCACAGGCACGGGGTGAGGTCAAGCAGAGGGTTCGGGAGGCATGGTAAAACATCTCATCTGTCGGTCTGTCCTCCGAATGGACCCCCTCCCCTCTCCTCCCCTCCCGCTCCCCTCCATCTGGACCACCACTTTTCCGGACAGACGGTTCCTCATGCTCGGCGGTCGATCCCCAGCTGCCCAACGACTTCTCGTGCGCCTCAGGGAAGAAGCTACGCCTGAAGGAGGCCAGCTACGAGGACAGTCTCACAGGGAAAGGCGAAAGGGGAAATACTGAATCGAGAAGCACAGGCTTCCTTGCTCCCACCATGGCCAACAAGCAACACTTCACCGTATGCCCTCGGCCCTGTGCGCTGTCAAATGCACGCTCTTGGCGGTCATGACGGTCGTGGGCATCCTCATGTTCATGTACGGGTTTTCGTTGCCGGGGTTGGTCCTGAACATCTTCATGCTCATGCTCGTCTCCAACTCCGACCCCAGCCACGTGTACGCGCCGCTGGGCAGGTCCGCGATCAACGTCCCGTTCATCTCCATTATCCTGCTGGTCATGTTGTTGTCGTGCCGCCGGAGGTACAGGACCGACAACTCGTCATCGAAGCCGTCCATGTGCTCGTACCATAGCCTGGGGAAGCGGTGGGACCCGTCCTCCACGAAGTCGGTGCAGGCGTTGCACTTCTCGAACCAGGTCTTGTCCCAGGACGGGAACATGGACGTGTTGAACCTCCCGCCGATGACCAGCACCCGAGAACCCCTCCGTTTGCATCCTCTCGAACCACGCCCGGTGCGTGAACAGGTCCGTGTACGGGGCCAGGTGTATGTTCATCTTCAGGTCCCTGCTCTCGGGGTCGATCATGGACAGGAACAGGAGGCGTACGGGGGCCCCCAACTCGTACAAGATCGCCTTCCTGGCGGTGCTCACGTTCATGATGACGGACCTGAGTGTGGTCTCGTGACTGTACGTCGTCGCGTCGAACTCCCTCATCTCAGATGCGCCTCATCAGCACCGCATTGAGCTGATAATCGCGTTTTGGCCTTGTTCCCACGCATCAACCTGGTCTAGTACGAGATCCGCCCCTCGTCTCGTTCCTGACACGCTCGGGCTCCTGGCTTTGATGATGCGAACGGAGCGAACTTGCACATGTTGCGGAAGGCGATGACGCCCAGCAACGAGCTGATGTCCGTGGACATGTCGACGGAGCCGTCGACGCAGCCCTTCCTGAGCTCGCTCTTCATGCAGACGATGTTTCTGCACGTGACCGAGGTGGACCAGTCGACCTGAAGCGCCTGCATCACCCCGATCATGTCGTCGGAGATTATCTCGTCCGTCTTCCTGCTGGCGAAGGCGAAGAACACGGCGACAGCCAACCTCTCCTCGCTGGTGAACGTGATGCTGTCCAACTCCTCGACCCTCGACACCACGACGACGGCGCGCTCGAGCAGATCCACTGGGCTGATAGCGGAGGTCAGGTAGCTCCTCGGCTTCAGCATCCAGGTGTCGTACATCTCCCCGCCCGGGTGGTCGATCATGTCGTCGAGTGGCATCGTGGTGTACATCGCAGGGTCCACCGTCGGGTCGCCGCTGGCCTCGTTAATCAACCTGGTCATCTTCGAGTAGATGCTCGCGCGCTTGGACTCCGCCCACTCCCTGTTCCAGGCCGCCTCCATCTCCACGATCGAGTCGGTGCTGCCGCCCCTGACCAGCTAGGCGTCGTCCCCGTCGAAATCGGTGTTGTCCATGGGGTGGCCCTTGCAGCCCTTGTGCACGGTGCAGCCGGTGAACCGTGCTCAGGTCCGCCGACCTGCAGGTGCGAGTGAAGACGTTCTCAAGCTTCACTGCGGTCCATGCACATCAACCCGCTCCTGCCCAGCAGGCACAACCTGAGCTCGGGCATCGTCTGCGTCTGGCAGTGCTTGCACTTCTCGACTGGTCCTCGACGTCGATGTCCACGATGGTGCACTCGTTCGTGGTCCTGTCCGTGATGCTGTTCAGTGGCATGTACGCAACGTGGTTGTCGCAGGTCAGGACGCTCACCCTCCCGAGCCCCAGGCTCAACGCGATGTGGTACTCGTTCATGCCCATGGCGATGTTCGAGGAAATGTGCGACGAGCTGAACATGGACGCCCGGTTGTAGGGGGGTATCTTCGCCATCTGCTCGATGTATTGTCTGTCGCAGGTCCTGCAGGTCGTCATCACGAGCGTGGACTCGTCTACGCCGATGTTCACGTTCAGGAACGGGAAGGGGCACGGGAACTTGTATGTGATCATCGGCATCCACCTCCACGAGAAGCAGCGGCAGAAGAGGTACCAGGTGCGGCGTACATCCACGGTGCTGCTCATCATACTGTCCGAGTCCGTCTTGCTGCTCACGGCCCTGATCGGGTGCTCGGTCGTCGTTGCGCTCCCGGTGATCTTCATCCTCTCCTCGTGATCGTGGGGATGCTCGTCATCACGAACACACCATCCACGACTTCATCATCAGCATCGTGCCGGCGACAGCGTCACCAATGCCATCAGGGCCAAGGGGTAGTCCGAGATCGGCTCTAGAACTCGAACACCGTCCTGATGACGGGAGTCATGAGCAAGCCGACGATGTACACGAGCATCAACACGAGGATACAGCAGAACAGGACGAGCGTGATAGTGACGATCATGACGATGTCGATGAGCATGCACACGACCATGGCCAGCTCAGCTGCAGGTACGGGCGACTGTGACGATGATGATGACGAAGATGAACGTGAGTGTCGGTAGGAGCATGGTGCTGGAGGTGGACCCGATGAAGACCATGTCGATGAGCATCAGGAGGTGGACTGAGCGTAAGGGTGGAGATGTTCGTTGTGATGGCCAGGGGCCTGCGCAGGGTGAGGTCCCCGTCCTTTGTTGAGGAAAATGAACGGCGTGATCGACGGCTCGGACGTGGACATCAACAGGAGCGAGGACGGCAACATAGTCAGCGACACGCCCGAGGTCTTGTTCGTGAGCGACGACACCGTACTCAATCACACGAGCATCTCCGAGTGCAAGGCGTGGCTCACGCCCGTCAACTTCAACATCCCGCCGACCGGCCACATATCCTCGAACGTCGACAGGATGGTCCTCTACGTCCAAAACCAGGACAAGCACAGGCCGATGGAGGGCGTCATGCACGTCTAGTCTATGCTGAACATGATCATGTACGTGATGATGATGGGAGAGAAGTTCATGATCGTGATCACGGTTTTGGACGCGGTGCTGACCGTCCGACGGGGTCGAGTCGATGCCCGTGACCTCGGTCGGGACCACATCCGAGTTCCTGGCCTTGTACACGACGACATGAAAACAACCGTCGCGTCACCCTTGACCGGCGTCAGGGACATGGCCTGCCTCATCATCTGCACGCCCACCCCGAGCCGGGGGTCAGTAGCGCCCTGCCTGTTCATGGAGAGCCTCTTGCGCAGGGATGGGAACCTGTCCACGCACACGCACCTGTCGCAGAACGCGTGCATCTTCCCGTTCCGGTGGTGAATAAATAGGGTTGCATTCCTGGAGCAATCTTGCAACGTCCTTGCATTCCTCCAACAGTCCTGCATTCCTGAAGCGTATCTGCATGCCTGAAAAAATCCTGCATTCTTGCATCCCTGCAGCATTCCTTCATTCTCGCATTCCTGGCCCCGTTGCTGCAACATTCTTGCATTCCTTTAACACTCTTGCATTCTTGCATCCCTGCCTGCATTCCTCCATTTCTGCGTTCCTGATAACAGTCTCGCATTCCCAATGACAGCCGGCGTTCTTACATTCTGACGTCCCTGCAGCATTCCTTCGTCCTTGTATTCCTGCATTCCACCGCCATCACACACACAACATACATGCATGCACATATACTCAGGGTGTCAGGATGTCAGAGGAAGGAATGGAATGACGCACGTCGACTCGATCTGTTGCTGAGCTGAGCTAACCTCCTCCTCCGCCTGAATGTGAGCCTACTCGTTCCCATCCCCGTGCCCCTACCAATTTGCTTCCGACCACCTCCAGGAGCCTCCAAAAACTCCCTTTCTATCCCTTCCTTTCATCGAACTAACCATATACCGTGTGGATGTTAGGTATTCCACGCCCTGTTTCGATATCGAGTGTGATGGGTTGGGTGTGATCAGGTCTATGCTATGCCCCTTTGACATTCCAGCTGCTACGGGCTGTCCGATGGTGGATAAATAGGGTTGCATTCCTGGAGCAATTTTGCGTTCTTGCATTCCTGCAGCATTCCTTCGTTCTTGCATTCCTGCATTCCACCGCTATCACACACACACCACATACATATATGCGCATCCACTGGGGTGTCAGGGTGTCAGGATGTCAGGGAAGGAGTGGAATGTGGTATCCATCAATCACAATAATCACACCAACAATCCTTCCTCCTCATCCATCCGTCCATCAACTGCCTGTCGTGCCTCGCCTCGCCTTTACAGGCACGCCGGCCCGACCTGAGCGTGAGAGGGAGCGTACCCATGCCCGTGCCCGCGCCCGTACCTACCTCGACCACCTCCAGCCGCCTCCAAAATCCACCTTTTCATCCCTTCCTTTCACCAAACTGACTATATCCCGCGTGGATGTTAGGTATTTAGCACCCTATTTCGATATCGAGTGTGATGGGTTGACTGGGATCAGGTCTGTGTTGCGAACTGTGACATTCCAGCTGCTCCGGGCTAGCCGGTTGTTGATAAACAGGTTTGCATTCCTGGAACAGTCTTGCATTCCTGCAGTTCTACAGTCCCGCATTCCTGCAACGAACTTGCATTCCTGGGAACAGTGTTGCGGGCCTGCATTCCTGATAAGAGTCTTGCATCCTGGAACAAACTTACATTCCCGCATTTCTGCATTCCTGGAGCGACTTGGATTCTTGCATTGTTTGCATTATTGCATTCCTGGAATTAGAGCAATCTTACATTCTCACATTCTCGCAATCCTGTAACAGTCCTGCATTCCTGGCGGCATTCCTGGGTTTGGCGCGGTCTCGCACGGATGCAAGGCAGTTGCGCATTCCTTGAGTAATGCATTCCACAGCAACAGTCTTATATTGTCACATTTTTGCAACATTCCTGCAGCAATTCAGCATTCCTGGTGACTTTGCTGCATTCCTGCATTGTTGCATTCCTGATAACAATCTTAAATTTCCGCATTTCTGCATTCCTGGCAACATTCTTGTAACAGTCATGCAATCCTGCCTGCATCCCTAGCTGCATTCTTTCATTCCTCCATTCCTGGCAACATCCCTGCACCAACCTTACATTTCTGCGTTCCTGCAATCTTGCACTCTTGCAGCATTCTTGTAACAGACCTCCATTCCTGAAGCGGATCTGCATTGTTACATTCCTCCATCCCTGTAATAATATTACATTCCCGGAGCAATGTAATTCCCGCAATAGTCCTGCATTCTTGCATCAGTCCTGTATTCTCGGGGTAATCTTGCATTCCTGCGGTTCTGCATTCAATCTTGCATTCCATGCTCGTGCCCGTATCCATGGGCTCTAGGCCACTCCAGCGGCCTCGGAAGGAGATCTTTCCGTCCCTTCCTTCCACCAGGCTGGCCATGTACCGTGTGGGTGTTAGGTGTTTCACAGGCTGTTTCGATGTCGTGTGTGATCAGTTGAATGTGGTGAGGTCTGTGCTGCGCACGTTGAATTCCAGATGCACAGCGCTAACCGGTCGTTGATAAATGGGGAGACCCTCACCCGTGCTTCGTCGCAGACTCCAAAGATCTTGAAGCTTTCACTGAGGGCGTTATGGGTAGTGTACTGGTGTTCGTTCAGCCATGGCTCGAAACAGACAACGTTGTCCTGGTTATAGACCCTTGGGTCTTGCATTCCTGGGGCATTCCCGGGTTTGGCGCAATCATGCACGGATGCAAGGCAGCTGTGCATTCCTTGGGCAGTGCATTCCAGCAACAGTCTTGTAAGAATGCAGCAATCTTGCATTTCGTGCCCGTGCCCGTATCCATGTGCTCTGGGCTACTCCAGCGTCCTCAGAAGGAGATCACCTCCCTCAAGGGGCCCAGGATGACGGAGGCGGAGAGATGCTCAGCAACTGGAAGGAGTGCGAGGACGGGGGCGACATCAGCCCCGAGAAGCAGACCGAGTCCGGGTACGACTCCGGGTACGTCTCCCAGGTCATGTCCCGGTCCAGCAGCACCGACCAGTTCAGCAGCGCGTTAGCAGTCCCCAGGTTGCCGCTCGTGTGGGCGAGGGTGTCCGAACACCTCCACCTGATCACGGTTTGGATCGTCACCGTCTACCCGTGCGTGCTCGTCGACAACTCCCTCTTGATGACCACGAACGCCTCCGTCAACATGAACCCGCCCTTGCTCATCACCTTGTTGCTGCTCGTGGCCTTCTTGTTGGCGCTGTTCCGGAACAGGACCGCGGCTCTGGGCTTGTGCATGGTCACGGACAGCCGCCAGCAGACGTTCATCGACATGCCCATGGTGCTCGCGAGAGCCGCACAGCCATATCGACCTCAACATGGACGCCGTCGCGCGCACGTTCATCTTCAGCCTATCAATGTCAGCATGACCACCAACGGGGAGCCGCCGGCGTACGCCACCATCCCCCGCCCACGGCAGGCGACCTCGATCCCGACCTCGGTGACCACGAGCACTCCGGAGTCGTACATCCATATCCTCACGGACGAGCTCTGCGGCACGAGCTGCGACAACCACGCCTGCACCGCCATGCCCAGGCACATAGCCGCGTACTCGCCGATGACCATGAAGATTGCCTTGAGCACCATCGTGTCCAAGATCGTGACCGACATGAACAACGTGCGAAAGCTCGACCTCGAGAGCACGATCGTGTGCTGCAACGGGAAGGCGATCGTGTGCGTGTTCGACTCCATCGGCTCGCGGATGGGCATGGGCGACGCCTCGAACAGGGTCACGACCATCGACGGCATCATCAGCATCATGAAGGCCTGGAACAAGAACAGGCAGATCCTCTGCTTCGCGACCACCAGGAGCCCCACGGACATCGACAGCAACATGACCCTGTTCGACAACTGCACCATGGACATCATCGGGCCTCGGCGGAGGACACCACCGGCGAGAGCACCATCTCCGCCGTCATGAACGCGCAGATGGTCAAGATGACCAGGCAGGACAGGGTCGAGGGGGCGTTGCAGCGCGGGACCTAGATCGAGTTGCCGGAGAGGCGGAGGGAGATCGAGATGATCAGAACCGCGCGCACGGACATTGCCTAGCTCCCATCTCCATAGCGATCAGGGTCGGCAACTCGAGCAGGGACAGGGATAGGGCTGAAGTCTGGATCTGGTGCACAATGAAATTGCTGAAGAGCACCAACTTCCCCTACGCGTACAGGTATGGTGGGGACCTCGACAAAGTTTATCCAGACGACATGCGAAGCTTCGCGCCCCGGATGCTGCTGTGCGGACGTTGGCAATCTCCACTGTTCTCGTCGCTCCAAAGGCCGAGTATTTGGTCCTGATCGGCGTGCCGTTCACGATCCACCCGGTGTACTGCGGGAATGCGTTGAGCCTCCGACGAAATGAGAAAGAGGATGGCATCGCTGCTGCTGTTGTCGCTGCCGACGGCGTCAGCTCACGGACGTGCTTCTCTTCTGCCTCTGCGGCGCCGTGGGCCAGTGATGGGTGTAGCACCGCTCCGAGATCCTCTACGCGCAAGAGGGAGCTTGAAGGGTATATTTGCCCATTTCCACTCGAAGGACGGAAGCAGAACGGGCTGGACAGTAGAATCGACAAGCTGAGAGAGAAGTAGAACACTTCTGAGAACCAAGTAAGGCGAGTCGGCCACTCCGTCCAGGGCCTCCAACAAGGCTTCGGCTTCGGTATCGATATGCGAACGCCCCAGATTGCGACTCCCAGCAACGTCGCGGTGATGCCAGATGGCGGATTCTTCTTGACGAATGGTCACGGTCCACACAAGGTTGGCATGGAAAGGGAGCCGTCCCAGAGTCTCGATGGCGCGGACCTGCGTCCAGATTTTATCGACGTCGGATACGCACTGTTCCGGCACGAAGACAAGTTCCCGCGCGCCGAACACGTCTCGAGGCCCCGGAGTTGGTGCAAAGAGAGCTCACCGAACCCTTTTGTGCTTTGTCTGCAGTGCTTTGGTTCAGGAATGACAGGTCCCTGGACGTTGGGAGAAAGATATTGGTGTTGTCATCGACTCAGTCTGCCAGCCTGTTTCAGGGTTCATCACATGGTCCTCGCACCGAAGAACGCAGACGAGACGAGTCTCGGGCTTTTCGGTTTGATTTCTGCCTTCAATAACTCGATTTCCGCAATGCTGCCACGCAAAACTTTCGATGATGGATGAAAAAACACCATGCTGTCCGCTGGGTGAGAGATGTCCAAAAAGCGCACGGATCGATGTTCCATAATTTACAGGAGCGTCTCTCGCTTTGAGGTTCGAAAGATTTGGGGCGACATGTCAGAATTGGCCGTTGATTTCCTCAATGGCCAAAGTAATTCCGTTCCAGTTCTTCGATGTACGACCTCTCGAGGCTTTTCTTTGCTCACGTCCACACTGTTGCCATGGATAATTTTCCCGCAGAGGAGTCCTTCCTCAACATATCAGCAATTCGTCGGAGCCAAACAGAACAGGATCTAGAGTCAGTTCACAATGCTGTCCCACAACGCGCGGCTGTACCAAAGAACAACATCTTGCTCTTGGTTTGGATGGGCATGAATATTCTCGACCCGCAAAGGGGGAGGGAAATGTCCAGTCCCGTGGTCGGGTCGGTCAGGACGAAGGGTAAGTCACGAGCCTCACTGCGAAACATCTTCAGAGAGGTCTTGGAGTACCTTCCCTTTGCGCACAATACTCCCGAGTGTCTGAGGAATATATCCCTTGCCTTGATCGCCAGCATGGGTCCCGACAAGCAGGTGAGTTTTTGCCTCTCTCCTCTCTCGCGCTTTTTCTCATGTGTGATCACGCACATGTCTATCAACATGCCCGTGTGTTTGCATATGAGAAGATTTCCCAAATGCTGAATCAGAATCCAACGTCAACAGCATACCCTTGAACGCCTCTGTCAGCCCGACGCTTGAGTTCTTCCTTGCACTTCTTCGCAGCATTGCGTCCTCACCGGCAAGTGCCGTCAGGAGTTGGCGCAAGGCGTGAGAATAACGACGACAGAACACACGATGTCTTCATCGATAAGGATCAAGAGCACCGCATCAGCATGATCAGCACCAAATACCGCCGATACCGACCAGACGAGGCATTTCTCTGCAAAGGAATCTGCCAATATCGAACATCGCCGGTCTCGAAGTCTGGGATCACCAGGCCAGCATGAGGTGTGATTTCGAGATTGCCAAGTGTGTGGTAGAGATTACATCCCAGTCCCAGCCAGATTTTCATTCTTTGTGAAATCTTCAAAGAGAACGTCCTGACCGCTCTTCCTCGGACCCAGCTGGAGTAATGGGGGGCCGGTGCACAGACATGGTATCGATCGAGGCTCGCTGCAGCAGAAGGGTTTGGCAAGGACAGCATGACGCAGGATCGAGGAGCGGACGCGAGGTTGTGTTGTGTTGTCTTGCTTACTGCCGTCCTGGTATTGCGCTCGAGGGACGCTACCCTCTCTGCTCCGGGCCATCGGTATTTGCTGGATGGTGACAAATGCGCCGCGTGCACTGTGCTTGCGTTGGCAACAAGACCTTTGACGCAAACGGGCCAGTCGACGTACGGAGCCAACTTTTTCCTCACCTCCGAGTCGTCTAGGTGCCCAGCTGCACGCTCAGCATGCCCTGCAGATATCTCCAACGTTCGTCATGTGCCCGGATAGACATGGTGTGGCCGTGGCGCACAAAGTGCTGTACCATCTCGTCGTCGCAAGGACGGTCCAGAAGAATGAACTCGGGTCGTTCGTTCGTGCGAGGAGGACGTGTCTTTCGTGGGATTCGATGACGACGGTTGCGGTTGTTCAGGGGTGTGTCACAAGATGCCATCTCGATAAAGTCGACCATAGTCAGTGCATGCATGCTGGATGTCAGTCTCCAAGATCAGATGGCTGTGGCCTCTATGCACAGAGACTCAAAGCCTTCAAGAGGTTTCGACGAGTGTACGGGGGGCACACACCGCTACTTATCCGTCCCGTTCCGGTGGATGCGGTCCTTGGCTAGTTAGAGAATGATTTCGACGACCAGGTGCGTCTCAAACTTTACCACTCTACTCGGAGGCTGGGGGCGAGCGGGATCCACCACACTCAGCCGCTGGTCACAAAGGTCCTCCTATACGGACGAGTGAACCACGGCAACTCCGTCACCTCTACCCCCCTCCGCTTCCACAGACTCGGGTGAACCGGTCAGAGACCCTGTGCGATGGATGTCGAACCGTTCAACGCGAATCATCTTTCCGAACTTTGGGCGGGATATGCATATCGGATGGGGAATATCGATCGAGTTGAAAATTTCTGCCCTTCCTGATCACCGATGGAGAGAGGCATTCATGCATTCCGCAACCAGATATCTCCAGTACTTAATTACATGATCGAATTTAACGCGAGAATGGAGGTAATAGTTCAGGTGCAAAGATGGCTCGAGTTAATGGCTTTCCTGAACCCGGAGTAGAAGAGTGCGAAGGGGTATGCTCGTTCTTTTCTCTCGAGCTTGACCTCAGGTCCGCACAGGCCTCTTCCGTCGGCCACATCAATTCACGCGCCAGTTTGTGAGCGAGAGAGATAGAGACAAAAGAGAGAGAAATGAGATTCCACCTCCTAACCACTGACTGCTATGGCAACTATGACCACCACAACGGCTACCACGTCCGCCACTCGCTTGTATGGTGAAACACACTCGGCTCGAGTCCGCTCGGTGATGTCTTGAGTGTTGGCAGGAAATTCTTCTCAACCCTCTCCAGTCTGTAATCACCGAGCAGCGGCAACATCCGTGACCTAGCATCCGTCCAACTAGAACAAGGCCAATGCTCCGTCCAGAAGTTCTTGATCATCTGTGGCGTGACAGAACTATCCACCCCGCCCAAAGCCATCGTCGCCGCGTCTCCATAAACACCTTCACGGATGGTCAAGAAAGGGAGGTTTCTTGACGGTGTCTCGCCGAACGCGAAAGCCTCCTGAAAGGTCGGCTGCGGAACACCAGCAATATCTCTTTCCCACACCTCCCATGACATCTTCGTCTCCCCAACTACCTTGACGTTTCCGAACCAAATGACACCTGTTTTCTCGTCTCTTCGAAACTCCTGATAGATATCGACAGACTCTGGAGGTTCGAATCTTGGTGTTTCGACCATATTGATGAGGATAACGCGTTGGATATCAGCGTTGCCGTTCAAATAGAACGGGGCGAGATATTGGTGATCCTCAAGAGATTCGCTCATTTCGACAATCGTGTGAGCTCTGACATCGTTGATATTCTTTGCCCATCGGATAAGTAAGTCGGGTACTTTTAACGAAGACTCGTTCCCTTCTGTGACTGTCCAAACAGCTGAGCCAGTGTCCATCCGCATCGAACACGCGAGAGCAGGGGGGATAGAAAGTTCGGTCTTGTACGCCAGTTCCATGAGGAGAAAAACAAAGGACTGGTGTCTTGCGCTCAGAGGAGGCATAATGGTAACAAGACGGCGCGAGCTATCGTAGGAGACTCGAAATAATTGCCTAAAAAGATCAGCGCACCGCCAGAGGAATCAACGAGGATGATGAGGTGCCGTACCGTGCTATGCACTGCTCCAATTTGCCGTCTTGTATCATCTCCCACCACGACTTTGGACAAATGCTGAACATCATAGGGTCGTCATCTGGCATGAGACGCACTTCGTCCATAGCGACGTCTTGCGTAATCTCCCGCAGTTCAAGCACTTGATCACAGAGAGTTGGCGGTGATGGCTGCAGCGTGGAGGCGGAGGCGGAGGCAAAGGCAGAGGTGGCGACAGTGTTGCCATCTGAGAGAGAAAGCGAACCGAGCGCCGCGTGAAGAGCGCCAGGCTCCAGCGCGTTATCCGGACGTGGATTCATCCTTTGGTGGCTGCGAGTTGGTACACAGTGTTTTCACTGCGCCGATGAGAGATGATGGAAGACAACGACAGATTTTTTTTTTTCTCTTTTGACTTTTATGTGCGGGTGAAATGGTGTCTGGTGGAGTATTTGCACTGCTCATCCAACAACGGTAGAGCAGGAATCACCTCAGTGCATGATGCATCCCGGCGCCTTTTTTGATCGTCAGCCCACAAGCGAATACCACCAGGGCTTTGTTAATCGGACACAGATTCACAGCAATCTCTGCCGTGGTCACAGGACTGCTTTGTTGACTACAAACAGATGCACCGCAGACTCTGGCTTGATGATGGCACTTCAGCTCGTTCGAGGCACCAGGATACCCTCCTGCCGGGAAAAATGATGCCGATGTAGCCCGCACGGAGAGGAGAGTCCACGGCGTGCCAACTGAGCAAGGTCGAATCTCATCGACTTGAGGGTGGTTCCAGATAGGTGATTTCGATTCAGAGAGACAAGGAGTCAGGTGTTCGATAAGAAAGAAATTTTCGATCCATAGGAGCAAAAGCTCGACCGAAGCACCATGCAATGGCAATCGTCCATCTTGTCCTGTTCAAGCTCAAGGCTGCACGGAGCCACGCAGACAGGAAGAGGTCTGTCCGGCCAGTCCAGAGCACGTTGATGGCCAGGACGGGCCACCGACGATCTCAAGCAGGGAAAATAGTCTGAGTAGAAACTGCAATGTCACGTTGCAATAGGCGATGGGCACCAAGCTGACCGTGAGCAGCCTGGACCGGCGTGGGCGATGGTCGCGTCTTCCAAGTTTGGAGGCTGTTGAGAACCACGGAAGATAATCTGTGCACATTGGATGAAGCCGGATGCATTGCAGCTGCCACCGAGTCAGAGTCACCCTGGCGGGTCGTCACTTGGTTCGAGGAGCCGTAGTACACGTATTGAGAGGCTCACCCGTGAATCCACAACTGCTTCCAAGTCCGTCTCAATGTCCAAGACGTCCCGGAGCACGCCAAGCTGGCCGACAACAGCCAGTCGTAGTCTGGGCAGACCATTAATTGTGTCTGATAGCTGAAAGCACGTCTTCTCTATCCTGGTGCTTCGACCATCGTAATCCATCTTTGCCGGTCGCCCCATCCGTACCGCACAAAGCCTGCAAGGATAATATGCTCAATGAATCACGTGTCCATGCAGTGACATCGCGTATACAGTCCTGTCAAGGGGATCATGTCCAGCAAAGAGGTGGGCCGGACACCAAACGGCGAATCCAGAGTCGACTCGAGGATAATAACCCAGCGAAAGGCTAGCTGGGCTGGTTTTACCGGCAAAGGTGAACGGAGAGCCACGCTTGTCAGGACGACGACAGAGGGCGTGCCACGACTTTGGGGGATTTTGGGGAACTCTCAGGGCACTTTCGAGGGAACTTTCAGGGCACTTTCGAGGGAACTTTCGGGGGAACTTTCGGGGAACTTTTGGGTCACTATTAGGCTCCCGTTCTTGCCAAGCTGCACACATAACAATCAAGGCCGCCCGCCCACGAACTTGATTTTTTTCCAGCATCTTCATCTCGACACCACCAACCTGTTCGTAAGGTGGCCTCAATCTTATCGTTCTGTGACGTTGAAATCATCTGTGAACAGCCTCCCTTACAAGCTGTGGACCTGTGAAGCTGACAGATCTGCAAGACCCCTACAATCACTCCTGGTCAGGCTGAACCCTTCTCGATTCCTCCAGTCAATGTCTGTCTTCTCCCTCTCTCTAGGCCCCGACGGCCTGCTCATGTTGCATAGAAAAGGTGGAACTGTGGCATCACAGATCCGAGTCAGTCTCGCAGTCAAGTTCGGGTGGCAAGACCCAGTGGCAGCCAGTCGTCGCAGTCAGTCGAGCGCAGGTCGGGTCTCTAAGTTTGTCAACAAACCACACCTGCTTAAGTCCAATACCTACACACTCCTTAGACAGCGATGGCGACGCTTTCGAAGGTGGTCCTGCAGACAACCCAACGGGTGGTCCTGCGAGTGACCGTGCAGATGATCGTAGAGGCATTGTGCCTCCTGACTACAGTCGGGATGATATTCCGGAGGGCATCTCGTATCCTGCTCGCGATCCTGGAGGTGGTCGAGGAGATATTCAACATTCTGCTGGTGGCCATGGAGTGGGGCTTGAGGTCACTCTGTATCCTGAATATGCTCTTCCAACGCTACCTGGAGTTCCAGCTCGAGGATCCGCGTCAATCCCGCACCCAGGGCCCCATCCAGGATGCAGCAAATCTCCGGGGACGCCTCCAGGATCCGCGCCAATACCGCACCCAGGGCCCCATCCAGGATGCAGCAAACCTCCGGGGACACCTCCAGGATCCGCGTCAATCCCGCACCCAGGGCCACATCCAGGATGCAGCAAACCTCCGGGGACGCCTCCAGATTGTCCATGAATTCCGCACCGAGAGCCCCACCCAGGATGCAGCAAACCTCCGGGGACGCCTCCAGGTTCTCCATCAATACCGCTCCGAGAGCCCCATCCAGGATGCAGCAAACCTCCGGGGACACCCCGAGGTTATCCATCAATACCGCTCCGAGAGACCCATCCAGGATGCAGCAAACCTCCGGGGACACCCCGAGGTGATCCATCAATACCGCTCCGAGAGCCCCATCCAGGATGCAGCAAACCTCCGGGGACACCCCGAGGTGATCCATCAATACCGCTCCGAGAGACCCATCCAGGATGCAGCAAACCTCCGGGGACACCCCGAGGTTATCCATCAATACCGCTCCGAGAGCCCCAGCCAGGAAGCAGCAAACCTCCGGGGACACCTCGAGGTTCTCCGTCTATTCCGCTCCCAGAGCCCCAGCCAGGAAGCAGCAAACCTCCGGGGACACCTCGAGGTTCTCCGTCTATTCCGCTCCCAGAGCCCCATCCAGGAAGCAGCAAACCTCCAGGGACACCTCCAGGGTGCTTGATCGCCTGTAGGAGACCACCAGGACGACCCTCACGGCCATTGAACCCTTGGTAAGACTCTGCTCGCTTCGCTAGTACCTTGAGAAGTGCCAATGGACTCACGCCTCGCAGTCTATTTTACGCTCCTTGAGTCGGCCCCAGTAACACCGAACCCTCTCCTCCTCTCAAAACTCTCTCCTCGATGAAGGCCCTGCTGGCGTTGGAAAGAAAAGGTGGAACCGCAGCATCACAGACTACAATCTTCACCTCTCGCCGAACCTCTCTGCCCGAAGCAGTCCTCAGCCCTTGAAGGCCCTGCTGGCGTTGGACAAGAAAAGGTGGAATTGTGGTATCACGGACCCTTGCTCAGAGTTGCTGTTGAAGTTGGCGTGGCAAGTCCCCGTGGACAGTTATTCGGTGCGGTCAGTCGGGCGTAGGTCTCTCTGTTACTGCTAGCAAAGTATACCTATTTAGCTACAATACCTATACACTTTGGGGCGGGCGACGGCGACATCTTTGGTGCTCAGCAGGCAATTCTCAGGATCATGTGCGGGACCATTTACAGGATGACCTCCCAAGACTACCTACTCCCAGACCAATTGAATACTTTGAAAGACCCTCCTCCCTTCGCTGGCGCCGTGTGGAGTTTCCCATGGGCTCATGCCTCGCAGTCTATTTTTACACGTGTATACTCGTACGCGAAGCACTATCTCGATATGATTGTTGGGTTCATCAAGTAGAATATGTTTTTCATCGTAGGACAGAGGGCTTACTAAGGGACGGAGGATAAAGGTGGACTTCTCTGAACGACATTCGGAGCTTTGTTTGATCAGATTCGCTGTGTCAGGGTAGACAGACTGCAACACCACCTCTCTGCTTCTCTCTGCTTCTCGACTGTTTGTTTGTTTGGGCAACTCCCCTCTGGTCAGGCCCCGATGTCCCCAATGGAATGGAAAACATGGAGCCGGAATCGAGGAAACGAAACACATCCAGACCGCTCACCAGTAAAGTGAAAGATACAACCCGCACGCATTGTAGCACGATGGGATGGGATGGGATGGGGACGGACCTCGCTCCCACCGGGACTTCGACGATGCAAATGGATGGGTGATCGCGCAGTCCTCACAATTCACACGCTGAAAATAATTCCTTTTTTTATGATTCTCTTTTTTTTTTTGACGAGCTAAATGCCTCATTACTCTACGTCGACGGGTGGGACAGGAAACAAGGGAAGGGAGAATTTTCGAAAACATGCCATGCGTGTTCGTGAAGGCGGGCGACCTGACCTGCCGGGCCACGATGGTTCCGGTTCCCTTCCCTCCGAAGCGTCCTCTGTCACAATCCCGGATTCCAGCAACGGAACACGCCTCGGACACAGCTTTCGCAGTTTTACGTGTTGGGAATGGCAGAGCACGCGCGATATTGTTCGTAAAAGCATACTGTCATTGTGTAATTGTAATGTTAAGCCATTTGGAGCAGCCGCTGTTCTAAAGGTAGTCACTTTCGCTAAGGAGACAATGAGCTTCAATCTGTTGTGAGGATTCCGAGATTCAGACGCCCCAGCCCTCAGCTGCTCCATCTCCTCTACACCAGACACCATCAGCCGCTCCATCTCCTCAATACTAGACACCATCAGACGCTCCATCTCCTCCACACTAGACACCAAACACCATCAGCCGCTCCATCTCCTCCACACCAAACACCATCAGACGCTCCATTTCCTCAATACTAGACAGCCCCCGTCTATCCATCTACCAAATCTCCGCCGACTCTCGAAAGCTACGGCCAGCGTTCGACGACTCCATAGAGGCTTTCTCCAATGCTCTATGCTTAATTCTAATGCTCAGGCCCACGTAGCACGCTCCTTCCCAAAACCGCCTTCTCATCACCGCCATCACAGCCCTCACCATCATCCTCGTCGCCGTCATCGTTGGCCATGGTTTCAAAACCCGCCTCGACCTCGGCGAGCAAGGTGTGGAATTCGAGGCTGCTCTGTAGCGTGTCGTTGACGCGGGCCACGCACTCGTCTTCGTCGCCGCAACCGGTGTCCAGCACGAGGACCTTCCCCGGGACGAGGCCGGCGGAGAGCAACGGGCGGAAGAGGTCGCGCCGGAGGTACCAATTCTCCAGGCATTTGTCCACTGCATGATTTCGGACAAATTTCAATTTACTGTCGTCCGATCTTGCGGATGGCGAAGGCGGCACCAGCGGCTCAGCGTTCGATCGTCCTGTGAACATGCTGACATGTGACTGAATAGGTGCAATAGGTATTTATGCCTGAGGTGTTTGGTGTTGACATAGGTTTGGGGATGCTAAGGGAACAGTCTTTCGCGTAGAATATGTTGAAGGATTTGCGTCTTTAAAGAGGTCTGTGGCATTGGGTAAGATGGAGGTCGATAGGTTCGGATGGCGAAGGCGGCACCAGTAACTCAGCGTCCGATCGTCCTCTAAACATACTGATATATAATTAAATAGGTGCAATAGGTATCCATGTGAGAGCTGTTTGGTGTTGACGTAGCTTCGGGGATGCTGAGGTAGTGACCTCTCCCTGTGTAGAATATGTTGAAGGATTTGCGTTTTCGAGGTTTGTGGTATTCGGTAAGGTAAAGGAGGATATGTTTGTGAGAGTTGTTCTGGAGTCGGAGGGAGGTTCGTAGTAGATGCGAGGTGTCGAAGTCTTCTAAGCACCTGTGTTGGTACCCACGAGCGACGTGTGCTGGCGAGGACATGAGGCCCAGGCGTTATGACTGTCGTTAAGGAGGACTGGTAAGACAGTCACACGAGAGCTCCGTGGTTCGACGAGAGGCCGATACCGTTACCGCCAAAGTAGTCACACGAGATCTCCGAAGATTGACGAAAGGGGATTGATATTGTTGAGGAGGATTGCAGTCGTCTCTCTATTCTTGAGAGCCAACGCTGTGGCACGTTCTTTCTCGGCCTTCTGAGCCAAAGTAGTCACACGAGATCTCCCGAAGTTTGATGAAAGGGATTGATATCGTTGAGAAGGATTGCAGTCGTTTCTCTATGCTTGAGAGCCAACGCTGTGGCACGTTCCTTCTCCGCCTTCCGCACGGTTGTCCGCTCCCTATCGACGATAGCGCGAGCTTTTCTGAGGCGCTGTGGCACGTTCTTCGTCCGCCTTCTGCACAGTTGAACGCTCCCTATCGACGACAGTGCGAGCTTCTTTGAGGCGCTCATCGAGTTCCCTGCACCTCTCGGTTGCTTCGCGTAGTCTTCGCGATAGCTCGTCAAGAGCACGGACTGAGTCTCCGAAAGAGCTCGCGTGGATACTCTTTTGATCCTCAGCCTCGCGCAATGCCTCGTGCAAGGCTTCCAGTGTGCCACCTTCGGCACTGTCGTCCTCGGTAGCCTCCTGTAACCGAGAGAAGACGTTGAGGTATTTTTATATAAGATGGTTCGACGAGAGGCGGTCGATATCGCTAAGGAGGCGTTTGTCGAGTTCCCTGCACCGCTCGGTTGCTTCGCGTAGTCTTCGCGATAGCTCGTCAAGAGTACGGACTGAGTCTCCGAAAGAGCTCGCGTGATACTCTTTTGATCCTCAGCCTCGCGTAATGCCTCGTGCAAGGCTTCCAGTGTGCCACCTTCGGCACTGTCGTCCTCGGTAGCCTTCTGTAACTGAGGGAAGACGTAAAGTCGTCACACAAGAGCTCGGTGGTTCGACGAGAGGCGGTAACCGTAAAGAAGGCGCTTATCGAGTTCTTTGTATCTTTCGGTTGCTTCGCGCAGTCTGCGCGATAGATCGTCAAGAGCACGGACTGAGTCTCCGAAAGAGCTCGCGTGGATACTCTTTTGATCCTCAGCCTCGCGCCATGCCTCGTGCAAGGCTTCCAACGGCCACCTTAGGCGCTTATCGAGTTCCCTGTACCGTCCGGTTGCGTCGCGCAGTCTTCGCGATAGCTCGTCAAGAGCATAGACCGAGCCCTCAAAGCAGCACGCGTGGATGCTCTTTTGATCCTCAGTCTCGCACAACGAATCGTGCAAGGCCTCCAACGGCCACCTTCTGCGCTGTCGTCCTCGGTTGCCTCCTGGAACGATAACGATAGAAGTCAGACGAGACGACAAGGTCAGCCAATCAGATCGCAGTTCCGACTGATCTGGGCGACTTGTACTTCAAGGCTGTGACCGTGGGTGCGTAGAGCTGCAGGAAGAAAGGACGCCAGGGGCCCGTAGGCCGAAGAAGGCGCGACGGACCCGTAGGCCGAAGAAGCCGCGACGAGCAACAAGACTGCCGTGCATAGTCCAGTGCAAAGGGCCCGTTGGCCTCAGGCGTGGCCAGTGTGGAGGGTCTGACGACAAGGCATATGAGCGATGCAGGATGCTCAAAAGATATATATATTTCTAATGTACAGAAGAGTAAGATGGAGAAAGAAAAAAAAAAGAGAGAGAGCAGTCGGGGGGATTTATATGGTTTGTACACACTTGGCAGTGACCGTGACCGTGACTGCCTTGCCACACCTGCCGCAGCAGCCAGTCACGACGCGTCACCAAGTCCCGTCCATTGTATGGGACTCGGTTCAGCTAATCAGATTGCTGTCCAGACTTCACGGCCGCCGTGAGAAAGAGTTTGTCTCGTCACGGTGTGTGTCACAAAGGCAGTTGGAGGGTGAAAAGTTAGAAGGATTGTACGTGATGCTTGCATTTAAGGCATGGACACCCAGATCAGGTAAAGGCCAACGACAGTGATATGAATACAAGGGGTTCCGTATCACGAGCTCGTATACTATAGACGAGCAGATTAAAGTGATAATATATTCATAATACACGAGATTCAGTATCACGAGTTCGTATGCTGGCAATAGACGAGCAGATTGAGGTGGTGGCAGTAGGCAGTGACGGTGATGGTTGAGGCCAGTTTTGGTGGCGAAACCGAGCCCGCAGTTTGGAAGTTTAGGAGCCACAGAGCTTACTGTCTGTCGGCGTGGCGATCTGCGCTGCCAAAACATGACTGGGGTGGCATTCGAACAGAATTGTCATGGCAGCTCTCACACCACGAGTGTCTTTTACTTCGCACCGAGTGGATGGGTGCTCAGCATGGAATCCTCGTCGTCGACCTCGAAAACACCCGCTTCCTTTTCCTCTGCATGACCATCAAGTACGGTGCAATGCGGACAGAACTCCCCACAGATCAAACAAGTCCTGCAACACTGCTCAGGAGGGTAAGACTCCAGGATCGATTGCCACCGAGCGACGACTATTCTGCTGAGCAGATTTAAGAGGCGGCATACCAATCGTACGCTCGAGACCAACAAGTCACTCCTTCGGTAACACCACCACCACCACCACCACCCGAGGAAACTAATACACAACAAGATGCTCCTCTGCTGAAACACATCGTGATGGTGCCCAAAATCGAGCGCGTCAGCCATCGCAGCATGTTGGCGTTTTGAACCCACCCAGTTGCGGCTTCAATCCGTGCGCATCGGTTGTCGAGACACTGCCCCCGAAAAGCCACAATTACGCCCATCCAGGCAAAAGTGAGAACCCTTTGCCAGAACAAGACGAAAAGGAGCCGCAGTTGGCCTCGAAAGGGGAAGAGAACGTCGATCGCAAACAACATTGCTGTCATTAAAGACAAAAACCCAATGACGATGGCGTACACCTGTGAGCATCTTGTGTCAGGCACATTCACACGTCAAAGTGTCATCCCGGGGAATCCACTGAAGCACCTATCTTTGTGGCACCATCCGCCATATCTGAAGCATTAAGAGCAACAGCGATCAGAGATAACATGAATTGGAGGACATCTTTGCTGGTTGCCAATGCTTTCATCGTCTACTGGTGGTGATACCAAGGTTGATGAGAACGAGGTGCTTGCCGACACTTGGTCCCTGCTTGATACTTGTAAGTGGACTTATCCCGGGTTTCTCTGTGAGGGGGCCTTGCTCTGTGCCGCTGGCTTCTGTTTGGCTTGATTGCGTGCATTCTCACTGACCTCGGCGTGAAGACAGAGATCTCAACTTCCTTGTATCCTTGAATTGGAGGACGTGTGTCGTTTGGGCGAGTGGACGGGGAGCGCCGATCGGGCATGGGGCACGGAGAGAGCCAGTATTTCAGAGCCATTGCAAGTATGTTATGCTCCCCCCCTTCCCATTATGCTAGGCAGCCGTGACATCGTGCCTTGGTCCGGGATATTACCAACCTGAAGACCACGGAGCAGAAAACGAGCACAGCCAGTCAAATACCATACATCTCTCACGGTATGGCTGGAGGCACCGGTGAAATCAGCATCGCTGTCTTCATCCTGCGTGCCGCCCTCTGCATCGGTACTTTGTTCCTTGGTCGGGTGGAAACTCTGCCGTCACCATCGTCCTCGTCGACGAAAGGATATCGAGCATGTTGGTCGGTGAGGGAGTCAATTCTTCGTGAGGATCTGGGACATCGGCCATGGCTTGATCGGATAAGTGGGAGCAGGTCAATGTTTGGGGGAAAGAAGCCAGATCGCACGCTGTGGATATTGATGAAGTATTGACTCTGGTCGCAGACGGTTTACCAGCCTTCGTCAAATTGGGGGCAATGGAATGCTCATCTCCGTCTCCGCTGTTGGAGCTCAAGTCTAGAGAGGACGGAGCATCGCCCACATTGGCCGCGGCGCTTCTCAACATCTGAGTGTCTGTATGTAAGTTCCTCTGTTCTCCGCTGCGTTTCACCACTTCTGTCCTACGGGAGAGCACTCTCATTGTTTCTATCCAAACCTCGTCTCAAGCCTGCAACGTTGCCCCAGACGCCAAAGCAGTGATTTGAACGTTTGCCAAAGGCCAAGCACGACAGGGGCATATTGTACGAGAATTCGATCGGTGGTTGGCATGCACATGGGAGAGCGCACAGGGGCTGATCCCGCAGGCTGGTCGCTGAGAAGGGTTTTCTGGTTGAGGCAGTGACTGTACCACCACCGCCAACACCACCACCACCACCACTAACAACAGCAACAACAACAACAACAATAACAACAGCTCCGAATGACCGTGCGTGATCCTGGTGAGTGGCCATAGGCACTTGGAAACGAGGAGCAACGGAGGAGCGATGAAGGTCTCAGTGCACGTGGCACTCTATTCTCTGTGATGCGAGGCTCAAATACTCGCTCTACCGCTCTTGATTGTCCTGTTGTATCAAGGATACCTGATCAAATATATGCAGTACTCAGCGATAGATAGATTTCGTGGTAATGAGTATCCCTTGGCGTATAACAGTGACAAGATTCAAACTATGAGGAAATCACCATGCGTGATCCTGTTTCGTGGCCACAGAAGTGGAAACGAGGAACAATTAAGGATAGAAGGTCTCAGTGCAAGTGACGCTCTATTCTCGGTAATGCAGGCTCAAATACTTGATCTGCCGCTGTTGTTTGTCGTGTTTCTTGCTGTCTGACGGGTCCAGTGCCCTCCGAAGTGTGAAGATACCCGTGCACAGAGTTGTGGATGCCTAGCTACCACCGCCACGGTATCACATTATAGTATATATCTTTGACTATTCCGCGCCTAAATAGTTTTTCGATTAGGTACACCTTCAACCATTCCACCCCCTAAATCTTTTATTATTTAGGAATACCTTTACCTATTCCGCCCCTAAATTCTTTGCCTTTAGTTAAACCCTTAACTGCACAGGGGCTTATCCCGCCGGCCGGTGGCTGAGAAGGGCTTTTCTGGCCAAGGCACTGTCTCAGTCGTACCACCACGGCCGACAACAACAATGGCTTCGATGACCATACGTGATCTGGTTGAGGGGACACAGGCACTTGGGAACGAGGAGCAATGAAAGAGAGATGGTCTCAGTGCAACTGTCACTCGATTCTCTGTGAAGCAAAGCTCAAAACTTAATCTATTACTCTCACTTGTCGTGTTACTTGTTTTTTCTCAACCCCAGTGCCCTTCGAAGTGTGAAACTGCCCGTGTACAGAGTTGTAGCTGTACGAGCAACCAACGCCACTGCAGCCCACTACATCCCTCCCTCGTCCATTCTCGCACAGGATGTCCTCACCCGCCCAAATCTATCTTGATGAATGGGCCTTGGCTTTTCGCGTCTTGCCTTGCGATCTTTTGGTTCTTGTTGGCGATGGAGCGCATAGCTGCATCAACATCCGAAACCATGTTCACCATCACCCAAAAGAGCCTGTCGCCATTTTGCAATTCCTCGAGGATGCGAAAAGGTTGCCAAAAGCCAGTGCCCCAGCTGGCAGCCGTGTAAGCTTTCAAGGTCGAGTGGTCGTGGTGGCTAGGGGCGGCGTCGGATTCGGGGGATGGGCATACAGCCTTCATGTTGCCCAACATTTGAGCGCACCGCCGATGTTATCATTAAGAAATTGGGCGAGGAAGGGTTCACCAGCGAGTGGAAAGTCTTGGACCTCGCAGCAGATCGGGCGACCATGCAAGAGGTGTCCGGGGATGTAGTGATGTATAGGAAGAAGGAACTTTCATCGGCAAGTGGTCGGTGTCGGTCCAGCTGAGGCGTGAGCTACTGAGCACCGTATCTGAAACCGTCGGTGGTCGAGAATGACCGATGACCGGAGGAGCGACGAGATGGCAAGACTGAAGTGTGGATACCGAACGCAATACTTTTCCGAGTCGTATGTGCCACGAACGGAAGACTTGGTGAGATCAACGAACTGCTGACGTGCATGGAAGGGGTCAGCGCGCTGTTTAGGGAGTGCCCGCTGCTGCTGGTGCTGAGCCCGGCGATCATCAGCGTCTCGACCTCGAAACTGCGCAGCACCATAACTATATCTAAATCTATTAATATTAAAGACGAGGAATAATAGGAAGTATAAGAAGCACTATGAGAACGTTATCGACACGGCATGGATCAGCCTCTATGCTTTTCTGGCTCAAGACATCAAGATTTCCTTCGATGGGACGGAAATTTTAGTGCGTGCTTGTTTCGAGAACATGGAAATTCAGACAATTCTCGGTTTCGGCGACATACAGCTTGTGCAGGATAACGAGGATCGGGCATGGAGTAGTTACAGGACCTCTATTTCATAAAGCTAATCTTACACAAGTCCCATGGGAATGGAGGAACTATGCATGGGGGAAAAATGGCATTTACAGGTACGTGTGTTAGTGAACAGGGACTCGGAGTCTCTGCTAGGGCTTTTCTTCCACCACAACTAGAGTCACTGTCCTTGAGTGTCGTCGAGTCCAAGAGGAAAGCACCCATCGTCCAGCATGATCTGCCCAGTACAGTTTGGGGTACATGACCAGAGAGCTCCTGTGGTTGAAACGACCACGAACGCGTCAGCCAGATTGTTCTCTTCGTCGGCCTGGGAAGGATCACCAAAGGCGACGGATCCAGCATCATTGCGACAACCACTGGACAGCCTAGGTTTCTGTCCTATTTTGATCTTGATACAGGACAGGATGGAGAATGGCGCTTTGATTTCAAGACTCTTCTGGACCAGGATGCGAGCGACGAGGACGAAAAGGCATCGTCGTCGGAGATCGGCCAAGGTGCTCTACACCCTTCCATTTCCGATGTATTTTCTACTTCTTCCACGAGGAGGCGAGTAGTGGAAAACATCTCCCCAGGCGTGACAACCAATTTATGCGGTCTCTCCGATAAGATAGTCATGGCAGGCTTCATCTCACAAGGCAACTTGCAAAGAGCTCTTTTCGGCCGAGAATATACAATCCGAGCCTTGCACGCGACAGGGTGACCGTTGACCCCCTGATCTCTCGGAGGTAACCCAGCGTCCGCGTCCTTGTCATGCTCAAAATGGCGTTGTCATTCTGCTCACCTTGGTTCTTATTGACCGTAGTCACGATCTTCGGCATTCCGACAAGTGCGTTGTTTTTGCACCTGTGCTCCAGAAGGTCACGGACCAACGCTCTTTGGCCAGCGTAGGTGGCGAGGATCGAGATGCTGTTCGGTGGGTATCCAAGGAGGTGCATGTACTGGTATAGCGCCACTGCGTATTCAGCCTCACCGAGATTTTGAACGAAATGTGGCGTGCGTTCACGTTCACTGGCCTCTTGATAGTCGGCGACATCAAGGAATTGATAGTCATAGCGGGAGTGCGACGGTTCCTCCGCACTTGAACGTGCCCACGCTGGCTTCTCGGATTGCGGTTTGTCTCCTGGTCCGTGTTGCTGGATTGTCGAGGTTTCTCGCCGCGGACTCGATTTCGTCGATAGCAACCCCTTCTGGGAAGACGCAGGAGATTTCTGGGTTCTCTTTTTTGAGCAGAGCGCCGCGAACATGGACTGAATTCCCCTGCTCTCTCCTCCGGGAGCTGCACCCTTCTTCTTGCCAGCTCTCTTTTCCCGCAGGGGCTTGTACCGTGACATACTAACCACGCGGCCATCGCCTAACCGGACACGGATCGATGAGCCATGCGGAAAGTTGGGACCGACGTGTGGTTGGGACAGCTCTGCTTGCGAAGCTCCCTGGCGTGGGCCGTCTCCTTGGTTATCACTCTCCGCTGGTGGTCTCGAAGCGGTACAATGGAGTCAGACGCGACGATCCATGAGCTCTTTGCTCCCCTGCTTCCTATGTGCGATGCTCAGATCCTCCATCACTCAGGGCACAGTATGGTTGTTGGCCAGCTTGACGAGCCATTCAATCAACCAGAACGCGGAGTCACCATGTTTCCGTCCGAACTCTTACCCTGTCGGCCACAATCCTCCCCAACCATTTGAGTCGATGTCTGACTGCTCGGGTCGTATAATATGTTTGTCGAGAGAAAAGGTAAGTCAGTACCCTTCCCTGGTATGTCTGGAGTCGATCCCGCCGCTGTCGCGAGTAGTCGATCACCACGTGGAAATTCCATATCCATTAGGGCATTGTCATGAGGATACATACAGGACTGAGGTCTGGCAGCTTCAGAACCCGACAATGATTTCTATGCCTCCAACATTCTGAGCAACGTACTCATGCACTGTGGGGGCGAGAGCTGGACGCACTGACGGCGTGGTCGCCGTTGGGCGCCATCAAAGATGAAACACCGCCGATTTGATGAAGAGAGGGAGGAAAAAGATATGTTTGCTGCACAGAATACGCCGCCAGTGAGCGGGTGGTATACCTTGCGGGAAGGGCCCAAGTTCTGTCTCAAGTCCAGCCACCCTCTTCCTCCAGTCCACCTGGACAGCCTGTTCTCGGTTGATGGCAGCGCTGATATCTTGTATAAGCGCACTTCGAAGAGCCATGGTAACTTCTAAGTCTTCCATTTTCTAGAGTCCATGATCCTTAATGTGCTTGACATCATAGATCACGAAAATGCCGCAATCGTGGTTTGTCTGTTTTGTTTACGGAACATTCTCAAAGGACCCATTCGTCCTAGGGTGCAAGTTACAGAGCAAGGTGATAACTGTCCCTACCTCCGGAGTGCAGGACGTTCGATTGTAGAGAGAGCCGATTCCGTACACAATCTCCTGGGACAGATCAAGGTACATGAGCCACCAATGATTCTTGCTGAATACCGGAACAAACGCGGGAACCCTTTCATCCCAAGGCCAGGAAGGAGGGAGCTTTCCCGAGGACATCAAGGTCTGAAGCTGATCGGGCGAAAGAACCCAGAAACCGTCCTCAAGAACATGCTTGGGATAAGCAGCAATACCAGCAGGGATGGTGTCAGTATTCAACCGCTCTTCATTCCTGGATGGAACTGATGAGTAAACACTGAAGCGAGTGGAGGTCGATACCGCCGCTGCCACCGTTATTGATGCGATCGCCCAAAAGTCGATATCTATCTCCCCGTTGTTGCTCATGAAACCTGTTGAGAGCGTCTCGAATCTGGCGCATAGTGGAAGAGACCAGTTCCATCCCATCTCGGCACGTTGCATTTGGGAGTTGCCTTTTGGACACACCGGCCTTGAGTCTCCTCAGCGACAGTCGAAAAAATCGATTTCGACCTCTGGAGCATCAGCATGGAAGAAAATAACCGGTCGCATGGGGAGGCCGAGTCGATTGTCAGCCAGTACATCACGGTCTGTGGACGAGTTCGGGCCCTGCCGGGGTCAATGGTCTGGATATTGAGAGTGTGTCAACGAAGGAGAGAGAGAGGACTATATGTGTATGTGTCAATGATCTTCTGGAATCCCAAAAAGCTGCTTCCCAAAGCGAAACGAGTCCGCACCGCCGTTGACTCGGTCCAAAATGGGTGCTGCGTATCAGACGACCAAGAAAGAAGTTTGATCCCACACTGAGAAGGCTATCGGCGGGCTGGTCGCAGGCTGACTACAGAACACCTCGTTTAAGCACTCTTCTTCCTTGATCCTCATCATCCTCTGCATCCCCGACGCAACCAGCCGCTCACGCAGATAGCAGCTACACAAGATTCGCGTTCGAACCCCGTGGTTCGTCATTCGGCGAGACAGGCTGGGAGAAAGTCGGACCACTCGACAAACCTTGGACAGAATCATCTCCGAGGAGTTGTTGGTGATAGATCTTGGTGCACAGCGTCAGGGAGGTGAAAAGCCGTGTAGAACCAGAGAGTTGTGAGATGGATGAACTGTGTTTGAATCTTCTAGCGAGGCGTTCCGTGAGAAGGAAGCACATGAACTTGAAAGCCAAACCGGGGCTTGACTTTTGCTTTGCTGCTCCCATCAGTGATCACCCGTCATCAACAACATTCTGGACTTTTCCAAGCTCGAGGTCGTTGCCATGATCGCCGAGAACTCACTTGAAAGTCTCCTGATGTCGGATGCCCCAGGTATAATACTTCCGACACCAGGCCCAAGGCTGTCGCCACGTGCTGCGGAGAGAGGCTTGATACTGCACGTCCTTTCCAAGCCCCCATGGGCAACGAGCTGTGGCGCCGCACTTCCGCTCGCGAAGAGGAATTTCAACCCCCAGATCAAGGGTTCTTGCCTGGCAGTCGTCCATCATCGTAGCGAAGACCAAAACACGCGTGAAGCACTGACCTCGAGAGTCGACATTTTGTCGTCTCGAGGCTGGCGCATTGACTCCGCGGCCCTATGTATGAACGGTCGTCTTCCGCCGTAGTTATGAGTTTTCTGAACACTGCGTCAATGCCGGTCAAGTGAGTCGACGCATGGTGGCTTCGTCAGCGTCACGAGGCAAGCCCAGGACCTTGTAATAGCCTTTGGTCTTACTACGCTTCAGAGCAACTTGCCCTTCGTGCAATTTGGAATTGATCATCCGGCACCGCGAAGACGCCTCGACCATTCGAATCTTCATTGGGGGCAGCTTCGGGATTCGGGTCCGTCGAAGGGGTTAGGAACCCTGAACCGTGACTCTTCTTGATTTCTTCTTTCTTTGTCAAAATCACCGAGAGGGAATGAATGAACGGAATGGAGGTGAATGCTAATGTTTTTGCAAGTTCATAGGATTTTGATAGGTCAGACAGACTCGAACCCCGACAGCGCGGGTTCGCAAGCAGCTCCCTCGCGGCTGGAGGGTCGTTCCCCTGTCGATCACCGTCTGCTCCATTTTCGACCATACAACTTTCCGCGAACTGTCGTACGACGACGACGATCTTGATATCATGTCAAGCCATCTCATTCAGGCTTATCTGTACTCTCTTTGAACCAGGAGTCACTCGGTCCCTGCCATGCCACGTTTTGCATTCTTTCTCCGACAGTCTGTTGCCATTTCTTTCTGCTGCCGAGTCTTCCCAGCTAGTTTTGGTGGTGAGTTGGGAATGCTGGAAGTGCCGGTGGAAGATTGTGAGGTGAGATGCTTGTATTGTTGCTGTACTATCTGATATCTCTCGTTTTCGCTTCGAAGAATCTGGCTCGATCGTTCTCTGCTTGCGTGGCAATCTCTTCGAAATCTCGTATCTCACTCTTTGTAACTTGTTCACATATGGCTTCTTGAAGTTCCTTATCTTCTCGGATCACATCGTCGACTTCCAACACAAGCTCGTCACGAACACGAGTGAATGCGCGAATTGCAGTGAGAGCTGAACTGAACCAAGCAGCCTTGTCGCTCTTCGTCTCCATCTTTGCGAGCAATTCTTTCGGCCTACCCCGGTAAAGCTCTCCATATGTATCACGCAAAGTAATCACCGGCGCAAGCAGGGGCGAACCAGGCGGGGAGGAAAGGGGAGAGGACGACGCAGGAGAGGCAAAATCTGCTATGCTGTTAATAACCTCTCACCCGAATCGAGTCAATGACGGTGGTGAACATACCGAAATCCCCAGTATCGCCATTGTCGTCGCCAGACGCCACTGAACCGTTAGTCTCATACCACAGCATAGGAGCAAGGTGACATACAAAAAGGAAAAACAGCCAGGGGGGGAAATGGCAAGTCCCAGGACTCTCCAAGGTCGGAGAGCATAGTAGGGCCACCGACTTCGCAGACCCGGTTAGCGTTGCGAAACAAAGGCTCAAGCCCCTTTGCTTGGGCCATCAACCAATCCCTGAAATACACCCATTAGGACGCAACCACTACTCGCATTGGGTGAAGGATCATACATTTGTACGGCTGGAATTACCGCACGCCCACCAGCAGCGGACTCTGCTCTCATGATGAGAGCCTGAAGGGACCGACAACCTGCCTGCAGGTTGGCCGGGACCTGTATCATTCAGTTCAGTCCCGATTCCAGCGGTTGCTGTACTTACAGCAAGACAGCCGGCACCAGGCCGGACTGGAGAACAAAAAGAGCAGGCCTTGGACCGCGTCCAGTCACAAGGCAGCCCACTCGGAGCATCAGGAGGATTCGCGAAGCCGCGCAAGGCACTATCAGTGTCAATATTGATCAACCACCTGTTAAAGCTGAACTCACAACTCGCTCCAGCAGGGCTGGCACCAAAGCCCCAAAGGGACAGAGACGGCGGGACGGCCTTCCGGATATTTGGCTGTGATCATGATCAATATCTTTCCTCACGAGAGTCAGGTCAGGGAGACGTACACATTGTGGCGTTACCTGAAGAGAGAAGGAGACGAGATAAAAGATCAAATATGAGGCCAGTTGAAAATGCTGCCGCACCCATGACTCAACAATGTCACGTGTGGAGCTAGGCCACGTCAGGACTAGCCTGGCCGCGCAGCCCTTTTTACCTTAGTTACTCGAGTCACAGACTCTCTCTCCTTCCTACGACTCAGATAGACAGAATGCACTCAACAACAAACCCTGCCATTGCGGCAATCCCCCCTTTCCCTAATTGTGGGCTGGCGTCGAGACTCATTTACTTGTGTCACGCAACAAACAATGAGAAACCGCCAATGCAATAGCAATTGGAAGACACCACGGTCAACGTCAGACCAGGTTGCCTTCATGTATACGCGCCTCGAGGACGAGACGTCTTTGGAGGGGGGGCAACTGTTCGAATAGGGAAGGAGATTACCCCTGCAGCATTAGGGAACGACGGTACGCCAGAGATTTACCGTGGCTACGAGGATGTAGCACAGGATCCTGGAGATGCAGGGATTCCTCCTGTGTCCCAAGTAGAGCACGCGATTGATCTCATACCAGGGAGCACTGCTCCTTTTGGGCCTCTTTATCCGCTGAGTGGTAAAGAACTAGAAGCCTTAAGGGAATACCTCGATGTTACCTCCGCAAAGGATTGGATCCGTCAAAGCACTTCCTCTGCTGGCTCCCCGATCCTATTTGTGCCAACGAAGGACGGCGGATTACACCTCTATGTGGGTTACAGAGGGCTTAATAAGGTCACGATCAGGAACAGGTACCCTCTCCCTTTGATTTCAGAGATTCTTGACCGTTTATCAGGTGCGAAATACTTCACAAAACTTGATCTGCGAGATGCCTATCACAGGATCCCCATCAAGGCTGAAGACGTTTGGAAAACAGCATTCCGCTCCAGATATGGACAGTTCGAGTACTTAGTGATGCCCTTCGGCCTGAAACCGTCGATTGAAAGGGAAACCAACAGTGTTGTTAACCGTGACTATCGGGCGTTGTGGTGGAATTTGGCCGCTGCTTTGTCTTGCTGGACCGCCTCCCGACCCTTGTCCAGGGTCTGCACGCGGACGATAGGTGGTGTTCAGGTTCGGTTTCCTGCCCTTCCAAGCAGGTATTGTTGCAAAAGAGACAGAAGAGGCAGAAAGGAACCAGAACGGTGACAACAGACGCGGTGTTGTCGCAGACGATCGATCAAAACGCGGTTCAATCGACGCTTTGCCGGACGACCCCTCAACTGATCCGTGAGCAGAGACTACAAAAGCCTCGAGAAGGAAGTATGATCAGGCCAACAATGATGTGAGGCTACAGAGATTCAAGTGGTTGGTAAGAGGAAGGAAAGATCAAATTGCCAACGAGAAGGAAGGCAACTTCAGTAGCCGTTCAATGCCACATCTGCCATTGCCCAATCCGATTCTGTGACCTCGCCGTCGCGTGGTCGCGTCATTCTTGACAATCCGTTTGCAGTGCCTTCACTTGTCACTTGACTTGCCCAGTCACAGTGCAAGCTGAGAGATACACCACCAATGTATACGTTCAAATATGCACTTGTACACATAGAGAGATATATAAATATAGTTGTTGCGGCAGTGTTTCACGATAACTAGTGGCTATCTTGCTCACGCGGGCTTCTGCTTTCAACTCTTTGACGAGCTTGTCTCGGGCGATTTCAAGAGGTAGTTCACCCATTCCACTGATCTGCGTCTGGCCTGTATCTTCGTCCTGCGACAACCGGAGGCTGGGATTTTCTCATAACGGCGGCGCTAGCTTTTCGTGCATCTCCTTCTCTTCCTGTACACTGTTTGGTTCAATGGCCGCGAAGAAGACAGGAGGCGACATCCGGATCGGGCGCAGTTGCAGCTTTTGCAACGGTTCCAACGGCTCCAGAGGAATGGCCTTGTTTCCTGCTATGAGATGAGCGTGTCACCGGTTCGGGCAAACTTCGAGCCCGCAACAACCACTATCTCACCAGCACGAAAAGACGGGACGGTGTGGGCAGGTCCATCATTGAGGCTTTCGAACAAGTATTGCGCTGGTTGAGGACTAACACATATCATGACAGGTAAGCGTGTCCAGTGCTGGACAGAGATTCCTGAACTTTGAAAGAATTATCGAATTGTTATGCGGGGCCTGATGTGCCCATGGTATAGCTTTTTCTAGCACTAGATTGGCTGTAGGGCAGTAAAGAAACCATTGTAGGCCTGCAAGAACGAATCGACACTGCCTTGCAAGGATTCCCACACCTCATGCAGAGTGGTATTTTCACCAAAGACACGGTCCAATATGAAAATCTTCCGTCCTTGGGGTGACTCGACGGCAAGACTGGTATTTGTGTTTACTTGCACCACCGGCCGCCAGAACCCTTGCAGAGTGAGGCCAAACCACCATCAATCCATGGAGAGACCTTGACTTCTCGTCAGCGGCCCCAGGGCCCGATAGGACGGCCTTGACCCTGTGTCTTGATGCGCCCATCCCGTCCTCTTCTGTGCTCACTGCTCACATCCTGCTGTCTGTCACAATTCTCGGCCATTTTCTCTTGAGTTATGCCTGCACGGGCGGGCACATGCCCGCCGAAGATGAATGATGGTGTCTCTCCATCCGTCGTGTCTGGTGAGCTGGACTCCATGTTGACGTCCTCGTCTGCTGGGGTGGGGTTGAGAAGACTATGGATGCTTAAGCCTCTCGAGATTGGTTGGTCAACGGGCTCGGTCGTCGCTAGAGACGAGTTGTGTCGGGCTGAAGAGGCAGATGGATCGTCGGAGATGGGGGCTGAGCTCATTTGAGGAGGGATAGGGTTGGTAGGATTGTTGCGGAGATAGGCTGTGAGCTCCTCCGAATTTAGTCTTGTAGACCCGATAGCCTGATGTTTGCGGCGCTCTCTCTGGCGACGGTTCGTGAACCAGACCTATAGAAAAAAGGGGTTAGCTCACTCTACGGTGGTTGCAGAAGGTGGTTAGTCGTCCCTGAACATCACTCTCACTAAGCTCCACCCGACTGGCGATCAGGGCTATTTCGGCCGCGTTTGGTGCGTGATTGTTTGCGTATTCAGCTTTGAGGATGGCAGCGTCCCGATTGCTATACCTGGGTCAGAAGCTGTGGTTGGGCAGAGAGCGTGATTCAGGGGAACCGACCTGGTACGTCTTGGCTTTCCCTGGACCGGTGGAGGTCTCGGTGAGGAAGGCCAAAGGTCTTCATCGTCGAGCAAGTCGAGCGCGGCCCACGGATTCATGGTCAGCAGCTGTACAGCAGGAGGCAGTAGACAGGCAGAGTCGCGACACAGTAGAACAAGGTGTACAGTGGTAAAGTGGCGGTAAAGTGCGAAGGTCTGAGGACAGCTTGGCAAGAAAATGAGACGAACTTATAGTATTATGATAGCCGCCAAGACCACGTGACCTTGCGTGGTCCTGCGCACTGGCCACATTCTTCGACAACAGTCGCCTAGCGCTGCTGTAGCAACTAAGACTATTGGTTGCCCGGGTCGTTGTCCTGGCACCTACGCAGTCACTGGCCATCACCCATCATCCATCACCCATCACACCATCACCCATCACACCATCACCCATCAACCCGTCACCCCATCAACCACCGCCTCGACCATCCACCATCAATTTCTCTCGAACCTGCTTCCTCTCCTTCACTCGCGACAGAGCTCAACGTCGCCAATGTGAGATTGTCTTGTTCTGGTTCCTCGACATCGACTCTCCCCTCCCCACTCTCCAGATAAACACAATACCAACAAACACTGCCCCTGTGGCGTTTTCCTTGTTTTCCTTCGTTGTGGGCCAGTGCCTCACTCATTCAGTTGTCGTCACACAACACCATTCCCCTCGCCTCTTCCCCCCGCTCACACACTCAAGACAAGGTACATTTACAGATAGAGTGCGACTCCACCCCACAGGCAAGTTGCAGCACCTCCTGGGTTTAGGTTAGCTAACAGCATCTCCTTAGGTTTGTTTACTGTGGCTCAACAAACTCAATAGCACTTCCAGACGAAGGCTATCTCAACGTCTACGCGCCCTCTCACCCTGCAATTTGGTGGTTCAAATCCAACTCTACGACCCCTGTCCGCCGAGCTTGCCATGCCTGCACCGTCGTCGGCAGCGGACAGATGGTGTCGACAGGCGGCAGGCGGCATGCTGCCTACTTCCCTACAAGCACTGGGTGCCGATCAGGACCCTGGACAGGCACGCCGGGGGTTTTTGACATAACGGCCTTTGAATGGGTAGATCGTCATGATGCAGCTGCAGCGGCCTACGAGGACCCCGATGTGGTCAAGCGGTATTACTCTGAAAGCTATAAAGAGCCAACGTGGAGCGATCCCAGATTAGCCACGATCTTCGGTACGTCTAACAAGACGTACCGATTTGATGTTGTTATTGAGTCCTTTGGAGTCTTTCTGACCGTTAGGTTTCTAGCATTCACACCGCCCGCAGTCTCCTCAACCAACGGCTCTACTCCCTCAAGCGGTTCCGATAGGTCTTCATACTCTTCTGGCGGCGGCAATGGCGGCGGCGACTCCTCCACGGCCACCTCATCATCATCGCGGGCGAGGAAAAGCAATGCCGGCGCAACAGTAGGCGGCGTCATTGGAGGCGTGGCACTACGCGCAGTGATTCTGGGCCCGTGGTACCGGGTTGCAGACCGACGAAAACCGCAGGGAATACCGCAAAGAAAGGAGTCTCCTTGTAGAGGAGGGCTTTTTCCAGCCGTTTCGCCAGGTTCTCTCCTGCTTTGGTCAACGCTCGCTTCGGGCCCGCGATGCCGCGGAACAACCGGGCTATCTACAGAAGGAAGTTCACCCCTGTCAGAGCCGTTACCTCCCCAGAGAAGCTGTCCCAGATCTGGTGGCCACACCCTCACGCCCCAGCCGGCTCCGTCTGCACACTCGTTGTGGCCATCAGAGGCTGGATGGAGTCCGAGCTCCGAGGGCGAAACCTACAGGCAAATTATCGTCTGCGACCTTCCCTCACCTCCTGTCCTCCTTCACACCGCATACCTCTCTGTTATGCAGCAAGTCCATCGTCGCTTCTCCTCTGGCCAGACGTACAATACACACCACTCGTTCAAAAAAGGGTGCTTTACGAGATATGGAGGACCAGCCTCTCGGCCTCTGGAGAACTATTATCGCCGACGATTACCCGGGGCAAGATAAGACTCTCAGTACCTCCCTACTCAACAAATCTTTATACGAGGGAGTCAAGTGTTGTCAGGTTTGTGACTGCTTGTCACTCCGTCGCACGTCCCTTCCACGACCCATCACTCACTGAAAACCCCGGCCCGGAAGATCTAACCTGTCTCAACAGCGAGGACTAGTGCGAAGTCAGAGGTCCGTCACCCTTCGCCTTTGACCTCACGCTCGCGGCTATATCGTCGTCTGAGAGAAAATTATATCCAGAATCGACACTCTCTGCAGTCATGAGCTCTTCGAAAAGGCGTGTGGAGCCGTTAGAGAGCGAGAGAAGGAAGATAGAATGAGGAGGCGTTTTGAACCGGCGAGACCTGAACGACAACTCTCTTGATGTCATCCAAGTTAGAGTCAATGGCACCGCCATCGACATCGAAGATCGACAGCGCCTGGGTATACAAAGGCTATACTTCGAAGATCCGGTCTAGGGAGGACCTCAAGCGACTTGGGCGGCTCATCTCGTGGTGTGAGGATGGTAGTCCTTAACGATATCGACCATGACCGGCTTCACGAGCTGGGTGCGAATGGAGGACCACAACCTGGTCCACCTGGTAGACGGACAAGTCGTTCTCCAGGAACCCATTCAGCCCAAATGGCCGGGGACCTAATCGACCACCTCCACCCTTCGATCCTTATATACAACCGGAACAGCGCGACGGCCCTCCCGTCGAACTTCGGAGATCTCGTGATTTGACCGCGGCGGCGGTCCTCTTTAACGATGTCGCCTCACCACGTCCTCTCCAGGAGGTATGCCTCTACGAATACCAAGATATCCATCGCGCTAGGCCGGTATCATTCCTCCATACCAACTGGAACAGGTCGGGATAAGTGAGCAAACGAGTTCCCACCATCAAAAGCTCCTGTGAAACGTCTGACTGGAAGTGCTAGTCTCCGGAGCACTTAAAGGAGAATATCGTGGTGTGTTGGCCGCAGCCCTTAACCATATCGACCTCCTCCTGTCAAACTGTAAGGGTCTCGTGATATGACGACGGCGGCGGTCTTCTTTAACGGTGCCGCCCCCCGTCCGTCACCCAAAAGAGGAATATCTACACCGTTACCGAGATATCCACAGCGCCAGGGCGGCATCACTCCTCCACACTGAACGGAACAGAGCGAAAATAAGTGAGCAGACTATACGGAGCACCTGAAGAAGGAGAACATCGCAGAGAATCTGGAAAATGACTAGATTGTTTGACGGTCTATACCAGTGACAGCGATCTCAATGGTCATTACGGAAGGCAGCACTACTGCAAGACCATTCTTTGGTCGGTGTCGAGCTTTGGATATCTCATGGTGTGTTGGCCGCAGTTCTTAACGATGAAGACCTCCTCCCGCCGAACTACATGATGAAATCCTGCAGACGAGCACCTCGATTAGTCTCTGCAGCTTTCCCTCCTAGACACAGGACGATGGCCGTAAGGATGGCCCTCTTTGCACTTCCATTTTAACCGCCGCGATGAAATTGATGCACGGGCCAAACTCGCAACTTATATCTCCACATGACATGAAGTTTTTCAGGTGAACCCCCTCTAAAACTCGTATGACCGTCTTGGTAACGGTATCGAGCGCCTCTCATCGAACTTCGAAGATCTCGTGTGACTGCTTTGGCAGTCTGTGGTAACGGTATCAACCGTGCTAGCGCTGGAAGCAGGGAACGCGGAAGTGCAAATATTGATTGGGAACCGTCAGCTCATAGTAGCACCAGCAGCTTCGCACCTCGACGGTCTCGGCAAGTGAACCTGGGTTGACGATGTTGTTGTACTTGGGCGACCCCCAACTTCAAAAAGGACTGAGCCTCATGGACGTGAGAGACTGGGTTGCGTTGTATCTGAGCCACCCCGTGAGAGCCGCAGGACAAGTATGGCATCGTCCTCCTGTTACAATTGGTGTTCCCGTCTCCGAAGTACAGTCTCGGCAAGTGAACCTGGATTGACGGGTTTGTTACACAGGGGCGGCAGGTGAAGGGGCGGTAGTGTAAAATGAGTCAGGACGGTAGTGTGAGGTGAGCCAGGACTGACTTGTTCGCCGAGATTTGGAAGATTCCTGTCTGCGATCGCGGAGGCTGTCTTATCTGTGGTGCGCGGCTCTCTGGCTGGCGTTGGATAGAGGCACAAGATGGCCTGAAGACGGCTGCTGATCAATCTAACCCTTCAGAAGTGTGATTCGAATTCCTCAGCTCTTTCTGTGTTGCGTGTCTAGGTTCCTCGTCCGCGGTTCTATCCTTAGGATTGTCAAGCAAACTGCGGAGGATCGTTTAGAGGATCGTCTCGTCGAAAGCGATGTCGTGACGGAGGTCGGCAATCTCAGCGAGAAGAGCAAGGTCGGTTATGTTGTCCACTCTGTTTCGCAGGTACATCGAATGAGCGGCGTCTGCGAGTATGAGGAGAGGATGGGCGTGCGAGGGCCTCCGTTCTCAGCATTCAAAGCTTGGAGATAGGTTTGGTGGGCGACACACGGTTCGGTGTGAGGGAAATGAATTTGGTGGATGACACACGGATCAGTGGAATATTCGATAGTGACGCATGTTCAATCTGTGTGGACCAAAGGTGAACCAAAGGTGGACCAAAGGTGGTTGAATTGGTTGAGTGACTCATCTTTGAAATCTTTGCACGAAACGCACGCGCAGGCCCAAAGCGGCGTATTGTCGCGCGCTAAACCTTCTCAACGAGGGTTTAGGGCACACTCTCTCGGCTGACCTTCCGGTCATGTCCCACCAGAGGAAAATTTTCCCGTCTAAGTTCCATCACGTTCTGAGTGATCCGGTAGAGCACGGAGATAAATATCTATCTTCTCCCCTCCCTCCATCTCCCCTTTCTCTTTCCACGAGCTGACTCTACTAAGTAGTGGAACAGTCGCGTATATCGTAACAGAGGGAAAACAAAGAATGATGATGACTTCTCGAGAATTAAAGTCCTGTACTTGGTTTACTGAGTGCATGTACACTGCGCAGAGAAAAGAAATCTGACTTTGACGTGGGTTTCGAATGGGTTTATCGGGCGTTACAGCCAAAGCCAATTGCTGGAGACGAGTAACAGAGGCACTTAAGCGAAAGGGCACGGGAAGGATTTGTCTGCTGGAAAAAGTACTAGCTCATTCGTAAGTGGAATGATGTCTTCCGTCCAGAGAAAATGACTTCTGCCTTAGGGCCGCCAGTGCGGAGCCCATCATGATCTGCTAAAAAGCTATAGGACACTTTCGCTGATGCCGCTCAAGAACTCAATCTTCAACACCTTCTCATAGCCAGCCAGAACTACAAGCTTGCTCAGGGCCTACCACCTTCGATCCATCTGTGGACCCGATGCCACCCGGGCTTCCCGGCCGACAACACCCCATTGGGCGTGTCAAAGAGCTTTGGGGTGGGATCGTTAGACGAAGAGTCAGAGGGTTGAATACATATCTTGATTGTATAAAGCTGTCCTTGAGACATCGACTTCTCGCACTGTTGAGGGCCTCTCCAGCAGTGCGAGAATAGAGGTCCTATTTATCTCTTTCTGTGTATACCTTGTGGGGGCCGCCTTGACACTTGGGGGCTGTTGGCCCCATGGGGGCCACTCGCCCCATGGGGTGTTGTCGGCCGGGGAGCCCGGGTGACAAGTAGGGTTGGAAGTTGGATGAGGTATAGGATGGTCTGAAGACGGCGATTGAGCGTTGTGTGAGTGACAGCTAGCGGCCCCTCGTCGCTCAATCCAATCCTTCAGAGGTGCGATTTGAATTCCTAAGGCAGACCGTGGCGGTATCCTCCTCCTGAGCAGGTTGTAGAGCGCGAGTATATATGTGCAACCTCCTTCTCTTTCGGTGTTCCGTGTCTGATTTCCTCGTCCGCGGTTCTGTCCCTAGGATTGTCAAGTAAACTTGGAGGATTGTCTCGCTGAAAGCGATATCGTGACGGAGGTCGTCACTGCGAGAAGAGCAGGGTTAGCAGTTAGATGAGGCAGAAGATGGCATGAAGACTCACTGTTGGGTATTGTGTGAGTGGCAACTGGCGGGCTCTCGTCGCTCAATCCTTCAGAAGTGTGATTCGGGTTCTTGAGAGGTAGACCGTGGTAGGGATTTTCTTCCCCTGCAGGTTGCAGGTTGAAGAGCACGAATATATACGTAACCTTAGCTCTTTCTGTGTTGTGTGTCTAACCTTCTCGTCCGTCCGTCCCAGGTTTGTCAAGCAAACTCCGGAGGATCGTCTGGAGGACCGTCTCTTCGAAAGAGATGTCGTAACGGAGGTCGTCAATCGCAGCGAGGAGAGCAGGGTCGGTTATGTTGTCCACTCTCTTTCGCCACTCCTTCAGAAGTGTGATTCGAATTCCTGAGCTCTTTCTGTGTTGCGTGTCTGATTCCCTCGTTCGTCGGTCCCCAGGATTGTCAAGCAGACTCGGGAGGACCGTCCGGAGGATTGTCTCGTTGAAGGCGATGGGCTTGCGGAGGTCGTCAATCTCAGCGAGGAGAGCACGGTCGGTTATGTTGTCCACTCTGTTTCGCAGGTACATCGAATGAGAGGCGTCCGCGAATATAATGAGAGGATGGGCGTGTGAGGGCCCCGTTCTCAGCAATCAAAGCGTGGAGATGGGTTTGGTGGGCGACACGCGGTTCGGTGGGAGGGAGATGGTGAAATATTCGACAGTGAAGCATGTCCAATCTGTGAACCAAAGGTGATTGAATTGGTTGAGTGACTCATCTATGAAATCTCTTGCACGAAACGCGCAGGCTCAAAGCGTCGGAGTGTCGCGCGCTAAACCTTCTCAATGGGGGTTCAGGGCACACTCTCGGCTGACCTTCCAGTCATGTCCCATCAAAAGGAGAATTTTCACATCCAAGATGGTATCAAGGACACGTTATCCTTGAGCATCCCAAGTGCGCAGGCCCTCGTCAGCAGTCCTCATCCCCAGGTCCTCATCCATCGTGTGATTGCGTGACAATAGTATTGTGGTGAATAGCCTCAATATTCTTGTGCCCCAATATTTCAACCACATCTTCTCCTCCTCATTCTATTCCTTCCTTCCTTTGCTCTTCATATATACTTAGATATCCAAGGTCAGTCGCCTGCGCCGCATGTTGATCGCTCGCTAATTGCCTCGCAGATGGACATGGTCGATCTCGCTCCTGGCAGCACCGCCTCAGGTGCAGGTGGTCAGCCGCCTCGTCGCCCCGGGGACTCTCGTGAGTGTTTTCCTTCTCCCTACACGCGTCGCGCATCTGACTCGCGCGTTCAGTTCCTCCCAAATCTGCCTCCAAGAAGGCTCGGCGTCGGGCCCGGAAGACTATGCCTTGCCAACCTTGTCTGCGATGGCTCCGCAAAAATCATGGCTATTTGGTTGGCGAGCGCCTCCGAAGCGAAATCCCTTTCGCTTCCGGGCAGGGCGCCCAGTGCGAACGGTGTGGGCTCTCCCGCAAGAAGTACACTCCTGTGAGTACTGTGCTGTTGCACGCGTCCTCGCAAGCTTATCGTATACTGATCACAGTAGGTTCCTGAGGCTCGCGTGGCCGAGACCAACCGCATCCTCGCCCTCAATCAAATGCTTGAGAGAGAGCAGCGTGTCCTCGATGGTCGTGCCCATCTTGCCTGGGGGTCCGGTGCTGATGCCTCCGGTGCTGGTGCCTCCGGTGCTGGTGTCCCCTCCGACAACATTTTTGCTGGCATCCGTGAGGCCTTGCGGCTTATGGGCGAAGCTTGTGCGGCCCTCGTAAGTGGCACTTGCTCTTCTCGTCCGTCCCGCACTAACTTTGTACAGAAATCAGTGTGTGAGTCTCTCAACGATGAGGACGAGGAGTAGAGCGCGGTCTATGTGTGCCTCCCTGGTGTGTCGCCTATGTGGCTGTTGTGTGTTCTCCGTGTGGTGGCATTGCCCTTGGACAGAGCGTGTCTGACACGCCTGCGGCTTGTGGCCAAATGATGAACGAGACGCTGTGGCGTTGTATGCGAACCGTATGCGGCCTTGGGCCAAATACAATCTCCTTGCTCAACCTGTCACTCCTTTTCTTCTGTCGTCAGCGATTACCTCGCGTGCGTGTTTCAGGTCTGTCGCTGGCTGCCATGAATCGTCTGCTTCTCCGAATCCCTTCCAGCGAGCTTTTCACTAGCACTGAGAGTGTGAATGTTCCTAGCAGAAACAAGAACTTGATCACCGATATTTAAGAATATACATGTCCTCTTCTTATCGTAATGCTTGCGCATGCGAGTCTCAGCAACCTTGCGTGCCTCTTCCGCTGTAGCGAGCGGTTCAGAACGTTAGTGGCACCATGTCGAACTCTGACTGGATGAGTTGCTCGATGGGTTGCGGAAAGGGCAGTATTTCAGAAGGGTTGTCTCGCGAACACTGGTTTCTGGGGGGAAGTCTTCGATTGCTTGACAGGAGATATATATTGTAATGGGCTGCAGTGGCGGTGGTGGCTAGTACAGCCACAACCCTGTACAAGGTTTATCTTCACGCGTCAGAGGGCACTGGGTTTGAAAAACAACAACCAACACCACAAACAACAGCGGCAGATCAAGTACCTGAGCCTGCATCACCTGGAATAGAGTACCATTTGCACTGAGACGTTCGATCCTCCATCGCTTTTCGTTTCCAAGTGTTTGTGGTTACGTAACCATATCACACATGGTCATTTGGGCTGTTGTTGTTGTTGTTGTTGTTGTTGTTGTTGTTGTTGGTGTTTGTGGTTTCGTACACCTCTAACACATGGTCATTTGGGCTGTTGTTGTTGTTGTGGTTGTTGTTGTTGTTGTTGTTGTTGTTGTTGTTGTTGTTGGTGGTGATGGTGGTGGTGATGGTGGTGGTATAATCGGTGCCTCGACCGAAAAACCCTTCTCAACGACCGGCCTGCGAGACAGGCCCCTGTGCGTTCTCACACGTGCATGCCAACTACCTATCGCATCCTCGTGCAATATATATATATAGATGGATATGGATTTTGGGCTTAGGAACTAATTGCATTTCTCTCGCGTTGAATCTCACCACCAAGTACCCAAAGAACCGAGATACTTCTGCAGGAGTCCTGCCAAAATCTCCGTGGCACCATTCCGGCATGACAAATGATTCATGTATCCTTGAGTCTCCCCATCTTGCGAAGACCGCACCAAACAGCTCATATGCCTTGGCGTTGTAGTGGTGAGAGCTGCAGACGGGTCATCCACCTCGTCGTCGATCGCGTCCATGTGGTCTGGCCGTTGACAGAATCGTAATCAGTGCCGGTTGTGTCTTGGGCCGCTGTTCGACCTACGATGGAAAGGTATGAATGGACGTGAGCGGAAGGATCCCCGTCGCTGGAGTGCCCGTGGGCCGGTGGGCGCCCTCATCAAAGCAGGCTCTCTCGGCGGAGTTGGCGACCTCGATCTGGATCTTTTTCGTCCCGGGGCAGGTTCTCTCCGCTCAAATGGCTTGGTCTCCGTCTTGACGGGTGCGGAAGCGTCGTCCCGCTTCTTCAGGGGGATTCTGTACACTAATTGGAGCTTCGACCACGCACCCAGTAGCGCCGACGCATGGGTCGCAATTCTCTCGTCAGAATGATGGGTTAAAGACTCCATGGTTTTGTCAATCTTGCTATCCACGATTTTATTTTTCGTGCGCTGGGGCAGTCGGTCCAGGATATCGAGAATCTGAAGAATAATGGTTTTGTCATCGTACCATGCAGAGAGCTGCGAATTGAAGAACTCGTACCCGTCGTAGTCTCTGACCACTTCCTGCCACATCTGATCATCGGTACATCGTTGAAGGCGTTGCAGGAGCTGAACGGCAGTCCACCTCTCTCTGCATTGTTCCAGTGCGGCCATGGACAAGGGGACGCCAACGAGGTCCCGAGATTTGGCTTTGACACTGTCCACGTCGTCCTCGTCGTCCTCGTCGTCCTCGTCGTCTTCCGCCGTCTTCTTGTTGCGTGGCTGATTCACATCCATGACACCCTGCTGGGGGTCCATGATGTCAAGTTACGTCGTTTCCTCGTCCTTGTTTTGTACCACTCTCCTCAATGAATTGCCGTTGTTTGACGAATGAATCTGACGACCTCTGGAAGAGAAGGCGATATCTGAGATAAGGCTATATCTGAGATGAGGCTGTCGTAGTTGCTGCCTGTCCGCATGAGGACCGAATGCTACCCCGCACCGACTCCAACTTTTCCCTTTCCCTTTCTCCCCAAAAAAGTTTGTCCACCAACCTGCGCCGCACTCATCACCTTGCAGCGTTGAGTTCATCGACCACGCGCCTCATTTTCCTTTTCGCTTCGCTGTTGCTCTTCCATTCAATCTCCCCAGAGCATCGACATTCGGCACCCGGCGTATCAATCGTGGCTCTGCATATCGCGCCCCGGAGCATCGTGACGGCCGGTACGGGCCTGACCTCTCACTGCTTCACGACAAAGAGTACAAATCCCTTCTGAAAGTTCATTCCTCCTGAGGTTGTGTCTAACATCGATCTAGAGAGTGGCCACTTCGATCCTTTTCCTCCCTACACTTTCACTGGTTCTCTGAGGCCTGTCTACCCTCTGTCTCCGAACGGCATACCCCGAAGTCAACACCGCATCCAGGATGGTCGCAAGATGAAATACCCAGATATCCACATGTCCGTAAAAACAACGTCCAGGTACTCGATGAAAAGAGCATCGCGGGCAGCCTCCGTATCCCGACAGCGTGCACAGACATCTGCACACTGAAGCCCAGCGCCGGTCGGTTCCCAACAACAGGGTGCGCTTCGGGGCTTCCTGGGCTGGAGAGCGTTCAAGCGGTGATCGGGCCTTTGGCACGGTCGCTGCAAGACTGCCTTTTGTTTTCCGAGGTCGTGGTCGCGGCAGAGCCGTGGAAACAGGACACCAAGTCTCCACCCATCCCATTGCGTACGGTGGAACAGAATGAGCAGCTTTTCACCCACCGTTCTTGTGAGAGATTGCTACCTGGATGTACCCGGACTCGTCTTGAGCGACGAGCGCGATCTGCCCGTTGACCAGTGCATATTTCATCGACCTCGGTTATATGCGCGGTACTGGCACAAGAGACGAAAAGACACAGTTGGCACAAGCTGGTCCTTAGAGACAGCTCTCATTCTCAACAGCATGATGGCTTTGTCTGTCGGCTTTTCTTCGGCTGCGACATTCACCGGCTGCCGTGTGAGCTCCTCACGTTCGATATTCATGCGTAACGTGGGCGAGAACGACAAGACTAGATGAAGAAGAACTTTGCCAGTGCGCTGAGGAAGGTCAAGAAGGAGCGGACGTTGACGTGGCTGCCTAGCATGCTTGAATGATCGATGGAAATTCCAGGTAAGTCGACACCCCTGGCGCCGACGGCATTGAACGCTTACTTTTTTTCTTTCCATAGCCATGAAAGCTCGCTCTGGCCCACGCACATACCTCTGGAAAATGGCAATCAAGTATGCTGGAGCAGGTCTGATCGAGCATCAGTGCGTCGGGGACAGTCTTACGCGGGCATTTCGGCAGGTGGAACAGCGGAGGTGGTGGCAAGAAGTGGACAATGCTGTGAGGCACCTCTACTACAGCCACGAGACCTAGAGCTAACGTGATGCAGGCGCCGCAGACGTTCCGCCACCAAAAATCAACGGGACTTCGAGGGGCGTTGACCCCAGACGGCAAGTTCTCGAGAACTGCTACTTCAAAATCCAGCCCAACCACATTGCGCCGTCAGAGTGTTCGAAACAGCATCATCTCGCACCGTACCAAACACTCCAAAAACAACGACGAGGGCAGCCACGTCTTCTACAACTCCATCCAACAATCCCCCAGCTCAGTTGAGCGCATAGTCTGGAGAGCTTCGAGCATTACCACAGTTATTCTGCCAGAAGGGATGGAAGACGCCAATCACTCCACCCTATTCATCCTCCAATCGCATGCTCGACCACGCGGCAGACTGATCTCATCATGATCATGACGCTGTAAATATATATATCAACATGAACACTTCGTCGCAGCCACTCAGCTCGGCGTCGTCCGACCATTCTGCGGCTTTGTTCCGTGGTTTGTCGAAACTCTGGTCATGCCATTGATCATTGCGGCCGCTTGGCCATTATCCCTTGTCGGCTTCGGCAGGCTCCCTGGATGAGAATATGGTGGGAGAAAGACAGAAAGAGAGGAAGGGGAGAAAGGGATGAAGGCGGTGGCCAGTCCGGTCCCCGCAGGTCATCGACGAGCTTCTCGAGTTGGTACGTTTCATACTGGGCTCCTTCCCTATCACCATTCTTCATCTGTTTCTAATGCCTTTCAGCCTTTATGTGGATCGAACGGTACACATTCTTACCGGGGGAGGGGACGGCTTCGTTGACAAGATGGAGAAACTGACCTTTTCAGACGACGTTAGAGAGATGGCCGTGGAGCCTTCACCTGAACCTATTCTTCCGCTTGAGGAAAGACCAGTTGAACACCACCACCGCCCTCGACGACGTCAGAAAGCCGCTACATCGACGAAAATGGCGGTATGTTTTCCTCGCCTCTAGTAACCAAGTCTCAGAGAATTGACCACCACTTACAGAACCTCGCCTGGCTCCAATTCAGCAACTCGATCCACTGCTCTCACTCGTTGGACAAAAAGAGTTAAAGACTTCAGGGAACTTGGTCGCAGCATCGGGAAGAAGTACGTATGCACCCAGGGAGTGACAGAATTCCGCCCTCACTATTGAGATTATTCTGCCTGGATTACCTACCTCACTGGGGACGGAATTCTGTCGCCCACTGGGTGTTATGCACCAAGCTCGGTGAAGGGTCATATGGCGATGTTTTCAAATTTGAGGCAAAGGAGCTCGCAGATGTCCAGGAACTGGAGGAGCAAGGCGGCCTCATCGTCAAATCATCCCGTTCAAATTCACCAAAGAGGTCAAAAGTGACATCACGGACCTGGGCTCGGTCTTCTGAGAAGTCATACTGATGCAGACAGTCGACGCTTTGCACGGATATGTGCGCGGTCGCGGCATTCATGTCGTCAGTGGCACATATCCAGACGTCTTCCTTGAAGCATTTGACACGTTCAAAGCAATAAGACCAGTTTCGGCACACCATACCAATCCGTTGAAGGATTTTTCTCCACACCAGCTCTATGCCATCATGGAGATGAACGATGCCAGGATCTCGCTCTTTGTATCCACACCCTGTCGCTACTACCGATTGAATGGCTCAGTGAGGCCTTGGGAAACTGGCTCAGAGAGGTCGGCAACGACCACTCAGACCTGGAAACTTGGTCAAACTTGGTGATTTGGAGGGAGCAAAAGTCCTGCATGTTTCCTTGTGCGTCATGAAAGAGCCTTAGCGACTGTGACGCACCTGGAAAGAAGCCTGAGGAGACGAGGGAAAGTTTCGAGCCAAGTAGAGGTTATCCAAAGTAAATGACCTTGTTGTCCCTGAGCATGTCATAACATTGAGCCCTCCTCTTGCGTTGACTTCTGGCTAACCTTAAGATCCAGGTTTGCGGTATTAGCCTTTTCCATGGATATGGTGAACCGCACATCTTCCCTGGCCCCAACGCCTACTATCTGACGGCCACGCCGGTGTCGCCGTCACGTTCTAGGCGCCGGTGATTACTCGCTCTCTCTCTGTCTCTCTCTCTCATCTCATCATCTATCACCTCGCTACCTGTCTGTTTGCCTTGCTTGTTTGCTTGTCAGATTACTTGTCCGTTGCCTGCAGGAGTCGGAGTCTGATCCTCTCTTTTCTCTGCCTTTCTTTCTCCTTTTCTCTTTCTCGATTTATCTGTCTTGCTTGCTCCTCGCTTGCTTGCTTGCTTGCTTGCTATTGGTTGCCTGTCGCAGCAGTCGAAGTCGAAGTCGGAGTCTGAGTCGGTCTTTTCTCTCTCCGTTGTCTCCCTCTCGATCGCTTGCGTGCTTGCTTGCTTCCTGCGTGAGTCCGAGTTTAGACTTGCTCTGTTCCTCTTTATCTCTTCTCATCCATCGCCCTTGCTTGCTCGTTTGCTCATTTGGTCGTATGCTGCCTGCAGGAATGCCGAGCCAGAGTCGGATTCCGTCCTTTCTCTCTCTCCCCGCCGCAAATCTCTCTGTCTTTCGTCTGGGATTAGCCCTTCTGGAACCCTGGACGAGCGAGTCACCGACCGAGCCAGCCAGCCAGCCAGCCAGCCAGCAATGGACACGACGACAAGAACAAAAACACGAACAAGAACAAGATATGGACAAGGATAAAGATAAGAACCAGGACGTGAACAAGCACAAGGACGACAGGGTCGGTCGTCCCAGGATCCATTCCAGTCTCACACGGTGCATTCGCAACACATTCCATGGACTCCCTTTGCCCTCGTTTGCTGACAGACTGTCAGAGCAGATCTCCTCCGTTACGTTCTGAAGTGTCGTCGGCGCTCCGATGTTCTGCCGCCGATCACGTGTTCGTCCAACGTCGTTCCATCGACGCATTTCACGACTTTTCCCCAGCGCTGTGCCGTGTGGGCTGCTTATACTGCCAGGACCTTCCTGAGTCGTATACTACCGCACGCCACAAGAGTGCGTCTCGTTCGGGCAAGGAACGGGCTTTTGGACACGCCAAGACCGCCAAATGAGCCAGAAAAGTCGACTTTTGCTGCGTATTCCTCCGAGCCACCAGTCCACCGAGATATTACAGCGCGATTTCGTACTTAAGCCAGCAATATAACGGTGGCCTTGACGTCGGGACAGTCGGAAATGTCGAAAGGGACGGCTTCTGAGCTCAAAATTTACCGAAAAGGCTCTCGTTTTGTGCTGATCCGACACACCCCGAGCTCGACCCCCATCCAAAATCACAACCAATACTGCCTACGACTTCTTGACTTGGGGATAGGTAGAGAAGGAGAAGACGATCTTCAGTGTATATATCAGACGGAAGAAGACACAAAATTACGCGGACAGTATCGCTTTCAGCGCCAGGACAAATCGGCCGCCAAAAAAAAACGTTTTTCGCATCCTGACTATTGCCCGTGCTGATATAAAGAACTCAACCGTACCGAGCTCCTTGGCCACGCTGAGAGCAATCTCCTGAGTATATTTACGAAGCGCCCAGCTCACATACCGATGCTCCAGAGCCGTCGACACTGGCAAATCCGGCCACGGCGCGACGACGCGATTGTCCACCAACCACGCCTCGGACGCGAAAATCGAGTATATCACTGAGCTCTCCCATTCTGTCGCTCCGTCGGACAACTATCAGAATACGAATCGGACGCGAATTGACGAAGTTGATATTTTCGCCACCTCGCCGGCGTGGGGGCCAAAACCTATCCACCGAATTTTGACTCCGGAATAGCGCCATCACGACCGGCGTGTCGCAAAACGCACAGGGCCATACGAAATACTGCGCTCCGGGGCGTGGTGCGGGTGTGGGAGCGAGATTTGTCGCCCGGGTGGTCCCCCCTTCCACCGGGGTATATTTCGGCCAATTGGCACGTGGTGACGGTCTAAGATGCCCTGACATGACGGGCGTGACTCAAAGTACACGGAACTATGCGCTAAATAGCTCTCCGGGATGTGGTGCGGGCGTGGGAGTGTGTTTTGTCGTCCCGAGGCCCCCCCCGGCGGGCACCCGGACGGGTTTCGCCCCCTTACCGTGGGAGGACGTGTGCAGAACGCTGGGAACGAGGATGGGGAGCTATAGGACAGGCTGGGGGGACATGCAGGAAGTGCCTAGATGGCCGGTAGACTTTGAAAACAAGGGGGAGAGGGGGTGGGTCGAGGAGGTTTCTCTCCCGCCTCGTGTATCCGAGCCCTGAACGGCTCAGGGAGCTCGAACATGGGCAAGGACGAGAGGAGGGATGTCACCTGGGACTGCCATGGCAGACGGAGCGTGCAGTTGGTCAAGGGTGCCTCCCAACGTCGTTGTCGATATCGACGCTGAAGAGGATGCCGACGGGGACGACGCTCGCAGTTGTGAAGTCCACCAGCCGGGATGGCAAGACGTATTCAATATCACCGCACAGTCCGCCACGCTGCAACTGGACGCTGGCACGATCTCAGGCAGACACGACTCCCTCCGAACCAGATATCGCACAGGCTCTTCTCACCGATCAAACAGCCGTGAACAGTCTCAATGGCTTGGTTGCGGATCACTCATGATTACTCGAGATCGCGACGCTTATTGGCATTACCGGCTCGATCGGAATGCAGATGCCCGGAAGGTGTGGGAAGAAAGTATGCCCAAGATTGCTCATGAGCACCAAGATCTTGAGAAGTCTATCGCCGAATCGGAGGACGAGCGTAAGCGCACGAAACGGACTCCATGCTCCAACAAGAATCGATGGACCATGTCCAATTATTGCGCAACTCACGAATCTCTCTGACTCAGAACCTTGAGACGATGAAGAGTTCTTCGATGCGATCGACGAAGGTAAGGTTGAGGTGAGGTTATCGAGCCGCCTGGCCTCTTCTTCGTCCTCCGCCTGTTCACGTCCCGTCATTATTGTATGAAGAAAAAGAACCTTTTGTCGACGAAAGGACCAGAGCACATGGAAATCGAGCCCGCTTATGCCGGAGACGAAGGGGGAGTTCGCGAGCGACGGAAACTGGATGCTGACAATTGTCCAAAGATTTCACCTCGGTCGTATTCTCAAGTCTGTGAGAGGCAAAGACATGACCACGATGGCTCTGTCGGTTTCTTCCAATGGATCAACCTATCTGCTCCAGCGTGTCGCTGAAGACATGGAATATGCCGGTCTCCTTGAGCCGGAGCAAACCCGCTGTGGATGGGTGGGTGGATGGGCGTCATCACGCCAGAGCATGCTATGCGGCATTCCGGTGAACTGCGATCGAAAGAGCACGACCCACTGCACGGTGTGCCTGGGAGAGCGTGTTTCAGGTCTGTCGCTGGCTGGATTGAGTCGTCTCGTCTGCCTCTCCGAATCCCGTCCAGCGAACGTGGAACTCGGTTCGGCCGTGCCCGCGACGTTCTCGCAACACTTCTTGCACTTCCCACTCTTCCTCACCTTCGATATTGACAGGTTCGGACACGCTCGCGCCAGGACGCAGTGACGGTATGCCTGGAACGGTGAGACGGGGAACCTGTGGTGTAGCCTCCCGCATTCGGCCAGCTCGCTCGGGACGGCGACGATGCTCTGCATGGCGAACGAATCAAAGTCACGGAAGTGCAGGACCACCTCTTGACCGTCGGCTACTGGGGTTCCAGTCGTCGGGGGCTTCTTATGTGAGAAGATGCAGCCCATGTCCGACCATGGGGACTGATTGCTGTCGCAGACGGAGTTGCTCTGTGCTGAGCCGCGCTGTTGAAGAGAAAGGAAAAGACGAAGGACTTGAGATGCTGTGGGGGGAGCTCCCCAAAAACGACCATCGAGCTGGAAGTTGACGGTGTCAAGCTCAAGGCTGACCGGGGCGTGCTCAACCCGTCCATGTCGTCAACCAGACTTGATGCATGCATTGCCTCAAAAGAACTCTTTGGGTATCCGCAGGGAGGCGAGGCCAGACGGTTCGTCCAGTGGCCTTGGATGACAGGCGTCGTTGTCTTCTGTGATCGTGTCGCTGACTTGAGCAGATTCCGGGTTCAGTTCCCAGCGCCAGGAGCACTCGAGCTTGTATTCGGAGTGTTGAATGTGGCCTTGAATGTGGCCCGCGACAACACGGCTGCTGATACTCGAGGAAGTGGCATGGTAGCACCCTGGGGTACTACAGCGTCAGTCGAGATCTTGCTCTCCGCGTCCGACAAGCTGATATTTGTATCTGCAAAACAGACTGAGTTGCCTGTCCCCAGCGCTGGTTTACCTCTCCTGGCTACGTCGGTCACGCCACGCACGGCATTCCTGCTGAAGACCTGTGAAACAGGGATAGCGACATGGCTGGATGTTTCGACCGCTCTTTGTCATATCAATAGTGTCTCTTGCAATGAGTACCTCCGTCCCCAGTCGCCACGATAGCTCAACTCCACCTGTGCGCTTGCGGAGCCCATCAACGTAGCTGGAAAAGGATGAAGATTCCGACAGTGAATACCACCATGCCGAGCTGAGAAGAAAGTTGTCAGTCAGCCTGCGTGAATAGAAGGTTGCTGAATGCAGGACTCCTGCAGAAATGAAGGAATGCAGCTAGTGGTGCAGGCAGGAATGAAAGCCTGTTCCAAGGATGCGGGTTACTCCGGCAATGTAAGATTGCTGCATCAATGCAAGATTGCAGGACTTCAGGAATGCAGAAATGCAAGACTGCTGAAAGGCAAGATTGCGGGAAGATTGCTGGAGCGCAGGATTGCCCCGGGAATGCAAGACTGCTCCAAGAATGTGGGATTGTTGGAGGAATGCAAGGATACAAGACTGTTTATCACGAATGCAAAACCGCAGAATTGTTGCAGGAATGCATGACCGATGCACGGATGTAGGAATGTTGCCAGCGTTTCATTTCTGAATTCGGAGTGCAAGATTGTCTCAGGAATGCAGGATTGCACCAGAAATGCTTCCGGAATGCAGGAATGCAAGACGCCTTCAGAAATGAAACGAGGAATGCTGGACTGCTTCAGGAATGCGCCATGGGCGTATGAGTGTAGGACTGCTCCAGCAATGCCAGACTGTTGCCAGGAATGGCAAAGGACCACTCGTTCGTGTCATAAATCCTGAGGAATCTGCTCTGACGATTTGCCTGTGTACTGAACGTGGCTGATCCATTGACGCCGAATCCCAATTTGAAGTTTCACCAGCACGCGTCCAACATGACCGAGATTTCGGAACGAATCTGGCACGACCGACAATGCTCCTCGAGTCTCTTGGGGAAACACAAGTTCCAGCACCGGAATGTGAAGATCGTCATAGCGACTTGCTTGAATATCCAGACGTTCACAAGGAGTTGACGGTGACCGACGCTCTCGGCGTCCGCGGATGATTGGCAGAGCGATATTGGTTGTACAGTCCCAAGAGCTCGAGCATCAAGGAGGATCAGCTCCGTGCCGATCCACGCAATCGTGGCCACGACCGACGAGAAACAGGCCACGTACACGATGATGGCGACGAGCACGAGAGTCGCGGGCCACTCGATGTGGTCGGACTCGGCGAGGCCCTTGTTGATCTCGTTGGACGCCAGGTCCGTCATCTTGGCCTCTTCGCACGTCTGGCGCTCATCCCCTCCCCGGATTGCAAATGCTTGTACAGGTCAGGCTTATACAGCGCGTCTTTCTCGCCATTGAGCGTCTGTCCGCCGACAAAGCCAAATTCGTCCGCCGACAAGAGCACAGAACACCCGATCCCGAGCCACTTGACTCGCTTTTCGGCATTACCAAACCATGTTGCGCCCACTCAAGGGTTGAGCAATGCTGAACAAGTCTTGATTCTGCAAGGGATCCTTCCCAAATCCATTGACCACCTGATACAGCATGGCAGCCGAGACGTGCACGACGCTCACGCAAGGCAACGAAGCCAAGAAACATAGAAGAGTGGCTTTCAGCCAACTGAGGACACTGCCTGGCTGCGTGATCAGTCCTGGTTTCACGACGGCGACTTCCATGTCGCCTGGCCAGGATTTGATTCTCGGCCTCGCCATATCGAGGAAAAGAGTGCGATGCGCCTGGGGTCAGATCGACGAAACGTCTCAGAGCTGTGTTGGCCATGTAGGCAACGACGAGGACCGAGACTCCGAGTTTTGCATGAGACTCCCTCAATGCAGGTCGTGACCTGGTTTGACCGCCTCTCTGTGCTCCGCGACATCGTACCCCCCAACACCCGCGCCCGGCTGGCGTCTGCAAGCTCGTCGGTCTACTCGGCTGCCTGTGCACGGGCAATGTGTTTTCAATGGAGTGTGTTCGGTGCATGCGTCCAAGCCAATGTGCTTTTGGGGCTGCAAATTCTGACGAGGTATTCAGTTTGCGCGATTCTTCTGCCTCTCGAAAATCTTCTCCGTCCATAAAGTCCTCTTGCTTTTGTCGTCGGACGCGACAGGGCCATCCTTCAGCCCGATGCCCGCGTTGTTGACCAGCCCGTCGAGCCGGCCACCCATCGCGACCACTTCCGCCATGTACGCCCGACACGTGACCCGGCCGCCCACGTCAACGCTGCCCCTCTTGATCAGCGGACGAAGCTCGTCCGGCGGAGTCCTTCTTGTCTGGAATGCGTCGAACCTGGGAGGTCATGCGAAGAAAGTCACCGTCAATGCTCTGACACTTGTCCTGTCTCAACGCTGTTGATAACCGACCACGACGACAAGTCCCCCGTTCGCGTCTCTTTCTGTCGGCCATGAGAGCGCGCACGCCCCCGAGCCGCGTCACAAAGAACAAGTGCTTCCCGTCGCCAGCACACCAAGACGCCCGTCTCGTCCGTGTGCCGACAATGGGGTTCCTACTCGCGATTGCAGGAATGGAGCCAGGAAGTGCAAGATTGCTCCAGGGATGTTGCCAGGAATGCGGGACCGCAGGAATGCAACACTGTTGCTGGAATGCAAGATTTGCTCCTGCTCCAGGAATGCAGGAATGCAGCCAGGGATGGAGCAATGCTCCAAGAATGCAGAACTGTTGCAGGAGAGCCGGAATGCAGCCAAGGATGCAGGAATGCAGCCAGGGATACAGCCAGAAATGCAGGAAGGAATGCAAGACTGTTCCCGAAATGCAAGCCTATTTATCAACGGCCGGCTAGCCCGCAGCTGGAATGTCAAAGGGCGCAGCACAGACCTCATCACCCTCGACATCGAAACAGCCTGTGGAACACTTGATATCCACACGGTATGTGCTCAGTTCGGTGAAAGGAAAGGATGGAAAGGTGTTTTTTGGAGGTGGCTCGAGCTGGCCGAAAGCCTATAGGTTCGGGGACGGCCACCAGTACGCTCACGCTCAGGCGGAGGAGGAGACGGTCAGCTCAGCTCAGCTCAGGTCGTGTCGGCGTATGTGTAAAAGACGAGGCGAGGCATGGCAGGCAGTGGATGGATGAGAAGAAAAATGGAGGGAGAGAGAAAGAAAGAAAAGGGATGGGCCGTGCATCGAGGGGAGGGGGATGGCATGAGCTCATCATATTCATATTTTGAATGATTGCTTGATTGTTGATGTGAATGATGCGGTTGATGGATACTACGTTCCATTCCTCCCCTTGACATCCTGACACCCTGACAACCCAGGAGATGTATGTGGTGTGTGTGGTGGCGGTGGAATGTTGGAATGTGAGAATGAAGAACGGCAAGAACGCAGACATGCAGGAATGTATGACTGTTACCAGGAATGCAGTAATAAAGGAATGGAGCAAGGAATGCAGAAATGCTCTTGGAATGCAGCATTTTCCAGCGAAGCGCTGGAAATGAGATGGTTTTACCGGCAAACGTGAACGGAGAGAGAGTCACGCTTGTGATAATGATAGACTACGCACTTTGGGCATTTTGGGTGATTTGAGGTGATTTTGGTGAACCTTCGGGGAACTTTCGGAGAACTTTCGGGGGATTCTTCGGCTCTCAATTCCTGCGTCCGCGCACTGACAATCACCCTCCCCATGCCGCCGCCCATCAACTGGACTTCCAGCAACTTCACCTCAACACTACCAACCTGTTCGTGAAACGGCCTCAATCCCATCTTTCTGTGATGTTGAAATTATCCGTTAATAGCCTCTCTGACAGGTTTTGGAACCGTGGGAACTGTGGAACTGTAGAACTGTGGAACTGTGGGACTGTGAAACTGTGAAACTGACGGATTACAGGACTCTGGAATCACCTCTGGTCAGTCGAATACCTTCTCGAGTGCTCCGATCAATCTCTCCTAGCTCTCTCTCGGCTTATGAAGGCCAACTGGAGTCGGACAAGAAAAGGTGGAATCGTGGCACCACACTGGACCCTGGTCAGACTCGCAATCGAAGTCCGCGTGGGAAGGCCCAGTGGGCAGTTGTTCGTCGCGGTCAGTCGAGCACAGGTCTGTGTGATTACCATCATACCTATACACTTTGTGGGGGGCGACGCTGACGTGCCTGATGCCCAGCAGACAACTCCAGGATTGGCTCAAGGACAAAATGGAAGATCACCCCCAGGGCCAGCTCTAAGGTGCAGGACCGCCTCAGTATTTTTGTTTTTTTTTTGGAACTCGTCGCCGTTGCCGCGGCTACCGACTCAGCATTTCCTGACAACTTTATCACCACCATAACAACAACTATTTATTAAACAGTCTCAATCTGTTCATTTGACGACATCCGATGCGTTTGTGGTAACTCTCCCTGAAATTTCCCCGGTGTGCTGAGTTATGAAACCGCGAAACTAACTGATTTACAGGTCCCCTTGAAGCCCGTATCACCACTCCGAACCCTTCTCCCCCCCCTCTCCTCTCTCCTCGAAGTAATCCTCGGCCCTTGAAGGCTTTGCTGGCGTTGGATAGAAAAGCTGGAACTGTGGCATCGCAGGAGTTGGACTCGCAGTCAAGGTCGGCCGTCAAGATCCAGTGGGCAGCCAATCGTCGTGGTCAGTCGAGCGTGGGCCTAGGTGACTGCCAGCAAAACGTGCTTGTTTGGCTACAATACCAATACACTTTGTGAGCAGCGATGGTGGTGACGTTCCTGGTGCCCAGCAGGCAATCCCCCGGACCGTCCTTAGGACCATTGGCAGGACGATCTCCATGATCACCTACAGGGTCACTTCCAGGGCGACGTCCAGGACCACGTGTATTGCGACCTCCAGGACGTCCCTCGGGCCATTGAAGACTCTACTCGCTTCGTTTGCTCCATGAGGAGTCCCAACGGGCTCACGCCTCACAGTCTATGCTTAGAGGAACGCAGGAGTATTGCTGGAATGCACGACGGCTTTGAATTCCTGAAAGATTCCTCTGGGAATGCAAGATTACTCCAATTCCAGGAATGCGAGACTGTTGTCGGGAACGCGGGAATGCTCCACCACAGGAATACTCCAGGAATACAGGGTTGTTTCAGGGATGCGAGAATGTCCTAAGAATGTGGTCCTGCCAAAAGAATGCGAGGGCACGTGGAGGTCGAATTGTGGGCACAGCGAGGACAAATTTGACCGTGGTCCTCTCAGCCGCTTGCGTGAGCGTTCTCCAGGTTGATCACGCAGCCTGGCTGCTCTACCACGCTGCTTATGAGGCACATTTCGCCGCTCTTTTGCGAGGAAGGAAATAGCAAGACCGGGCCAGCAGTATCCAAATATAACCATGGGCATGCCTATCCCTTGGGAGTGCGGCATGTTCCGGTGACCACTTGAGAATAATCACCAGTACTTCCATTAGGCTCAAGCACCCCAGTTTCAGCACGCTGTCGGTATTTCCATCAAGGATGCCTTCAGTTATGACGAGACTCAAAGCCTAAGAGAAGGATACTTCTCGGGAGCGAGGAGCATAGTTCTTCCGTCCGTACTTGACAAGCCTAAAGCGGCTTAGGGTGGTCTAAATGGCCCCTTCAGGCCAGCCAAGCTCCCACGAGAAAAGCTCACTTCCCGGGTGCGCGAAGTTTACTTCTCTCAAGGTTGCACGCAAAGGATACTTATTGCCACGTGGAATCTATCTATCGCTCAGTACTACCTGTCTTTAATAAGGCATCCTTGACACAATCGAAGAGTGTGGCAGCCTAATCCGCTTGTATAGACGCAGTTACGACCCTATATATCTTCATATCAAATCCATACTGGTGAGTATTTTCATAATTAACAAGTGTTTGAAGCAAATCTAACTTGTTGCTAGCACCACTCCCTCCCACACCCCCCTTCAGTCACCCTATCCGGTACCCATAGCACGAGGGAAGTCCCTATAAGGAATCATTCAGCACGAAGAACTCTCATCGCAGCTCAAGGAACACCGACTAGATCTTTGTTTGAGATGGTTGATATGCCCGTGCCGGAACCTCTCTCTCTCCCAGTGTTTGAACAAAGGAACATAAGCGCACCGGCTCTGCCACCTGAAAGGATATTGACCTCAGATCCCGAGCTGGAACCCGGCATGGAGGCAACACCGAAGCGAACAAATAGCAAGTGGAGGGATATCGACCAATTTATTCGTGGTCCAGATCCTGTGGACAACAAGTTTGTCTGTCAGTATGAGCATTGCAACAAGAGATACTTCGGGAGAGCCTACCTCAAGGCACATATCCGGGAACATCTTAATGATCTTCCGTTCCCGTGTGACGGATGTAAGAGAAGATTCGCCCGAGCTTGTGATCTTAGAATCCATGCCAAAATGCACACCGAGATAAAACCTCGTTGTGTTTGTGGAAAATTCTACAGCACTGACCGCTTATTGGCCGCCCACCAACAGAGACGAATATGTCTTGCGTCTCAAATTGTCTTCCAGGTGAGGGAAACCGATAGACCCAGGAATCACCTACCGGAGATGGAAGAACGCTACCCCGAGCTGACACCGGCAGAGCTCGGCGGGTATCCAGAGCACGGCGGGTTTCCAGCGTACGGCGGGATTCCAGGGCCCGGCGAGATTCCAGGGCCCGGCGAGATTCCAGAGCCCGGCGAGGTCCCAGAGCACGGCGGGTTTCCAGAGCCATGGGTTCCAGAGCCATGGGTTCCAGATCCATGGGTTCCAGATCCATGGGTTCCAGATCCATGGGTTCCAGAGCCATGGGTTCCAGATCCATGGGTTCCAGAGCCATGGGTTCCAGAGCCATGGGTTCCAGATCCATGGGTTCCAGAGCCATGGGTTCCAGAGCCATGGTATAGTGATGGATCGCAGATGCCATTTGACCTCCCGACCTCCGACTATGGTTTCCAAAGCCAACACAATAAGGGAATCGGCACTGCAAACGGGCGCGACCGTCAGCTATCCGCCGTTTGAGCAACAACGACAACAACAAACTTCTTCCGCAGAAGGGATTGCGCGTGTATTTACATTTGTGTGTCATGTCGTGCTTTGCGATGGTGCTTGTCATGTCATTCTTTCTAGGTGCATTTTCATCCATTCATTCCTTTGGATGATAAGTTTTGGGAACGAGCATCGGCGCCTCAAAGGGTGCCATCCATGCTCAGTGGGATGAACGAAAGGAAGGGGAAGGGAGGGGAGGGAAGGGAAGGACTTTCATTTTCTACTGCTTTGGCTCGTCGCGACGTCATGCCTCCCTCGGTCTGCCCCGTTGGTGGGGCCGTCAGCTATATGGTCAGCCGCCGCCGTGCTCAAGCCTTGAAGGGAGGAAACATATCCTTCTACCCCACCGTACACCTGTTTGGACTCAAGCGAAGAGCTTCCTTTGTCTGGAGGTGCATCCGGTGCTCAAACCAAGGGAGACGGCCCGCACCATCGCGAACAACACACTTTGTTGCAACCCCGTTTGAGTCCTTTGTCACGATTGTGTCACTCGAGCCTTGTCGGAGATTCAGGTGACTGCAAGGCGCAAGTCTGAAGTCTGGACAAGGTGATTGTTACTTGCAGGCTTTGTCTTTGTTGTCCACCGCCAGATAATCTGCCTTCTCTGTGAATGAGGAACAAAGGATTAGAGGTGGAGCGGAGGTGGGGGCAACAACAACAAGGCGGTAGAGGGGCCATGGTAATGCAGCTCTCATTGCTCATCGTCTCATCCTATATAAATCCATCGATTGTCTGGGTGGTTTTCTGTACATTCCACATCATCACACAATCAAATTCCCCAACAGCACACAATGTCTATTTTCTCGAAACCCAAGTCAGTCCTCGCCGAAGATGCCAGTGTCGGCATTGCTCTAGGCGTCGTCATTCTCGCGGTGGTGGCTACAATCCTGATAAGGCGTTGTCGTCGCAAGCTAAAGAAGCGTGCAGTCAACCATCGACAGCACAACGAACATTGGCCAACGGGTCCTGACAGTATGCACCAGTCAGCTCGGGTGAATTTGCTCGATGATCGGATGGCAACAGAGAGAGAAGAGGTCGGTCCGTGGGGAGGAAGAGGTGAGATGGAGCCACGGTCGATCGAGCCCGCTCGACTGCGTAACAACCACGATGAATCGAGCTACTGGGCCTGAATGTGAGGTGATATATTGTTGTGGTCTCGGTCGGATCAAGGTGATTTCATATGTCATTCAAGCAGAAGGATGTCGGTGAAGGGCGTCGGAGTGAGTTGGTAGGAGCACGGGCAACACTGTTGTAAGAATGTGGTAATGTAGGAATACTTCAACTTCAGGAATGCTGAATTGCTGTAGGAATGTTATCAGAATACCGCACCGCAATAATACAAGACTTTTCTCAGAATGTCGGATTGTTCCAGAAATATGCCACACGGTTCAGTTACAGGTGACGACTCCGTCAATCTGAACTACTATATTTATATGATAAGTAAAAAAAAGGGCGGGTCGACTGCTCAACATGGGAATCGAACATCCATCTCAAAAAAATCAATCAACCAGCAAAAAAGTTTGGTGGATCCTATATTACCTTTCCCACTCGAACCCGGGTACTCGTGGGTGTTGCGGCTCCTGTCCTCACCCCGGCGGTGAGCGTTCTCGAGCAATCTTACAACAGCCACTTTTCCCCTGACGGTTCTATGACCTACTGGCTGGGATTTTCGTGATCCCAGTCTTCGGTTTTTTGGTCGTTGGCGAGACCAATATACTGCGTGAGCAGCGAAGCCAACGTCCTTGGAAAGGCCCCTCCCACCAAACCCTTGGTATATCCCGTGACGTTCGAAGTTTGCAGTTTTGGTTTTGGTCTCTTTTCCGCTGTCTTTTGTCACTTCTTTCGATTTGGGATATGTTGCAAGGATTTTCGGGTCTTAAAAATATATGTGAACTATTTTTTGACCGAGTAGTGAACTGTGAACAGTGGGTGGAGACGGGTGAGGCAGAAAAAAACATATGGGGATGGAGAGTGAATGGCATGTACATGTTCATTTGCATTGACGGAGCATCATTCCTATCATTTGTCACTCTTCCCTGAAGGTCTCATAACTTCTCCGGTGGCTCCCGCCGAGATGGACCTCCAGCTATTTCTCAGCAATGTCAAAAGGCAGACACGACACCGTGGTTGCTATCAACCTCACTGGCTCCGTCTTCGAGGCGTTGTACCACCGACGCATGGTGCAAGACCGCAGGACCCCAAGGACACGGAAATGCAGGATTGTTGCAGGGATGCAGGACTTCAGGAATGCATGACAGTTACAGGAGTGTTACCAGGGGTGCAAGATTGTTCCAGACCGAAACACTGTTGCCAGGAATGCGGGACTGTTGTTGGAATGCTCCAGGACTGCTACAAGAATGCAGGAATGCAAGATTGCTGCAGGAATACAGGAATGAATCAATGGAACAATCCAAGTCCGCTTCAGGAATGCAGGGCCGTTACCAGGATGCAGAACAAGTCCGAGTTACAGTCAAGGTTGACTCATGAAGAGAATGAAACTTCGCGGACGATGGCCCACGTCGTCTATCAAAGTCAATGTCTTTGATTCTACGGGGAACAAAACAACCTGGGCACTTTGGATTCCGACGTCGATATCTGCATCACCACTGAGTGAAAGGAGAGGGAGCGGGCATTGCAATATCGTAGATCTCCTGGCGAAACATGGAATGGCAAGAGTGGTATGTATGTGTCTCTTCCCCTACGGTGCCCATTGTGAAAATTTGGGACCCTGAATGACATGTTACTTGCGACATCGACGTCAACAACCAGCTGGGTTTGGAGAACACACACACTGGTCCGAACGTATGTCAGCATTGGCCATGATCATCAGGTGTTGGGCAAAGCGGAGGGTGCTGAACGATGTTTGGTATGTTGTCTGTTTCCTCATTTGCGAGTTTGGTGCTTGCAGGCACCCTTAGCTCGCATACGTCACGTGGATAGGTCTGACCTTGAATTTTCTGCAAACAAGATGCAACCGAGAGAGATGGCCACCCTCCCAGCCGGATTTAGCTCGGGGGTTGGGAACCCTCCATAATTCCGCAGGCTGTGCAGCTCCCATGAAAAAGTGAAAGCAACATCTCTCATCATCCTCGTCTCTCAATTCCTCATCTTGTCAAAATCCTCATTCGGTCACAATCGTCGTTTCTTGGTCCGAGTTCTTTGTCCTCTCCTTTGGGATCCCCTCGAACTTGACGTTCCTTTCCCTCTTCTCCCTCCGCATCCACGTCCTGCGCATCACCTTATTTACCAGTCCCTTCTTCCTCTGACAGCCCGCATCAGCACCGATCTCTACCCTCTCACCTACTCTGGCGGCGGTCAGTCGTACGCTCTCACAGCGGCTCACTTGGCTGGTGACCTGTCTGCCAGATCCGCACATTACCCGCAGGGAGGGCACCCAGAAACAACTACGGTAGTGCTCCGTCTCAGCGTTCGCACCCTTCTCTCATCACAACACCACGCGTCCTCTTCGCCCACCTCTCAGCGCCATGGCAAGCCAATATCCGGGTGGTTATGGCAATGGCCTTCAACTCAGTGACATACCGCATGGTAATGTACGTGGAATCGAGGGCCCCTGCGCCATGAAGCCAGCTCAACTGACCCTTGTCCAGATTTATCGACCCACTGAACAACATTCAGACGACGAAGCAGCGCATTCCTTACTGCACCAGACTGCCGCATATCTGTCGCAGTACGAAGATCCCCATTGACGCTGGGACAAGAGTCGATCCACACCCAGGAATACAAGATTCCTTCGGGAATGCAGGATGCGGGAACACATGATTGCTCCAATTGCAGGAATGGTGCCAGGAATGCAAGACTGCTGTAGGGATACAAGATTGATCCAGGGATGGAGGAATACACCACTGTACCAGGAATGTAAATATGAGGGAATGCTACCAGGAATGCAGCCAGGGATGCAAGAATGCTCCAAGAACGCAGGGCCGTTGCTGGAATGCATTGCTCCAGGAATGGAGGGCTTCTTTGCATTCCCACAACATTCCTCCGGGAATGTAGGGGTGTTCCAATTCCAGGAATGCTGTACTGCTTGAGCAATGCGGTGGGACTGTTGCCATGAATGCAAGATCGCCGCAGGAATGCAGGATTGTTCCAAAAATGCAGCTAAACTGCGGGAATGCAAAATTCCACGTTGTACGAATGCCGCTATGAATGCAGGGCTGGTATCTGGAGTGCTCCAGTAATGCAAGACTGTTACAAGATTGTAGCAAGAATGTGAGATTGTTCCAGAAATGCAAGGCCCAAGGGTCTATGACCAGGACAACATCGTCTGCTTCGAGCCATGGCTGAACGAACACCCGTGCACTACCCACAACCCCCTCACTGAGAGATTCAAGCTGATCTTCGGAGACTGCGACGAAGCACCGCTGAGGGTCTACCTATTCATCAACGACCGGCTCGCCCTGCGCACCTGGAACTCAACGTGCGCAGCGCAGCCCAGACCTCACCACCCCCGACACCGAAACAGCCTGTGAAACACCTAACACCCACACGGTACATGGCCAGCCTGGTGAAAGAAAGGGACGGAAAGATCTCCGAGGCCGTTGGAGTGGCCGAGACCATGGACGCGGGCACGGGCACGGGCACGGAATGCAAGATTGCTGCAATCTTACAGAACTGTTGTTGGAATGCAAGATTGTTACCAGGAATGCAGAACCGCAGGAGTGCCAAATTACCCCAAGGATGCAGGACTGCTCAAGGACTGCTGCAAGAGTGCAAAACTTCTTCCGTGTTCTGCTGCAAATGGCTGCACCGCAGTGGTATGCAAAGAGAAAAGACCGATCTTTCCGTCGTGTACATTAGGTCTCTTTCCGCGTTCTATTCTCATTTTTTTGCATCATCGTCGGTAGCATCATGCGCCGCCTTGGGCACAATACTAGCTTCCGGACTGTAGTCATCAGTCGCAGAAGACTTCTTCGGCTCACTCGTCACTCCTGATTTCTGGACCTCGGTGATGTTTTCGCGCTCGGGCGACATCGTGGAAGAATGAGACGGGTCGTCACTCACGTGCACCTTTCCTTCCGATGCAGCGGGAATGCATTGCTCCGGGAATGCAATATTGTTACAGGGATGGAGGAATGTAACAATGCAGATCCGCTTCAGGAATGGAGGACTATTACAGGAATGCTGCAAGAGTGCAAGACTGGAGGACTGCTGGAATTTACAGGAATTCACGATTGCAGGAATGCAGGTATACAAGGCTGGTGCGGGGATGTTACCAGGAGTGGAGGAATGAAAGAATGCAGGCGGGATTGCATGAATGTTCTCGGGATGTTGCTATGAATGCAGAATTGCGGGAATTTAGGACTGTTATTTGGAATGCAACACATATACCAGAAATGCTGGATTGCTACAGGAATGTTACAAGAATGTGACAATACAAGACTGTTGTTGGAATGCATCACTCAAGGAATGCACAACTGTCTTGCATCCGTGCAAGACTGCGCCGAGCCCAGGAATGCCACAAGGAATGCAGGACTGTCGCCCGATTGCGAGAATGTAGGATGGCAAATTGCTCTAATTCCATGAATGCAAGAATGCAAGGTTGCTCCAGGAATGCAGAAAGGCGGGAATGTAAGATTGTTCCAGACTGCAAGACTCTTATCAGGAATGCAGGACCGCAACACTGTTGCCAGGAATGCAAGACCGTTGCAAGGACCGTTATCAGGATTGTCGAAGAAATGCAAGAATGAAGGAATGCAGCCAGGGATACAAGAATGCAATACTGTTCCAGGAATGCAAACCAATTTATCAACGACCGGCTAGCACGGAGCAGCTGGAATGTCAAAGCGCGCAGCACAGACCTGATCACACTCAACTCATCACACTCGATATCGGAACAGGGTGTGGAATACCCACCACCCACACGGTATATGGTTAGTTTGGTGAAAGGAAGGGATGGAAAAGTGCTTCTTGGAGGCGGCTGGAGGTGGTCGAGGAAGGTACGGGCGTGGGCACGGGCATGGGTACGCTCACGCTCACGATCAGGTCCGGTCGGCGTGCCTGTAATGGCGAGGCGAGGCACGGCAGGCAGTGGATTGTTGATGTGATTATTGTGATGGATGGGTACAACATTCCACTCCTTCCCTGGCATCCTGACACCCTGACACCCCTGTGTATGTGCATATTTGTATGTGGTGTGTGTGTTGGCGGTGGAATGCAGGAATGCAAGAACGAAGGAATGCAGAAATGCGGGAATGCGAGACTGTTATCATTAATGCAGGAATGAAGGGATGCAGGCAGGGATGCAAGAATGCAGGATTGTTTCAGGCAGGCATGTCTGCTTCGGGAATGCAGGACTGTTGGAGGATTGCAAGAAAGTTGCACGGACGGGGCCAGGCGTGCAAGACTGCCCTAGGAGTGCAGGAATGCAGCCAGGGTTGCGGGATTGCGGGAATGCAGCCATGCAAGAATGAAGGAATGGTGTAGGGATGGAAGAATGCGAACCTGTTGCAGGAATGCTGCAAGACTGCGGGTATGAGGGAATGCTGCCGGTCCATGAAACACAGAGCCCAACGGGTGGCAGCAGACTGGCCGAAAGGGCGGGAGTGAGACGTCTCTCACACTCTCCGAGACCTCTGGTGCGCATCTCCCGCTCAAACACAAAATGCATGTCGGAGACGTACATGGCAATCGCAATGCTGACGCCGAGGGAGATGGAGGGGAAAATCAGGCCGATCTCGCCGCCATTCATGCCGTCGCCGCGGGTGGCCGTGCTCGGGGTTCCCGTAGCCTACACGAAAGGGAAGACTTCGGGGAACGAGGAGACGGTACTGTACATCAAGACCGTGTAGAGACTGGTGACGAGGGCGGCATCGTCGAGGGTGGTAATCTGGCCCAGTCGCCACAGGTTGCCAATCACGCCTTCGCTGACGGTCAATTTCTCTGGGTCGATCTCGGACTGGGACTCGAGACTGTCGTTCGCAGTCAATTTCCGCAGGGGAGCGGCGCGACGGAGCAGGATGTTGGAGGACGAAGTCTCGGGCAGCAGAAATAAGAGAGAGAAGTAGACGGGAGTGGTCTTTGACGCAACACCAACGATTGCGATAGCGCCAATTGCCCTCATCACTCAGGAATGCATAACGATCACGTCTGCCACGCGGAAACATGCCTGCTGGGCACAGTCTTCAGTGTCTGCCATTCTGACTCAAGCATGCGAGATGTGACCTCAGTCTGTCGACCTGAGTTCCAGCCCCTCACCGTCTCGGCGTCGAGCACATGTCGATCATGAGCCAAGACCCGCTTCTATAGCGACTTTGTCACATGTCGATGACATAGAGTACTTTGTCAACTTTTGGGGAAGGGCTGGGGACACGATCCGACACGACACACGGCGTCAAGACCGCGCCTCACCAACGACAAGATATTGATGAAAGGGCAGGACAACCCCAAGCGCAAAAGGACCATCATCCGACAGTACTCCATGACCGTCCAGATGTTCATGTATAGCATTGATGAATACATGGCCCGAGAACGAGCAGCTCCCTCTCGCGCGGCGCCGTAAGCACATCGTTGTATTGGGTGTCGGCTGGCATCTTCTTCGATCTGGACAGCAAAGTACAGGTCTTCGGGACAGCGATTGATCGGCAGTTTCTTTCATATCAAACCCGAGACGCGGGTCATTTGCGTTCACATCAGCAAGGGCAGGCGAGAGCCTGTCAAGATTTTGAAAGATTGGTGCAAGTACGGATTGAGAGACGTGCGTACAGAACGCCGGGCAGGCTGTGACGTTGTGCGAGGGCGTGTTAATGCGTCGAATTGTAAGTTTTCCCTTTGTTTTTCCGGTATCTCACAAGCGGATGCGTCTGTAAAACAGACTGGCCTCAGTGCCAGATGCGTCGTGGATTGTGTAGTCTTGAACAAAGTACCGAAGTGAGGCCAAGGGACGGTGAAACCATGATATCGTGGCCGAACTCAAGCCTTAGTCAGCATTTTCTTCTCAAGAGCGTCAAGGCTTTGCTTTCGTTTCCTCAATCAACCAGATCCAGTCAAAGACGGACGATAGTTACAAATGTCCTACCGGGCAAACCCACGCTCTATGCTCCTGCATCAGCGTTTTGAGTCGCTGGTCGCATTATGCTTCCTGCGCAACGGTAAATACCGAGTTGCGTGCTCGATCCATGACGGCGCCACCCACGAGGACAATTTCGCCTTCGTCCAGTACAACAAGGCCATCAAGGAGCCACAGGATCTCCCACCGAGCCAGGACCTGTCAATGGCAAGTGAGGAATGTCAAGCTCTCAATGATGCTTCGAAACATGCATCTTAGGCATCTTTCCCTCCAACAAAATGGGGACCAAGAACAAGACGAATTGGTGTTTTGGCCGGAGGACCCTGGGCTGCTCGGGGCGAAGGGCACAGACTACAAGTCAGTCACCTCGCCTGAGTCCAATTCTTTCTCCAGAACCTTTGCATCATCTGCGGTAATAGAAGCATTCACCTCTCCCGAATTGCCGTGGCGCCATAGGTACCTTCGGACATTGTCAAGAACGGAAGGATTTTTGGGAAGGCAACAGCACTTGCCCGATATGCCCCATCGTATCGTCTTGGGACCCATGTCGTCAATTTCGGATTTGCACGGTGCCAGGTGTTGTGCAGTATGGATAGTGTCAACAAACCCTTTGCGAGTAAGATCCGTGTGAGTGAGGGCGGAGGATTGTAGATGCGCAAGGCCAGAACTGCTTTGTTAAGGAGGGATCTGCGATGAAGAGCACTTCTTCCAGTGAGATCGAAAAGAAGACGATGGTACAATTGTAGCTGGCAGTCAGTTATCACGCTTTGAGCTTGAATTGAAGGAAATTGTAGTACGAAGGACTATATGAAAAGGTTGTTGCGTCAACAGCGTGGATGATATGGTGGTGCGGTCACCTGCTTACCTAATCGTAACACCAGTCAAGGCTTGAGATCACACCAGAGATGCAGTTTGTCGACGTCGCTAACTCAAGTTGCGTCGCGTCATCGGCCTTCGAAGCTGTCCTTAAATCATCCTTCGAAGATTACGTCCGACTCCCCCCAGAGATCTCTCGCAACTGCGTCGCGGAAGGGCTTGCGTCCGCGGATGTCGGTCTGGGTGAGCCCGCACGCAAGAAACAAGAAAGGCTTTTGGAGCAAAACTGCCGTATTCTCGAAAAACCCAGGGCAACCAAAGCTCAGGAGAGAAATAGAAGAGAGAAAGATGCAATTACGCAACCCACCTCTTCTCACGACCACCACAAGCCTTGGTGGTCCACCAAGAGACAGACGCCTCGACGGCTGATCCAGCCTCTCTGGCGCGACGTGGCCTCTGTCCCAGCAGCTACGACGGGGCTCGGCGGGAGTGAGCGAGAAAGAACTGCAAGGATACAAGAATTCCATTGTTTATTCGCCACAATTGCTCTATGAAAGATCTAGCACGATCATACGGCGATGGATACATGAATGGAGTTTCGGAATGCTCTGGCTGAGTCAGGGGCATGTCTCTTATTCTGACCGCCAGTTCCATGGACAAAAATCCCCATAGCCAACCTCGCATCCGTGACGAATGCTTCCACAAATGCTTTGCTCGACCCGCAGTCGACCGGCGTGGACCGGTTTGACCGAATTGTCGACAAAGTTTACCTCGCTGACTTATATGCTCGTTGCCACGAAAGCTCTCGCCCACTGAACGGAGCACAGTAGCTAGCGAGGCACTCGCGTCATCTTGCGAGCGGCTGGGGGCGGCCAGTGTCCGGTCTGGGGAGGCAGATCCTCCACTGAGACGTTACTCGTGTCGGGCTTTGGCAGTCACTATCCGGCCATCTTGAAGCAATAGTGATGGGGCTCGCAAACTCACGAACAGCGGGCCGACAAGCTTGCTAAACAGTAAGCCGAGAATAGTGCCCGTGGGATCCACGTCCCTGTGTACAATATCGACTCACTCGCCAACGGCAAACACCGATACCAAGTCCAAGTATTGCATGGGAAGGGCAGACCGGAGGAGTGGCGCGAGACAGGGTAAGAAATGAGAAGAGGTGAAAAATGTTTTGAAGGTGGGAGAGTCAAAGGTGAAAATATGTAGGAGTGGAATTGTGAGCGGTAAAAAATATTTAGGTATGGAAGAGTGAAGATGCACCTAACCGGAGAAATGTTTAGGGGTGGAATAGGTAGAGGTATGCCTAATCCGAAAAATGTTTAGGGGTGGAATGGTTAACCGTATGCCTAAACGAAAACTTCGCCCCATCGCCCACCTTCATCAAACTAGCACATCTCCCAAGAGAAAGTCTGGCTTTTCCCAAATTACCTGCCACTGACCCAAGCCGCAGAGCGTCACCTGGGAGAGCAACCGGTGTATGTCTTTCATAAGGCAATTCACCTATTTCTACGACCGCGAGATCGCTCAGATTCGCACTACATGCACAAGAAGTGGTTTTACCAAGATCTTGGACACGGTGTCCCGGAACCGCTCCAGAAGCGAGTGTTTGCTGCGGCGGAGGCGCTGTTTGATCTGCGTGATGAGCAGAGGACAGTCTACCACTAGGTCTGACACTGTCCAACAAGCTTCCGCTATGCTGAAGCCGTGCAAAGTTGCGGCTGCCGATTGGTGTCTCCGAGTTTCGCAACGAGGAATACGTCTGGTCTGCTGATTTCAGGGCCTTGCGCTTCTCTCCTTGAACGCCGACACTGAAGCGGAATGGCGTGTAGACAGGACGAAAAGGCCAGAAGGGCTCATATCATCACGCAAATCAACAACAGCATCAGCGGCGAAGGAGTTCCAGAGCCTCTTTGGGGATCACTTCGCACTCGAAGGGCACGAATCCATCAATTCCCCATGGGAGCCGTGTCGCAGCGCAAAGACCTGGACCACCGGGTGGCTCACTGGAACGGGGTCAACGAGCAGCGCGGCGCGCACCGTATCATCTCGCTCTGGTGGTTGTTCAGTGACGCTCTCCAATTTGCCTCCATCTCGTCTCCCAAGCCTTCTACACCGGCACTCGAGATGCCAAATCATCTCTTGAGACCCGCTGAGTACGGAAGCGGAGGAAGAGGAAAATCCTTCTGATCCGCCGTGAGGATTTTGTCGCTGTTTCTTCTTTTCTGCACTAATTTAGTACGCGATGGGGGCTGTGCGAGGTCAGAGGCATGCCAAACGCAGCGTATGTCGTGGCTTCGTCCTACAGCAATGCCGCGTGCCGCCGCCGACGTCCATGGCGACATCAGCTACGGCAACGTGCCTCTTGCGTCAAGCGAGTCCGACGGCAAGTCATTCTTCGGAGCGCTGAATGCTTCTAAGGACATTAGGGGCCAAATCCCGACCGAGGACCTCCGACCGCAGCATCGGTCTCTGGTGACCACGATGGAAGCCAAGTCGAGCTTTGCATCAGCAGGAGTTTGCTTGGTCGTTTTCCTCACAACTTCTACCGTGAACCCAACGCCATCATCCCGGCAGTAACGGCTGCGAACGTTGATCTGACCAATTCAGACGGTCTCAAACTTGCCCGAGAGATCGACCCGCTCCGCGGCCTCGCTTTCGCGCCGTTGGATTGCGATGGTGCACGTCCACCTTGTGTGCTTGCAGAACTTCCGGCCCGATGCAAAGCTGTGCTCGCTCAAATACATACGCCAGCGTCCGTCGGTGTCAACGTCGGTGAAATCGGCAAAGTCCTTCTTGCGAAAGTCATCGCTGAATGAATTTGCTACCTCCTGTCATCGAACCGTCATCTAGCACCGGGATGGCAAAAACCAGCTAACCCAGCATAGTTGATCTGAAAGTTAATCTTGTCGGTCGATGTGGCGGGTTTGCAATATCCTTCAAGGCATTCGGGGCAGTATGTGTGCTTGCACGAGGTCTGGATGGGAATGTCGGCTTCGCAGAAGCAGATTCCACGCAGGCTGCGTCTCCCCAATTCCACGCCGGCGGTCTACCGCAGGGACATACGGAGGTGCTGGCGCACGCTGATGGCAGGGACAGGGACAGGGGCACCATGGCGATGGTCTGAGAGTGTAAGCTTTGAAGAGGACGCCATTGGATCAGATGCTCATCGACCACCTAGAGCAAGGGCTGCAAGCTATCAAGTCGGGGAATGACAGAGCATAATAGTGTCTTCCAGCTAAGACGCGATCGAACAGAGTGCTTTGCCTCGACTTTTCCCTGGTACACCAACATTCCCCTGGGCGTGTACATCATCGCGGTGCTCTCGACAGCCGTCAACCGGTGGCAATTGCTCGCCACGGCGTCGAAGTTTCTGGTCGTGTTGTCGAGTTACGGCGTCTTCTTGGGGCCCCCCTCGTCCTCTGGAAAACGGGGGTCTCACTCACTCAATCACTCGCTCACTCCTTGATGCCGGCCCTGACGACGATCGAGATCCGCCGACGAGTTTGGTTCTGGGATGAGGGTTATCTGGTGTTGCCGTTGGCGTGGAGTAAAGCACTTCCTGGGGCGGGGGAGAAGGGTGATGGAGATGGCAAAGGTCAATTGTTGGGTTTCCCCGTCAGGGAGTCCGCAGGTATCTGCACGGCGTTAGCTGCTGATGTTGCCTGGTTTGTGGTCGCCGCCTTCGACTTGGCTTCGTGGCCCAGAGGGTTCCGCCTGCGCGGTGAGCGACTGATCGAGCACGCGGCATAAACGGAGCCCCCCCCCGTGGTGAATATTGACGTCTTCCTCTTTGAAGTCGACCAAGTACTCCGGCTCGTACGGGCTGTCGGTGTGCTGCGTCAACCATGGCGTGAGGAGTCTATGACCGTCGACGACAACGAGTCTGCGTCTGGAAGCAGCTCTCAGGGCAAGAGAAGCGACGTGCCGACGTGGACTGGCGTCGTGACCAACAGATGCGTCAAGCAGCAGGGTTCTTGAGGCGATCCGTGCCGTCGCAGGTGTCAGCAACGAGTTGGCTGTGTTTCCTTGGGTGATCGTGTCCTCTTAGCGAGTCCAGTCGAGGACTATGCCCGGCACTCTTCGTTCTTCGAGGTCATCTTCCTCGCCGTTAATGAGCAGGAAGTCGAATTCTTCGATCTCTTTCGAGTCCTTGTCCATGGCCTGGCTCGTCATCCTCGCCCCAGACACGCCGACTGTCCCTCAGAAACCGCCATCGTTGGTCTTTTGCTTGCACGTCCCTCTGCACCCGTGCTGGTGAGGTCGTCCATTTCATCCCGGTATCGTTCCAATGCAGGGCTGTACGATGCCTGTACGTCTTGCTCCAAGGGTTTCCTCAGCCCCAATTCACTTTTCTCCTGCTGTTGGCATGCCGCATACTGGAATGCGGCCTTTCTGAATCCGCGACGACCGCGTTATTGACAAAGCAATTACTGCACGGCCACCAACGGCGTGGACGAGCCACAAACGGCACTGCAAATCCTCACAGTGTCACGACCGCACCGAGGGCGACGCCACCTCAGATCACTCTAGCGCGAGCTCAGTTGCATTCCGTCCTCCTCCCGCTGAATAGACTCCCCGAAGGGTAAGAGAGGGTCAGATTTAGGGGGGCAAGGAAAAAAAAAAAGAAAAGACAAGAAGGTTACCTGAGATGCAGCGTGAACTTCTGCAAGCTCACTTCTCAGCCAAGTGTCAGCTCCCGTCCTTGTGTGTGTGTCTGTGTGTGTCAACAGAGCAGATCCTTCACAGATGACGAGGCCTCATTCGTTCGCGACTCTAATCTTAACATTGACACGGTCCGTCTCTTGTTCTTGGTCTGTCCGTTCGATGCGTGGTGAAAAGTAAAGCCACGGCGGAACACAACAAGGTGCAACATCGGCGGCCAATTCTAGAATCATCCTCCTTGCGGAGACTGGATTTGATTTGGCATGCATCTTCGGCCGTCCCTCGAGCCACCCCCTGGGCAACACCAGCTCAACTAGATGCGGCCGGGCCGAATGGTGAGGCGGTGAGCGCCGGTGCTTGGCCGTGCTCCTTGCAAACGCGGAGTATGCGATCACCGCAGCGCCTCATGCCTCCACGGAAAGACGCCATTTGATGGCTTCTTTCATCCGCACGATCGCTGGGGACACGGTGAGGGCCTTGGCCGACAGCGCGTTGGTCAGGCGGACCTTGGCCGTGTTCTTGTCCTTGGGCCGTGGCAGGCCGTCCATGTCGTGGCCCTCGGGTGTAAGAGCAGAGAAGCACGCATACCACCCAAAATGATGCAATTCGTCCCTGAGCCGGGAACATCGGTCAAGCCCAACAACTTGACGTATGTCTCTCCGGGGTTCAAGTCAATAACTGCTTCCTCCTCGTGTTTTTGGCCTCTTCTGGATGAACGTCGAGTTGCGTTCCCTGACCTGCTTTCTCACACGTTGGGGCCTGTATCGAAAGAAGGGCGATTCTAAGGCTGCGAGTTCGGGACTTTTATAGCTCTTTGAGCGCTCACCGTCAGTTCGCCTCGAGGGCTTCAAGCCAGGAATTGGTGCGAACAATTTCCCCATGCTGGTGACCAAGTTTACAAGTCTGGCCTCTATTGGGACCCTCCTCCGACTATCGAGCACATCGGGTTCTGACCGTATTCAGCGGCGATGGGAGGTACATTCCATTCGCGAGTACGGCTTCTGCGAATCTGCGAGAAAAGAACGATGACCTCAACCATGTGTGCTTGAGGGTACCATTGCAGGTTCCTTGAATGGCCTCTGGAGTACGGAACGCACTACAGGACACATTGAAGACATTGCTGCCTGGTGGAATTTCTCCGTCATCTGCAAGTCGACTGGGGCCGCGTGAGTGCCGAAGGCATTTGATGACCTCCACAATGCTGCCTCTGTCTAGTATGCCGTCGACATACTCTGATATAAGAAGCATGAGATTCATGGTATTGGTGCCAGCCTCATTGTCCAGGAACAACCGGGAAGCGGCACTCAAACAGGGCAATATCAACTCACAGACCTCTTGACGGAGGCTTGATAAGCGCCATCGGACACGTCATCCACGTCGATCAGTTGATTCCCGAGTTGTCGCTAATCTCTGGTCGTCTCTCTTTTTTTCGACCCACTCTCCTTGCCACCGGCTGGAGTGGATGGGAAATGGTCATTTGGTGCCTTCGACTGCTTCTCTCCATTTGGCACCTGTACGTACTCTCACGGGAACAAACACTTGTTGGCGTTGCCAAATCAGCATGCAGATGCGGCTGAGAGTAAGACGCTGGGCGGATCTTCCCCCGATAGTCGTGGCGGAACATATACGCCATAATCTCGCTACAGACTGCGAATGAAGGCGACAGCAGTCGAGGCAACCTCTCCCACATGATGGATATCAGGGATGCTGACTGGACCCTGATAGGCAACAACGAGGTGTACGAAAGCATATGTCTCGCCAACAACGTCTAGCTACCATCATAAAATCGCCGGTCATGCTCTGAGCAAAAGCTGCCCCGTTGATCGATGATTCCACGATCTCCCTCTTCGTTCTTCGGCCATTCGACACTTTTCTGCTTCGCCAACCAATTTGGCAAGAAACCGAAATGCCCGCGCGTACATGGCCGGGCACATAGAGGACTTTCAGGACTGTAAAGGGCCTTAAGGTATCGTGGTAACGGTGTTGAAAAAAAGAACCGAAGGAACAGACAAGCTCTGGGAATGGGCGTTCGATTGTCTGGACGCGTTGACTCTAATGGCCGGATTTCAGACCGGAAGAAAATCCTTGCCGATTCCACTGATGAAAATGGAACGCGACATTGGCGACTCTTGCTTCGTTCAAGTGGAACTGCCAAATCACCCCAGTCCTTGCGGCCAGCTACTCAAGACCGGTAGCTCAAATGAGACTGTCCTCAAGGCGCGTTCATCGACGGGGGGGAGCAGTCATTCTCTTACTTCGGGGCATCGGCTTGACAAAATGTCTACCACCTCATCCCTTGTCTGCATCTCTCCCTTTGAAATGATGTCCTTTTTCTGGTTGCCGCCACGTTGGCTAACCCGGCCAAGGGGCCTCGACTGACAGCCGAGTGGCTTTTCGATGTCCTGGCTCGAGCTCATGGCGTTGACTTCTTTTTGCACCACGCAAAGCAAAGCAATCAACCGTTGTTTACGCCGGTGGCGATTCCGCCAATCAGGTTGCGTGGCTTGCGGCGCTGGGCAGTCACGTACGAACAAGATAATTCTCTTGCCCTGAACTCACGACTGCTGGTTCAAGAATTGCATCTACACGGCGCTGGACCTTTTGTCGCCTTCGGGGCGTCATATATGAAAGCATTGATGAGTTGAAACTGGAAGCTTCGGAGACCTGCTTGATAGGATCGTTTGTATGCAAAGTGCATTGTTCACGTGGACCATTTAGATAGGGCAGACTCTGCCGGCAGGGAAGGTTGCTGATCACCCAACTTGATGAAATTCTCACTCCTACCTACAGTATCACTACTTTCAAGTTGATGCCAGAGAATTGCTGAGAGAAGCACACGCCCGCACCGCGAATATACCGCTCTTTCCAGTTCTGTCTCCCGTTCCCTCGATCCTGAGCATGCCCTTGCCCTTCTTCGCACCTCCATGCCCAGATGTCTCAAGAGAGGAGGCTTAGCTGCGGCCTTTGCCAGAAGGATCACACCATCGGTGAAGTATACATCTCAGACCCAAGGCGATGGGGACTCACCATTGTGTAGTTTCCATTCCCTGCAGAGGTTCCACTCCCCCCCATTACGACATTACAATTTCATTGACGTTGAATGTGTGCGGTTCTTTGGCGATTGAGTGGTGTCCACGATGACGACCGACGGGCGCGCAAGCCATGGGCAGAAAATTCTATCCATTGGACAAGAGCAATACCTCGCCAGCTTGCAGAAACGTGGGAAATATTAATGTCCTACTTACGACTCACACTGGCTGCTCGATTCTCAAATCATCTTCAGACAAGGACTTCGACGACCGCATGGCACATAAACAGAAAGTTAGCGCTTCGGTTAGGGGGCCCTACACGGTGCTAAGTGCTTACAGGCCTGGGTACAAGGAAAGACGGAAGCAGAGATGAAGGAAAGATACGGCTTCGCTGTCCAACCGCCTTCCTACGAGGGCAGGGCCGCACCCGCCGCCCCCGAAACTGGCCCATCTGGTCGTCATGCTCTGGTGTCGCGCCCCGGAGCTGCTGCTGGGTACCGAGGAGTACGACGTCACCGTCGACTTGGGGAGCCTGGGCTGCATCTTCGCCGAGCTGCTCACCAAGGAACCCCTCTGCCGGGCCGCAACGAAGCCGACCAGCTCTCCAAGATCTTTGCGCTGCTGGGCACGCCCACACGCAAAGACTGGCCGGACTCCGCTCCCTGCCCAACGACAAAGCCCTGCACCCTCTCCTCTCATCACCGTCACTGTCCCGCCTGACGGCCGCCCCGTTCCCCTACCTGACCAACAACAACTTGTCAGTCCCTCCTCGCAGCAGACCATATATACATCACACCTTGCGGAGGAGGGGGGAACGGGTCCCTGTGTCGGCAGGCTCCTTGTCTTTACAGCGTCCCCCCGTCGCTACCCACGCTAGTCGTCTTTTTCTCGATAGTTAGGTGTCACCACTGACTTCGTCGCGTGCTCGGTTCATGCTCCGGAGCCTTGATATGGTGTTGGCCTTGCTTGGTTCATGTCATCGAATTGAGGAGCTTGAAGAAAGCCTTGAGCGATATCGAGGGCGCCAGGCCGTGGGACTAGACTGCTGTCGACGAGGTTGCTGCCGCGGCGCCAGAGATTGATGAGTACACAGCAAGATTGGTCAAGAAGGGACGATGGATGCCTCCGGGATATCAGGTGCGGATCTCCTTGAATGACATGATTGTGCCTGAAGGCTGTGTTGCTAACTTTACGGCTCTACAGGAGAGATTCCCCAATTGGTCAGCCGTGCAGAGGCCGCTACCAGGAGAGAAGGCGAGAAGAGGACGGAACAATTTTTCTGCTTTTCCATCTCTTTCCGTGGTTTCTGGAGAAAGAGGAGTAGGGGAGACGATGGCACAGAAAACTCACACGGCCTTTTACAGCTAAAGTTCGGCCAAGAAAAGTGACGGGAGCCCTGCACATCTACCGCAGCTGAACGGAGCGGCGGTCGACGACAATGGGAAGTTCGGCTTGGTGGTGGAGAAGGAAGCGACAGACTGACGTCGACTTAGAGTTCCGGGTCCGGCCGTCATCACAAGGCTAGCTGAGATGGGCGATGTGCGTCGTGCCGTCAACTCCCTCGGGTTCTTGTGTGTCAGGGAAGGGGATGGGTTGGAATGGTGCGGCACCGTTGCGGCGAAAGCGAGCCGGCCATCGAAGAACAAGGAGAACCTGGCGTTGACAGAGGCGGAAAAGAATTCTTTGCAACTGGTCTGCCAGCGTGAAACAACACTCGACATGTTCTATGCTGCGGGAATTCCATGCATCTTTACACTCCAAAGGTTTCGCAAGTGGATATTGAAGCCTTGCTCAACGAGACAGGCACGGACTTCAGACATTTATATCCACTTTGCACCAAAATTACATTCTATCATGCAATGGCGATGTGTTCTGACATCCTCTGTACGGTGGAGAAGAAGAAGAAGAAGAAGAAGAAGAAGAGGAGGAGTTCGAGACTTCGTCAACGATCGAGCCGAGACTGAGACGGTGGCTGAGTGGGTGGACATTGATGATGTCCTCTTTCTTCTTCCTCACGGATACGCGAGACGCCACCACCGAGTCGTCGCGTCTGGTCGTAGAGGAAGAGGAGATGCTCGTGATGTAACGACGTCCGCCTCGGGGAGTCTTCTCGTTTTCCTTCTCCTAGACGGCTGGCGAGCAGGTCGATGCCCCATTGCGCTGCACATCGGCGTGGGTTTTGACCAGCCACACTATCTTGATGCGTCCCCCTCGTCGTCCGCTTGATGATTTCACAATGCATGTGGAGTACAGACATTACACGTTGCTACCGAGAACAGATACTCACTGCACATCGCATCCAAGTACAAGAATAATGCAGACAAATCGGATTAGTCTCGCCAGGAGGTCCAATTGTCCTCAGCTGTGGCGACAGTGCGAGTGGTCTAGGCATGTAATGTAGCCTATTTGTGCGGTGTTTGACCTTATATCTAGGATATGGACTAAAGCCGACCCGTACCGAGACAGCTTTCCATCTCTATCAACGCCGTCTTAACGAGCGCCTTGTATCACCTTTCACACAGCACTTCTACTATCGCCGCAATACACCTGCATTTGAACAATGGCGCAAACACCACCGCGAGCGAGGTGGCGCCGCAACACGCGACATCGGAAAGTACAATGCGTACAGTCCGGAGGCGTGGAAGCCGTGTTCACGCTGTGTCGCGACTTCGGGGCGTACATGCTCAGTCGACAGCCGACACCACAGCAGGGCCAGCGCGGCTCCATCATCAACATCGCCAGCCTGGTCAGCTTCTCGAGTGGTCTGACCGTGCCAGCCTATGCCAGCCCCAAGGGCGGCGTTGCGCAGCTGACCAAGGCCCTGAGCAACGAGTGGGCGGGCCGCGGTGTCAATGTGAATGCCATCGCGCCGGACTACGTCGCCACCGACATGAACGAGGCGCTCATCAACGACGAGACCCCGCGCCCCATCCCCATCTTCGTGCGGTCGGCGAGGTGCCTTTAACAGAGCGACGTAGATCGGCAGGACATACGTGGCGCCGACTCTCCCGCGAGGAGGAGGACGAGAGTATCCGGCCCCGAGCGGAGGATGGGAGGCACGTACATGCTGGCTTCGGCGTAAGATCCTTCGATCTGGCTCTCATGCGTCGTCGCTGGCGCCGCCTCTTTCAGCGCAGGCTTGGAAATGGAGGCGAAGAAAGACGTCCCCGGCCCGCCCGTGTTGCTGAGAACATCCAGCAGTTCCATCAGCTGTGCTTCTCCACGTCGGACCAAGGACTGCACGTCCGCGATTGGGAACGGCGTCTTCGGACCGACCATGCCCCCGACGCGGTGGACATAGACGTGCTGTCTGGGAATCTTGAGTTCGAGTTGTGCGTGGTCTATGAAGTTTCTCTTCCGTCAATCAGTGCTGGGGAGATTGCTGTGAGAGAGAGATGTGTGAGATAGAGTGAGTAAGGAAATCAACACGCGATCGAGTATGTCTTTGGTTGCCTGGAATGGAAGGACGGTTCTCAGAGGCGAAATATTCTTGCTTTGCTGGCTGGTACGAAAACAAAGCGGCCGAAGGTGAAAAAGATCAACAGATGAATGAGCAAAAGAAGCCATGCGCGAACGACAATGAGGGTTCCGGTCATGGAGGGATTAAGGATGTATGTTGGTCGTTCGTTGCAACAAAAAACAAGCAGGGAGAGGAGAGCGGCGCTTACAACCAAAACAAACAAAATGAACAATCACCGGGCTCCGGGGGCCTGTCTTCTCTCCAGGAGACAATACACTTGAGAACATCGACCAATGCATAGCACAAGTGCGTGGGAGACGACGTCGCCTTTCAAACAGAGCTGCCATCAAGTGGTTCACCTTTGGGTGGATATATACACAGCTTCGGAATGATCTCCCGATAGTCCTAGGAGCTTGCGACTCCAGCCCTGCATGTATCCTCATGACATTGCCGTAATGGACATGAAATGCTCATGTGATCATCAACGACTCACGAGAGCGTCGGGATCAGGGAAGGATACCGACATCCCTTTTCTCTCGACAACATACTACACGACCCAATCATTCAGACATAGGCCCAGATCGGGGGGAGCATTGTCGCGGACAGGAGCAAGAGTGAGAGAGTGATCATTTGGAAGTAAGAATGAAACCAGTTGGGTTGAGTCCAGAGCGGAACATGGTGACTCAGAGTTCGATTGATTGAATGGCTGGTGAAGCTCGTCAACAACCATCCTGTACCTGTGTGAGATTCAACGCATAACATCTACGTGACCGTGGATCATGGAGCGCAGCCCCGACGCCTGACACCGTTCACCCAAGCCGATTCAACCGCTATGGCAGCTCTGGACTACCAGGAGATGAATCACCATCGTCACGTTACGATCTAATGTCCGATCACTCTTCTTCTGCGCCTCAACCCATCGCCAGTCAAGCTCCCGCGACGACGACAGGATCATCTGGAAATCCATCGCCTCGATGTGGAAAATAACCGCGCTCCACGTCGAATCTAAGCCGGCTCAACGCAGGCAATCAAAAAGGTATCTCAATTCAACTAATCATGTAGGCGAATGCCGAGTCGCCTTCGAGCGACAATCCTCCTCCACCACCTCCACCACCATCGCCTGAAACCGCCAAGCTTCAACGACCACAAGAGTCTCGAGTGCTCCGACACAGCGCGAATGGAAACGCGAAGCAGCGGCAAGGATCGACACGATGCAAGGATATCTGGAGAGGTATTCTGGCCGAGGAAACCTGGATCCCGCAGCAACGCGATGATACGTTGAGGCACTCAATGTATTGTTTGTGGATCAGACAAGAATATGGTTGGGACATGTTGAACCTGTGCCAGGACACCGTCGACGGCTGTGAGGAATGTGTGGCTGGGGGAGCAGAGGATGCTTGAGGGCAGCGATAAGACGCCAGCGCCCATGCTGACCACGAATCATAGATATCTCTATAGAAGCAATACTCAAGCATTCCTACATACCTTATGTACCTCTTGTTCGAGATTCCCGCTCTCGCCCTTTTGGAACGCACCGACATCGTACCGACCCCGGGCAGGAGACTGCGACGTCGAGTCACACGAGTGTTAATATCGGACTGTAGATGCGACAATCGACAAGGTCTTTTCCAGATCTTGAGTTGCCACGTTGGGCCTTCTACAGACCCTCAAATGTTGTGGTGATCAAACGGTTCCGTTATTCCCCAGACACGCGTCTCATCCGCGCGAGAACGCCAAGTGATGGCACAATCCAATTTTTCTCTTCCCCACGGAAGCGAATCTATCTGCCTTGGCGGGTTGCTCAGCCTTGCGTTCGAAAACCTCAGCCTTGTGTGTTCGAAACCACACAAATCACTTTTTGTGCATCACTTTTTGTGCACAAAAAAAAAAGAGGCACCTCTCTTCTCAACATGTAAAAACATGCAAAAACTCTAACCCAAGCCCAACTCCCCGGTGGGAGTTGAGGTTGGATCGAGGTAAAACCCCCAGCTGTGGAAGGGGTTTTTTCCCGTCGTTTCGTCAGGTTCTCTCCGGCCTCGGTCGCTCCCACGCTTAGGGAGGCCGTGAAAGGCGCGGAACAACTGGGCTACCTGCAGAAGGTAGTGCCATCAGTGTCAGAGCAGTTACCTTCAGGCAATCTCGTAACTCTCAAGAGAAGCTGTCCCAGATCTGGTGGCCACACCCTCACGCCCCAGCTAGCTCCGTCTGCACACTCGGTGTGGCCATCAGAGGCTGGGACCCGGGATAGACCTGGGAATTGTTGGAGAGAATTCTGGGTCTATAATATATATGTGTGGGGAATTCTGCCAGACCTCCGGCGCCGTGCTCGCGGCTTCTTCCGCGTCAACGGCCCCCCTTGAACGCCCGGCTTCTCCTCTGCCAGCCGTCCGTCCGTACTTCCTGCGCTGCTTCATATCGGCAGCACTCCTGTTCTTGCGCAGCTTCGTCTCGACGACTCTGCTCGCCTCTTTTCCGACAACTCGCCCTTTCGCGGCGGAGATCCTCTTCGTCGGTCGAGAGCATCTTGCAGACCCAAGCATCGCATCCACGAGAGTCCAACCGAGCAATACGCTAGGGCAAGAGTTGTTTGGGGGGCATGTACACGAGGGATGGACTTGCGAACTGGGAACCAGAACAGTTGAGATTTATGCCCGACGATAGCGCCTTGGACCGGTGATCAGCAGAGCAGAGCAGCGAGCTCGGCCTCGCGCAGCGTCGAGTTATTCTCGTCTACTTCTCCATTTGCGGCGTCTCGGTATAGAGGAAAGCCCCTGATGCACCAAGGGGCGTAGCCCCAGTCCGTCGAGGAGAACGGTCGCGGATCGCAACTCCCAGTGGACGCGGAGGACGAAGAACCGGAAGAGGAGCGAGAAGCACAACGAGGGCAAATCCGAGGAGACTCGAGACGTGGAGGGCTGAGCCGGCCATGCCGGGTGGGCGTATCTATGGTAGACAACAAAGTCGATACTGCTATGTTTTGAGACGAACCTACATGAATCCCGTTCCTTGAGGTCGAGGTCATGAAAGGTTCTGACCACGGCTCGGAGGAGAGCATCATCTCCGAGGTCGTCTAAGCATACAAACAGAACCGCGACGCGAAGCGAGAGCACGAACCGCTCCTGGGCCGGTTGTCAGAGACCCTTGGTCTAAATGACGACGAGCAGAGCGATACCACACAGACGGAGGTAGTATTTTAGACTCAGTCTGTTGCAGAACCATCGCTCTCTAGAAGGCAGCTGGAAAGGGCTCCGATACGTTTGTAGCAGTCGATCCAACCAAGATCTCGTCACGCGGCGCGTGGTTCGATTGCACCATCTCGTCTGGACAAAACGTCAACTCAAGCGTCAAGATCGATTGCGTTGCCTCTGGAATGGCAGAATACCTCGGACGGGTGGAGGACCCAACCGAGGACGAGCTTGAGGAGCGTGAGCCCCTGATGGAAGGTAGCCAGCGTAGCCATAGCAGCAGTGGCCAGGAAATGAAAACATCTCATAAACACATACACACGCGCGCGCACATGAATGTGATCACAACTAACTAACTAACTAGACAGGCAGACTAACTAAAATCCTAAGCCAGACAGATAGACAGACCGAGATGACCTCCCCTCCGCTCCGATTTCTGAGCAGAAAAAGGGGACAAGGGGGAGGGCGGCATACTGGTGCTGCTTCTGCTTCAGCTTCTGCTTCCCATCTGTTGTATCGGCATCTGCTGGTGCTGATGACGATAACGACGACGACGGAATGTCCCGCTCCTTCGTCCGTCCGTTCGTCCATGAGTGGAAAGAAGATGCGCGTACTGACTCACTCACTCACTCTTCCCCTCCCCTTGCTTTCGTTTATCCCACTGAGTATAGATAGCACCCTTTGAGGCGCTGACGCTCGTTCCCAAAAATTGTCATCTAAAGGAATGAATGAAAATACACCGAGAAAGAATGACATGAAAAGCACCATCGCAAAGCACAATATGACAAGCAAATGTAAATACACGCGCAATCCCCTCTCCAGGAGGCTGTTGTTGTTGTTGTTGTTGTTGTTGTTGTTCAAATGGCAGATAACCGGCGGTCGCGCCCGTCTGCAGTGCCGATTCCCTTATTGGTGTTGGCTTTGGAAACCATAGTCAAACGCCAGGAGGTCTGATGGCATTTGCGATCCATCACTATACCATGACTCTGGAAACCCGGCGTGCTCTGGAAACCCGGCGTGCTCTAGAAATCCGCCGTCGTGCTCTGGAATCCCGGCGTGCTCTGAAATCCCGGCGTGCTCTGCCGATGTCAGCTCGGGGCAGCGTTCGTCCATCTCCGGTAGGTGATTCCTGAGTCTCTCGGATTCCCTCTGGAGAATTTGATCCACATAACATGTTGGTGTCTTTTGGTGGCGGGCCAATGAGTGGTGACAGCTGAACCATTTTCCACAGACACAACCAAATGTTTTTATCTTATTGTGCACCCTGTTGGTATGGTATCTAAGATCACAAGCGCGGACGAATCCTTTCTGACACCGGTAACATACGAACGGAAGATCATTAAGGTGTTGCCGGATATGTAAATAGATGGAGTCTCTCCGGACGAATCTCTTGTTGCAATGCTCATACTGACAGGCAAACTTGCCGTCCAGAGGATCTCGACCACAAACAAACTTTTTGATATCGTCACTCGTGGTAGCTCTTGGCTCACGTGATGATGCCTTCTTGCTGGATTCCGGCTTGAAATATGTGGTCGATATCCCTCCAGGCGGTAGAGCGGGACAGCCTAGCGGAGTGCTGCCAGCCGGTGCGTTTATGTTCGTTTGCCCAAACACTGGGGGAAAGAGAGGTTCCGGCACGGGCATATAAGCCATCTCAAACAAAGATCTAGTCGGTGTTCCTTGAGCTCCGCTGAGAGTTCTTCGTCCTGAATAATTCCTTGTAGGGACTTCCCTCGTGCTATAGGTACTGGATAGGGTGACTGAAGGGAGGTGTGAGAGGGAGGTGTGAGAGGGAGGTGTGAGAGGGAGTGGTGCTAGCGACAAGTTAGATTTGCTTCAAACACTTGTTAATTGTGGAAAATACTCACCTATATGGATTTGATATGAAGGTATATAGGGTCGTAACTGCGTCTATACACCCTGATCAGGCTGCCACACTCTTCGATTGTGTCGAGGATGCCTTATTGAAGATAGGCAGTACTGAGCGATAGATAGATTCCGCGGTAATAAGTATTCTTTGCGTACGGGGAATGACAAGACTCAAACCTTGAGAGAAGTAAACTTCGCGCAGGCGGGAAGTGATCTTTTCTCGTGGGAGCTTGGCTGGCCTAAAGGGGCTATTTAGACCACCCTAAGCCGCTTTAGGCTTGTCAAGTACGGACGGAAAAACTATGCTCCTCGCTCCCGAGAAGAATCTTTCTCTCAGCCTTTGAGTCTCGTCACTCCTGTACGTAAAAGGATACTTATTACCACGGAGTCTATCTATCGCTGAGTACTACCTATCTTTAATAAGGCGTCCTTGAAAGAATTCCGACATCGTGCTGAAACTGGGGTGCTTGAGCCTCATGGAAGTACTGGGGATTATTTCAAGTAGTGACCGGAACATGCCGCTCTCCGAAGAGATAGGTATACCCATAGTCATATTGGGATGCTACTGATCTGGTCTTACTATTCCTTCCTCGTAACCGAGATCAACGTCTGACCGTCGGCTCCAGTGTAACGAGATCAAGCGCTCGTGTCTCAGATGCATACAAAGCGGCGAAATGTGCCTCATAACCAGTGTGCTAGAGCAACCAGGCTACGTGATCAACCTGGAGAACGCTCACGCAAGCGGCCGTGTGAAGCGGCCGAGAGGACCACGGTCAAGTTTGTCCTCGCTGCGCCCACAATTCGACCTCCACGTGCCCTCGCATTCATTTGGCAGGACCACATTCTTAGGACATTCTCGAGAGGTTGTGACTCTGTAGTTGACACCTTTCTATGTCTGAGAGAGAGTCTGGTTTGATTTTGTGTTGACCTGGCGTTCCGTCTCTTGCTGCGTCCGTGTAATTCGTAAAACTGCTGAGTGTATTCTCGGAGACGTTCTTCTTCTGATTTCCGTGGCATTCAGAGAGGTGAGAGACAACCCGTCGGGTAAAGTTGAGGTTGTTTTTATTGTAACAGGCATTAAAGTATCAATCCGTTTGTAGCTGCCGACTCAAAGTCCGGCGCTCGTATCCCGGAAAACCGGGCTTCGGGCGAGCAGGTCCGACAGGTCACAGATTGGAAGTCTGTCGTCGTCAAGGGCCGTGAGCTAGCGAGGGCTCTGAGGAGGAGTGTGTTCGCGGGCCGGCCGAGAAGTCGGGAAGATGAGGATTTGATGAGAGAGGTGGCTGCGGAAGGTGACCAGGTTCAGACAGAGGCTTCGATCAAACGTGCAGTACGTTTAAGAGCGTTAACACCGAGTGCCCCTGGTGAACTCGTACTTGGGCGATGATTCTCCGACGTGGCTCGAGAGGGCAATTCTCGGTGTCGATAGTTGTCGAATAGAGGAGTCAGGGAGGAATGAAAGGCTGGTCTCACGGCTCAGTGCCTGGAGGAGGGATCTTTCAGTGCGATGCTCATTTCAGCGTTACTACCAGTCTGTTAGATCGGAACGAGAGGAAGGAGGAAGCAAGGAACTAGATCACAATGGCCCACAGAGTCGCATTGACTCCGTGGGCCTTGATGGCGTCTGGATCGTGTGTTGGGCTATCTCTGACCAAGTCAAAGTGAGAAGGGGGGGAGAGGGAGAGGTGCGCAGGCGCTGTAGAAGACGGTGGGCAGGCCGTCCAAACAGGAAAGGTAGAGCTAGGCGTGTCCGGTGACCACAACAATCAGGAACCGATAACAGGGCACATCTCTAAGTGCAAGTTTTGACGACGTCAGTGCACTGAGGTCGCAAGGGTTCCGGACCACCATTCAAGACCTGCCACGAGCAGTTGGAACAACAGAGGTATTCAGTGACACAACTGGAATAATTGCGGAGAGGCTCTGAGAAACAGCAAAAATAGAGTGTAGTCGTCACGATCGCAGCCAGGTGTGTGGTTAACAGGGCCGATAGCACTGAGCACTCGGCACTATTTTACAGAGATCCTTGTACTCGATGATAGTATTGAGACAGTGCATTCTCTATGGACTAACTAACAGGCCTACGTTGCGACTAGAGCTTTCTCGTAATTATAGCGACAGAATACCGGGAAGGGCTCCGATAATTCATCGGTAAGCCTGGGGTGTCACGTACCACAACTACGCCCGTGTAGCAGCTATGGCACCTGCATGAGACGTGTTGGACAGGGACACTCTGTCCTTTCTCCACAATAGTCCCTGTTGGAAGTAATCGTGAGTTCTTCTGTATCAAGAATGTCTCGTCTAGCGACAATAGACATCCGATACCTTCCTGACACCCTCCGACCCACGAGTTCGATTGTTGGTACACAGGCACGATTCAGGTAACCGAACATGGTGCTTCTCTCAATGCAGTTGATCTGGGCGACCTCCGGGCAATTAATAAGATCGTCCCTAAACAGCAAAAGACCCGGGCCGTCGTGGTACGTATTGGGAGGTGCTAATTTGCCTGTCACATATCCCAGAATTGTACCCCTAGGGTAGACAATATGACCGGCTTCCTTTGCAACAGCTTGTAGACCTCGACCTTTGTCCGGGGATATCCGGATACGGGGCAGTATCTCAGGACGATGCTTAAAGCAGTTGCACTTGCTCTCGTCACAGTACTCGCACTGCCTTTCGCCGGGAGGGATGTATGTAGGGTCAACCGGCCAAGGCCAGTCCTCCGGCCAATCCTGTGGTCTTCGCCAATTCGGGTACTCGCCCTCCTGGTACTGATTGTCGTCCATTGTTGGAACGGGTTCCAGATAGGAAAATAGATCTTCCACTGAGACGTTATCCAGCGACACATCCTCCCCGGCAAATTCGACATCGTCCGCAGTGAGGTCCAGTGAATCCTCAAACTTCTTCCCGGCGGCGCAGAGAGCAGAGATCTGTTCCTTGTCGAGGTGACCACGTAAAGAGTGAAAGTCGATGTCTTGGAGACGGACCCAGTCCCTCGAAGAAAATCCAAATTCGTGTGTCTGAAAGGGGAGAAAGGCTAGAATACCAGGAAACATTTCGGAGAACGTTCGCCACGTCGTGCCTCTCTCGCGATGATAGTGGAACTGACGTGAGTCCATTCCCGTACCTTGAAGGATCTTTTGAATACCGCCTTTCGGAACCCTTCCGCGGCTTTGTCCAATTTCTATTTCGCGGCTTCGCTTCAGCTCCTCGGCATGCTGGGCAAGACGGGCTTGATACAGTCGGACCAGGAAGTGGTGAAAGCCGCCCTTTCTGTAAGACACATGAATAGCTGCTATGTCATTCTGGAGCATCCGAGTCGGATCATTGCTTTGTAACCCGTCTCTCCCACGAGACATTCGCAATGCTGTAGGCTCAATATCCCGACGACCACGGACTATCGCGAAAAATTGCTCGATAGCGGCTCTGCTGCAGATGGCCTTCGCCATTTGAGAGATCGGAGCAGACCAGATATTGTGATTAGCGATCATCTCCGTGTCGGCTGAACTCCGCGAAATCCGAGACCTTTTCCCACTCGCGCTCGGCGTGGGTGACTGGTCTCTGCGCCTCTTCCCAAGGCTCACAAGGCTCCTAACCGCTGCTTCTCCGGCCTGGTTAGGGCCGTTGGAAACTAGACGATTGCGTCTTCCAGACACCGGTAAATCGTGCGCTTCTGGCTCACTTTCAGTCTCTCGCTCACTTTCAGCCTCTTGCTCGCGCTGTGGTTCACTCGGATCGCGGAATTCCAAAAAGGTATTGGGAATAGGGAATACGTTGCAATTTGGGCTACATTCGGAGTAGCCTTCGATGCTCCAGTTGGGGTTGCCATAGTTGACGGCTTCGGCAACCGTAGGGCCAATGGTGCCACCTTGGTGGTAGCTGTCTCCCCACACCACGACCACCTCTCGCGGACGTTGAACAAAGGCGACAAAGGAAGCACCAATGGCGTTGAGTTTGGACCGCGGAATCCAGCGGGAAGCGTGACGCACTTTCTGCGCACACTTCCCCCGTTTCACGTGGTTTTCGATGAGAGGGCCATCTTTCTGAGCCACCACATACCAGAGTTTCTCCCTTCCATGGTGTAGGGCATTCAAAGATGATAGGTTTCCGTCCTCACGGTGTATGACGGAGAGCGATCCGTCATCACTCGATGCGTATCCATACGGCCAATGGAACCCGGGCACGCTGTACTTGGTGCGATCTAACAGATTATCCTTCAGAGGCCAGATGGGGGACTCCGCCGGTAAACCCAGTAGTCGCCGATCTTCGGCGGTCCGAGCCGGCAGATCCGCACAGTATCGCATCTTGCTCATCGCCTCAGGATCGCCAAGACGACGTTCCACCATCTCAGCGAGTTCGTCGGGCTCCATAGGTGCGAAAGTGGCATGGCTGATATACAACGTTTCGCGATCCTCAGTCCGCGAAATACGAAAGATGTTATCCGGCCCGAGAAGAGACTCGAAAGTAGATATGCGCGTCGTAATGCTCGATACAGCGTGTGAACCTGGTTCAAAATCGTCCGGTAGCACGAACTTGAAGACTCCAGTTTTGCGCGCCCCCAGGGCCACAGCCTGAGAGAAAAGAAACGGCATATCGCGACACTGATCCATGTCTAAGGGCATCAGCACAACAACGCCGTGCTCTTTGCGGTGGGGGACGGTGATGTTGTCATTACGAGGAGTCTGAGAAATGGCGGGCGTAGAGTAGTCGGGCTGAGCAGGAGCAGAGGCAACCGGACGGGGTGAACAATGTGGAACTACCACACTGGCTGCAGCATATTCTCTGGGCCTTGAAACTTCGGCTCTTTGGTGAGCAGTCGTAGAGCCAGCGCGAGAATGATCAGGAATGGTCCAGTGCGCGTCATTATTGTGCGGGGCCGACTCGCTGAGCTGTGATGTAGAGTTTGTCCGACGGTCGGCCATAGCACTGGCATCTATCGCAGCCGATTCACCCCCTTGAGGCCGCTCTTGAGTGGCTGAACGGTTTTGGTCGACTTGCAGCCTTGCCTGTCGCGATGGTGCTGAATTGGGCAGTCGAGCTTCCTGAATAACGTTGTGACCATCAGCCCTGGCTCTCCCGTGGTGACTCGTAACAGTGACTGAGCCTTCCACCTCTTCTTTGAGATCTTGGACGGTCGTTGCTATCTCACTGATCATGGACCGGATCTCAGTCCAGGGCGGTGGACGCGAATACGTGTCCACCACACTCGTCAGCTTCTTCAGTACTTCTTCTATCCCTTCGAGTTTCAGCGCGACATCCGACATGATGGAAGAATGATGGCAGAATGATAGATGAATGATGGATGAATGATGGATGAATGATGGATGAATGATGGAGGATTTGTCGTTCATGGGAGTGGAAGAAGCGGTGAGAATTTGATGTGGTTTTTTTTGGTCGCACGTGAGTTCCCAGCCGGGTCTAGTCCCATTTTGGACATGTGTCAACAAACTTCTATCAACGCCTTCTTGGCGTGTAACGTCGCCATTCAACGTGGCTGTCATCGTTGCCGGGGGCTGGTTCGTGTGGCCACGTCTTGCCCCTTGAGCTATTTGCGTGCCATCGAGGACTGGTTGTTTATAGAAGTCAAAGCGGTTTGCGTACTTCTTCCTGTCGATATTCCTTATGTCGGTTTTACACTTCCCGCTAATTGCGAAATATAACTGAGGTTCGATGAATTCGACGCCTTGTTCGATGATTGAGTTGCGAAATTGTTGTGGACGACCCTGCGGAGAAATACTCTGTCGACCTGAGAGGTCTTGAAGCTTCCCACGAAAAGGATATGCTTTGCTTGAAAGTAGAAAGAAAGAGAGAAATACTAAGTAAACAAGAACTCTTGAGTAAGCGACAGCCATAAAGATGCAAAGGGAAGCAGATGAACAACGAGTTGCTCCGAGATGACATCTGCGATGATGATGATATTCCGGAGGTGCTGATAGTCGGGTAGACACGAACGGTGATGAGCTCGAACGGAAAGGCTCATTCGATGCAGCAGCCATGTCCGCTTTCTCATCCGCCCCAGTCCTAAGCCTACCTCCGTTTACATTTCCTGCCTCGTATCAGTATTGAGAAATGGTTGGCTTTGTACAGCCACCTGCCCTTCAGATGCATACCAGAGGAGCGGCACAAGTCACAGCCATCGCTGATATTTCAATCCTCTCGATCCACGGTTGATATCGTCTCCTCTACCGGAGAGTTGCCTCAGTCTCTTGGGCTCCTCAGCCTGATGGGCACCGTGCTGTCCACTTTCCGAACCATAAAAGTTGCCAGGCTCTCTCACCACTGGCCTGAGGTGGCAGATGGTTTGGATCACGTCCATCTCCTCTGAGCCGTGAGAAAGTCCCTACAATCGCGTGCGCTCCGATTCGTTACACCCACCAGTTGGAGCGTCCTTTGAGCTTGTCCTTGAGGGTATGCATTCAGACATTGGAAGCGTAACACGTGCGGTTACCGGTGATAAGCCTCTCAAACGGACGGCCTCGAGGCCTTTGGGTGAAGCCCATGCCGCGTGTTCGTTGCATGTGCTCCTGGCATCCATGGTCACTCCAAGGATCCTTGACTTAGGTCTGCGCGCGGACCTTGGTGAAACAACAACAGGGTCTCACATGGCATACATATACAGTCTCAAAGGCACCCGTTATCCAGCGTATTCGCGGAGGTTCAACTGCCAGGGAATAATGGGTTCATGGTATGCCTACCCCGCTGATACTTCCCAGCGAATGTGCCTTTATCTGATCGGGATAGACAAAGACCTAGGTGCGATCAATCCAGAAAGCTTTGTGTCTCATCGGTGTCTGGTGAAGAAGCAGACTCTGATCGCTGGGGTCGGTGTGTCTGTTCCCGCAAATACGATTGCAGGAATGCAGCCAGGAATGCAGAAAGGCGGGAATGCAAGATTGTTCCAGACTGCAAGACTATTATCAAGAATGCAGGACCGCAACACGGTTGCGAGGAATGCGGGACTGCAAGGACTGCTGCAAGAATGCAGTACAAGGAATGCAATGTCGTTACAGGAATTGATGAATGCAGGGCCACAAGGACCCAGAGTGCAAGATTGCTGCAAGGATGGAGGAATGCAACAATGCAGGTCCTTTTGAGAAATACAGCACTGTCACAAGGAATGCAGGCAGGCAGCAAGGAATACAAGATTCCCCCAGGAATGTAGGGCTGCTGCGGGAATGGGGGATTGCCCATCCCCGGGAATGCCGCCAGGAATGCAGGAATGAAGGGATGCAGCTAGGGATGCAGGCATGAATGCAAGATTGCTCCAATTCCAAGGATGCCGGATTGCTGCAGGAATGCAATACTGCCATCAGGAATTCCGCAGGGAATACAAGACTGTTCCGAGAATGTGGAATTGTTCCAGCAACGCAAGATTGATCAGGGGAAGCAACACTGTTGCAAAAATGCAGGAATGCTGCAGGAATGCAAGACTGCTTCAACTACAGGAAGCTGGATTGCTGCAGGAATGCAGGGCTGTTATCTGGAATGCAAGACTGTTTCAAAGGATATGGGGTCGTTCCAGGTATGCTCTCGACGAGCGTACTACCTTCAATGCCCACCTCCTCTCCTCCCTTATCCTTCTCTGCTGTAGGTTGCGGTTGAACGGCCTTCTTTTCGAGAGCTTGTTTCTTCGCCGTTTCCGACTCATTCTATCACCAGACGGCTACAGCGTTTTGTGTCCGCACATCCAGAATCTTCATCTTCTCCGCCACGTCCCTTTTTTTTTGAAAGTGAAAGGAAGCGTTAGTACGCCTTTCTCGAATGTGCTCTTGAACCCACGTTCGTGCTTCGCGCTGTAATCCCAATCCTGGTCCACAATCTTCAAGGCGACGTCCTCAGATGGCGACTCGCCCATAGATCTGATGATGTAGGCATCTTCCTGTCTCGCTGTACCCACAAGGTGAGGATGAAGCCTTCAGAAGGACGTCCTTGCATGTTGTAGAGTGCGTGACGATCCACCGCGGCAGTTCTTCTTCAGAGTGACAGAGAACCGCGTCATCGTCATTCCCGTTTCCATGGGGGCTCCGACAATCTCCCCGTGCCGAACTTTAGGCAAGTTGGATGGAGAAGGGTCTGAGTTTCCCGAGGAATTCTTCAAGATATGAATCGGTCGGTTGTGGGTGAGTTTGTTTCTCGCGTGCCTGATAGCCGGTATACGAGTGGTTCACGGTATTCCACGGGGAGAAGGGCAGCGGAATCCAGGACGATCTCGTTTGCTGTGGGTGGAAGAGTAAAAAGTGAAAAATGTTTAGGGTTGGAAGAGTGGGAGGTGCACCTAAACCAAAAAATGTCTTAGGGGTGGGGAGAGTGAAAGGTGAAAAGTATTTATGGGTGGAAGAGTGGGAAGTACGCCTAAAGAAAAAAATGTTTAGGGGTGGAAGACTGAAAGGTGCACTTAAACCCAAAAATTGTCACAAACCGAGCAAAAGAGAACGTGACTCGTAGGGGAGAAGCATCCTCCTGCGCCACCGTGGATTAAAGAAGGAGACAAGTGGAAAACCGCGTTCATACTCGATAGGGTACCCACGAATGCCTCGTGATGCCATTTGGCCTCTGTAACACTCCCTTATTGCGATCTATCACTATCCCATAGATCTGAAATCTCGCCGTGCTCTGCCGGTGTGAGCTCGGGGTAGCGTTCCTCCATCTCCGCCAGGTGCTTCCCACTTCTACGGCGTTTCGTCACCTACTTAGCGACACCTTCAAATAGGCCAATATATTTCACAACCCTGTCGGTGGCGGCTCAATGAGCTTTGACGAGTGTACGATTTTCCACAGACACAAGAATATGGTCGATTCCTGGTATGGGCCACGACACATTCAAACATATCAGCACATTTTTCAAGCCTTTTGTGGCGGCTCAATGAGGGTTGATGATTGAACGATTTTCCACAGACACAAGCGTATGGTTTTGTCCCGGTATGCATCACGGCATGGCGTTCGACATCAAATTGTCGGAAGAAGGTTTTCTTACAGACCCCACATTGGAGCGGATAGCGAAGGAGAGCATGGTAGTGCTTGATATGTATCGTGAGGTTTTCTTTCCGGACGTATCTGCGGCCACAATCCTTATACTGACAGAAGAACTTGTTATCCACGGGATCTCGACCACCGATAAGTTGACGGATATCATCCCGCGTGAAAGTTCTTTCGTCAGTCGATGCCTCCATACCGGGCTCCAGGATAAGATCTGAGATCGATATCCGTCTCGACGGCAGAGCCGGCCTATCGGGCGCAGCGAGATCTGGGATCGGCATCCGTCCGGGCGACGGAGTCGGCCAGCCTGACGAAGTGCTGGGTGGCGGTGCGTTTAATATCGTTTGCTCAACCACTGGGGGAGAGTGAGGACGTCTCCGAGGTTCCGGCACGGGCATATCAGCCATCTCAAATAAAGATCTGGATAGGGTGACTGAAGGGCTGGTGATGCTTGTAATGATATGAATATTGGATAATCGGGTTATGTTGACTGAAGGGAGGTGTGAGAGGGAGGCGTGAGAGAGAGTGGTCCTAACGACAAGTCAGATTTGATTTGAACACTTGTTAATTATGGAAACACTCACCAGTATGGATTTGATGTGAAGACACCGTGTATAGGGCCGCAACTGTGTCTATACACGCAGATCAAGCTGCCACATTCTTCGGTTGTCGAAGGAAATTTTCACAAACAGAGCCGCATCCTCCTGCGCCACCGCAGCTCGAGAGGAAGGGCAGAGTAAAAGGACTCCTCGGACCACCCTAAGTGTCGAGATGCCTTATTGAAGATGGGAAGTACTCAGCGAGAGATAGATTCCGTGGTATAAGGATCCTTTACGCACAGTGATAATAAGACTCAAAGCTTGAGAGAAGGATGCTTCCCGGGCGCTGGAACCGTGCTTTTGTCGTGTAGGCTTGGCAAGCCCAAAACGGCTTGGGGTGGTTCGAGGAGCCCTTTTACTATGCTTCCCGCAGCTGTAGGGCATCCTTCTCCCAAGCTTTGAATCTTGTCATTACTGCACGTAAGAGATACTTATTACCACGGAATCTATCTATCGCTGAGTACTGCCTATCTTCAATTAAGGCATTCTTAACAAAACTGTTCAGTTTGCTACAATGCAATCTTTCTCACAAAATCCCGCGTCCTTCTCTCTTCCCTGTTTTCCCCTCCATCTATCCCTCCCTCTTTTCTCCTTCTCGAAACCCTCATCTCACACGGAGCATGCCACTGCCGGAAACCTTCCACAACCCGGAACAATAATGAACATTGTTGGTGAATGCGAATACGGACAAAACTTGACGTCGGAGAAAGTGAACCGCCCTCCCCCGGGCTACTGACATCAATTTCTTCTCTCCTCTCTCCTCTTTCTCTTCATGGACAAGACCTTTCTCGCCCTCTCTCCACGCCTTACATTCACCTGTGGCAGGTGGAGTCTCTCATGGTGAACTGAATAGAGGTGGTTTTCTTCCCGCTCGACTTGAGACATTGGTGTAGATCAGAGAGCACAGGTCCGACCAGCACAGCCTCACATTTCGAACGTTGTTGTGCCAAATCAGAGTGATCTACTTAAAAACACCTGTTCGGGGCTCGACGCCTCGGACTGTCTGTCGAAAGAAAGCTGTTACGTGTGTGTGTGTATATGTTGCACGATGGGTAACCTCCACCTCAACGTGACCTATCTCCGGCCGGCCGTCGAGGGTAACGAACCTGCCGCAGGGCTCCAGAACAACTCTGACAAACATGTCGACCTCTGCCTCGCCCGATGCCACAGACCCCTTCAAGGACGAAGATCCTGCAGCATGTCCTGCGCAGGAAGAGGCCACTTCCTCAGCATCCCTGAGCCTACGTCAACACCAAACACCTCTGACAGGATGAGGAGGGAATTTATAATGTTCGCTATCGTACCATAAGAATTATGAAAGTCCTCGGTCACGATTGCGAGTGTTGGTTGCAGACATGTCGGGGTAGATGGCATTTGGAGGTAGGCGTCCACCAGGAATATAATCTCCACGGCCAGAAAGGCGGTAGAGGACGCAGGATCAAACAATGCCACGCGTGACGGAGGTCAACCTTTGACGCATCAAAAGCAGCACAGCCCATCACCTCCTCATTCATAAACCCGTCCATTCCGTCTCGCAAACAAACCTCCACCTTGCTGGCTTTGCGCCCGTACAAGGAAGCGACTAAGCTGTGCATCACTGCTTGCCGAATCAGCATCAAGCGCCCTCTGTCAACGGATATCGCACTTGCGTCAAGAACCCTTCTTCCCCTCCAGTGTTGCACAAACTCGCGCCCGCTTGAGCCAGCTCTCGACGGAACCCAGGCCGTGTACATGTGCGAGAGAACTCTTGAAGCTGGTTTCGGTGTGGAAAAAGCCATGGAAATAGAGAACAAGCAACGTGCAGTGATTGTCGCCAACCGGTTTGATTGGTTGGAGCAAGTGTGTCGACAATACTGTCATGAAACCCGGGTTTTTCAACCGGGGCTGTCCTTCTCCTCATCAGGCAATCCAAAAAGCGGTTTTGCTGCAGTAAACACTCGCTTCTGGACCGACTCCGGGACACCGTGTCCAGTGATATCAGAAAAACCACTTCTTGTGTATGCAGTGCGAATTTGGGCCATCTAGCGGTCGTAGAAATGGGTGAATTACCTTATGAAAGACATACACCCGTTGCTCTTCCAGTTCTACAACTTAGGTCGGTGGCAGGTAATTTGGGAAAAGCCAAACTTTCCAGTGGGAGATGTGCTAGTTTGATGAAGCTTGTCAGAGAGCCTTGGGGTGGGATCGTTAGACGAAGAGTCAGAGGGTTGAACACGTATCTTGATTCTTGTATAAAGCTGTCCTTGAGACATCGACTTCTCGCACTGTTGAGGGCCTCTCCAGCAGTGCGAGAATAGAGGTCCTATTTAAAGCTGTCCTTTAGACATCGACTTCTCGCACTGTTGAGGGCATTTCCAGCAGTGCGAGAATAGAGGTCCTATTTATCTCTTTCTGTGTATACCTATTGGGGGCCATTCGCCCTTTTCGCCCCATGGGGGCCAAGCGCCTGATGGGGGCCATTCGCCCCATGGGGTGTTGCCGGCCGGGCAGCGCATTGTAACAGTCATTGTAACAGCCCGGCTTCCCGGGTGACATCCCCCCTAAAAAAATTTTCGATTAGGTATGTTTTTCACCATTCCGTCCCTAAATCTTTTCTACCTTTAACTATTCCACACCTGAACTTTTTTGAAGTTAGGCATGCTTTTCACTGTTCCGCCCCTGAACCTGTTCTACCTCTAACTATTCCACCCCTCCACCATTCCACCTCTGAGCTTTTTTACAAACTCCAAAATATTTTTTCCATGAGGTCATCATATTCCACCCCCAAATATTTTCTCCATGAGGGACACCTTTCACTTTTCCGACCCCCAAGCCTTTCGTACCCCGAACCACTCCACGCCTAATTCTTTTGAAGTTAGGTACGCCTTTAACTATTCCACCCCTAAACCATTTTGAATTTAGGTGTACCTTCATCCATTCCGCACCTGTCACTTATGAGCCTCGCTTTACAATTCGAGTAGCGGAGGGAGTTCCCACGCCGGTGTTGATCTCGAATTCCATGACCAGCGCCTGGTTCAGATATCCACTCCGTGAATCCGTGATTTTCGCCTGATCGAGACCCAGCGCTGCGACGGCGCTCCGCAGGCTGGGTTTTGCTTTTTGGGCCTCTTCTCCTTCTTCTTCATTACGTCTTCTGTGGCCTTCACCAGCGCTCAGGCCATGTTGCACTACGTCCCGCACGGGTGGTAGAAGCGCATGAAATAGTGCCCATCCTCTTCGTTCGCCCTCTGTAAGCAGCACAACTTCATCTTCACGGAGTATTATCTCATGCAGCAGATCTCGCACCACCTGCGACGGGGCTTGCTTGAGATCTCCGAACTTCTGAAGCGCTTCCCCCTTGCGGACATCGGCGTCTTCTATTGTATCTTCACCCCATACGATAAAAAGATCCCATGTTAGCGGAAAAGGTTCATTTTCTCTACGATCTGGTCGCCACTCGTCGAGGGCGCGATTCTCTAGATATTTAGCTATGGTCCGGATGCGCTGCGGCCAGTCCGGGACCACACCATCGGCGAGCAATTCAAGACCATTTGGCAACTGTTTGACAACTGTCTGCCAACTGGTATCGAATGCTTGCAGCTGCGTCCTCGACTTGCTCCCGAAGATCTATGGTTTTATTGTGCGTATGACTTTCAGCGGCTCTTCTCGATGCCTTCCTGGAGACGGCTCCCGGTGAGGTCGCTTGCGATCTCCTCATACGTTGTGGGTGTCCTGCCAGCGACTTCCGCTTCCATTGCTTCGATCTCTTATCGAAGTCTTTGTCGTTTCAACATGTCTACTAGTATTGCCATTTTTCGCAGCAGCTCTTGCAGTTCTATTTCAGCCTCGGTGTCTTGTCACTCAGCTGCTCTACCGTGGGATTGATTTGTACTGTAGATTCGGCTGAACTTTGCGTCTGCGGCTGCGAAGGCCCAGCTTCTTCGCCATCTCGTGGTGTGTTGCCCTCTTCGGCGCCATTTCACCGCGAGCGGCGGGTAGGATAGATCGGTTCCTCCGACCGACGCGGAGAGATACTTAGAGTATTTTAGGAATAGCTTGTGCGAACAGGTACAGGACAGCGACCGTGTTGGCGGTGGTGGTATAAGTTCTTCCTTGTCGGTGTGTCGGAGCTGGGATTGTAAGTATCGACTGCGCCGGTGTGAGGTGTGAGCATCGCTTGGTAGTTCGTGACGGGACCTAAACCGTGTGTATGTTCAACTATTCCATCCCCAAACATTTTTTGGTTTAGGTACACCTTTTATTCTTCCACCCCTAAATAATTTTTAGCATAGGCGTATCTTTCCGTCCTTCACCCTAACTAGTTCTCCTTCCACCCCTAAACATTTCTCACATTTCACTCTTCCAACCCCAAAGGCTTTTTCGCCTTTCACTCTTTCTCTCACAAACATTTTTCATCTCTTACTATTCCACCTCTACACATTTTTGGTTTAGGTGAACATTTCACTCTTCCGCCCCTAAATAATTTTTGGTTTAGGTCTACCTTACACTCTTCCATCCCTAAATACTTTTTCGTTTAGGTGTGCCTTTCACTCCTCCACCCCTAAACATTCTTTGGTTTAGGTATTGCTTCCCCTCTTCCACCCCTAAATACTTTTTCTTCACCCCTAAACATTTCTCATTTCTCACTATTCCACCCCCCAACATTTTTGTGGTTTTGGGTACACCTTTACCTATTCCGCTCCAAAACATTTTTTCTTCGGCGCCAGCCCCTCCGACACCTCGAACACCTCGAGGGTCTCCAACTCATGAAGCTCTTTGTCTTCCACGTCGAGATCAATGTCGACTCGACCTCCATCAAATCCGCTTTCTTCCCCGTCGCCATTTGATCCTCCTCATCTTCCTCAGGCAATCACAACAATGTCCTCCACAAGTGCAAGAAGGAAATTCTCCCAAACAGCACATTCTCCAGAAACTCACAGCGAGAATCTATGTGGATGAATCTCTACGAGTCTCTCAGGCAGAGTCCAAGCCTGCAGATGGTTCCAACGAGGAAGACGCAACACGGCTGTTGTCGTCGAGCACTACAATTGTGGAAGCGGAGATGTTCTACCCAAGCAATACAACTGCCTGTCTCAGATTCATGAGTACGGCCAGACCTGCTCCTCATTCTATGAGTCGACAGGACATGTTTGATTCACAGAATGGGAGACTGAGGTATCGTCTGCGGATACATCAATGTGGTGCGCACACCATCATACCTTCGCCGACTGCATGAACATTGTCACTTTTGCGAGAGCAAGGAATAATTCCACCAATTCTCAATTGACCATCAGGCACACAGCGAACGTAACAAGCAGATGCATACCAGCAGCGCCACGGGAGATTCCACCTCTTTGCCAACAATCACGCCAAGCCGAGCATACACAACGAACTGGATGCGATCGACTGTGTCATCATCGAGATTTCGACGACACAGTGGCCCTACCATGGCAAGAGGCACAAGGAGATTGAGCGGCTATACGCGGGCCCCGACAAGCAACCTCCAAAATCCCTGTGGATGTCTCGAGCTTTCCTGACCACGTTCACAAATTCTGCCGCTCCAGTTCCGTCAACCTCAATGTGATACACAACAAGACTCCTCGCGGCAAAATGCTCACTGAGTTGACGCTTGAGCAACAGGTGATCACTGGCATACAAGTCATCGTCACGCTCACCCTCCGGGGTGGCCCGTGCGAAAAGCTAATGGAGGTCGAGGCATGAGTTGTGACCATTCCAGGCATGATGCTGAAAGCGCATGACCACTGGGGCGAGAATGCAGTTCTCGTACATACTTTGCCGTCCCAGAACGGACGCCCTCGTGCCCTGTGTTGTGATGGAATGTGGCATTTTCTGATGGAATGTGGCATTTGGGCGAACGCGGCCCCTTCGCGCACGGGCCATCGAAGCGTCAGCTGGGCTGGTCATGGCGGCTTTTCCATCACAAAGAGCCACGCGACTGAGGGGTTACGTCTTGGCGGCGCGTACCGATTTGTTATTGGCATCACAGATGACGTGATGTGCCGGAACTTGGTGATTCGGCTCGGAATCCGCCCTTGCGCCAAACAAATATTTCATTTCTCCCTTGTCGCCGCTCCCTGCGCTTTCAATCCAGCTGTCCTCTACAACGCCGTCGGCTCGACATCGTTTCTTTGTTCAACAGTCCTCAATCTGTTCGTTTGGCATCATCAAACCCGTCTGTGAAAACCCTCCCTTGCAAATCTTTGTGCGCTGAGTTGTGGAACTGCGAGACTGACAGATTTATAGGCCCCTTGAACCGCCCTTGGTCAGTCTGAAGCCTTTTCCTCTCTCTTCTCTCCTCCCCTTCAGTCGATCCCTGGCCCTTGAAGCCCGTCCTGGCATCGATGAGAAAAGGTGGAACTGTGGCATCACAGACCCGAGTCAGACTCGCAGTCAAAGTCGGCGTGGTGAGGCCCAGTTGGCAGTCATCGGTCGCAGTCAGTCGAGCGCAGGTCTCTATGACTGCCAACAAGATATACCTGTTTGGCTCCAATACCAATACACTGTGTGAGCGGCGATGGCGGTGACGTTCCTGGTGCCCAGCAGGCAAGCCCCAGTACCGCCCCCGGGACCACCTCTCAGACCTCCTCCTCCTCCACCACCTTCAGCGCCGCTACCTGCAGTGCGCCGTCCAGGTCCACGTGCAGGAACACCTCCCGGACCACCTCTAGAGCCGCTTCCACCACTACCCCCAGGACCACCTCCAGGGCGACGTCAAGGACCACGTTAGCTTTGCAAATCTCGCTTCAAGTTCAGATGTGTTACAGGACCCGGGGCTGCAGGCTCGGCCGACGGGACATTCCTGGGAGACACTCATTGATCGCGGAAAATTAAAGAGAGAGGGTTCAACATGCTTGTGAAGAAGAGGAAGGGGCCGACCGAGCATATCAAGAACAAACCGACGCCCCGTTCTTTCATCAGAGGACTTTCCACGGGCTCTTGTGATGGATGGAGCCATCGACACCCTCAAAAGGCGGCCAATCTCCAAGTCCTCGAAGCCTCTTTCCATATTTACTATACTCCAGCATATAGCAATCTGAGACTTCTGTGTTATTATATCCTCCAAGCAAGTCGAGCACAATGGTTCCAATGCCTTCCTCGACTGCCTACATGCTGTGCATCCATACAGGTGTTAGCCAGGTGCCCACAAGACGGGAGATGAGGTCAATACTGGACGCGCAGAGTATTGTCACCGGAGTCATGGACACCTTTGGATTGAGAAGGTCGATCATTTCCCTGCGGTCCCCTGATTGAGCCAGGTCGCTTGCTTCATGACAGGTTGCTCAATTGCGTTATCTGCTTGCAAAGTATTTAACTACTCCTCCATGAGCTGCATTGTCACTGCAACCACCTTGATCTCAAAGACTGCTCCATTATGTTGAATCACCTCGTCTCTATCTATCATGGCTCATAGAACATACGTGAAAGAAGGCCAGCCACTGGCCATGTCTCTCGACACAGCCGGAAACGATGCGACTCTTCCCGCCCTTGACATACTGCCGGTGCTCCCATTCGTGCTGGTCTTGTGCTGGATTATTGGCAAGGACGACATGACCTTGTCCTTTGACGGCTTCCAGATTGCGGTCTCGTTCGTGGCGGTTCTGCTGGTCGATTCCTTGATGAGAAAGAAGCCGGCGAATGGGCCTGCCGCAGGCCTGTTGACAACAACCGTGGACCAAGCAGCTCAGTCGGCTCGACTCGGCGCAGCTGTCCGGCGAGAAGATCTTCTCAGTTTGGGTACAGGCATATGATTTGTCGTGCATCCCGCCAGCGACAGCGCCCAATCCCATCAACACGGCGTATCAATCGGCAACCCTCACAATCCGAAACACCATATCTCGACAAAACCCGCCTTCTCGGTCCAACGACATGACTCCCGATTCTCCAGTCAATCGGTGCCCCATCTGCTTTATGCCGTTTGAGCGGAACGAGAGTGCATAGTGGGAACGACTGGGAAAGATCCCGCTCGACACGGTGAAGAGGCAGACGTCGGTGCTGACGCAGAAGCGGGATTTGATTCAGTATAAACTCGGCCATGTTCGTCTCTGCTTGGGCATCGTAGGCGACCATGGTAACCGAACTTTCTGTGTGGACAACTTGATCCCGAGAGTTTTCCCGTATTCCATCGTCGACACACACATACCTGGAACCCCTCAGGAGGTATTGTGCTTCTGTTTCTTGTGGTAAGGCGATTGATCCCTCCGGGTTCCAATGCTGGGTTGCTTGACAAACAAGCCGAAACCAGCACAGAGGATGGCTGAGAGTATCACAATATTGACGCCGGCGCAGACAAAAGGCGACAGCGATACCCTCGCACACCTGCCTCGGCTCTCAGTGGATTTCTTCTCGGCCAGGTCCTTGCAAAGAGGCATCCCTCTTACTCCATCGTCTTGTCTGCAGGCTTTTCAACGACACGAGACTGTCGTAGGTCATCTGAAGTCGAGCACCTCCAAGGATGGTGCAGGTGGGAACTGAACTGCCCACTCGTGCGTGTGTTGGGGGAGACCAAGGCGAGCGACCTGTTCGCGGTTCGCTATTGACACGAAGTGGTTGACGGGATGGAGTCCCGGGAAGGCGACCACTTTCAGCACGTCGGCGACCAAGCAACCGTGCGGTAGCGACCAATTTCAGAGGCGAATCCTGATGTCAGGAAAGGTAATTGAGCTTCGCGGAGGTGAAGCCAAAAACAACGAACAAACACTGATCGGCTCCATCCGTCAAAGGAGGAAGCCATGTTTACTTACTTCCTTTAGTAAACACGGCTGGAACTTTCTCCTTGCGGAAGAGGCCGGAACAATCTTTTCCGATGTGGGCAAAAGCTGTTCAAGAATATTGCTCTCAAATCTGCCCGATCTTCAGCAATCGAAGGCTTCCAGTCCCTCAATTTCTTGACCTTTTCATCGGGAGCATTCTTACGTTTCAGCTCCGTGGCAAGACTGGGACGGAGGACTCATGTCTCGACTGGAGTTTGGCAGATCCCATTGGGCTCGGAGTTTGGTACAACGCTGGGGCTGGGCTGCCAGTGCCCGCGTCTCTAAAGTCGTATCGTCTGGCAGAAATGCATGTCGATACTTGATGATTGCCTCGATAGAAAGGGGTTCGCTTCTCTTGCCGCCCATCTGAAGGCTTGCCAAGAACTAGCCGATCAGGGAAAGAGATGACGACGTTTTGGTGCCTGATCGAAAGGAGCTGGAGAGTTTCGATCTCAGAGTGTTCTCTTTTGTACCGAGCTTGAGCAGAAGTGTCCAGTGATCTTTGACACGCAGCTCCTGGATGCTTTGAACTCCAACCTCAAAAAGCTTGTCGGTAGGGCCTTTAACGTAGGTTTGGAGTCCCAGATCAATCAAGGAACCTTCATTGTTCTCCATGAGTATGTAGGACCGCTCTTGAGATTGATCAATATGTCCTTACGTCAAAAGGTTATTCTGTTTGACCGCAGTGAGGTTGAATGTGACATATATGGTCGTGACTGACTTTGCACCGGTTTCCAAGACATTGAATGCGAAGGTCCACTCTTATCGTCGCAATAACTAGCAATGGGACAATCGGGATGTTCTGTGGAGGTGGTGGGTGTTGCACAGGATTGCGACGATAGGTTCGTGCCTGCTGGCTGAAGTTGCCACGGAAATGATAGGTATCGAACTGAGGCTGGATAAGGTCTCGGTCGACGCGGGGAGCAGTATTCTCCTGGGAGTACCTTGCGCTGATGGGACTGGGAGGTGGAGCGGACGACACCGTCAACCCATCGAGTAGCGGCCGGGTCTCATACGCAGATGTCGGGAGTGACGTCGCAAGATCCTCATTTGAAAGAGACCACGGTAGTCCTGGATATTTTGCAAGGTGGGTGCTTGAACAGCGGGGGGTGTGAGGTGACCGTTGATTGTGAGAACAGCCCGCATGTCCTGGTCATTCAGGACGCAATTCGCGCAGACACTGTTGTGACGGTTTGACGCCATGGTCGAGGAGATTGACGGTCGAACGTCGTTTCCGTTTGGCTGTCTCTTGATTAGATCGCGTTGGTTTTTTTTGAGTGTCTTGAGGAATGATCGGTCGAGAAAAAGACGAAACGGTGCACAGAAGACTGCCGAAAGATGATCAGTTTTAGATTTCGAGGACGATAATGAGACCCTGAGTCCTGTCGACCACGTACCTCCTGTTCCACGTCGAGTGGAAGTCGCCCCTGCAAAAGAAGGTTCCGTCTTCATCCTTTTTCCATTTCAACAAGTGTCCTAGGTTTAGTGCTTTTCTTTTACCTTTTGGAGATCGGGAGGCACGTCCGGGAAGGAAAATGTGGGATCTCGTCATGGTCTTCATGAACACTGGTGTTCTCGTCGTCAATATTCATATCGGCGTCAACAACAGGCCCTCTCTGCTTTCCTTGCTGCTGAAGGTCTCTCACCGTGTCCTTTCCGTCGGTCCCAGGGCGGGTGGTAGGAGGCCATCCAAGATTCTAAATCGCTGACGCATACCATGTGCTGGAAAGTCCCGCTGGCAGGCCGGCTGAGTTGGCTTTGACGGCGGAGGAGGTCTTCCAGCTTCCACACTCGTCTTTCTTTCTCGTCCTGTAGACATCTGACTTCGTCCCCGCCGCGGAGAGCAGCTCTCTGACTGAGATTGTGGATACTCCCGTTCTTGAATGGCTTCGTCTTCTGCTTGCGGACTGGGGCATCCAGAGCTTTCCTTCGCTGAATGACTGACTGCACTGTATCGTTGATACCGAGCGCCCTCAGGTTGTCAACCCAGGTGAATATCTCGTCCCTGCTCACGAATGCCCAGGAATTTCGTGAGTCAGTCGCTTTCAGATCGATGAGTGCATCTTTGGTATTCATATCCTCATTCGAGAAGTCGCTATGCGAAGCCGTCCATTTCTTTCGCCTTCCTTGCTCTTGCTCCGTCTCCTGGAAAAGATCTTCAGAGAAAACGTCGACCTCTACCCGCATCCGCTCAGCTCCCTTGGACCTTCGTGTTGCTTCCACAAGTGTGGCACCATAGACAAGTGGCAGCTGAAAGACCCGATCAAGAGCTGCAAAGTTGTTGTTTTCGTGGAAGTCCAGGTTTGTGATGCCGGACTGTAGTTCTGTGAGGGGAGATTGAATACTGGAAATGAGTTGTAGAGTCGAATACCAGTCATGAGACGCGGTGTTTCGTGTTTCGGATGCACTTATGGAAGTACGGATAATTTCTTCCACGACACCGTGTATGGTGAGCAGTAACTCGCGAGTATGAACTGGAGCCTTTCTTGACGCTGTAACCACAGACTTCTGATTGTCCTGCGTCTGTCTTGGAGGACCTCCCGACGTTCTTGTATACAGCCCTAAGCCAATTGGTTTATCTCCTCCAACCTCTGTTGCAGCGTCGTGACGTGGTTTCGCAGGTTATCCAGGCAGACCTTTATCGACCTGGCAATGACCGATACTTCCTCTGCAATAGTTCAAGTTTCTTCACTCCTGTTCTGGCAATCTCAAACGCCTCCAGCGCACGTTTTCGCCGAGAGTTGAACAACTCCTGCCAAGCTTTGAGGCTCGTCTCATCGGTGAGATAGGAAGGAGGTTCGGAGAGCGGTTGGAGTTGGACATGCTCACTGGAAGGGGGACTCGAGGCCGGGGACAGGGAGCTGCGAGGTGCCTGACTTGTGATCGCACAGGGGAATCGTCCACGGTGTCTTGTGAATCAGCTGCTATCGTTTGTGTGTTGGCTGGCTGTTCTCGCCGCTCTCTCCTACCTGCAATCCTTAGATTGAGGTCTTCCTCCTCTTCATCTTTTCGGGTATGGGTTGAGGCACTCTCTTCTATGATAGGAGGACAATGGCAGCGGATCAGCGAGAAGTCTAGAGATTGGACGTTTCTCTGATGAACGTGTGGTAAGCGGCGAAGGACCGGCCGAATCGTTGTCCATCGTGTGAGGTTGGGTGCGAAGTTGGGTCAGTTGACACCAATCTGCGGAGCGCAGATTGGTGTCGATCAAGTGAAAGTGAAAATTTGGAGCGCAGTCTGCGGAGCGCGGCTGAGCGGCGATCAGAATCTCAAGGACGCGTTCGCGGCTTCGGAGCAAAGGCTGTAAAGGCGTTTTTGCCTGTGGCACTACAAGATATCAGGCTCAAAGCGTGACAGCTGGAAGGTGAAGTATTCAGAGGTACATACTGACGAGGCGGTGACAATGGCGGTGGCGTCGAGGCTGGTCATCAAAGAGATGATGGAGAGGTCACCATGACCAGTGCCTCTGTGGTCGATGGCTTCCAATTTATCCTTCTCGTTCTTTGTAGTGAGGGGAATACCATGCCACTTTGGCGCAGTCAGGCAAATCAACAAATCATTCTCTCGTCGGGGCGGAATAGGTATGCCTAAACGAAAAATGGTTTAGGGGCGAAATAGTTGAAGGTATACCTAAACGAAAACAAGTTTAGAGGTGGGATGGTTAGTGGTTTGGCTGAACGAAAGACTGTTCGGGGGCGGAATGGGTAAAGGTATGCCTAAATGATAAAATGTTTAGGGGCGGAATGGTTGAAAGTATACCTAATCGGAAAAATATTTAGGGGTGGAATGATCGCAAACAGAGTAAGAAAGCCGAAGCGAACCGTGAGGAAGAGCACTCTGCGCGCGGGAGAAAACCATCATCCTGTGTCACCGTACACCTGAGAGGACGGGCCGGGGAAAAGCCACTCGGATCACCTTCAGCCGCTTGGGGTATGCAGACTGCGTAGAAAGACGTGCTTCTCACAGTCGAGAAGTATCCCTCCCTCATGATTCAAGCAGCGATCCATCTGCGGGACAGACCCCTGCGCGTTCTTGCACGAGCATGCCGAGTACCTATCGAGTTCTTGTACAATATGATAATTAACGGTTTAACTGAACGAAAAGTTTTAGGGGTGGAATAGGTAAATGTACACCTAAGCGGAAAAAGGTCTGGGGGTGGAATAGGTGAAGGTGCGCCTAATCGAAAAAGTATTTAGGCGCGGAATAGTTAAAGATATAATATAATGGGCTGCCGTGGCGGTGGTGGCTAGGCACCCACAACTCTGTACCAGGGCATCTTCACACTTCGGAGGACACTGGGCCCGACAGACAAGAAGCAACCCGACAAGCAACAGCGTCAGGTCAAGTATTTGAGCCTTGCTTCACAGAGAATCGAATGCCAGTTGCATTATGACCTTTCATCCTTTATCGTTCCTCGGTTCCAAGCGTCTGTGGCGACGCGACAGGATCACGTATGGTCATTTGGGCCATTGTTGTTGTTGATGGTGGTGTTGGTGGTGGTATAGTCAGTGCCTCGACCAGAGAACCCTTCTCAGCGACTGACCTGCGGGACATGTACCTGTGCCTTCTCGCTCGTGCATGCCGACTACCTATCGAATCCTCGTACATTACTAACAAGGCAGTGACAATGACGGTGCCGTCGAGGTTGACCATCATAGAGATAAAGACCAGGGTCGCCATAACCAGTGCCTCTATGGTCGATGGCTTCCATTTTGCCCGTGTCGTTCTTTGTGGCGAGCGCAGTCAGGTGAAATATGCTCGCTTCGGTGCGGAATGGTGAAAGGAAAACCTAAACGGCAAACGATTTAGGGGCGGAATAGGTAAAGGTGTACCTAAATAACAAAGGTTTTAGGGATGGAATGGTTGAAGGTACACCTAATGGGAGAAATATTTAGAGGCGGAATAGTTAAAGCTAAAAATTATTTAGGGCTGGCTCGTGGTCATGCTCTGTCCCCGTTGTTGCTCGGCTGCGGCAGACTGATCTGCAGAGTTTCTCCAAACAACATCCGATGTCAATATTGCATGCAACCTTGCCATGTCTCAAGCTGGCTCGGCCAATGCAGCCTGCAGCTGTCTGAAGCGTATACCAAGCGTAGTCCAAAGGTGATCCAGAGAGTCACACAGCGTCTCAATTGCTCTCCTTTTCACCGTCTCCATCCCTTCTCTCTCTGTCCGTTTTGGTTTAGTTTCGTGCGTGGCACCGAACACCGCTACTTCGTGCTTGATTGTCGATGAACATGCGATGTCTGTTCGACGGCAGAAGCAGTTTCCTCCACGTCAGGCCTTCAGGTGAAGGTTGTGTGGTGGAGAACGATGCATTTGCCAGAGGGCTGCTAGAGCACTGGGTCCCGCTGCTGGTCGACCATTGTTGCCCTTCCTCCCTTGGTCAGGCCATTGTGTCAGGTATTGACAATATATGTTGTCTGTCCACACGAGCCGCCATCGCTCGCTCGCCGCGTGCTCGACACTTACGATTAGTACTCCGTATCTTCACGGTCTCTCAGGGACGAATCATGGCCCCGGGCTCGAGCTTGGTGATGGTGTTCTGGTAGTCGCCCCCCAGGGGGATCATGCTCTTCTGCTGGCAAAGACGGCGCCGCCAGGTTGAGTCGAATGTGATCAGTTATCGTTCTTTAGCGGTCTTGCGCGTTGTTTCGTGGGACGGCAGAAGACTTCATTCGCGGTCGAATGACAGGTCTCGCCAAACGATTTGGGCAAAAGGCATCTCTTGCACCCCAGTAGCGACGACTCCAGATCGCAGTATCGGATTCTTCCTGGAGCGCTGAACATATCACTATGCAGTACCGACTTTTTCCAACCCTTCCGGTCGACTTATGAGGGCAGCGCGTTGGACCGCGTCTTGATTACCGGCTCGAATCAATGGTGTCTGGGAGGGTGGCGTCAAGAGGAGAAGGTCTGCGAGAAGGTATGAAGACACCGGCGGTAGGTTGGGGGGAGGAGTGGGAATATCGACGGGCCAGTCGCCAGGCATGTCGTCTCCATGGGAGGTGTTGTGCGCTGGAGGAGGCGTTTGAGGATGCAGACAGACAGAGTCAAGTGCTGGGTGAAGGTGCAGATGGAGATGAGACCGAACAAGAGAAGAGGGGAAGGAAAGGACGATGCCTCTCGCAAATTTGTCTCTCCATCACTGGGTAAGATATGTATCTTGTCTGCCTGTGAAGGACACATGAACGAAGGATTGATGAGCTGGGACATTGATGTCTGGGTTGAGATGTTCGGGTGGTAGGTAGAGAAATGGCCCGCGCACCGGTGATGGCGGTAGCGGTGGTGAACCAGTCATGTGACTTTGCAGCTCGCAACACAACGCAGCTCAACCCAGCCGCGTGAGATGGCTCGCCCCTGAGTACCTGACCAGTTGCACCCTTTAGTCTCCCACTTCTCGTGAACACGCGAGTGGTCGGTCGAGGTCGGTGAAATTCTCCAGAGCAGAAGACGGGCGGGTGTCCGCTAACATCATTCTCAGCACGACGATTAATGGAAGTATCCCCAATGCTTGCAGTTGGTGTTGGGGCTGTCATCTTGATTCGTGCTCGCAGGGCAGACTGAGTGCCCCTGGGAAGTATTTATCTGGGAGGGCGAGAACAACTATGAACGATCCCACATTCTGGGGAACAGTCTTGCATTCTCTCGCATTCTTGGAAATCGGAACAATCTTGCATTCCTGAGAAAATCAAATCCTGCATCCGGAGTAGATTTGCATTCATTGCTGAAATTCCCACCAACAATCCTAAATTCTTAGACTATCCCGACATTCCTAAAGCTGGCCTACATGATTACATTCCTCCAACCCTGCATCACTCCTGCATTCCTTGCTGCTTGCTTGCGTTCCTGAAACAATCCTGCATTCCTGCGACAGTGTTGCATCCCTGGATCAATCCTCCGAGTTCTCTTCGAGCTGTTCATTGATCAACCGAGCCAAACAGTTGTGATCGTCGAGAACGCCACGTACGGGTCCTCGGTTGGCCCGGCCGACCTGGACCTTCACTCCTTTGCCGCCAGCTGGGGCAATATCGTAGGTCAGACCGAGTGCGCGCAGAATTGGAAGAGACCCCATCAGGTCGTTGACCGTGACCCAATCGCTGATATAGCCATCAAAAAAACCTGCCATCATCATGACGAGCGTCTGTACAGGGCCCTCGCGGAAGCGGAACATGGCATTATGTTCTGCCAATTCGAGGAAAGCCGAATCCCATTTGTCGATCTCCCACGATACGGCAAAAAAGAGACGCCTATCCGGGGGAAAGGGAGAAGGCTCCTGTAGATGATTGCCATTCAGAGTAGGCGGCCAGTAAGCGCCACCAGAGATCATCCTTGCTCGCCCTGGCACGTATGCAACGCCAAAGATCGGGCGTTTACCATCGAAAAGGCCGAAAGAGATGACCCAATCTCTTTTCCCTTCCACGAATTGGGTAACGCTATCGATCGGTTTGACAACCCAGGTCCGACCGCTTGTCCCCTTCTCAATAGGGGCGTCCAGCACATTATCAGTTGGAAATAGGTCCCTAAGCTTGTTTGTGATGTGTGTTTGCACAATCCGGCTGGCGGCAGCGGCAATAGCGAACGGCCCTTCGTTCCCTACTGTGACACTTTCGATATAGCTCATAGACTCCTTGGCTGCGTTGAAAGCAACTTGCTCAAGCTCCCTGCGGTCGAGTGAAATAGCCATGCCGATAAATGGAGGTCGTTGCGTGTCAGTCGTCAAGCCGATGTGTTTGAACAGTGCTTTACCAAGGGATGGATTTGAATAAGAGTTGGATGACGGTACATAAAAAGACGAGGTGGCTCTGCTACTTTTTTTGAGAATTTATAAGTCGTGCGCCGCCAAGCCAAAGCTTTACTTGGCACCCAGTGGGTGACAGAATTCCGTCCCCAGGGAGGTAGGTAATCCGGGCAGAATAACCTCAATCACCCACTGGGTGCTTGGCCATATCAACCAATCACAACATCATTCTTGCAACCGTGTTACATTCATGCAGTCCCGCATTCCAGGCAGCAGCTCTGGATTCGGAGCAATCTTGCATCCCTGCCTGCATCCCTAGCTGCATACCTTCATTCCTGCATTTATGGGGCAATGCATTCTTACAGTAGTCCTGCATTCTTACGGGTCTGCATTCCTGAATTCCACCGCCACCACACACACCACATACATATATACACATATACAGGGGGTGCCAAAGTGTCAGGATGCCAGGGGAAGGAATGGAATGACGTACTTCAACCCGACTTGAGTTCAGCTGATCTCCTCCACCTCCTCTTTCGCCTGAGCGTGAGCGTGCCCGTGACCATGGGCTCTAGGCCACCTCCAGCCGCCTAAACAAGCAGCTTTTCATCCCTCCCTTTCACCGAACTGACCATGTCCCGTGTGGATCAAGTATTCCATAGGCTATTTCGATATCGCGTGTGATAAGGGCTGGTTTGCGCACTTTGACATTCCAGCTGCTCAGGGCTAGTCGGTCGTTGATAAATAGGCACACCCCCCCCCGTGCTTCGAAGGCCTTAGTGCAACTGGCACTCTATTTTCAGTGAAGCAAGGCTCACCACTTAATCTACCACTGCTGCTTGTCGTGTTGCTTGTTCGCTCTCCAACTCAGTGCCCTCCAGAGTCTGAAAATATCCTTGGACAGAGTTGTGGCTGTACTAGCCACTACCACCTCTGCAGCCCATTACTGTCTAGTTCACGTCGACCGCAGGTACTTAACCAGAACTCGGCACCCCTTTCCCTTCTCGAGGAATGGACCTTGTTTTCGGATCTAGCGGCATTGCCGTTGCCGACCTGCAGGAGCGCAAGGCCCCGATCAACGCTGGGTCTGAAGTTCTTCTGTGACCGGTGGCATGAGTGCGTGCCGCCCACAATCATGCTCTCGCACACGTTCCGCCTCAGATGACGTCCTCCAAAGCAACGAAGGCATCAACTTTGTCGTGACCAGTGTTCGGGATCTATGGTCCCGCCATATGTTCTGACAGACGTGGATGTTTGGGTCGCCGGTGATGGTTTTGTGAGAGCGGCGCCTGGATGGCCGGAAGTGAACACCGGTCGTGAACAGATTCATGAGCACACTATCACCCTCGAGAATACTTGTCCCCCCTCCCTCTCGCTTCGACTGAATTTGTAGCGCTGTTTTGATGATCGGAGAGATTCTGAGGGCGAGAGGAAATGTACATACGAACTCACACAGTACATTTATGATCTGACGGCAAGGACAATGAGATATGCAAACATGGCTGAAAAAGGTGATGGCTACTTTCCTATATCTTTGTGGGTAAGGTAGGCTGTCAAATTTGCTTTCTTTCCCTCCATCCGACAACGAGCAGTGAAAACACAGATTTTGAGCAGTGTCGTGTCAAGATCTGGCGGGATTCTCTACGCTGGATCTCGCAGCGGGTGACCGTCTTTGTACGCCCAGGTCTGGCTCGTTCACGCTGAACTTTGGGGATTGGTTGGTTGGCCACCCACCACAGGGAAAGGGGCGGACGGACGAACTTTGGAGCCGACACAGATAAGAGTCCGGCAACAGCACCGTCGCCTTGAGCGCGCAGTATGTTGGTTCCATCCTCGCCGCACGGGCGTCTGGCTGGCCGTTGCAGGCGATGTCGCCGCGGAGCCTTCCGGCACGGACGTAGTTGGCGTCAGGGTTGGCCAACGGACAGACCACTTCCATTTCTTTGGCGTCACGGATCTGAAATACTGCTTTTGTTCGTGCAGATTTGGCGCAAGGTATGAGCTCAGCAGGTTGAAGACGGATGCCATTCCAAGCGCGGCGTAGGCGTTGCCGATGAGGAGGAGGAAGGTACAGTACTCTTCCTGTAGTAGATCACACGCCCTGCCTTTAGGGCCCCTCATACCAGGCTTGGAGAGAACAAGCCATACAAGGCCCAATAAATATTGCTTAGCATTTCACACAAGATATGGCCCAAGTAAGGTGTCACGATCACTGCCGAAAGAGACAGAAGCCTCACCGTTTCTGCTGCGACGACGTCAGGTAATACATGGCGTGCAGTAAGATCTGCCACAGTGAGAGCACTCCCACTAGAATGGTCGAACCCATAACAATCGAAACAAGGATCTTACGTACCTTCCAACCGTTCCCCACCGCATCTTCCGGTCACTGACACAGGTTGGCAGAGCTTCTCGAGTCGAACTGTAGCTTCTACTCTGGAACACACCTGCTTGCTCCGCGCTTAGGGATGGAACCAATGGTCACGAGCATGGGACAGAGATCAACATTGGTGAAGACTGCTGGCTGAGGGGGAATGTCATTATCTTGCCCCGAGTGACCATTGGGCGTGGGAGCACCATTAGAGCGACCCTCCAGCCTGGTACAGGCGATACCGTTGTACCTCCCCTTTCGACCTATTGAGTGAGCTCAATATCCCTGCATCACCTGCTTGCCCTGAGCCGGCCACCGAATCCCCATCCGTATTTCTCTTCGAGACCGCGGGTCAAGCCCCCTGTTACCCGGGACCTCTGCCTGTCTAAGCTTGGCGGATGCCCGGCCCGAACCCTTCCCGGTCTCGCACTGTGCTCTTATTCTGCGAAGGGCAGGTGGAGCACACATGAAGATCAACCATGCGAGATTGAATCGCCAGGAGGTCATATCGCCGTCTGGATCTGCGTAAAGTCGTGCCCGGCGAGCATTCGCCTTGTAACCGGCCATAGAAATTCCTCACATCTCTTTCGGCAACCTCGGGCGTGTCACTGATTTTGAGTCACTTCGCATTGCCGCCCTGGCGCTGCAGGGAGTGGACGTCGTGCTGTTCTGGACTGGTGTAGACTGGGCCAGGATATTGAAAATGAAGACTTTAAGTGTTGCCATGGGGCCACTCAGCCCTCTCGATCAGCTCCGCGTCCAGTCCTTCCGGAACTGGGACGTTTTCGATCTGTCGCAGTGGAAAATCCGTCAATGAACGACATGATCAGCTGGTGTCGATTGTGGCCCAGTGGCGTGCTCGCCGTATCGAATGTCGGACGACAGAGAGCGGGCGAGTCTGGAGCTGATGACTCGAAACCAGCCGGAGTGAGCGTGTTGATGGGGCGACCTGGGATCGACCGGTGTGTATGATCCTACCTCTGCCCTCTTTTCAATGCCAGGCCGAGAAACCAGGTAATGTATCTCTGACGTCTCCTTCATGATCGACGTGCAGTCACCTACAGCCACCCTGAGCCGCCGAGAACACCATCACCGCCTCCCACAGAAGAATATGCAAGCCCTCTCCTTACTGATGTCGGTATTTCAGCTTGGTATCATGAGTGGGTTCCGAGCGAACACGACGGGAGCTCGGAGATATCGATCGGCCGGCTGTAGTTGACCGACTGGCGTTGAGATGCGTGCGTTGTCGTTCCTCACCTATCTCTACCTCGCTCAACCACTTCTGACGCCGCGAGAATTTTCGATGTTTGCGGATAAGTGAGCATACTCTCTGCCTGAGATCATTATTGCCACGATCTTTCGCCGTTCGAATATCATTCATCTCACTTGCTCCAGCTACTAGGGCCCGCATCTCTCTAGGCTTCGAGGAGCCCCTCGAAATTCTTGTACGATGCATGGTATTGAGTGAGCCGGAAGTGTGGTGACAAAGGTATCAGCCTTGGGAATCTCCCTCCTCATGGGTGAAGTCACTTTGCTACCCCTTGATTAGGACGTCTCTGCTTTCCATGTAGCAACCGGCAACACTGCAAATATTTTGAGAAAGAGTCATACTTCGATGGACCCGACTCACAAGATGCCGGTGACGGCAAAGACAGACAGGGAGCAGAGCGCGGAAGATGTGATATCTGCATGATAGAATCTTCCGACGAACCCTCTCCACCACCCTGCTTTAAGGCCGTGCGCGGAATGCTACAAGCTTGAAGTTTGCATCTGCCGGTCCGCCCAAAATTACGTTGAATGCTGACAAATAACGCTTCTATGTTCACCTGCTCCTACCTCCAACGCACTTTCGCGATTCCAAGGACAGCGGATGAGTTCGTCGGTGTAAATCCGTCATATAACATGGAGCGAAATCGATGGTATATACGAGGATTGAGCTTTTTGCAAGTCGTGTTGCTGCGGTCACCACCAGTCGCTCTCGGTAGTCTTCTGAGTTACTGCATCAGTCCGAGGCTGTCGTCCACTGCTCACTCATGCCCATTCCTCATAATCCGGGAAGTACCTGTTGTGTATCCTTTCCGCACAGGCCACGACGCTGGAAAGCTTTTTCCGGCTTTTTTGACTCTGACCATCAATCACCACTGCCTATCATGTCGGACATCTTGGATTGGATCGTGGCCATTCCGTGGTTCATGGCGTTGTCGGAGAAGGCCAGGGCAGCAGCACCCGAGATGCTCAGGAGGCTCAGGCGCAAATGGTCCGGTGAAGCTGATTATATCTTGCGCCATGGCCCAAGCGACGCTCTGGCCCGCGTATTCTCGATCCAGCGGGAGCACACGGGGTTGTGTGAATATAGTGTTGGATCATGGGAACAATTGGCGTCTGATATCGTTTCAAGGACGTAGCTTTGCGAGAAAAGTGTGCAGCTTCACAAACACCGACGCCGACATGGTGGCACCAAGTCATGCTCCTGCCGAACGAAGAATGATTTTTCTGTAGCCATAAAGTCCTAGTTTGATGTGCACTGAGCATAAGTTGTGGGTGACCGTCAAATCCCAACCCGCCCAACGCTCACTCGTCCAATACTTCTTGGAGAAAACCGCAAGTCGTGCCCACGCGAATCCTCAGATGATGCGATACATGCACCATTGATAGGTCCGAATCGCTCGTGACCGCTGTCAAAGGCGGCAGAAGCAATGGCATGATATCCAACCTTACCGTGACTCGCAGGAACACCCTCGTCCGGAGCACCACCGTTTGGACGCTGGTGCTCACGGTTTGCCACGAGGGTACACTCCAGGGATGACACTCGAGGGTCTCAAGAAGTGCGAACGACGGATTGCTCTGTTTGAGGCCTGTGAAACATTCCAGGATCATGAACAAGGGGAGGACCAGGCACAGCGGATTGACGAGAGCGTGAAGGTGGGCAAAGCAGCCTCCACAATTCGGGAGACTATTGTGTAGGCTGGAGGAGCTTCTGCCGCCCACCCAAATCCTGGTCTGGATTGCTAAATTGTGTGCCACCCGATAAAGGCCGCTGTAGGATTTGCGCCAGGCAGATTTGACGTCTGGACAACTTGACTGGGCCCCAGGGATATCCAAGCAGCAGTCACACCCGGAAGGACGTGATCATGCCTCCAACCGAAGAGTCGGTTAACACTGAGGAAGAAGAAAGAGGATCGAGCATTGACGGTACCGCGAGTACATCCGTATGTTCTCCTTCTCAAATGGCGGCAGCAATGGACTGAAACGTCAAAGTTGCCATTGACGTGTGACACTGCCTGTTTCGCACAGCTATTTCACAGGCACGCCGGCCCCGTCTCGAGCAACATCATGAATACGGAAGAAGTGGTCCGGGCAATTTTGGATGCAAATCGGGACCAGCTGATGTTCTTCGCTCGATTGGGCGCGTGAGCGCCAGGCAGACTTTATGTTCCTTGGTTTCGTTGTCGGCGGCGCCACCGACACCGACAGGAACCCGTTGCCGCCGTCGAGCTTCTATGCGCACATGGGGCGTCAAGAGCCGGGGCCAGCTGACGCGGTAGTCTTCGTGCCGTCGCCTTGACAGTTCGATGCTGCAGGTCAATCTAAGTTTGAATACGCGGGTCAGGTGTCGACGCAACTCCGTCCGGTCCAGATCCCCTGTGGACCACGGTGATTCTTCCTCCGGCATTAGACGACAGACGTCAGCCTGAAGCTCGCAACTCCAAGGCGATGGCTCTTCAGGGATCAGCATGTCGATATATGCAAACATCGTGTCTGTATGGAGATGGCATCATCTTCTTGAAACAACCTCGATGATATGATCCACGCTCGCTTTGCCAGGTGTGAGGTTCTTTGCTGTCTGCCCCCGTTCGGGTCCTTCTTGTCGTTGATAGCATGGTCGGCGCTCATCATTTTCAACATCTTCGCTTGCCACTATGTTGACAGCCCATCAATATCCCGTATTTCCAAGGCATCAGCGTCTCTTGGTGGTGCAGATACTCCAGGTACTTTTCGGCTGTGCTCTTCTCAGATTTTTGGAGATCAGAGAGCCATCGCCTGGGCATTGGGCGGCCGGAGTCTGTGAACGAGATCTGTCAGAGGCAGACAAAGCCAAGCTCCATTGGTAATGACATTATATCTGGACCGATTGCAGTCACAGCAGCGGCGTATGTGCATACTCTGTGCACTTGTTAAACAACCAGTGCGTGCAGACACAGTAGGGCTGCCCAAATGTGAACTGCATGAAATACTTGAACGATATTTCAGACATGATTCCGCCAACCAACGGGCAGAAGTGATGCATCTTGAGCACAGAGCGGCCGGGGGGAGCTCGCCATGCTGCCTGAAACCGGGATGGTGTTCGTACTCGTCTTGGGATCCATCTTCGGCAGTGGAGGAGGTCGAGCTGAAGAGGTTGACGTTGCCGACCATGGCGTCCACCTCGCGGCGGAGATGAAGATCGAATGGTCCTTCTCCTCATCCTCTTGAAGACCTCGTCTCTCATAGGGCGTCTGTAGCTCCGCTTCTTCTCGCTCGGAACCACCATTCCCTCCTTCATCATCGTGACGGTGATGGTGGTGGTGTTGGTGTGGCCGACAGACAATAAAGGTCAATTTATCCCCGTCGTTACGCCAGCTGCGCTGCATGGCATATTCTTCCTCCAACGTGAGCGGCGAGTCCAGCCTTAGCGTCTCGTGCATGACATGAGAACACCTGTTCGTGCGGGCCTATCATTCCATCACATCTGACACTCTGTCGGCATTGACGTTTGCAGCGACGTTTGCAGCAGAGATCAATCAGTGGAAGGTGAGTTTTGAACAGTCTTCCATATATCCCTTTCCCTTTCATCGCAGGACGGGTGGTGACTTTTCTGGCGCAGGGAGAAATCCCAAATAGAGAAGAACGGGTCGGTCGAACTCCCTAACACGGTCCATTGCAACGTCCGTAGACTATGACTACGAAGATCCGGGGTCGCCGATCCATAGCGAAGCGCCAATCGGGGAATGAACAGGGGAACATGAGCAGGGAAGAGTCGTCGGCGGCGAAGGAGTTGCTGTTGACCCGGCTGAAGCCTTTTATGTCAGTGCCCACTGCGCATATACGGCTGACGGTCATATTCTTCAACCAGGACAAGCCGACTTCGAAGTCCGTGACAACAGATGAGCCAAACCACAATTGAGGTCCGCTGCATAGAGAGGATCTCCCCAAGCACCGATTAACCCAGTCCGGCTCTTTCTCCTTTGCCTCTTTCCCCGTACACCACAAATATATATATCCTTCTCCCGCTGGGCCTGGTGAAGGTGACGTCCACGAGAAACAGCACCTCCCTCCCCGAAGCGGAGACATCGGATCTTTGAGCCTTGCTTCACACAGAATAGAGTGCCAGTTGCACCGAGACCTATTTTTCATTGCTCCTCGTTTCCAAGTGCCCGCGGCTCCTCAACTAGATCACGCACGGTTGTTTGGGCCAAGCCACAGATTCTCGTTGCGGTGCTCCTTTACAGCCCTCAAAACTCACCAAAGGCGGTAAGGGTAAACATGGGATTAGTGATATTGCATACATCGACGCCCTGTTCTTCGCATCCGGAAGCTCGGCGTATGCTTTTCATCGTTAGGGCGAAGTCCGTTCTGGTCGATATTGCCACAGCGAGATTGCCCCCGGAATCTAGACACACAGCTCCGACTGCATCTTGCACGGTTCACAGGGAAATGCGCCAACGCCGTCCCAGAAACAGCAGTGGCCTCGATGTTTCCCTACAATCTCGTCTTCAGACAAACTCGAATTCTTCAGATCAAGCACAGTCGCCAGTCGAGGGCTTCGTCCATGTGCCTTGTAAGAGGCTCAAGGGCGAAAAAAAGGAGCTATTGCAGCTTGTGTCGGCCTATTCTCGCAGTGATTTTGGTTGGAGATGCGGCCCATGGTCAGTGGCCTCGGCTCTTGAGAGGATGATATTGCTGACATGGACAGCTCTTCCATCTGGTCGGGCCGATGTGCGACACGGCTTTTCAAGAATTGGACCGCGATGTTTACCGCACCGAAACAGAGCGTCACAGTAACATGGAGCACCGACGCAAGACAATGTTGGCTGATTGGATCTTGCCTTCGTGAGTCGATCAGCCTCTGACTTAGGTCGAGTTTCTCTTTGATGAAAGTGACTGGGTCATCCATGAACTCGAGGTATCACGCGCTGCTGTGGACTTGCACCTCCTTCGGGTCTGAGCGGCAAAATCTGATGCGTGAGCCCTCCCCTTCTTAGTCCGTGGCGCGACCGGCTCCGCGCCAATGGATCCGTAATAACACTTGCACCGACATGCACCGACAATGGAGAGACTCAGACGGCACGAATTTCGACTGCATTTGTACAAGCTCGCTCATGTACAAAGCGTACGAAGTTGTCCGCGTGACTGATCCCTTCCTGCCACCTTCCATTGCTACCGCGCCCCCATGTCCTGTCACGAATGCGAGTCACGTCGACAGCAAAGCAGTGACTGAAGAGAAAGATGAGCCAAATGAAGTTCTTGTCCTCTTACGTTGCGTGTTGAGGTGCCAACGATCACGGGAGTTCATTGGACATGACGTTCAGAACCGCAGTCGAGATGGCTGACCGGCCATCGCAACGCGTGCAAAGCGGTGGGCAGACTCGGTCTGTTAAGACAAGCGTCAGAGGACCAAGTGAATCCTGCAAATCGCCTTGACTAGGAGCTCCCGCTTCGTCCAAAGAGAAAAATGAAAAGGAGAAAAGGTACCGTTATCATCCTGCGTGAATGGGACCGTGCCAATCGAGAAAAGGGGAAACAATGTCCATGGAGGTGCTTGAATCTGTTTGCAAGAGAAGACCAACTTTCCGCGCTGCCTTATTAAGAGAATCCCCTGCACCCAGACACGACAAAGAGGGGGAATGGTGTAAACCGAATAGAACTTGTAGGAAATAGAATAGAGCTGGGAAGTATGGTCGACGACTCCCTTGACGACGGCCGCCAGTTGCCCTTCTTGCCCGAGGAAATCATTCCCGAAGGCCACCACGTTCGCCTCGCTCATATACGCCGTCTGCAGCGCAGAGCCCTTGAACAGGTACTTGAGCACATGACGGTGGCGCTGCCGGCCAGGCCGCCGGGGTCGAGACCTCTGCGCTACAGACCGCAATGTCGCGCTGGTCAAACCAGAGTTGAGCCGCTTCATCGATAAGTTTCTGCAATTTTTGTCGCCGGATATCGATCACCAAAACTCGCTACTGCCTCTCATGGGCTCCCGGCAATGCGAGAAGATTCCAGCGAAGCGTTCTCGCCGCGAGACGCTCTCCGACTGGAAGTTTCTCTCTTGTCAATCAAACCTCCGCACGAACGGTTCAGGTATCGATGTCGTCGATGTCGTCGAATACCCCGACGGTCGTCTGGAGAAATCTGAAGAAGAGAAGCTCCCACGCTCTGTCAGATCGTGGCGAACCCAGGAGACCGTGACAGAATTCGACAAGGTGACACGGTACTCACACATGACGTCAACGACCACGTCATGCCTCTGCAGGACGCCGACCTGCTCATGCACGTCGGCGTCTCAGATCGACTCCCTGGCTCTCAAGTGCGTTCTCTGGTCGCCCTCCCAGGGAAATGTAGCTCGCAACACCGGCGAGGACTGTTCTTTCTGGATGATGCGTCATCGCAAGCACTCACCCATCCTGTGTTCTGACGCCGGCTAGGCTGGCGAGAGGACGTTTCTCATGCAAAGTCGCAAAGAGGGAAGAACACGCGCACCAACCCGATGAAACGCTCTTCCTGAAACACTCTTGCACTCCCGTGGCCCTGCGGCTGTGTGCATTGGGATTTCCCACCCCAAAAAGCCCCGACTCCAGACCGCTCCGGACCTCAATTCAATCATGCCAGGGACGTGGTCAATCATATCGTGGCGGCGGAAAGATCGATTCTCACCAAATGGAGCCAACTTGTGCATCAACGTGTCGGAATATCTTCTTTATCGCCCTTGGGTCCAACAACATATGAGCGTTGCTCGCCATCTTGTGTGTTTCCCCTTTGGAGGTGCGCCCTCATGTGCAAATAGTGACAGCAGGTCAGATCATTTCAGGAAGAAAGTGAAGTCACTGTCATTGTCCCCCCGCACGAAACCGGCGTACTCGCATTCACTGTAGACTGGCAATGTGCACTGTCCGTGGGCAGTCTGGTCTTCAAGACGAGAGTGGACGTGAACGGTATCAAAGTACCAATTCCCAGCGGCACGCACCGGCGTCATCATTGGCAACCAGGCTCGGAGACGCAGGGCTTCGTATTTTCTTCTTCCAATACTTGCAACCATCAAAAGGAATACTGGTGGTGCAAGTCCGGACAGTGTGGGAACGCGTTGAGAAAGAGGAGCGCTGAATTTGGCATGGCTCTGACCCCACGAGAATGCAGCCAATACTGGTCTCTTCCATCAGAAGTAAAAGGGTGAACGACCTCGACTGGATGAGCCAAATCTTCGCCCTAGTTGGGATGGACGCTGATCTTCTGAAAACCGTGGACGAACCTGTCCACTATCGCTTTCAATTCAATGGGCTCCCGGGGGGGTCCTTCTGTGTCCTTCAGCATGACTCGCTCCTGACATCTTGTGATCACCTTCACGCCTTGAGTGAAGCATCCATGCGTCTGGGTCATGGAAAGCTCGCTTCCATCCTTGGATTTCAGGCCTGTCGGAGTGAAGGTCGCGATTGTCTTGGGGATCGGCATTTTGTTCTTTCCAGAAACTCTTCGTCACGACTATCGCAATAGTCGGATTGACCCGGCCAAGACAAGCACTGCCACGTTCCATGGAGTGTCCGAGAGGCACCGGGTCGTCAAAGAACAAGTGGTGGAAGTAGCAAGCAAAGCTGCAGATGGAAATTGAGGGCGGAGAGCATCCAATCTGGGAGATCTTCACAGCTCCGCGGATGCTCTACCCGATCTTCTTAGAATGTATCATCCAGGCGCTGCAGCAATGAGCCCTGGATACCAGAAAGTCACTGTTTCTCTCGGCGGCGACGACAAAGGACTCTTGCGGAAGCGTTTCGACCAGGCCGTGACGTCCGGCTATCTGAATATCGCGGTAATGGAGTTGAAGTAGATACCTTCAGAAGTGATGAAGATGTATGAGCAGAGAACAGCACGACAAATTGGGCGGAGATGGTGGACCTAATTAAAAATCAACGTAGCAGACAACGAGTTGACGGATTAAAAGGACGAGATGTTGGCTGATTCCGCGGCATCCAATTGCGCTCTTTATGATGTTGAATGTAATCTTGTGGAGGATCGTCGTCGGTGCAGCTTTCCACAACCGCGCAACAACCGGGTCCTCCTTTCGTCCATGATTAGGCCGGCATTGACAATTTGCAGCCGAGGAATTATTCCTCGAACTGTGATGCCACGAACTCTGTCAGTGGTGATACTTGACACTCACCCGTGTCGGCGCAAGATTGGGACTCTTGGATCGGTTGAGAGGATGCAAAAGACCTCTCGAACGCAGCGTGTTTCGCCGCATGTCACCCATTATTCGAACTCGTCCCGTCACTCGGACTCCCACACAATGAAGTAGATGTGTCGGACGTCTTCATTCCACCCCTCCTACGTGATGTAATCCATGGCAATGTAGCCGTGCTTGAATCCCCACGTGTCGCGATCAAGCTCTGAATGCTCGGGCATCCGCATATGTAGAAGCCTGCAGCCTGTTTGGCGTCGTGGAGCGACATCAGAACAGATTGAAGAGTATCATCGCCAGATTGAACGCCATACCAAAGTCTCCATCGCGGGAGGCACGCGTTGCTCCGGCTGGGAGGCGCCATCGCTGGGCTCAAGGCTCAAGTGACCACGACGCTCGAGTTCTGAACCAAATCGAATCGTCCCGGGAGCCACGACCGGCGCCATACATATATCGAATGTAGGAGGGTCAGGTCAGATCAGGTCGAGCGCCCGAGGATCCCATTCCAGTCTCACAAGGTGCATTCGCACCGCAATTCGTGGACTCTGTTTGCCCTTGTTTGCTCACAGACTGACGAAGCAGATCTTGTCCGTATCCGTTTTGAAGAGTCGTCGGCGCTGGATAATTCTTCCGCGGATCACGTGATCGTCAAACGCCATGCGAGAGTTCCATGGACGCATCCCACGACACTCCCGCCACACTGTGCCGTAATGCACCGGTTCCTTATACTTTCAGGACCTTCTCGCGTCTCATACCATCACACGCCCGAACGTACGTCTCGTCCGGGCAAGGAACGGCCTTTGGGACATACCAAAAGCGCCAAATAAGCCGGGAAGGTCGACTTTTCCTGGGTATTCCACCAAGCTACCAGTCCACCGACGCATTATACCGCGATTTAGCACTTGAACCAGCAATATAACGACGTCGTTGACGTCTGAAGAGTCGAAGACACCGAAATAGACGGTTTCTGAGGGAAAAATTGGCGGAAATTGGTCTCATTTTGTACCGATCCGGCACAGTCCGAGCTCGACCCCAATCCAAAATCACAACCACTGGTGCCCACGACTTCGCGAGAGGGATATAGCTAGAGAAAGAGAAGATCATCTTCAGCAGATATATGAGACAGAAGAAGGGACAGGTTTGCGCCGACGGTATCGTTTTCAGCGCCCCCGTTAAAACGGTGCCAAAAAAATGGGTTTTTCGCGTCCCGACTGTACCCTATGCTGGTATTATAGGCTACGCCGTACCGAGCTCCTTGGGCACGCTCAGGGCAGTCTCCTAAGTATATTTATGAAGCCCCCAGCCCGATACCGATGCTCCAGAGCCGTTGACGCTGGCAAATCCAGTCACGCCGGACAACGTGATTATCCACCAACAAGGCCCCGGACGCGTAGGTCGAGCATGTCACTGACCTCTTCCATTCTGTTGCTACCTTGCACAACAATCAGATTGCGAATCGGACGCGAATTGACGAAGTTGGTTTTTTCCGCCCCGTCGATCTTGGGGCCAAAAGTTCAACTACCGAATTTCGACTCCGGAATAGCGCTATCGTGACCGACGTGCCGCAAAACGTATAGAACCATACGAAATATTGCGCTCCGGGGCGTAGTGCGGACGTGGGAGTGGGTTTTGCCACGCTGGGGTTCCCCCGGGCACCGGTGGAGATTTCGGCGAATTGGTACGTGGGACGTGTATAAGACGTCGTGCCATGACGGGAGTGACGTAAAACGCACGGAAGTATGCGTGAAAATGCTCTCCGGGGTGTGGTGCGGGTATAGGAATGGCTTTTGTCGCGCCGGGGGTCCCACGGGCACCGGAATCTTCATGCCCCATGACCATGTGAGATCCTTGGTGTGGGAGCTTGCAAGCATCATCATGCCGACCCAAGTCAGCCATTCCGCCTGTTGATTCCGTGGTTGGGCATTGTTGGGAAAGGAGACCATGGAGGGAAGAAGTCCGGCAGGGATCTGGAGATATACCAGATTCAAAAAGCGTCTGCGGTCGCTATATTCCATCAACGGACAGTAAGCTTGCAGGGCCATGGGGGCATATTGCTCTTGTGCAGGGAGGTCGGTATGCTTAAGCAGTTAAAGGCATCTCTTCGAGCGGTGAGCTGTTGCAAATCAAGTACTCTTCGTCGTCTTCCGAGGCGTTTTCCTTCACAGCGTCCACCCAAGTAGAAACGTCCAAAAGGATGTCGATCACGGCTGCCGCGGCTGGTGGTGCTGAGTGCGCCGGTCCATGTTCGCCATGACCTGCAGCGCCGCGCCCTCCGTAGACCCGACCAGCAGGTGCTCGGCGGTCAGGTCCTCGACCGTGTCAAGTCGCGTCAGCGTGTAGCCTAGACGATTCAGGGAATGACTGCCAGGGACGAGGATGGACCTCTGAGACTCCTCACAGTTGATGGAGAGGACGTTGCTGCTCGCGGCGTCCTGGTACGTCCATGCGCGCGACATCCATTCTTCCCGCTCCAGGACGTCGGGGTGCACTGGGTCGACGAAGCGGTCGGTCGTGCTCATCTGCTCGGGCACGGGGCGGGCGGCTACCGACAGCACTACGACGACCTCTTCCGCCCGCGAGTAGATGTACCCTATGCTCTCCAGCGTGTGGGCCCTCTCGGGTCCTGGACTCCGTTCTGGGCTTTGGTGGCTTTCGCCTTGAGACCACTCCTTCTGGCCGTCGACTCCGACATTGACAAGACGATATACTCCAGCTGGACAATTGACAAGACCCCCAGGCTCCGTCTCCAGAATATCTGTCGCTGCCCCAGCGATCCACCCAGCGCTTCGCCAACTTAATCATCATGAGCGTGGTCTTCGACAAACGTATGGAGCTGGAGGACCCCAAGATCCGCGAACTATTCCAGACGTCCTCGTGTCCAATCGATGAGATTTGGATCTGGTGCTCCTCCTGTGCGAATGGTATCTCGACTGGTCGGGGTCTCTTGCTCGCAGTCGACGTCGAAGCGTATTCATCACTGGTAGGAAACGCACGTTTGCCTAACGAGGAAGGCTGAGTAGGAAATGTGAGAGCGGGAGGACGCGAGCTCTCCTCTAGTCGGATATGGTATATAGGATGGTCCAACGGACTACCGATCGAGACACCTCTCTCCTTCGGTGTTGCGCCGTGAGGATCTTGTTTCGCATCGGCAACGTTCTTTGGTGTCACTGTTGGCATCAGAGCCATGAGAGCCATCATATCTCTTGGCCATCTGAACCTCTCGCTTCTGTCTCTCTTCACGTTCAAGTTGGGGCATGACTCGTTGCTTTGCTGGTGCGTTGTATGCGGATCCCCTTGCGAAGGTGTTCTGAGAAACTGAATCGGTGTAGCTGCTTGTGCTGCGGGACCTAGAAAGCTCAGAGTTGGTGGGCGACGGTGGGCGCTCAGAGGCTGCGTCGCCTCCCCAGGCAGAGTCACGGTCAGGGAGCATGAAAATACCGCCGGCATTGGCAGACTGAATTTGTGACTGGGCCTGAGAGCTGAGAGCAGAACCAGCAAGGCTCGAGATCGCAGAGCCAGAGCTGTGCTTGCCACGCACATAATCATAGCCTCGACGCCGAAGCTCTGAGATTGCGTGGACGGCGTCCTGACCCGATTCTGCGTCACCAGGGTCTCTATGGGAGGCAAAGCGACACGCGATCGATTTCTCTGGTGGGAAGGAGGTGGTGGTGGTCGAATGGGCTGCAGCTCCGGTGGCGAGGGTATGCGGCTCGAGGAGGCGACACCATCTGCGGACTGGCGACCTGCACATGTTGGAGGGCAATGTGCTGAGGGCGCTCTCATCATCTCTGATACATTCCTCTTCCAGGGTTTGTTTCAGGGAAAGGGCGCGGTCTCCAAGCTTCTGCTGACAATTGCACCATCTCTGACTGTGGATCGGCTTCATATTGAGACGGCGGCGGTCGGTTCTACGCTCTCTTATCACGGTGTCAGACTCTTTTCCCTGCCCTTTGGAAAACAAAATCGAATCCTCCCCCGTTCGACAGCCGACGCAGCGCAACTCCCCGAGCGACTTTGGTGTGCAGTTTCTGCTGCGTGGAAGGGTGTCTTTGAGGCCTCCATGGATTCTTTTCGCACAAGCTTCCTGATATTTCGAGAGCTGGTTTTGAGAACATCTTGCTTTGAGGCATTTGACGTTGTAGAACGCCTCTCCTTGACCTCCCGAGTACACCAACCGTTCGTCTGGTTCGTCTGTTTCATCCGGCCCGCCTCTTGCTAAGTGTCTTGAACCACTCGCTCGAAGTGTTGACGCGGACAAGCGAAGCGGCGGGAATTGTGAACGACGTGCGCAAGGAGATGGATGCGAAGCAGGCGTCAATTCGGAAGACTCGCAATGGCCGTGAACGACGGGCAATTTGCGCCGACCTGAGAGGGTTGAGGAAACAGTACCGTGAGCGCGAGGAAAAGTGCGTAGATGGGCTGCTGACGGGCAGCAAAGTCGTACTGTCGACGCTCCACCGGACTGCGAGTCAAGTAGTCCGCAACCAGGGATTCGACGTCGTGGTGATTGATGAAGCGAGTCAAGCTTTCGAGCCACAATGCTGGAGTCCACTGGTGTTCGGAGATGCCAACGTGAAAAAGGCAGTGTGAAGTTGTCCCCAACAGTCAAGAGTGCAGATCACAAAGGCAACAAGGGGGAGAAGAAAGGAAGGATCAAAACCCTGGAGGAAGAATTGGCCAAGTTGTCTGTCAAGGACGAGGAATTAACGGCCGCGAAGAGTTGGTCTTTGGAAACCACAGTGGTCGTATCTGCGATAGAGAGGCTGCTCAATACGCAGGTCGAATGCATGAACAAATAATGCGGTTCCCCGGCAAACTCGTCGCGGCGGATGCCGTTGAATCCCGACTGCCAAGACAACCACCAATACGCCGCGACAGATCTGGGTCGAATGTTCTGGCTAACCCTCGCCTTGTTATAATGCGAAAGGAGAGATCGAGTGTGTTCGGGATGGTCTTGTGTGCACATTCTGCTAGGACATTTTGTTCGAGATGGAGGGAGCGAGACTCTGAGTCGGAGGATATACGTGGTGGATCAGGGCCGCTCCGCTCAACCATGAGAAGAAAGACGGGATCGGTCCGTACATGGTGTCAGATAGCAACTCGCGCGGAGTTACAAGACTATCCTCGTCGGCAAGATGGATTGCCACGAACCGCGACGAGTACGAACTCCTTATTTCGGAAGCCGGCATCCTATCCAGCGACGTGAGGAGCACGATGGCAACTGAGAATGGCGGGATCAAGGAATGCTTTGCTGTGGAAATACTCTTCTCAGGCGATAATGTCTTTGTGGTCTTCAGCCACACAGGGCAGTCGATCATGGTATCAAGCATCAAGGTCTAATCGGTCCCGACATGTCAACACGATAGTGGGTGCGGTTACTCTTTCGCCTGGTCTGATCGACAACATGTAACACAATCGTGGGAGCTCGGAATGGGTGATTTCCACTCTCTCGCTTGGGGCTTTATCGGCTACGTGCCTCCACGATGGTGGCTCCTTTTGCGCTTTGTGGCATTAGGATAGATTTTCTGGCAGATGGCCTCATTTACCTTGGGCGTAGAGTTCTATTCTATCCTATTGTATGCGAACGCGGAGAAAGCCTCAATGGGATCCCATTGTCTGGGGAAGATAAGAAGCTCCGGCGTGCAAAAAATGGCGACAAGACCTCGATACCGTCCCAGCAACCAGCTATCTCGGTCGTGCCGACTACATCTCGGCCCACGCAGATATCGACGAGGACGACGCGACTCACTACAATTGCACGTCATCCACCACGCCCCTCGTCCCTCCTGACCGGACAAGACTCGTTACAAGGCCCAGTAAGGCTATGTCATACACCGATTCTGTTGCACTTGATCGTGGCGCCCAGCATCAAGGACTTCATCAAAAGAGTATGAGGTAGGCGTTGAAATCATTCGGATGATGTTATGAGTCCCGCTGGCACGCGTAATGACGACCTCACCTCTGTCAGACGTTTTCGATGGGGTTCAAATCTAGCGAAAATGCTGGCCATTCCATCACTGTTATTCCATTGGCTTCAGCTACCAGGCAGCTGAAAAAACGCTTGGAACCTGATACATCATTCTTGGCGTCCAAAATTGACAGTCGCCAATGCTGACATCCGTATCATTCAGTCATGTCTCGGCTGCCTTCGCTTTCCAATCCCCAACTAGGCGTGGAAACAAATTGCCTCTCTGACTGGTTGCACTTTCGGTACCTTCTTCCGTGGGCTTCCCTGCAGCCTTACAGACGAACCGAGCACGTTTGCAGGCGTTGAACGATACAGCCGGTTTTAACACATCCACATTGACTCCGAAGGCCTCTAACGCAGACGTCAACCGAGATGAACTATTCCTCATCTCCAGCTTTTTGTCTTCAAACGCTTAGTTCAGGGCAACTATGGAATTCGCGGTATCAAAATGGAGCACTCGAGACAGATTGCTGGAAGAGGCCGTGGGATTCAGCATGGAATCGCTCCTCCTCTTGGCTACTCCATTCGCACCTGCTCCTCCTGGAAAGAAGAAGCCATAGATTTCTTCGCACAACAGCGCCGCCTGTAGGAACGCGGCACTGGTGTAACCCAGAGTCCCGCCGAATATTGTTTTTAAATGATCCTTTTTCACCAAAGGAGCTTCACGTTCGTTAACAGATTGCCAGAATAAGTAGCTCGAGTCTGCGGCAGACAAGTTTTTGTCGGCATTCAGGCGTGCAACAAATCTCCCAAGGGGGTGCGCATCTACCTGCCGCCAGATGGAAACTGCTTTCTGTCCGTAATGGACCACTGCTTCCGCAGAAACAACTACATCAACGACATCGTGGCTGACAAGCAGAACCACCTGCAGCCTCTCTCTCTACTCATAGTGTCACGGACACCTTGTCAACATGTCTGCGCCACACCTCCCAGAAGGCATTCGCAGCGCGCAGAATGGCGAGTCAGAAAACACCCTCCGTCGCGAAGTGTCGCGCAGTCTCTCCATGTATCTTTGCGGGCGTTTGGGAATCTTTCGAATATCTTCATATGTAGACACCCCCATCATCCTTCTCGCTCGTTGTGAGAGGTCCATGCGGCAAGCATCGACACCATTGAAGAAGAACATGTCCCAAGGCACCGGACAAGCGAGAATATTGTGCGATCGACGACGAAAGGTGTCGATGGTGAACATTGCCGGCCACGCGATGACGAAGGCAACCAGGCCAAACCCCAGTGATGCGGCCATGGTGCCTGGCACCGAAGCACCGGCCTGCGCAAATATGCTTGAAGAATAGAAGGCTACTCAGTTATTAAACACGCCAAATGCAGTTCCGTTTCTTGCTGCGGACTAACTTCTATGCCTTACAGTCTAACATTCACACATCCACAACACATCCACAAACCCCTTTCTGCATGCTTTACTTCACTCGTCTCGCTCGATCTGCACCTTGTTGTTTGCAAATGGTTGCTACCACCGTGACGAGAAGCAGGTGTTGCCGGATCGATCCGGATATCGACTCGTTTTGAGGTACAACATCGCCCACACAGGTGTCAAACGTCAACCCTCGGCTACTGTACGAGACATGGGACAATCGAGAATTGGGCAGATGTACGGCGAGTGTTCTTTCATTCCCCTGGGAAATAAACAGGATCGTCACCCACTGTTGAGGGCTTCAGGTAAGCATGAGACCATCTGTAACGTCCTTTCCATCCTGATTTGCGCCGCAAAATGGCGTTCTCAAACAACAAGCTCCATCGTCTATTTGGCTACACCATTCCCTTTGACAAGAATCACCACGCTAGCGAAGTCTCGATGGTATTTGGCACGTCAGCTGATCTGATAGGAGAACCGAATACACCACTGCAAGATGTCGTGTCTCGACACATGAGCTATGCCTGGGCGACTTTTGCGAGAGACCCAATGAGTGGCCTGCGTGAGCACCTGGGCTGGCCAGTCTATAACAGTTCAGGTATGGTGGATTGTTCCGTCTTTGGGTCGTCGCCGGAACAGTGTCTAACGAAATCACTCCAGGTAGTACAGTCATTCGCCTTGGTTATGGAAATGAGACGAAGGCGTCATTTGTGAATCCGGCAGAATATGACGCGCCGTGGCTCTGCCTTGTAATAATCTTGAGAAAAGACTCAGGTGCGAACACCGGGAGCTGGAGTCTGGCATCGAAAAGTGACTCTGGTAGAGGTCAAGATTATTGGCGAAATATTGTTACACGCTCCAAAACCATCTCATCTGAAATGACACCGGACTTGTCAGAGATAACCTTTGTATCCTTGAACATCATATGCCGGGACCAGTCGGTGCTGATGTGCACGAGCAATAGTTGATAAAGAAACTTCTAACGTCTTCCGATGAAGATGAAACACGATGCACAATATCGGCACTTTGAATGCTTCTCGTTCCACTGCCCTGGCGCTGATGCCGTGAGAAATGCCGCCGAAAGGTTGCACTTCCGGTCGTCTTTGACAGCCCAAGGATTTGCAAAGGACCAGATGCGGAACGACGACAATCTGGCATTCCGCTCGCCATGAGGCGTCAGGCATACTGCAATAAGACGACTAGAAGCCTGATGATCCCCTGTCGGCTCCTCCTGCCAGTTGCATTCGTGAAGCGGACGAATATCATATTCCCTTCCATGCAAGCCACCTTTGTGGAACACCCTTCTCCGGAAGAGTCAACAGAGCTTTGGGTTTTCAAGGACGCGATATTTCCCTCGTCTCTGTTACCTAGACTCCTTGACACAGGGTTTAGAGCGAGCAGAATGGCATCCCAAGGAACGAGGGAGGAACATGACATTTATCGTCGTTCTGAACGACGGCAGCTCGGGCACCTGTGACGACGGGGACTCCCAGATAGGAACCTGACTCTTTGACGCCGTTTTGTTGGCCCATCCACGCAGCACCTCAAGTCAACGATCCGCAAGCTGCTGCAGGGCACAACAAAGCGATGCAACAGGGCAGCACACCAAAGACCAAGCCAGGTTTTTCACAAGTATCCACAGAAGATTCCCACACGAACATATCGCGCACGATGGCCGGGTTGAGCACATTCGAAGCGACGGCGACACCGGTCAAGGCTCGCGCGGCGATGAAGAGCGGCACGCATTGGCACAGTGCCGCCAGCACCGTGGCAGAGATGAAGAGGATCAATGATGCCCTCCGAGGGGATGGACTGGGCCGATATAAACACGACGGGTTCCGTACTATCGACTGCGAGCGATGTCAAGATAGTGCCTGAGTCAATGCGGCATGGGGTGCAGCTGGTCCGCTAAACACGCAACAGACACAAGTTTTTGATTGTCGATTTCGACGCCCTGCCAGTAAGGGGTAAGGGTATGGCGTCGTTCCCGAGCCAGTCGACGGCATCAATCACCCGCAGTGTTGGCAAAGTCCACCCTCAGGGTCCAGCGATCAGCGTGGTCGACAGATTTGCTGCTAGGTCCAAGACCCGTCTGGTCCACCAGGTTTATTGGTGCTTGGATGCGAAACACCATGTATCACCATCGCATTCAACCGAATCCCTCGATGCCGCAGCTTCGGAAAACACTTGCTGCCGGATACTTTGTTGCTGTGACGTTTGAGAACTCTGTCTGAGCCAGCCGAGGGCGGCTTGCATCAACTCATCATAGGCTTCCCTGAGCATGTGGTAACTCTCCCTCGAAGAATTCCCGGTGTGCTGAATTGTGAAACCGCGAAACTAACTGATTTATAGGTCCCCCTTGAATCCCGTATCGTCAGTCCCAACCCTTCTCCTCCTCTCCTCGAACATCTCTCCTCAAAGCAATCCCCAGACCTTGAAGGTCCTACTAGCTTTGGAGAGAGAAGATGGAATTGTCGCATCATAGACCCGAGTCAGACTCGCTGTCAAAGTGGGCGTGGCAGGTCCCCGTAGATAGTCATTTATCTTTATCAGTCGAGCGTACGTCTCTGTCAGTACCAGCAAAACATAACTACTTGACTACAATACCTATATACTTTGTTGGCGGCGATGGCGACTTTCTTGGTGCCTGGCAGACAATTCCCAAGGCCATCCTCAGGACCATATGCAGGATCACTCCAAGGCCACCTGCAGGATCACCTTCAGGATCACCTCAAAGCCCACCTGTAGGATCGCCTACAGGATCACCTTCAAGACCCCCTGCGGGATCACCCTTCAAGACCACCACCAAGTGCACCTGCAGGGCCACCTCAAGGATGCAGGATCACCCCCAGAAAAAGCTGCAGACAAGATATGGAGGAGGAGGGATGCCTCTTTGTAAGGATCCGACCGAAGATAAGAAATCCACCGAGAGCTGAGGTAGCTATGCGAGTGTCACCCGGGCTCCCCGGCCGACAACACCCCATGGGGCGATTAGGGCGAGTGGCCCCCACGAGGCACACACAGAAAGAGATAAATAGGACCTCTATTCTCGCACTGCTGGAGAAGCCCTCAACAGTGCGAGAAGTCGATGTCTCAAGGACAGCTTTATACCAATCAAGATACGTGTTCAACCCTCTGACTCTTCGTCTAACGATCCCACCCCAAAGCTCTCTGACAGGAAGTTAATTGGACATACGGCTTCTGCGTGATGTAGAAAGGACTGGGCCTCTCGACGATAGTGATAGAAGCCAGAATGATAAACCTACTGGCGCTGGCTTTATTATTGGAATTCCTCCTCCTCCTCCTTGGCGTACGCGAGCCCAGGGAGCCATTGATAACCTGGGGACAGCGGGAGAGTCGCCGGACCGGTAAGGTGGTTCACTCATGTGAAGTGGGGAGGGAGGTATTCCTTTTTGCACTCTCACTTTTGCTTTGAGATCTATTATTTGGTTGATTTGCAGGAGTTGGGAGCAGTTCGGAAGGGGATTCAACATCTACTTACCTGGCATGGGAGCTTTGGTGGGATCGAAGAGGCCACAACGCCCTCGATCCCTGTGATCTATCGCGGTCTGAATTTGAGGCTCTGAAGGAGGATCAATCTGGAAGCTGTCAGCAAGTACAAGAAGTTGCGCTGGAGAGCCTACAGAAGGGGCACCTTTGATCAGTATGGAAGAGGAAAGAGAGTGGTTGAGGAAGAAGGTAAGGGAGGTCAAAAAGGCCTGCGGGTGAAATAATTGGATGATTTGCTAGCACAGCCACAACTCTGTACTAGGATTTCTTGTACAGACTTCTAGAAAAGGCTAGCGCGAACCTTACTCCAGGGAAGCCTATGGACCGTGAGATGCAGAACGGTGGAGCAGACTGTCACCCGGGCTCCCCGGCCAACAACACCCCATGGGGCGAGTGGCCCCCATCAGGCGGATAGCCCTCATGGGGCCAACGGCCCCCAAGTGCCAAGGCGGCCCCCACGAGGTACACACAGATAGAGATAAATAGGACCTCTATTCTCGCACTACGGAGGAGGCCCTCAACAGTGCGAGAAGTCGATGTCTCAAGGACAGCTTTATACAATCCAGATACGTGTTCAACCCTCTGACTCTTCGTCTAACGATCCCACCCGAAGGCTCTCTGACATTCCCTCTCCGTCGTGATCCGCAGACACCTGGGTTCCATATCACCAACAATCAACTGAGGTTGGGCAACCTCTCCTGCGTCACCGAGAAAGTCCCCCATTTTTTCGTCCCCGTCCTCGTCTTCCGAGTTCGTTCATCACGCTGATCGAGGTATAGCAGTGTTGGCGCTGGTGCGCTACAACCGCGGGTCGAGCGTATAGTGGCAGGCCTCAAAGTCAGCTATGAGAAAAGATGGATCATCGTGGAGAAACATCTGCTCACCCAGGCTGAAGACTTCAAGAACGGTAAGAAGATTTAGGTGGACGTTTCCTACATGAAGAAATTGGCTCCCTGTCGACGGATAGCTCAGTAAGGGGTGGCAGCAAAAGAGGGCAGATGACAAGCATCCGTGCGCTTCTACGGCTCTTCATACATGCTAGACCAGCTGGAGAGGGGTGTGCCGAATGCAAAGCCAACCTGGCCCGATACCAGTGAGTGGAGGTGCTGCCTCGCTACAGCTGTCAGGTTCCCTTGAAGATTGCGCCCACGAAGCTGACCTACGATGGTTCCCAGGGCGGAAGCCGAAACGGACAACATGGAGATCCGGGAGGCTTGGATCGACATCTCCCTAAAGGAGCTTACTCGGCTTCAACGCGACGAGAGCGCCAAACAAGTTCTCTACGTCAGCAATACCGCCGGTAAGACCCAGCCCACCGCTACAACCGGTATATCAGCAAGAACAAATGACCATGCCAGAGAACTTACAAAGGGTGACAAAAATGAGCAGCGCCGGCGACGAGCACAATCTTCCACTTTAAGAGAATCTGCACATCGCTGGTGTAGCTTGTACGAGCTGCTCTTTCGCGGAAAGGGTCGCCAGACGAATCATGGACAAGGCGCAGGCCCTGCGTGAGTTCCTCATGCGGTACACGACTGGCAGTCAATTCTGCAGGACCATCGACGAGATGCCGGAAATTCTGTTCTACCGACGCAAGATCGAGGGTGCAGAAGCTCTCCTGGCATACGAGACCAATGTACTACAGCAGGAGCTGCACAAATGGCAGCTCATTGCTCCCGAACCACCGCCTGTCCTGGATACAACTTGCGCCGATCGAGAAAAGACGGGCTGAACGAAGGCTTGAAGCGTGGAACCGGTGATGCGGCTTTTGAACCAACTTATGGACGAAAATATTGATGTTGTTCACCCAAGGACGAAAGTAGTTCGGAAAACAGGTGCACACTCTACCGAGTACAGAGTAGCAAGATGGTTGATCGGGCGGAGAAATCTCAGTGCGTCTTGTTCGTTGCCGAGTACGGTGCTTCTGATCTTTCAGTTGTTGCTGCTGCTCAGAAAGCGCTCCGGAAGATGTTGGACTGGGTGAACATCATAGCGTGGTTGACCTCGAACGCGGTGGCTGGCTCAAGTCTGACTTGGGCCAGGCGACTCAACTTGGGACAGTCAACATCTTCATCTCCACCCTCTATATCTCACCACATTTCACGCTAGCCCCCAGCACGTCCACCTGTCACCACTCCCCCGACGGGATCACATCTGACAGGAGTGGATGTAATGCACTCTTGGTGACCATGTTCAAGCGTAGCGGATTGTGAAGCGTGATCAAATTCTCCGTAGCGACTGAGAATCAGCGGCCCGAAAGATTGCTTTGTGGCGCTATATGCTGTTATATAGGGGTCGAGATTTGACCGAGCTTCGAGCCAAAGGTTGACTCTCGGAAAAGGCCATAGGAGGTGACAGAGCGATCGGGGATATGGGATGTGCTGAAGCGAGTGTGTTCGCTCAATCAAGCGCTCCGTGTGGTCTGTATTCGGCAGGTCGCGGAGGGCTGCAAAGTGAAAGCACAGTTTTCGGCAGAGGAATCCCGTACCCCGCGACCATGGTCTCAAAAACATATGATAAATCCGGGATAAATTTTCCTCGCTGAGAGCAATAAACCTACCCCGATATTTAGGACTCATCCGGGCCAGCCGCGATGTCTCAATCGGGGTGGCACACACCATCATCATACCCCGCCCGACATGGTGCAGAACGTCGCTCAGAAGTTCCCGATACGTCATATTTCCCCCAGAATCCTGTCGCGTATTCAAAATGCGTGCAGCCTCTGTGGCAAGCTTTGGCTCGTTTCCAACGAGAGTAGTATATCCTCCGATTAGGGCACCCTGAGCTCGGATTTTTCGAAGCGTTCAGTGACTGCGTCCATATTGACTATAGGTTGGCCCTGTTGCGGATGGATCATGCCGGAGTGGCTAATGTGGCCTGTCGGCAACGGGCAAGATTATCGAAGAGAGTGCGTGCGAAGGACAGAATATGAGAGCAGGTCCAAGGGAGTTTGCTCGGCAGCCTGGTGATTCTTTGGTGGTAGTGTGGTGGGAGGCTGTGCCAGTGACGCCTTTTGTTTATTGTCTCATCTCGGCGAAACCGGGAATGTTGCTGCCTGCCTGGGATTACACGGAAATGCTTCATATTGTCCTTATTTGAATGATACGACGATGTCGGGCTCATCCTTGGCTCTTGCTCACCGGTTTCCTTGCCTATGCTGTCCTATTGGTCCGATATTGAAGCTCACCGCCCTTCTGAAGCGCCCTGTGCTGCAAACCCCTTGCATCCCAATCTCCCGCATTGGCCACCCTTGCAATCCAATCTCCCGCATTGGCCACCCTTGCAGCCCAACCTCTCGCGTTTCACCCTCGCATTCCTGCTCCTTGCCTTCCTGGTCTCTCGCACTTCTAACCTCGACACGACTGCGCGTTTTTGGTGCTTGGGCAAAGCCGTCCGCTGGCACCTGTGGTCGTATAATAAGGCTTTTCCTTCCTCGCCCTGATGTTTCAAATGCCCACAATCCTCAAGAATACCACTCTTTCACCGATAGCTATCCTGTTAATTATCCAGACCTCCTGAAAGTTCCCACTATGTCAGCCGCGGGCCCATCTTGTCCGGACGGCCCTTTCGCCGGACCTCCATTGTCACCTGCATCGGATTTTCAAAACGTGGATCAAGCGCTGCAGGAGTTGGAGGAGTTGAAGATCACAGACGAATCACGTCCGAAACGGGTGTCCAGTGAACAATTTCATCGCCTGATTGAGACACGAATCATACAAGCTGCTGCCGATCCCCCTCCCGCTCTTGAGTCAACGCCACAATTGGCCGAATCGCCAGCTCCTGAGGCTCCCTCCAACGGCAGACGCAAAGATGTATTCCTCGGGGAATCAAGCACGAGCGTTGAGCTGGGTAGCAAAGCGTCTCTGAGGGAGAGAGTCTACGCCCAGGCCGATTATGGCTCCACGTTGGCCCCCATGCTTGACCCTCTACTGGGGGATGTGGCCATGAGCATCGTTCGCAGTTACCTGAATACCCAACGACTGGAGATGCAAGGAGAGCTATGCGAAGTCATGGTCAGGGATATTATGACGGAGATAGTGGCGTACGAGAGCTCCGTTGCAGCAGATCACGGTGTCTTCGCCGACGGCCTCACGACGGAAGGCAAAACGGTGCGCGCGGCAATGGAAATTCTGGTTGAGAAGGGCGACCTTGTGGATGACGTGAACCGTACTCACTTCAGGGGCCTGATGCGGGAACTGCACCTGTTTTGCGCGGCGCGCGGGATCGAGTATCGAAGCAGGTAGTAATATTTCCGCATTGTCATGTGCGTTCATATATCCGGCTGAAATGAAATCCACGCTCGTTGATCTTTGAATTGAGACAAACTTGACTGACATAGATGGCTGTGGTTGTGGCTTCTCCGATCCGAGAGTGAAAGTTTTTTGATGGTCCTTTCCCGCGCCCGAGAGCCTTTGTTGCTGTGCTGCACCTCACACAACCACCACCGGAAGATAGCTGTTCTGTGGTGTTCGCCTCGTAAAAATTAACTGGCGATTTATGGAAATGCAGGCAGTTTAAGCGCCTGAAGTCGACAACGACACCAGGTTGAAGCCCAAGCAGTCCCCAACTTCGCTCACAGCCGCTCTTCTACCTGCAGTTCCTCGTAGCCTAGTTCGAGATCGACAGAAGACTCTGGATGCCACACGTGACAACCAGCTAGTTCTGATCCAGATTGGTAGATCCACGTGACGGTTTCACGGATAGATTTTCCATCAAATCAGGAGCGGTCGGGATCAGTCTGACGTAGATTAGATCCAACAGGCTTGGCACAGGCATCGCTAAATCACCTTCTCCTCAGCCGCCCCAATAGTTATATGAATCTTCATCCTCATTGACTACGTCTTTGCTTGCCAAATGGTAGCAAAACTTGAAAGATCCTCCATCTTTTCACCAATTGAGCGTACTGAGCTCGACACCAGGAAAATCGGCGAAGCTAAGATCCAAGGCACCTCCAGCACGTCTGGAACCAGAGACGCAGGCAGAGCCCATCGCCACCAGCTCCACCAACCTCACCCTCGCAATTGACTTACCTATCTCATCCCTGCCTATCTCATCTCAAATTGTTTCGCCACGCCCACATGAGGCGGTTAGCTCAAAGAAGCGAATGGCTACCAGACGAAGCGACTGGTGGCCGGAGCTCAGCGGCGACATAGTCATTTTGGCCTATCAGCTGTATCAATACATCCAGAAAGAAGGCGGCGAAGGTGGCACCATCACAAGACAAACGCCTCTCGCTCAGCATACGGAACGCAGTCAGGCAATCATCGCGAAGAACTCTCTACTATCGAAAGGCGGTAGTCCAATTGAATACGCAGCGGATGCCGGCGCTGGCTATCCAGCAGACTAGACGAAAGTCCCAACCCCCCACCCCCACCCCCCCCCAACACAAGAGCATGCCCTGCGGGCAGCAGGAAACCTCATAAAGCGAACCTAGCATATCTCCCAGTTTGGATCCTCCCCCCTCCTTCTAGCTCCACGAAAGATATATCTGAGAAGAGGAAGAACAATAATCATCTGAGGCACAGCAGTCGTTTCATTCCACAGCAGGACCGCCCACGATGACCAAACCATGGGGACCCCGTAACGCGGGAGAACTGACTTCTAGCGAGACGAAACGGCAATGGCTGAGAGATTGGACCAGCAGACTTGGCCACACGATAGTGGCAAGTCTCAAATCCCAGCCTACACCTCGGTATGCCAATGATGCTCCGATTGGAGGAATAGCTCAATTAGCTGTACACCTAACGGCACAAAACGGTCCGCCCAAGCCAGCGGACATTAGAGTTTGCTTCCCTGACACCCCGACCGACTTGTGGTCCGGCGAAACGGTCACAAAAGACAAGAAATATTACAGCGGGGTTCAAGCATTTGTGATCGTTTCAGAGTCGTCGCAGTCGGAAGAAACGCATTTGCTATCCGATTGACGCTCGGGCCGTGCCTTGGAGGAGAAGTCGAATCATGGTGGATAAACGAACTTAACAATGTCACCCGGATCGGTGGCTTTTACAGCCCCAACGGCGTGGAAGAATGGTGTAAATCTCTCTTCACGCCGGCGAAGGCATTGAAAAGTTTATCTCTCATATATATAAAAAAGTAAGCGCTAAGGCAAGAAAGTACCCTACGACTCTCATGCCTGAAGCAATGCAGCAAAGGTTTGTGGATCCGACAACGAGTACTCAAACGTCCTATTCGCGCGGAGCAAGATTGACATCTGGCTCAGGAAAACAATCGACGAACCACGAACAGCCACAGAAATTGCTGCATTCATGGACACACTTCGCATCCAGGCAGCGGACTGACAAAATCATGGGACTTGATTCCTACTCCGCCCCATTCCTATCGGAAATAAACCAGGGGTCATCGTATGCAAATATATGCCCGTGGTCCACCTGGCCTCGTTCTTTCTACCAATGGAGAGTTAAAGAGGGGACAGATGAAAGCTGACGGTTATGTCACATCGGGGCTAAGAGCGATTCAACTTGATCGTCATGGGATACAAGAACTCAGTTCATTATGTGCACGGCAGATGGACAACTTCCTTCCCGGGTCATTTGGCGGAGCTCCTGGGATCATCCAACGACCTTAAGGATAAGATGAAGATCATCTCGAAATGCGGGCTTTACCTGTTAGTCATAGCCCTGTCTCCCCACAGCTTTGCCTGCTGCTCACAGCTATTCGCCCCGATAGCTCCGCCTACTGGTTATAGCACTGTATCCCAACGGCGTCATCTACTACTCACAGCTCTACATCCAGACAGTACTATATCCAGCACTATATCCTGCCTACTTCTTATGGGGCTGTATCCCGACATCACGACATCCCGACAGCACTGCATCCCGATAGCACTACGTTCTGATAGCACTGTACCTTGATTGCTTTGCCTACACTCAGCACTACATTCTCACCATCCCTCCTAATCCCAAAGGGAAAGGAAAGGCCCTCGCGACCCCACGAGGGGGATTCGTTACCTCACCCCTTAATATCGTTCACTCTTAAAGCCTTATCCGGATCAAGAAGGTGGACGGCGGGTACATGTTCAAACCGGAGATCCAACCTCTACTTGAGTCAGCGAGCGAGAAGAAAAGAAACTTTTCACAACTTTCGATGTCTAGCCAGAAGAGTTTCGAAGACTCCGCTAAGCGACATGAAAACGAAGAGATCGATAGGGATAAGCACGAAGAAAATATCCGCCCGGAGGTGAAACGCTTACTCACGAGCTATCTCGAGGCATTAGATACCGACTGCGAGTCTATAAGGCACCACGTGCAAATGCTCAATAACCTCTATTATCGTGGCGATCTCGACCTCTCGCAGGCTGAGGTCAAGAATGAGACCGCCTGATTTGACCAAAAAATCCTAGATGTACAGCAGAAGACTATCGTTCTCCGGGATGAACTCAGCACTCTCGTCGGAATGTGGACAAATACGCGAGTGCGCTTCGAGCGCCAAAGCACATCCGACTGGGCGTATATCGATTCTCTTCTAGCTCGGATGAGGACTCCATCGCGAGCGACCCTAAGTCTCTTCAAGCTAAAAGACGTTAACGAACAACGCCGGTTCCGCACGACGGCTATCAAGGCGTACGGAGCCGATTTCTCTATCAACCCCGATTTGATCTGGTGCTGTATTAGCGACAAGTTCAGAAGCGCCAGCACTATCGTAGCGGCGTATACTGTCCCCTACAATATTGGGGAAGTCGTCCTACTTAGAGGTTCGTACGGCGACTCCAGGCTGGAGGAAATCGATAGGAAGGTACTTCAGTTCCAGACCATGTTCCGCCCAGTATACCGACACCTCTACTTTACCTTCGTGGTGTCCCTACTCCGTATCCAGAGACGATAGGTTCCCGGGTGGTGGTAAACTATTTTCGTACGGCCCGATATCAAGCCCTTTGCGAGCCCGGGGGATTACCTCCGACCCAGTCTATTCTGGACAATGGCCAAACCCGTCGGTAATAGGTACCTAAAGAGGTCGCCCAGTTTATTAGCCCTGGGCAGACGTATATGCATCCCTTGGCGGAGAGCCCAAAGGACCGGCTGGCCGCTGACTACGTTTCGGTGGTTTCAAGCTCGCGTGGTGATGAAGATAATGACGACGACGACGATCCTTTTATTGAGAAGAGAATACAGACCGCGGGCATGTTTAGTGCTCTCAAGATCGAGGAGGATGAAGAGGATGAGGGTGACGAAGAGGATCAGGAAGGCGAGGACAACGAGGAGGGTGACTAAGAAGGGGAGCATAAAGGGAAGGATGATTGGTGCGACGAGGACTCAGAAGCCGAGGAATGTGTAGAGGTCAAGACTCGGGGCTGGTTTTGGTGGAATTTTTCGAGTCGATATGACCTTAGGACATTACCGATTCAGGTCCATATCACGTTGTCGTTGCGACTTGCTCTCTCTTTCTCTCTCTCATCTGTTCTTTCCTCAGACCAGTCATCTTCGTATATATATATGTAACGAACAACTGTGGAGCTTGAAGGCCTTTCCAGTAATGCAGGTCTTGACTCGGTCCTCCAGATGTGCGATGGAGCTCATGTTGCCCTGGACACAGGCACCGAACACAGGTACCGGACACACACTGACTCAAAAGCAGATTGTCTTGGTTGCAGGCACTGGACGCAACAAGAGTTCATCGCAGGAGGCGAGGCCGCCTAGGGCAGTAATCTCGTCATGGAGGTTCGATGGATTTGGTCGGCATGTCGCTGTCCTCCTGATGACAGGTCAAACTCCAGTTCTGTTGCGTATCGCTTGTGTATGTGTATGAAGCTGCCCTTGAGACATCGACTACTCGCACTGTAGGAGAAGGAAAATACGACATGTCTGTTGACACCCTCACATACCATTCCAGTCTGACCTTTGGTATGTCTGCTCACGTTCCACCGTGTTCTAGCTATCCCTTGCAATCTCCTGGGTTGGTCCGTCTGGAGTCACGGACCCTTGGAACTGCCACTGGGAGATCCTGGCCGCACTTTACTGGACTCTTCTAGCCTTGGAGGCACCAGTCGCGCCAGAAATATAATTATCCCCTTTCTCCCCCCTTCATCTGCGGACCTGCCTTTTCTCTTGCCCTTCCACTCCCACTTCCACTTCCACGATGCCAACGTGAGTATACACCTCGGTATCTGCTCACAGAGTTTCCGCACGCTGACAATAGTCCACTTCCCAGGACTTCAATAATCTGCGCAGGGTGGGAGCCCTCTCTGACTAGGTAGTGTGTCAGGAATGTGTCTGCCATCTGGGGAGAGATGAACAAGTCGTCATGGTCCAGTCAAGTGAGCAGCACCTTCAACCCTCTGTGTTCATGCTGACTTCTTCAGACACCCCAACAGGACCTCCAACAAACCTCGAGTCAGATGTGACAGATCTAATGGTTCCTGCGAGCACTGCCGCTTTCTTAACCATGAATGCCGATTGGTGAGCTCAGCTGGCTCTGTTAGCCACTTTGTTTAAGCTGGCAGCCCAGATCCTTCCCGACTGCCAGGGGCTCCTACGCGTGGGAAGCGTCGCAAAGGGATGCATAGCCCTAATGCTCCGCCATGGACGGAGATCAGAGGGGGTCCTCTGTTACAACTTCAGACCTCAGGAATTGAGCCATTTGAGTTGACTATTGACAACGAGTAAAGAACCAGACGATCTCTCCATTTGACTTTCGATTATCGACGACTGATCCAAAGGAACTGGCCTTCTCAGCGCCAGTCCAGTAGCGGTGACTCAGGGATATTAGTCACGTGATATGGCAGGTCCTCATAAGGACTTCACATGCCATCTACATAAATATCCCCATTCCTTCTTGTATGCCAATTTGGAGCAACCTACTAACCTGTCTCTTTGAGTGGTATACACGGTAGTTGTTTACAGCGGTCCCGAGAGGATTCCTTCTCGTCTCCACTACCATCTGTACTAGTCTTTCCTAGTCAGTCGTACAATACGATCGATGGCTCCTGACTCAAGGTCCCCTTCAACTCCACCACCCAGGACATGGGATAGCATCATGCCGTGGGAGATTCGGGCCCAGATTTTCGCCGTGTGTTTCGAGAAGAGATACTCTCTCGGCCTCTTGTACGCGAACAAACAGCACTATGCCCATTTACGCCCTCTCCTCTACGAGCTGCTCATTGTTTCCTTCAAGATCGAACCATCGGAAATCGGGACCTGGGCGTGGTCACCCGAGCTCCTGCTGCTAGTCATTGCAGAATCTTCACATTTCGAGTGTTATAAAGATATCGACAGGATACCAGTAGATCAGTTTCGGAAGATCGAGATTCTCATTGATGCTCCCAATCCAGACAATCCGGGGGAGCTCGTGTCGGCTTGGAAGCAGGTCACGGCGCTGATAACTGCCTTACTGCCCCGATGGAAAACTGAAGACGACGCTGACCCCAAGACGGAAGCTGACATTGAGATTCCCAAGGGACGTAAGACGGGTAACTTGCCGCCAATAATTATCAAATTCCAGGAGGAGGGCGAAAAGAAGTGGTCCCGCTTTCACCCAGACATTGGGCGGCGGATATGGAACCAGAGCGTCCCTAGCTACGTGCACTGGGACGAGGACACAGGAGCAGCGCCGATCAAGTTGGACGGGCTTCATTCCGATGTTGAAATCATCATGACAGCCTTTCTTAGGGTTAGGGGCGCGGCCTCAATCACTTTCGAGTTGCCCGGGGACGTTGAAGACAGCCCACAAGGTGGAAATTCCCCGGTCGCTGACCTGGTCGAAAAGGTCAAACGACTGAGTAAGAGACGGACACCTTTCGGACTGTATATCGATCCCGGCTGTCCCCTTGACGACAAGGCGATTCTCCGCTACGAGAACGGATTCCACCTCTGGTTAGATCATCTTCTCGACGACCTGAAGGGCTCCAGGGCCGACGAGCTTCGTTTCGGGAGATTCCAATTCTGGTGCTCAGAGTACGACTATCTGATGGGACAGAGATTTCACAACTCCGCTCTCAGTGTCAGTCTTTTGGACTTCATCCGGAGTCAGTATTACGACCGGTGTGTAGCCAGATCCGTCTATGCGCGAAAGGCATCCATCCTTTTGGATACATCGGACGACCCTGATGACTACCCATGCAATGAGATCTGGGAACAATTTTTTCGGGACTCCCTTATCGAGCGGAAATCCGAAAACAGCCTGTGGACCGATAACGTCCATAACTTTGTACCTATCCCAGTGCACCTCCTACTCCCGGAGCGGCGCGAGTGTACAACCTACACTCAATGGTCGGCCGCGGTGACAGATTTCTCTGATCAGCGGTGCAAGAAGTGCGAGGAGAAGCTGGGGCCCGTAAATAATGATTTTTTGGTGGAGCGGTATAAGAATGAGCAAACCCGTTTATGCTGGTATTTGGACGACACGTGGGAATGGGACAGTATGTACCAAAGATGACGAGGACTACTAGCGAACATAGCTGAGAAAACATTTAGTGTCACTGGGGAGGGCTCCGTAGACGCCACCGGTAGATATAACAACACTGACTACGAGCCAAGAACTAGATAGCAGCTACGAGAGATCTGTATCTCACAGAAAGATTATCCACAGCGTTAGAGGGCTTTCTCAGCTAGCTGCCAGCGCGCGATGAGTGGGAGTAGAGTATGCTCTCTTAGTACCCAAACCATGCCTAATTCACGCCTAATATCTACCTAACCCGTGCCTAAATGATGCCTAATCAGAATCGATTCGTCGCGCCATCTGCTCCGGCAAGACCACCGTGTCGAAACCCTTTCGCCCTCCCTCGTCCCGTCCACCCTTCCCCCAATCAGCCACCGCAGCCCAGCGAAACATCACACAAAAACCCCTTGGACCTTTCATTGAGATGATTCCCGGATGTTTGAACGTATTTCCCTTGGCTGTGTTCAAACACCGTTCATCACAGTTTCACGATTGAGCGGCTTTGTTTTCTCCGAGCATCTCGGGGAACAAACAGAATCATGTACCTCGAATGGCCGAGCAGCAGATTCTTGCAGGTCGCTAGGAACCACGCCGGCCGACGCCTTTGACCACTGGTGTTGGTATTATGTGCCTCGTGTTTGCGTGCATCAATATCGATGTATGCCCAACCTCGATGCTGTTAATCTTCCCGGTCGGAAAATACACTGCGTTCGCCGGTTCATGAGACTTTACTCCAGACAGGTCAAGCACGCCACCACGGAGCCAACTGAATTTCCAGCGAGGAACTGTTGAACATGGAGCTGCATGCAAGCCAGCAGGAGGAGGTCGAGGTCCGAGTAATTTATCAGACAGCTCAGCGACTTTGGATATCCAGGACATACTCATCGCCTGTCAGTAGACCTCGGCCCGGCTTCATTCGGAGGCCAGTGCCTTGGATAGCCTGATATCTGACCGGGGCTTGCGGGGTCCGACCAGTCATCTCTTCTTTGCACAGCCTTAGCTCTTGAGATAGTTGTGTGCCACATTGATAGGGTGATGATAGACTTGAGAGGAAACATGTCTTGTCCGTCTCGTCGATTTGGGAATCGCGTTCTAGAGGCCACATCGACCCGTCTGGAGAAGAGGGAATAAATATGATACATTTCTGTCGATAGGAGATTATTTTACCTTGGGCTGACTACTGGATCACGGGTGCCACAGTGAGTCCCGGTGAAACTGCGAATGGCTCATTAGATCAGTTGCAGTTGAGCAGATAGGGAGGGACGAGGGTGTGGAATGGCGTGTTTACACATACACATACTTCATCGAGAAGGCCAAGGTGACCGAGAGGCTCCTCCAGGGGCGGCAAGACTAGAATAGAACAGGCGCCGAGATTCTCGAGTCTGTTTCTGTTGCAGTGCGTGAGAAGGCATACTGGCAGATGATGCAGCCCCGGACATGGTCAATCAGTGTATTGGCTACCTTCTTTCATTTGCCCTTCAGCCTCTTCTGCCACACATCGATGTCTTGATCAGTTCTCCGCGTGGCAGGCGCTAGAGAGACTTTCTGGACTAGGGCATTCTAACAATTCTCCTTGTTCAGCTCCAGTGAGAGGAAGGACACCTCCCCGAAGACATGCTCAACGAGAATCGGCATCTGGCAGCCCGAAATCGATGTTTCCCAAAATGCAATTGCGGTGGCCGAGAAGACCCCCGGTTTGGTGCGTCCACTGTCCTTGGGCCAACATCGATCAAGCCTTGTTGAGGGCTTGCACTGCCCCAGCCCTGTCTTGGCCCAACAACCCGACTGGATCCTCATGGCACGAGCGAGACTCGCTATTTTCGTGCCCGAGTCCATGCCATGATCTGCATCCACCAGAGTGCGCCGTGCTCGTCGTGCCGCTCGACAGAAGAAAACAGGAAAGCAAGATCAGAGGAACAAACGACGACGACGAAGAAGAAGAAGAAGAAGAAGAAGAAAAAGCCGGGCCGGTGGGCCAAGGCTTGGTGTTCAGCTCTGCGTGCATAGCGTGCCTACCTATGTATATCTGCAGCGGCGCGTTTTCCCGCAACCAGGTTCTCTGTCAATTGTACGACCCCGTCATACAGCATGTCCTGCGTCTTCTTCAGGACGAGCTGGTAGGCATTGCGGAAGATTTCTTCCAAGGAGAGTTTAGAAGAGTTTTTGGCGAAGAGAGATCTGCTCAAGGAGAGATCATCTCCGTCACAGCTGAGTCACCGACCCAGGGCGACTGTGTGGATGGCACTGTCAGTCTGTCTGTCCGTCTGTCTGACTGGATGGTTGGTTACATCAATGTGCGCCTGTGTGTGTGTGTATGAGAGAGAGAGAAAGAGAGAGAGTTTCATTTCCTGCCCACTGCTGCTATGATACGAAGGCTACCATGATGGCTAGCACGATGGTTGGCTGTTTGTAACGCGAACCCGATTCCACTCAGCTCGGTCCGGTAGACAGACGAGCGAGGTGCCTAGCGCGAGCTTCTTCCAGCGCTTCCTTCAGTCTCTGCTCGCCTAACAAACCAAACATCCGTCTGTGGACATCCACCCAACACGCGGAACCCCAATATTTAGTCCAAAATTTTTGTATCATCTCCGGTTTGATGGGAACATCCACTTCTCTTCGAATGGTCGTATCGCAATAGACACCTCCTTCTGGGATTGTAAAGAAAGGAAGGTCTCTTAGTGGCACCTTTCCGAACGCGAAGGTTTCTTCGAAGGTCGACTGTGGAACACCAGTTGAATCTCGTTCCCACACTTCCCATAATATCTTCGTCTGGCCGATAATCTTGGCGTTGCCAAACCAAACCACACCCGTCTCCTCGTCTTCCTGAAACCCCTGAGAGATATCGATAGATTTGGGAGATTGAAATGGTGGTGTTTCGGTGATGTCGATGAGGATAACGCGTTGGATATTAGCGTCGTTGTTCAGATAGAATCGGGCGAGATATCGAAGATCTTGAAGAGTCTGGGTCTTGCCCACTTCGACAATTGTATGTCTGCGGCGATCTAACATATTCTTCTCCCAGTCGATACATAAGTCGGGTTGTTTTACCGATGACTCGTACTCTCCAGTGGATATCAGACTAGCTGGGGCCCCCTGAATCCATATCTTTGACATGAGAGTAGACATCAAGTCAGACGAAGTTTCGAACGGGACTCTTTGAAGGAAATAAACCATAGCATCGTGTCTAGAGCAAGGAGGAGGCATAATGGTGACAAGGTAGCGCGAGCTGTCGAAGAAGAATCGAAATAATTTCCTGAAAAGATCAGCGCACCGCCAGAGGAATCAATGAAGATGATAAGGTACCGTACCGTCCTGTGCACAGGTCAAAGTTGGAGTCTTCTTGCAGTTTCAACCACGACTCTCGAGAAATGGAGAATTTGATTGGTTCGTCGTCCGCCGTGAGACGAAGTTTGTATGTCGCGACGTCTTCAGCAAGTTTCAGCAGTTCCTGCAATTGATCAGGGTGAGTGGATGGCTGAAGGTTCGACTGTTGTGGTGATGAGGGCTGCGGCGCGCAGGCCGTGTTGCCAGAAACGGACAGCGAGTCGAGCGCCCGCCAAGGAGCGCCCGGCTCCGACGCGTCACTTGAACTTGCATCCATCTCTTGGTTGATGCGAGTTGTTGCACAATGTCTTCACCGCGCCGATGGGAGATGATGGAAGACGACGACAGATTTTGTATGATGATTGACTTTTATGTGCGGAGGAATTTGTATCCGGTCGAGCATTTGCAACTGCACATACATCAACGGAGGAGCAGGAATCATCTCAGTGCATGATCCTGCAGGACGGCTTTGTCGATGGCACTGCGACGCACAGCAGTCTTTGTCTGGGTCACCAGCCTGGAAGCAAACACGACCAGGGCTTTGTCGATTGCACACGGATGCACCACAGACCCTGCCTTGATGACAAGACGACTTTGTTGACGGCATTGTGATGCACCGCAGACCCTTCCTTGATGACATGTCGAACTTTGGGGATGGCGCTCCGATGCCTGCAAGCAAACACCACCAGGACTTTGTTGAATGCACTGCGATGCACAGCAGTCTTTTACTAACAGGGGACCCTTGTGGACTGCAATGCGATGTCTACAAGCAGACCACATCAGGGCTTCGTTGATCACACATGAATGCACAGCAATCTCTGCCATGGTCGCAGGACTGCTTTTGCTGACTTCACACAGACGCACAGCAGACCCTGGCTTGATGACAGGTGCCAACTACGTCCAATGTGTACCCGGGTTCCTCGTACAGAGTCGAACCCATATGCATATTACATACACGATTCAAAAAGCCGTCTCGGAGCACAGAAGATCTTCAACCACCCGGTCCAAGAGATGCTTGTCTTCGGTGGCTTTCTCGCCGGTGGCTGGAACAACTTGGCAAGGTTTGAAATCCGACACCGATCAACAAGGCGCCACACGGTTACAGTCAGCACCAGCCATATATCAGCCAGAGACAGGGGATGAACGAATGGAAAGGGATTGCCAATGAGGAGCTTCAGCACGGAGCCGAGCAATTGGAGCATACCGCCGAAGAAAAGGAACAGCTCTCTGAAGGAATCCTGGTTAGGAGTAGCCAGGGCATGAAGATGTGAATCAAGCACGAAAGTACAGCCCGAGTTTTGCACTGTACCGGGCTCCGAGGTTGGAAAATGTGGCCGATTTCGATGGCCTTGGACCATTTGCTGGTTTTGGACACATAACTTCGATCAGGCTACAGCTTCTCTCGCAAAATTGCCGATGCCTCCAGAGTGAATTGAACTGACAAGCAGGAGAGCTGGGTGCCTTTACTGGGGTTCAAGTGTGCTTTGTTGACGATGATGCGGCCCGAAGCGAACCGTCGGTGACGTCGACGTCGGCATCGGAGAACGATTCCGCCTCGTCAGCCAGGCTTTCGTCCAAGGTCGGGTCAGCTCTCCCTCGGCACCACTCGCGCCCTCGTGCGAACCACGCCCGAACGTGACAAAGATAGCTCCCGATTGTTGTCAACACGATAGGTTCATGTGGCAACTCGCATTCCCTCATCTGCATCTTGGACGGCGTCCCCTGTGTGGTTCTCTATCACTCACAGGTCCCAACGAAAGACTGAGAAAAGGTGATCTTCGTCGGTATTGTGATGATGGACCCAGAGCTCCATCTAAAAGATCTATCTCTCCACTCCCAAGGCTGCCACTCCGACTTCCAGCTTTGGAGGACACCGCAAGCGAGCCGATCCTCTCAAACGGCGTTGGTTGTCTTCGTCGAGATAAATGGCAGCCGCCCGTTCCAACAGGTTAGGCAGAGTCCTCGTGTTTCCAATTGTCGGGCACGAGGACCTTGCTGGCCTCGTGGCTGGGACCAGCCTCCATGTCGTGATTCTGTCCTCGAGTCCGTTGTTACGGGTTTCCTAAGCACATACGCCGATTCGATTGGCATATCTTTGCGGGTTCAGCCTCTCCGAGACGACCATTTATTCAGAAGCGATTGACGGCGTCGGTGTCATGAGACTAGCCGCGGGAGTCTGAAGGTCACGGAGGGACGAGGCGTCATGATTTAGAGATGCTGTTGTGACATTGGAAGTTTCGTCGTCTAATGGCGGCATTTCTAGACCTGCTCTCCTTTTTTGTTCGCTCCGTTTTTGTAAATCTGTGTCGCTATCTTACAGAGAGTCTGCACCCAGGCTGATTTCTAGGCGACAGAGGGTCTGCGTCATGGAGAGTCCGAGGTTGATGTCAGGATGTGGCTGTGAATCGTGGAGAAGGATCAGACACGAAGCGCCCAATTGGGCCGAACATGACCGAAGGGAAGCGAATCCGAAGCCGACACAAGCGACAAGGAGGGCGATACTATTTGATAGGGAGCTGCAGCTGATCCGGGGGGGAGGGAGAAGACTGTCGATGCGGAAACCCCCAGGAAGGCCCACCAATTCTGCTTCTGTGCGAGTCAGATCTCGTCCCTTCGGTAGCCCGATGTACCCATTGACGCCGTCTCAAAAGCCACAGGGGTTGGTCGCATACAGACGCATCTCTGGCTGCGTCCTCCACAGCCCACCTATCTCCTGCGGCTTGAGCCTGAGTGAGAATGCGACGATGGTACGTGTGGCATGGTCATCCTTTATCTACGCCACCTTGTCGAGGGCATTTTCCCGAAGCTTGGAAGAAGGCCGACACAGGGCCATCACAGCATTTTCTCTACTAGTTCTCAGGCTGACTCGCGTCTCCTTGTACGACGATCTCTGGTTGCGACGTGATGATGACGTTCCTGGTGCCCAGCAGGCACTCCCCAGGACCACCACCAGGACCACGTGCAGGACCATCTCCAGGATGACCTTAAGACCACCACCAAGGCAACGTCTAGGAACGCGTGTAAGACAACCTCCAGAACGACCACCATGCCCGCTGAACCCTTGGAGAGACCCTACACGCTTCGTCGCTGGCGTGTCGAGGAGTTCCAATGTGCTCACGCCTCACAGTCTCTTTTAGTATTCCACCAGCGCAGCTATCAAGCTTCCCGCCCCTTTGGGCTGGCCTTGCTGGAAGCTTGCTGGGTAAATCTGCTGGAAGACGTCGTCCCGCGCAGCATCTGGCTCGAATTACCGTGACGACGTTGTTTCGAAACAATCCCGGCCTAACCTTTGTTGCCCAGAAACAATAGCTTCATATCACCTCGGGATATTTTGGCTAGATCTACAATGGCAGACGTGTGAATTGTAATGTCACCCTTCGATCCCTCGACATACACATCGTTTGCCCGTGAGACGGTACACAAGTTGCGAAGATTAAAAGCGGCCGTGAACAGCTACTTCAGGCCCATCGTACAGATATCATCTCTCGGCTGAGCAAAGGCTGCACATAAACTGTGACCCAAGTCTGCTTTGACAAGGTCCACAGTGAACTCCCTGAAGCTTGGATCGTACGGACTTTGCCGGGACCCATGAGCAATTGTCAGACAAACTTTGGCAATTCCCTCGCAGCTTGACCAATCTCCATCAGGATATCTGCGAGAATCCATCCCCTGTGCAGAAGATTGAACTCCAGGCTCACCCAGGGAAACACGCCTTGACCAATTGCGCCCACTGGACGATCAGGTCGTAGCGCCGGTCTCGAATGAAGGCACAGATCACTGTCCCTCGATATGAATCTTTTCGGAGCCGGTACAGACTATACCGACCTCTATGCCACAGCTTGGTCAGAACCAAACCCCATCACTGGCGCCAAGTCTTGTCACGCTGGCGGATATCACGTAAGTAGTAACCTCCTTTCAGCACGAGGCTACACAGGCACACATGAGTCCGGCCAATACTTCCGAACCTCAGTTGTCGACGCGTGTTTGATCCCATCGATCTCCCGTTCATCATGGTGGTCTCTCCTACAAAAGAGCCATGGGGTCACAACAGTGTGGCAGATTCGCAATAGTTGAAGAGGTTGTTGAAGATGAAGGTCTCCTTGTACGGCTGAATGAACTGAAGGTATCTTTACAAGTGGTATTTTGTCACCATACTTTGATTGTCGTCCTCATCTCCTGCAATGAAACCAGGATGAGTGAGTTGCTAGTGAGCTAATAGATATTCTGCGGCTGTCCTCTCAGCCTTGCTTGCGATATCTTTAAGGCGTAATAGCTCTTTTGCTGGTGGGCCTTCTCGTCTGAGACTCTAAAGGTTAGGGACTCGAATATGCCGATGAGTTTTTCAAAACTAAAGGCTTTGCCATAAATCTCTGAAAGCTGTGAAAGTAACTAAAAAAATTGAGAGAATAAGTCAGCTCGTGGGTCTCAGCCTGAGAAGACACCAGTTGTCCAAGAACGACCCCGTACGAGCGAACCCGTACGAGCGAACCCAGCAGCCCCTAATCGACAAGTGAGACGAGAAGATCGGATCATTTCTTGAATGTACTGAAGGCTTTCAACTTAAAGAATCTCAGAATCATTAAACATGTCATCCTGCAGCAAGTTGATGGCGAGCCTATCGACGACGAGACAAATCTTATGGAACGAATCATCCAGCTGGTGGCGGATCTTCCCATCTCCAGCTGAACCAGTGCGACTCTCACCAATACGTTCCTGAGCCAGTGTGGACAGACCTAAAGCATCCGCCTCGGTCATATTTGGGAGCCCGTTATATTCATCGTAAGGCGGACGGAACCAATAACAGTATTTTCTGGCCGCACCCTGGGGCTACGAAATAGCTCTACACGCGAACATTGCGTCCTGGACTAATGTAGCCCGTTGCCCGGCCAGACCCTGGAGTCATCTGTGATCGCCTTGTGACTCCTTTCAGGGGGACGACGCCACAGCCGCCGCAAGTTTCTGCACGATTTTTTTAAGGTCTTCTAATCCCCTGTTCCGCGTGGTGTCGTCAATCGCGGTGCCCATCCCCTCACAGCAGATGTATGCAATCTCCCTGATTCTCTCTTGAATCGGGTTGAGTGTTCTGCCGAGGCGGTGCTGGGGTGAAGTTGGCCGGAGGCGTGATTGAGCAGGCTTGTCACCCGGGAAGCAGGGCTGTTACAATGACTGTTACAATACGCTTCCCGGCCGACAACACCCGATGGGGCGAATGGCCCCCATCAGGTGTTTGGCCCCCATGGGGCCAACGGCCCCCAATGCCAAGTCGGCCCCCACAAGGTATACACAGAAAGAGATAAATAGGACCTCTATTCTCGCACTGCTGGAGAGGCCCTCAACAGTGCGAGAAGTCGATGTCTCAAGGACAGCTTTATACAAT